CGTCATCTTGAATTGAAAGCAGCGCTATGAAGCATTCAATGAATCTACTCCATTTGCTGCTGCCATCTTCCGACTCCGTAACATTAGCGAAGCGACTCAGCATTGGCTGTACCAGTGTATGCATGGCCACGACCTGGCTCTTCATATGGACACCATCTTTCAGTGATGCAAGGAGGGCTTGGGCATGTCTGATGTCGTCTTCAGATAGCGGGAACTGGTAGCCAGACTTGTTGCGTGTACCATCTATGGACTTGATAATTGCGTTGGCCAGCTTAGCAAGAACCGTAGAGTAGTTGCGAATGGTGGAGGAGTCTTCAAGTGGCTTGAAGTGGACGCTTTCCCTTCAATTAAAGATTAGAAATGACCAAGACAATATAAATAAAACATACATTGGATACCGTTTCAACATCTTGCGAACTTCAAAGGGTGACTTGCTGATTCTGCGCCCAGCAATTTGAAGGTACTCATTTGCCACATCACCAAGCTTAGCCAGGCGACTCCCAGACCCATGTGTAGGCACCTTAACCAAGTCCAAAAGATCCCCCACAAGACGTCGATCCTTCAGATAATCTGCTAGATGTGTATGCCAGCCAGTCATCTGAACCATGAGTGGTAGTTCATGCGGATGAATAGGCTGTAGAATGTGGGTGGTGGTAGTGAGATCTGGCAGTAGTTTGGTGGTGTAGATGTCGAGCAGAGATGAATCAACTGAAGGCGGTGATGGTGGTGACGTAACTTCAAAGTAATGTCGTTGAGTAGGCGAGAAGAAGGTTTGAACATAGCCTTTCGTGTAGTTTGATCCATATTGTGAAGGTACTTCTTTATGTTTACCAATATGACGTTCAATCATTGACTCCTTCAGGCAGGCGTAGTCGCAAGTACCGCAGCAGTAGCCATCAGAGACTGCCAGACCTTCAACAGGTGGCCCTAACGTCTTTGGACGAAGTGGGACTTCCTTGTCGATGACGTGAAGCATGGCCAGAACATGGAGCAGTTGCTCTTCATCCTGACGAGAGACAGTGAAGCCATGTGAGCGAAGATGGCCTACTACTTTAGAGGGAATCCAGGCAACTAGACAACCCATACAGTGAACCGTAGAGTAGTGGCGGTGAACTCGAAGACCATATTTCTCTAACGTAGCGGTAGTCGTCAAGTCGCTGATGGCAGGTTCAGTAGCCGTAACGTGCTGCGTAGGCAGACTTGGAAGTGGACGTGGTGTGATGTCCAGATCTGGTGAGGATGAGCGTAGTGATCCAAGACCAGGTGGGGTAGCTGGTTGGGCAACCAGAGGAGCAGGCGACAAGTGAGGACCAGGAGACGGAAGACGGAGAGGTGTTGCCTTTGGAGTAGGCGAAGAGACAGGCTGATCCTTAACAAGTACCAAATTAGTTCACAGCAAAATTGAATAAGATTGAATACAAACTGAGAGTGGCAAATCCACATCCATAAACTTATCCTCCAATTCAACTTCCTCATCCCCTTCTACAGCCTTGAAAGAGAACTTGACCACCTTATGAGCACTCCTGGAGTGGTGACTGAAGTTCTTAACATTTTCATGTTGAACATCACACAAGGGACAGCAGAGCAGATGCTCAATGCCATCCCTAACCACCAAGTAATCTTTGCTATCTAATTACAGTTCATACAACTACTAGTTCATGAGGAAAGCAAGGGAACTTACCAAAGGAGAAAATGTAGCTCTCATGATGAATGGTTCTGATGTGCTCATTGTAGGTCTTCTTCCTGGACCATTCCTTGTTGCAGATGGAGCAGAAAGCCTTTCTACAGTGACCATGAAAGGAGCTACGATTCTGGGACTAGAAGAGCTCTAAGAATAGCTACATACCCTTGAGATGATGCCATTGCTGTGGTAAGAAGTTCTTGAAATGCAGATGTGAAGAGGATGCAAAAATAGAGTGCAGTAGTTTGCAGGTAGAGACAATAGGGGGTTCATTTCGCATTTTTTCACATTTGGAAGTCAGCTTCCTAGCCCCTGGGTCATGTGCTTACAGAATACTTCAGAGGTTTTCTGTAAGCACATGATCTAGGAGGTCTAGGAGTCATCCTCTGGCTGTACTTCGCATTTTTGCTCAATTTAACTAGCAATACTTGCTGCTACAAATTGTTCCCCACATTGGACTTATGCTTTTTGACATTCTAAACAACTTTGTCCACTCAAGCAAGCAATGAAAATCAAATTCTGATGCACTACAGCTCAATCTTCCTGCTAATTTCGCATTTTTGAGCCTGTAGCTTGTCACTAAAAGATGCTACTAATATACTGTGAACTGGAGTGTATGTAGTTTCGCATTCTGAACACTTTTCTCCACTCAAGCAAGCCATGGAAATCAATTTCTGAGCCAGTAATCCACTATTTGCTGTTTAAATTCGCATTTTTGCACCTCTTGACTGCATGAAAATGGCCCTAACTACTCCGGAGTTCTTGCATTTTATGCTTTTTATTATTTTGAACAACATTCCTCTATACACCTAAGCAATTGGAACAAGTCCTGGCCTTGTATTCACAAAGAAAAAGCCCTCAGAGCGAATTTTGTACTTGGTTGAGGCAGGTACTCAGTGTGGGAATGCCCCTTGCCTCCCCTGGGTCATGTGTTTACAGAATACTTCAGAGGTTTTCTGTAAGCACATGATCTAGGGGGGCTAGGAGTTACCTTCTGGCTGCACTTCGCATTTTTGCTTAGTTTAAATGACAATACTTGTTGCTACAAATTGTTCTCCAATGTGGACTCATGTTTTTTTACATTCTGAACAACTTTCCTCCCTCAAGGAAGACCTGAAAAACAATTCCTGAGGCAGTACAGCTTCCTCTTCCTGCTAACTTCGCATTTTTGAGCCTGTAGCTGGTCCCTAAAAGCTGTAATGATGTTGGGATATATGCAAATTCGCATTTTGAACACTCTGTACTGCTGAAGGAAGGCATGAAAACCAAATCCTGAGTGACTATTCCACTATTTGCTGCTGAAGATCGCATTTTTGCACTGTTTGATTGCCTTAAAAGGCCCATAACTACTCCGGAGTTTTTGTATTTTATGTTTTTCATGATGATAAACAGTTTTACTCTACATACCTAAGAGATTGGAGCCAGTCCTGGCCTTGTATTGAATAAAAAAAGGCACTTGGAGCGGATTTTGCTTGTGGGAATGCCCCTTGAGTCCCCTGGATCATGTGCTTACAGAATACTTCAGAGGTTTTCTGTAAGCACATGATCTAGGGGGGCTAGGAGTCACCTTCTGGCTGTACTTCGCATTTTTGCTGAATTTAAATGAGAAGACCTGGTGCTACAAATTGCTCCCCACATCGGACTTATGTTTTTTTACATTCTGAACAACTTTGTCCACTCAAGCAAGCCATGAAAATCAATCCCTAAGTCAGTAGCTCACTATTTGCTACTCAAGTTCGCATTTTTGCCCTTCTTGACTGCCTTAAAATGGCCCTAACTACTTCGGAATTTTTGTATCTTATGCCTTTTATTATTCTGAACAACATTCCTCTATATACCTAAGCAATTGGAGCAGGTTCTGACCATGTTTCATTACAAAAAGTGCCACTAGAGCGGAATTTGAAGTCCCTAATGTGAGCTACTGACTGTGAGAAACTAATTTTGTAATGAGGTCGGAGTTGTGATGTATTGTAACTGTGAGAAAATGCGAAAACTCAGCTGCCTGAATAGGAAGGTCAGGGGAAAAGGGGAACAGGGGCGCATTAAATAAAACACAAAGATAATTCTACAGGTCAGGCCCAAGTGGGCCCAAGTGGACACAACAACAGCCCAATCCTGAGGGATATATATGGGGAGGTCTGGGAGGTTGTTGTGTCCGCTTGGGCCCATTTCCCACATCCTTGTAGCCAGTATAGTGGTTTTGCAGGTAGTAATCCAGTTGCTGAATGATGAGGAAGTGGCCCAAGTGGACACAACAGGGCTTCCCATATAGCCTTGGGGTATACCTAGAGATGGTAAGTTGTTGTGTCCGCTTGGGCCCACTTTCTGAGACTTGGGCCCCCCTTCTCCTCGTCCCAAAACGGTATTTGGGCTATAGCACAAGGAGGAGGGCTGCTATCTCCGTAGGAATTTGATCAGTATACTCTCCTAACATGCCCGGACATATTTCGTCACCTAACCCTGGGCTGGGGAGCGACGGTTGCTTCGCTACGCTCAGCGAGATTCTCGACGAAGAAGGGGGCGTGGAGGGACAACGGGACAAGAAAAGCCGGACACAACAAGCTGATTACCCATCAGTAGACCCTAACGGAGGTGTGTGAAGTTGTTGTGTCCCAAACGGAGGAGGTCGACCGATTACACCCTGTAATCCGTCGGATAATATAGATAGGTGATCCTCCATCAGTAGGCCCTAACGGAGGTGGGTGCACCTGTGGCGTTAGGTTCTGAGGAGGTCAGCGGAATAAGCTGCCTATTCCGTCGGATAATATAGATAGGGGAACAGGGGCACATTAAATAAAACACAAAGTTAATTCCACAGCTTCCTCAGATGGTGGCGCAACTCGGCGCAACAACGACCCAGTCCTGGGGGATATATATGGCGAGGTTTGGGGAGCTGTTGCGCCGAGTTGCGCCACTGTTTGAAGTGGCTGGGGCCAGTATGGTAGTTTTGCAGGTAGTAAACGTGCTGCTGGATGATGAGGAAGCGGCGCAACACGGCGCAACAAGTTGTCCCATATACCTTGAGGGTATACCTAGAGATGGGTACTTGTTGCGCCAAGTCGCGCCAACATCCTGGCCGTTGGCACCCTCTTCTCCTCGTACCGAAACGGTATTTGAGCTACAGCACGAGGAGGAGGGCAGCTATCTCCGTAGGAATTTTATCAGTATACTCTCCTAACATGCCCGGACATATTTCGTCACCTAACCCTGGGTCGGGGAGCGACGGTTGCTTCGCTGCGCTCAGCGAGATTCTCAACGAAGAAGGAGGCGCTGGAGCGTGGGGAAGCGGCGCAACTTGGCGCGACAAGGTGATTCTTCATCAGAACACCCTAACGGAGGTGTGTGAAGTTGTTGCGCCGCGAACGGAGGAGGTCGACCGATTACACCCTGTAATCCGTCGGATAATATAGATAGGGTCGGTGGCATTGGTCCCTGCGAGGCCAAGGGCGCGGGAGTGCGTAGAAGGGGTGTCGAGGGCGTATTGGTGGACGAACGGGAAGGTCATGAGGTTCCGCGTTCCTTGACCAGTTCGTCCTGGCGCAGGGAAGCTACGACAGCCATAATGGTCAGCGGGATTACATTACGGAAGGAAGCAGGCTACGCACTGGTTCTTATCAAACTTGAACTCGCCGGTTTCGAAGAGCATCAAGCTCAGGATGGCGGCTTTCTCGCCGACGGAGGCAATCGCGTAGTCGTTGAAGGCCTTGTTGATAAATGGCGCGGCTTGTTCGGCCGTTCGGCACTCGTCAGTGAATGGGGCGGAGATGTTGCACGCGCGCGTCGAAGGCGCGATAAGGGTGAGTTGAAAGGGCGTGATATCCGAGGAGTTCTTCGGGGGGTGGCAAGGAATGACCATAGAGAAGACCACGTTCAAAGAGAGAGTGAAAATGCAGAAGGAGAGGAGCATCATTGCGAGACGGTGAGCGCAGCTCTACTGTGGCGATGGGTAAGAATGTAGCGATGAGTGGTGAGACGATCTGGCAGGCTCCTTATAAGCGGAGGACTAATCCAGTGGCCATTTTGTTCATGGTTCATTGTCTCATTGTCGATGTCAAAGGGAAATTTCGGCGTGGGTGGCCAAGGAGCACGCGCCAAAACAATGGGTCGGCGCCTCGCACCTCAGAGTAGCTCGACAGATAGCAGTCTGTGGCTATTCGGCGCCCAACTACAATACGGGTGCAAGAGAAACGGCCTGATGTGGGAAGAAAGTGTTAGCGACATGTCCACGGCGAAGAACACTTCGAATACTCACGTCTGCACAAGGGAAAAGACCCACTAGAACCACGTCGTATGTCTATCATTCCAATCGTCGATGAAGTCTACGAGCGAAGGAGAATACGGCTGCGAGCAGACACAAAGTTTGCGCGCGCCGCAGAGGGCATGATCCATAAGTATGGATGGAACTAAATGTGTTGCGAATACATTATAAGGGTTCGAAGGAACGAAGGGAGCTTCGAATTACAAGACGGAGAGACATGTTAAAGAGCACTGAATACAGCCAGCATGAAGCATCCCTCGCCATAAGCTCAAAAGATTGACATCCTACCTAATCTTCGTCCATCCTATCCAACCCACCGTCGGCGTCACTCGGATCCGAGATGGAGACGAAGCCGGCGACGAGGCCATAGACGAGGGTGCGCTCGCCACTGCATTCCGTACAGGATGGGAGAAGAAAGGCCATATGGGTGGGGGCGATGCCCGACGCGCTACTCCAACAACAACACGACGATGGGAGACGAGGGAATGGAGAGGGGGAACGGGGGACACCAGTGGCCACAGAATCCACCGCAGGCTACATTGCGGCGCCTAGGTCAGTACAGACATCTTCCAGCTCTACACGTGTACTCACCTGCGTAGCTGGTTCGTAGACCTTTAGTGCGCACAGTCAGACCGATCTCGATATGGATAGCCAGGGTTACGGAGGGCTGTCCCTGTAGAACATGAGCGCGCTGACCTGCGTATCGCGGGCGGCATCAATTACTCGCCGCGATGAAGAGCGCTAGATGCCAGCGGGACGGGGGAAATACTGGATCACGCAGCTCCGGCGACTGCACTGGCACTGCGGGAGCGCGGATGCGGTGGATGTGGACGTGGACGCGGACGTGGTTATGTGTTCGGGGGAAAGGTAAGTCCCTCTGCTGTCGTCGTTTCGCGTTTCGTTCGTGTATCCCGTCCCTCCTTCCCCTCCTCCCGTGTATTCCCCTTGTTCTCTTCCCTGCTTCCGTTCCTGCTTCCGTTCCCATTCTCGCTCCCCTGCGCCCTTGGTCCCATTCCCGTTCCACTCTTCGTCCCCATCCCGCGCCGCCACGCTCTAACTCACCCACCCCCCATTCTCCTTCGCAGCCCGCGGCTGAAGGGGTGCAGGGATGAAGGAGAGACGCTGCTGCACACATCATGTTGGTGGGTCGTTCCTGTTCCGCGGAGAGCGCAGGAGAGCGTGCGTGCGTGTCGTAGCTGCCCAGTCCCGGAGTATCCCATCCCGCTCAAACTGCCACCCACAGCCCCAATTCGCTGTCAAATCACGTCTGCAACTGCTTGCCCGGGAGATGGGATGAGTAGATGGATGCCAGGTGGGAAGGAAAGGTTGGCATTGGGGGATCGACACCACCTGGGTTCCAGGTGTTCCCTTGCCGTTCTGACTCAATCCCATCTCATAGAGTCCATGGCCTTGCACACGTTGGTAGCCCCGTTTGGGATGGGAGATTTGAAAGCTATAAAAAAGGCAAGGTCAAGATAGAGGGGGGGCAGCAATTTGTTGCCTGCTTACCTCTCTCTCCCTTCTCCCTTTCCTGCACTTCAGCTTCTCTCCGCCTCTCCCCGCCTCTCCTCCCCGCCTCTCCCTCGCTTGATGGCGTTCGTCGTTGCTACCCTCTCCGGTTGCTCCCGTCAACACTGCCGCCGCCTCTCCCTCTTCACTCTTCTTCTTCGTGGTCGCCATCGATATTATCTGGCGTCAACACCCTTCGTCCAGGCGGTCCCCTACGATCAAGGTCTATGCCGCAGCCTCTAGGTTGCAGGCCGCCGTACGTGTAAGCCAGGGACTTGGTAGATGAAGTCCACGGTGAAGGGCAGCGCGGGCGCTGCGGGGTAGCACTGCGATAGTACGTCACTTGGTCTCGAAAATAGGCGGGTGTTTACTTTTTCCAGCGCTGCGTTGTCTCCCGATGGTTTACGCCAGTCCGTTCGCCAGCCTGTTCCTCCTGAGTTGCTTTGCGCAGCCCCGGACATCCTCATATCCACCAAGACCTCGCCACCTCACGATCCGTGCGTCGTCGTTTGTCTTGCTGATGCAGCCCCAGGCTGGGTTGAGATGAGAGATGTCGCTGGGAACGTGAAGCAGCCGTCAATAGCTTTGGTTGGGTTGTGGAGAGGTATCTGGATATCTGAGCATCTGGGTATCGCGTCCTATCGCCCGCGTCCGTGTCCCCATGGCCCACAGCCAAATCAGAGCGTCCAACACGTCTGAAGAGCGCGGCCACCTCCAACGTTTGCGCCAGCACTCGTATCGGCATATTGGCGTATTGGCGTATTGGTGTTGGCATTCGGGGCGACAACTCGAGGCTAGAGTGCTAACGCTATGGAACACGGATCACAAATCATGATGTTCTGTTGGGAGAAGGGGGCTGGGAATCGGAAGCTGTGAATGCGTGGGGAGTGCAGAGGTTGTGATGGTGCGTGGTCGAGAGAGCGTTGAGGTACAATCGCCATCATAGTGCCGACGCGCAGATCCTCTGCCATCGGAGGATCCATAATCCATCGTTTCCCAGGGCCTATGACCACGTCTGAGAGCAACACGATATAAGCAATTGCAATGGACACTACAGGATCGTTGCCACCCCCTTCGCATAGCGTTGCGGAAGCGGGGGCCTTCGGAACGCGCGGATGTGTTTGGGTGCAGATATAGCGCAAGACGGCGTCGTGAAGCTGCTCACGGTGGACCGCCGGTCGACTTTTGACTTCGGGTTCTGAGGCCTGAGGACCCGACTCCGCAGGATAGAATTACCATAGATCCGAGTCACTCTGACTCCGTCTACGAAGGTCGCGGGCAACGCCGATATTGGACGTACATAGTCCCTCGTATCTCTGACGATCGCTCGCACGAATGAGAAGGGCCGCGTTCAATCCTCCTTTCCTCCGCTCTCACTCTGGTATACCATTTGTCCATGATCGACTGCTCGACAGCCTCTGAAGACACTCCGATTACGTCTACGGTTCGCGGCGACTTGGTATTGGTACTGAAGAGAGCAGAGATTGAAGGGCAGGATAACGTACACGACACCCCGTATTCCGTTGGATCGGCCTCTCGTCCTACGTTGGACGGTCGGAGACTGGATACGATGCTGGAAACGGAGGCTGAGAACGGAACGATTTACGGAGCCAAGAGAACATTCAAACATACCAAGCGCATCTACCCCTTTCCTTCACTCCGCTCGGGGAGATCAGCTCGATCAGAGTCCTTCCCTGGCGATCTGGTCTAGAGCCTGGACCCGAGGTGTTCGTTTTAGTGTGCGGGCTTCGTGTTCGCTCTTCGTGCGTGCAATGTTGAGCTCCGATGGATCGAAGGTATCAAGTGACAAGGGATCAAATGACAGGATTCTGAAAGGCGTTTGAGAAATTGGAAGAAAAGGGAAAAAGAGGAAGGTCGAGGCCCGAATGAACACGTACGTATGTTTGTCACCAAACGAATACAGATGCCGTTTGCACTTGAGGCCGCACGTGCGGATGATTTGAGGATTGGCGGCGAGGGGTATCCCGATTGCAGGCGCTCGGGAGCGAGCGAGGTCGCTTGTCTCTGCTTGTCTTGGTCAAGGGTTTGATGTACATGATTTCTGTCAATTCGTGATCTTGCTTTCGTAAACTCGTAAACAAAGAATTTCCGGTCTTCCTTCGTTGCTCGAACGCAGGTGGGATAGAGGGGAGTAGACGGCGGCGAGGGACCAAAGAATCTCGTATATGCCGTTGTGTTTCTGCATCTACACGCGGGCTAGACAAGAACTTGGTAACAGACAAGAACTCGTACGAGAGACCGTGAGTGAGGTTCGCCATCCCCGCGACACGGGTGAACCAATACCCCGAAATGGTTCGTGTCAATGGGGGAGAAAGTGAGGAAGCCAGATCCCGGGGTCAAGTGGTGCCTGGCCGGCAGAGAGGCCACTCAGGGGCAGAAAGGCTAAACCGCCCTCATTTGCCAGACGAACTGGGCTGATCTTCACCCGAACTTACATAAGCCGACTCAACTGGCTCACTCCGTGCTTCAATTCCAGCGACGCAATTGCTAGACGAATTATATGGCGCTTGGTTAACGTTGGACTCCAGACTAACGTGGCGTGGCGGTAGTTGGCAGCGAACGATAGCAAGGTACGCCATCATTTAAATACTATCTCTGCCTTTGGATTGTCTCGTCCATTTGTCGTCCAAGGTCCCGCTCGTTATGGACGACCCAGTCAACGTCAATAGAGACTCTGCTTAGTGGTCTGATAAAAGTGATTTTACACAAATCGCACATCAGCGGGATGGATACGGGGACAGCGCAACGCTCAAGAGAGCCGCGATCCCGCAGCAGGCGATAAAGCAACTCCAGGATGTTGATCAATGCCCCGAGTGCCTTTTGGTACCTCCTCTGAATGCACAAAGTCGATTCCGATCGCGCGTCTTTCCGCAGCCTTCATTCGTGGCGCAGGATACTCATCCTCAGTGCTACCATCGTCTCCAGCGCGATGCCGCCTCGCATCTAAATACTCACGCGAGGAGGACCAAAGATCCATGTGAGGTATTTGCCCGTAGAGTACGCTTCGGTACATTTCTTGTCATGGTGATTTTATCTCTTCCTAGCATTCAAATATTCACTTCCTCCCTCGTCGGCGGAAATAGACTGCAGCAACCGCTAGTTGATACGTTACGTTCAACCCCTCCACGCCCGGGTCTCCAGCTTCCAATTCCTCATCGCCACTCCTTTCTCTATCATGTGGACTGGACGAACTTTTCGACTACATCCCCCTTTACAGCCTCTCACGTTTTGCTTTTCATTTTCGATGGGATCAATGTCGTCGTGCGGTACGTCAATCCGAGACCCCATCATCTATTCCCGTATTCCCTTCGTCCGCGGTAGTACGAGGCAACAGCCATGCGTGCAGACGGTGCTCATCGCACTCATCACAGGCAATGAGTTCATCAGCTCACCCCGGGATCCCCTTGGTGTGTATTGTTCCGCGGATTTCATTAGTGCAACATGACGATCAATGATGCACCTTGAGCCTGTTCGTTACTTCGACAACGGCGTTGGCCGGGCATAAATACAGGCGGCACATAGCTCCACCTTTGTCTCTGTCGTCTGTATCATTGCTTATTCGCTGCGTGGATGCGGTTCAGGTGACAGCGAGAGGATACGAGGGCCCTTTCGCCCTGCTAATGATCCGCTTTGGGTGCACTTCCTTCCTCTGGAAGGCTTCGCAGGTCGTGCCGAAGGCCTCGCATCTTCGAGTTTCTATGTTTCATCACCACTTCATATCCACCTGGTATTGCATTGTCGTCATCGTGCCACTAAGCGAAAAGCGTGCCATTCTCATGATACCGCCCACTTCAACATGATAGGCAGCCCGGCCCTTCAGTTCTATTAATACGATATACTCCGCGCCTTACCCCCATCAACTACTACCTGAAGCTCATCGTACAATCAAGTATGTTTCATGAGATGATTTACATGTTCATGAATGACAGACTAATGAGACTTGTAGGTGCTCTAAGCAGAGTATGCTACGGCAGTGGCCGATAGGCCGATAAGTCGAACATTCGTACGCGCAGCTCCACCGGTGACTGAGTTCCACTGCAGCCAAGTCTCGAGTTCGTGCGCTCGCTTTGCTACAGATATAAGTACGACCACAATGCGCACCTCTTCATTCCGTACCCTCAGAGCTCCTTGAGTTCGGTCTACAAGATGCCGTCTAATACTCTCCTCGTCACACTCGCCCTTTTACTATCTTTGACTGGCTTTTGTCGCTGGCGCCGTAAGGCCCGGCTTCCCTTACCTCCCGGACCAAAGGGATACCCCATCGTCGGTAACCTCTTTGACAAGCCCACGGAGTACCACTGGGTCAAGTATCTCGAGTGGTCGAAGCAATACGGTGCGTCGTCCATCCTTTATTCACCGTTTCTGGTTGACTGGAGCGACACAGAACTAGACTCAGACGTCGTTTCCTTCCATGTTTTCGGGCAACCGACCATCATACTGAACTCACGCAAAGCCGTCAATGATCTCCTCTCAGTCCGCTCTTCGCTTTACTCTGACAGGCGAGTGCGGGACCCCCCATCATCACCATCTTCGGTGGCTTACTCACTAGCTTTATGTATAGGCCGAGGAGTACAATGATCAACGAGCTGTAAGGACACAGTAGCGTGCGCTCGACCCCTCGACCCGTCTGACAATCCCATAACAGCCTAGGTTGGGGGTCAATGTTCAGCCTTGCGCGGTACGGTGAATCGTGGCGAGTCCGCCGTCGTGCTTTTTCGCAGGAATTCACCTCGGGGCGATTGACATATCAAAGGCCGAAGCAGTTACGCCACATCCATGGTCTCCTCCGCCGTTTACTAAAGGAGCCAAACGACTTCTTCCACCACATCAGCTAGTACGCACCTCAATGTACGATCCCTTATCCAGCTAACCCTCCCATAGTTCCTTGTCCACCAGCATTATTTCGATCGCATATGGCTTGGACGCCAAGTCCGAGAACGACCCCAATATCGAGCGCTGCGAAGCAGCAATTGGCCAGTTGAGCAAAGCTGCGATGGACGGGAATTATCTCGTTGACGCGCTACCGATCCTCAAGTACGTCCCTCGCTGGATGCCGGGTGCCGGCTTCAAAGCCTATGCGGACGAAGCTCGACCCAAAACTTTGGCAATGTTGGATGTTCCTTACTTCGAGGCTCTCAAACGAATGGTGAGGCGAGGCGCAATGTACACGTCCATCATATCGTGATATATTGACGCATGCATGACCACTAGGGCGAGGGAACAACCGAACAAAGCGTAGTTTCCTCTTGTCTGGCCAAGGTCGATCATTCCGGCGAAGGTCCTCCTGCAGAAGAGATTGCCAGAGACGTCGCTTCGATTGCCTACCTAGGTGAGAAATAAGAAATTCGCTTGTTTGAGTAACATAGCCTAATTGGAGAGCAGGCGGGTCGGAAACATCGCATCTGGCATTGAAGACATTCTTCGCTGCAATGCTCCTGTATCCCGACGTGCAACGAAGGGGCCAGAAGGAGCTTGACGCCCACGTCGGCTCTCAGCTCCCCACGTTTGACGACTTGCCTCACATGCCATACATACATGCGATTATGTTCGAGGTATTGAGGTTCGTCAATGTCTGGACCTTGTTCGACATAGCCACTGATACTTGCACATAGATGGCAAGCAGTACTCCCGTTGTGTCAGCACTCCTCTGCTCCACCCAACATATCATACTCAAAATGCATTCCAGCGATTGCACATCGGCTCACCGAAGACGATACTTACAACGGATATCATCTACCGAAGGGCGCCACCGTTTTCGCCAATACTTGGTGCGTCTCTTCAAACCGCTCACTTTCGGTCTCAACACCAAGTAAATAATATCAGGGCTATACTATCCAGACCCCGATAGGTTCTTCCCCGATAGATTCCTGAAGAATGGTAGAATTGACCTCAAACTCTGCGACGTTATGCCAAACTTCGGCTATGGGCGCAGGTACGCAATACGTCTCGTTCGACGGTTAATGTCTCAATATCCCCCGTTAGGATATGTCCTGGGCGCCACTTTGCCATGGACTCGCTTCAGATGTCGATTGCCTCAATTTTGACGGTCTTCAATATCGAAAAAGCAAGAGACAATCATGGTCAAGTTATCGAACCTGACATCAAGTATATTTCCGGGTCTACGAGGTGCGTGTTCGTCTCACAAAGGCATCCATGCATTATCTTACACCGCTCCGCAGGCATATCCGCCCATTTAAGTGTGCAATTACCCCTCGCTCTCCAGGGGCCGAGAAACTCGTAAACAACGCCGACCTCTTGTAGTGTATTTACTACTGTGCGTGTTTCTCGGATAAAGTGCTCCGTACTACCCGAAAGCGTAGACCTCATGAAAGAATATGCAACAGAACCTCTGTAACCTAGATTAATGGAAATCTCGTCAGCGAAAGAGGATATGCCGCCGCGCAGCTCGAGTGAGGTCGGTATGATGCCGAGATTAGCGATTATGGACCTCACAGAACGCGATCGCTGCGCAATGTAATGCTTTACAAGACTACGCTGGTGTCCGTTCAGGCACCGTTCAACGTATCTTTGGCTCCGCGTATCTCTTCTGGGGTACCGATAGGGGCCTCCTTAGCGCTGGAAGTGTCTCCTAGCGCTCGCAACGTCGAACGCCGCCAGCCTCCGATGTTCTGGAAAGCGTTTCAGCCCAGGATCTCAACACAAACCCACCACGATGCGGCAACCGCGCAAATAGACATCGATCGTCTTCTCCATTCTTTGCTCGATCGACCATGTGCTTGCCACGTTCCACGACACGTTACAGGAGTGAGCTGTTAGAAGTTTAGACTTCGACCGACGTTAGTGCAACCTCAGTTGATCATTCGTGGCGAACGGGGATGTGCGGTAAGACGAAACGCGGCGCTCGCGTGTCTATTGTTCCCCTCTATGTGGCTGGTGGCAGATCATGGAAACCCAAAACGTCTCCATGGAACAATCTGGTGCCCTACTAAGGTTGGGTGGCTGACGAACCCATTGAAGGCAAGCGCAGTCTAGTCGTCAAAGACTTCCCTAGCGCTCAAGTTCGGAACGAATTCATTCCACGTGGCAAAGTGTTAACCCCGGTAGTAAGGTTGGCAATGGTGTTCCCGAGAACCGAAGGTCACCGACGCGACGGAATCAGATCAGGAAAGGCGTGCCTCCCGATTTGCGCCGATGGCGCTCAATGGTTCATTGCCGATATGAATACAACACGCGCCATGTGCGTACCGGAATAGAAACGTCGGAGGTTGCTTCTAGGCAGCTAAGCAGCGAGCGGTACTCACAAATGGGAATTCTAGGTAAAATGGAATGCCCCCAAGTGAGCTGGACAGGCCCGAGTAGTATCGATTTCCCAAAGGGATGATGCTAGTACCGACCTCTGCAGGGGGATGGAGCCACCGTGTGCCTTCAAAATTGAAGGAACTGGAGCCCCTTAGTCGCTTGTGCAAGGCTTGCCGACAAATGGCGTTCCTCAGTTGAGATATCGTCTCGCACAAATTCGACAGAACGAGCACTGGTGTCCTGACATTCATCAAACAACTTCAGCTAGCTATGCGAATCATTTGGCGGGCACTTACTGTAGCAGCATTGCCTGTGGACATGAGCCTACTTGAGTTGCCATTTCATCAGCGACAGTGATGCTCAGCGAATGATGGATTGAATTGCGGCTGATCACATGATACGGAGCAAACGTTTGGGCGCTTGCTTGTAGGCAACCACTCCGCTTCCTCGCAACAGTCGCAGCTCACCGAAGGACTGAGGCATTGCTCAGACGAAGGGGTAGGAATGGCAGGGGCTGCTTCGGAGTACTTGAAAACATCAATCATCCCGTTAGATGATATCAATTACCAACTCCGTGCGCAAGACACCAGCGTTCGCGTTCAATCAGCATTCGGGAGTACGATATTGTGCTACCTCCAATCCTGGAATCTCCATGCTGCTGGCAGTCTAATCCCTTTAACTTCGGGTATCCGTATCCTGCCGATTTCTTGAGAGTTGTGAGCTCAAACATCGTCCGGATGCAGCACCGCGACTCACATTTTTCGCAGAAATGCGTCACCGCCAAGTAGTGCACGATGTTTAAGATGCAGGCTTTACCAGGCAGTGTATCTGCGATCCGCGTGGGCTTGGATGTCTTGACGAGGTATGTCTCGTTCGCTCTCCAGAGTTCCTAAGAAGCGCTGATCACCATAGGTAGAGTCAGGAAGTATACCCTTTGGGGCTAGCCGTAGGTATTCAAGTAGGCTAGGGTCGAATGCGATCGACGAAACGGTGGCTGAGAAAGAGAGATCAAGTCTCAGAACCGTGATCCGATGGGTATACATACGTCTTTGCAACCGATGGTACATTCCAAGGTTAGGATTCAAAGTCGTCTACGCTGTGTCCAGACGAGTATATTAACCTAGGAATCTACGTTCTGTTGTCATCATTCTCCCCAGCAGTTCAACAGTCGAACGCACTCCAACAACCAGACCCAAGTAAAACCGAACGATCTACAATGTACACCAACAACCCCTACGCACAAGCTGGCTGGCCCAACGCCGCCAACCGTGGTAGCCGAAGCAGTAACGAACCACCCGCCTCGACGTTCGGCGCACTTCCATACTACGTCCCTCCGTCGCAGACAAACACGCTCTTCTTCCAATTCACCTCGTTCAGTCCGGACATCATGAACTGCACCGTTCTGGGCCCACAAAATCAGCCGTATTTCCGCGTCATTACCGATACGCCTACTCCGGGATTTTCTGTCCTCCAAAATGGACAGGGGAAAAACTTCGCCTTCATCGAGTGGAGGAGCCACCCACTCATCGATATGAAGGGTGTTGTGCCTAAGCAACGCATTGGCGACTGGATTCCCCTTTCCTCGGATAAAAAGTGAGCCTGGGTGTTATGTCATAATCCGGCCGACTCTGATCCATTCTTCTAACTTAGGTATCGAACAATGCGAATTGGAGATAAGCAATATGCGTGGGTGCCTAACGGCCAATATATTTCCGTAAGAGGCTTCATTTCTGGGGTACAACATAGTGTTCACGCCGTTATCTAGCTAACGACTGTGGGAAACGGTCCTCCAGAGGTTCTCGCCAAGGTCTCTTCGAATTCTGGTGTTGTATTCCTTGAAGTGACGAGCCAGGCTATCAACCTCGGTCTTCTGGAAGCCTCGGTCGTTGTCACTCTACTCCTCATGTGTGGACGCAACGTAGATTAAAGTGCAGAGCGTCTGATGCATGCGTATGCCTCAGAACTAGAGCTCGCGAAGGCTTCAACACGCCATGCCCCCTCCTCATCGAATGTAGCAGTATTCTTCCCCTCCGCTCCTCATTATTGTATCTATTAGCTCGATTTATCTATTTTTGTTCTAGATCATATACATTATATCCTATAATAAACAACCGGTCTTTTCAATAACCTTGGGTCTGTGATCGGATTCAATTCAACACCATTGTCACCGTTGTCAAATGCGCGGAAAGGTTGAACAATGTTGGCATCACGGTGATTCCCCTTGGACGGCTGTACGAGTCTATCATCCCGGCGGTTGGGCGGCAACGAGGTTGTAGGGGAGATCGGCGTCCATGTCGCTCTGCCATTGGTGGCATCGACTTCCGTGGATACCGTATACCGAAACTCGAACTCGAACTCAGTGGATTTCGTGCATGCCACCAAGGATTGAATATAAATCATTGCAGTGTGTCTGCCACCGTTCGTGGAGCAACTCAGATGGCCGCGAGGGGGTTCTACCAACACTCTGATGATGCCGACATAGCTCTCGCGGGTATCGCAGGGACACCATTGTGCTGACACGGTAAATCACAGCTGTAGAGATGACTCTGAAAGAAGGGCACTATATTGGTGTGAAAAGAAGGGCGCTGAGCGTCTGCCGCCTAGAACGGCTGACAGCCGATCACCCCAGAATGAAGCGTCACAATTTACCGCAAGATTTTGGTACGTATCACAGGCCACCACCTAGTCGTCGAAGGAGGTCGAAGGCCACTGCTTGCGCACCCGTGTGCGTGACCATCAGAGAACTCATCTAGGAGGCAAAATACGTTAAAATGTAGAGAGTGGTAAAGGTGCCGGACTCACCACATGGGTAGTCTTGGAAGCGTCCAGGTATCAAATAAGCGGGTCGGTTAAACGGGGGTTGGTGGGCCTTTTGACTCTACTTCGAGTAAAGACGTCTGATGGACCAGATAGAATTTTAAAACCCATCTATAAAGTCCCTCTACCCTCTCGTATATCTCGCCTTCGAAGGCTCCAAGAACCGTTGAGTAGAACGTTGAGTACAGACCGTCCTATAGTGGCTCACTCGTGTCTAAGAGGCTACGTGAGGTATTATCCTTCGGCCAATCCCCTGACAATCATACACTGTGTACGCTGGAGTACCAGGAACAAAGGTCGAGGAAAAGAGCGATGGAGAAAAGGTATGTGCTCACATAAGTAAATGGAGAGTTGAAACCTCCAGGCGCTGGAACCCCAAACGGCGCCTACTTGGAAATAGCTGGTAAAAAAACTACCTATCAAGACTAAAGGTTAGTTGATCGGGCGTCTAGTAGAAAGGAACGGACCGATTGGTCTCGAAGCTTCGCCAGAACTCAGGTAGATCCTGCGATATGTTGCTCGTAGTACTGCCCTAAAGGCATTGAAATTATCCATCAGTGCAGGTATACCAATGCTATCGGCGACGGGCCTTAGCATGCATTCGAAGCGGGAGGGAAACAAAAGGCGCCCATACTTGCACTGCCCTTGCCAGTTTATACTGAACCAAGCGGAACCAAACAGCTCTTCCTCATCTCCTAAACAGCAGCACTAGGTTTCTTGTTTCTCCGGCGGCTTGTCTTTTCATTGCGACGCTAGGTATGGTCCGTCTATTTTAGACCTCTAGACCGTGGAATCTGACCGATTCCTGACGTGCAGTCTTACTGCCAGTAAGTCTTCTGAACGTCGCAAACCGTGTAACATACTCACTTTTTTATAAAAGGCTAAGATCCAAGGCACGGGACAGCAGTGAACGACGGAATTACGGTGACACTAGGAGGACTTGCTGGTCGACTCGCGGCAAGCCACGAAGGCGGACCCGCGTGCCAAACCACTCATTCCCAGAAACGAACGTATGCGAGCGTGCCTTTCCGTCGATCATACTGACCACGTTCAGGCCAGAAAACGTTGGCCACGTTCTCGGAGATATCCCCCCCCAAAAAATATCAAATTCCAGCAAAACATGCAGGGATGACGGATCGGCAAGAGTCCTATGCTGGGGGCACCCCGTCGGGGCCGTGAAATACAAAAGCAGAACAAGAGCAAATCACGATGCCGGTACGTCCAATATATTTTAAGTACAAACGCTGATACTTCCCTTATCATCTGGGACATATGCCACAATTTCTGCGGTCGCGTCGTTGAATTGGCAAATGATGCGAGACAGGTTGCATGCTTGACGCTTCACCGAGAGATCCTCCACCCTGACCGCTAAAAACCGAAATATTACAACGAATTCCCGACGTTCCGGCCTTTTCTCCGCGTTTTCAAGCCGCACAACATCGTCTCACCGCGGATGAACGTACTGGTCGATGCATGCGAAGATTCCTAGCTGTATATAACCGCTCCACAAATCGCAAGACCGTGGCTACGCGTCATAGGGCAAAATAACGCAGATTAGAAAGTCAGATCTCTTCCGTCTGTCAGGCACGCCACGGGGAGCTGTGCCTAGATAAGTACGAGATACGTCTTGATGTGATGCTTTGACGACTTGCACTTACTTCGGCATTGGTTCAGTTTGTATCCTTGAACGATCTTTGCGAATCGGCCAGTGTGGGTGTATTGTCTCCTTTTATTCACAGACGTACGTACTGATTACATTTGTTGCCCAGTAACTAATTGTTTTGAGCGTCAAGAACGTAGCGTGGGTTTTCCGAATGCTCACAAGGTCGGTCAACTGTTTCCCGGGCGATGTGTAATCGTGTTACGGTAATTGTGGTGGGCGGGTCAGCTGAGCTACCCTACAACAGAATTCCCATTGTTTCTTGGTTTTCGAGTCCGTTTTCCATGGTGAGAGGGTGGCGGCTATGGATAGCACAACTCGTGTGTTAATTCGTGTGCTCCGGATCCATCAGCAAGGGCGTTCTCATTGCTTTGAAGATACCATTCTTAGACACGCGTAGCGAATCACCACAGGCCACATCCACGATGGTTCTTCGCTTATTTCTATTGTCGACTCGACTTCGAACCAATTGAGAGTTCATTAATCTTAGCTCTAATGTCACTCGCGTGAGCACATCAGAACCGTCGAAAGAACGCCATCGTTCCATGCGAGCTGGCTGCATAACCTGATGATAAGATAGATATACCCAATTCTGCTGCTCGCACCCCAAATGTTGTATATGAATGTTCGGTGAGGCGCACTGACATGCCCGCAGGCGATCGATCTCAAGCTGAACCGTGCGGGCGATCTGAGATGTTTTAGCGACACGTCCAGTTCGCAGCATTACATGGCATATCGTATTGGAATTTACCCCATATCTGCGGTAACGACGGGCTCGGGTGTAACATCCCCCCCTATTGACTTCGATTCCCTCCTATTATTATGCCGACGGTCTGATTTGTCGCGGCACCGCTTGCCGCTTGCCAGCAATCTCACCAGACATACGTGTTAGCGATGATACCGTGTACTATGCATCAGTGATGCCTACAGAGTGATACGGATCAAGAAAAACGAGGCAGCGTCCACAGAGCATAGGCAAACTCGTATGTTTGAACACGCAATCACCATCAAGTATCAAGTATCAAGCATCGATATCGTCGTGATTTCATGATTTACTGCAGGACAAAATCAGTATCGAGGATTGATGTATTGTTCTTGTTTCGAAACACAAATCCGACATGTCAATCACATCGGGACTTGCGAGCAGGGAGGAATTCCCAAAACTCCCAAACAAAGCGAGGGCTGAGCCCCTCTGATAACGGATCCAACAACACACTGAGAATCATTTTCGTGCTTGGGTTGTTTCGTGGCGTCGCGGTAAACATCAGCTTGTGAATCGAGACAGCTCGTCGTCTAGTTTGAGCTAGGACGGACAATAATCAGGCAAACTATCAGACTATCAGACGAGTTGCACAAGTGATGGGTGATGGTCTCGAACGGAGTGGAGAGCAAAACAAACAAGAATCAATTGCAAATACTCCTAAGTACGCGTATATAACCCAAAAGCCCTACAAGAAAGGAGAAAGCCAAAGCCAAGCGATAATTGATATCAATAAGTACGTTATGTACCCCAGATGATGAGATGAGAGATGGAGAGATGATATTGTGTGCGTGCAGTGGTATGTGCATGTGTGACGTATATATGTTTGATTGGAAAACAACACAGAGCCCGAGAGAAAAAAAGAGAACGAACAGTCAGAGAGTCAACGAATAGATAACGAAGGACGTCAACAAACTAAGGAGTAAAAACGCTAGTGTACTGAAGACGAAGCGGAAAAGTAACAACTAAGAACTAGAGGTAACGGTAATATGTATATGGAATAGAATAAGGGTATGTGAATACAGTAACCCGGACCTCCGAGAGAAGAAGACCAAGATGATGAACACGAAGACGAAGGAGGAAGTAATCAAGAGTCCCGTGGGCGGTATAACGGTATCACAGAAATAAAGTATATCCAAGAACGAAACGAAACGAGCGAAAGGGGGCGAAACCAACGAAAGGCGACGCGATATAGGATACGAAATATGTTATACGATATGGATGAGATAGGATGTCCGCAACATTGCCGAGTGCTGATATTACAACAACTTCCTTTTCTCCTACACCCCCGCTCCTACTCATACAACCGAACAATCAGACAACGGACGTTTCAGCAGTCCAGGAGTTCAACATGACCCGGGGTCGGATCCATCGAGCGAGGGCGACGCCTCGCCATACATCTCCGTGCCATACGCGTCACCGTGCTCGTACGCGGGCGGCGGGGGCTCGTAGAATGGCGAGGCAGGCGGCGGGAGGTGCTGATGCTGATGGGGCAGCTCAAACGGCGATCGCGCACCCTGCTGATGCTGATGCTGGTGCACGAACGGCCCCGCCACATACTGCATGTCGGTGTCAGGCGAATGAGGAAGATGCGGCGAGTGAGGCGCGTGCACCAGCGCGAACGGCGATGTCGCCGTGCGGGATTGGCGCAGCTTCTGTTGGTGCTGGAGATGCTGCTGCTGCATCTGCGGGCTATGGTGGTGATGGTACCGGAACTGATGCCCTCCACCACTGCCTCCGCCTCCTCCTCCATTTCCTCCGCCTCCGCCTCCACCACTTACATTACGTCCACCGGCCCCAGAACCGAAGGAGCCGCCGTTCGAGCGGGCGTAGGGCGACGGCCCGTGGCTGATAGTAGACGCAGGGGACGACGTCCCGCTCGCACTTCCGCCACTCCCTCCACCTCCACCTCCACCCCGTGTTGACGAGGATGAAGCCGACGACATGCTCGCCGCAGAGTCCGGCTGCCCACCCGCACCACTTCCACCGCTGATAGACCGCGTGAGCACGAGCTCGGGCGGCGGGGGCGCCCTCCTGCTCCCGTTCAGCGATCCACTACCTCCACCTCCTTCACTTTGATGCTGCGTCTGCGTCTGCCTCTCGCGGTCGATCAACGCCAGCGCGCCGACACCACTCGCCACACCCCCGCTGCTCGTCGTTGGCCTGCTTCCTCCACCACCTCCACCGCCGCCGAGCAGGTACGCACCGAGCCCAGTCGTGTTGAGGGAGTTGGAGGCGTTGGGGTTCGACGGGTCGTTGCACAGCTCCATGACGCTCAATCTCCGCGATTGCGGGCGCGAGTCCGAGCCGTAGTCGTACGGCGCGTTATTGCTTCCCGAGGCATTCGAATTCGAGTTATTTGCGGAGTTGTTGTTATTGGAGGCAGACGAGGAGGGGTCAGAGAGAGACGACAGGAGACCCGAAGCTAGACACACGAAGCAGAAGGACATGAGCATGAGTTTGTGTGCGTGAAGAGGATAGGGTGAATGCGCAGCGCAGCGCTCGGCGCAGTGGAATAGACGGAGTGGAGGAGGGAAACCCTAAACACGCAGCACAAACGCATACTCACCTGTCCCAGGTCGTCCGCCAAAGCCACCGCCGCCGCCGCCGCCCAAACTCGCGAACCCGACGCCGAGGTACTCCTCCTCGCGCGCGCGCTTCCGGCCGATCCCCGGGCTGCCCCCGCCAGCACTACTCGAGCTCCCGTTGCCATTTGACGACGTCGACGGCGCATTGAACGAGAACGGGTTCGAGTCGTACGCGTCTCCGCCTAGCCCGCCCAGCCCTCCGAGCCCCAGCCCACTCAGCCCCAGCCCAGAGCTGCCGGGCCGCCCGCCGCTCAACGACCCCAAGCCAAGGTACCGCGACGCAGTCCCCGGCCGCGATCCACTGCCCCCCATCCCCCCATACCCACTACTGCTTCCCAACCCACCACTCCCCAGCCCGCCGAAGCCCCCGTATCCAAACCCGCCGCTGCCGCCGAGCCCCAGCGTGTTGAAACCCCCAAAGACGGCAGAAAGAGGCGGGAGGACCGTCCCGCCTGCAGTAGTAGGCCGCGAGGCGGTTCCGCCTAACCCGAGCGCTGCGAGCGACGAGGAAGACGCCGGGGGCTGGGAGCTCGAGTGTGGCGGGGAGGACGAGTGTGCGGTATGGGACTGCGTCGTGGTGCTAGAGTTGGACGCGTTGGACGCCGCTGAGGGCCGTTGGGGGGGCGACATCGAGCTGCTCGAGGTGCCCTCGCTCCCCGCGCGCACGCCCAGCCGACCAGGCGCCCCAGGGCCGGCGCGCGTAATCGAGGACGTCCTCCTGGCCATCTGCGGCCGCTCGCGCCTCACACCCCCACCCCCACCCATACCCACACCCCTGCCCGCACCGCGCTCCTCCTCCTCGCTCTCTCGCCTTTCCTCCTTCACCCCCACGCCCTCGTCCCCCTCCTCCTCCTTAAAATCCATGCCCGGCACACCGGCCAGGTTGCTCAGCCCGAACCCGCCGAGCGGGACGGGGAGCGTGTAGTTGCTGAACGTCGACGAGGAGAGCCCGAAGGCGGAGAGCCCGGACGAGCCGGGGCGCTGCGAGAGCGTGAACGTGCCGGTTGTGGAGGGCGCGGACGAGCCGGGGCCGCTGAGCGCCGAGGGGGTGTTGGAGGAGGGGGGCGGGGGTAAGGACGTGGCGGAGAGGGCGGCAGACGGATGGGCAGGCCCAGGCGTAGTCGACGGCGAGGTCGACGACGAGGACGCATGCGAGCCGTTGACTTCGTGTGTGTAAGCGCGCCCGCCGTATTGGTGGTTATGCTGCTGAGTTTGATGCTGCTGCTGATGCGCGTGCTGGGGGTGCTGTGGGTGTTGGGCGTGGTGCGGTGTCGGCGTCGGTGTCGGCGAGGGCGATATCCCGCCTACGCCTACGCCTCCTGCACCCGCGCCAGGCGCAGCGAGGTAGCCGCCGTCGACGCTGCCGCGGTACTCCCGAAAGGACTGCTGCTGCTGCTGCTGCTCCCGATACGCCTCGCGCCCATACCCCGCCTCGCGCGCGTAGCCCTCCCGGCCAGCATACACGCCATCGCGCACATACCCGTCCCTCGCATACGCGCCCCCGCTTTCCCGCCCCCCGCCATAGGTATCCCGTGCGTACCCACTCTCCCTGTTGTATTGCTGCGTGGAACTCGGGTGTGAGGGGTGTGAAGGGTGCGAAGGGTGTGAAGGGTGGTGGTACTGCTGGTGCTGGTGTTGGGTGTGCTGATGGAGCGTCGAGCCCGGCCGCGAGTGCGGGCTCTCCGACGTCGTCGATATAGACGGCGAGACTGATTGTGGGTGGTACGGGTGGTGTCCCCCATGCGTGTTTATATGCTGCTGCTGCTGCTGCTGGGCGTGCGGGTGATGTTGAGTCAGAGAAGCAAGGTGCTGAGACGGGTGGTGGGGGTGCTGGGACGCGTGTTGTTGTTGTTGTTGCTGTTGCTGGGACGCATGCTGGCCGTAGTGGTGTCCCTGGGCCGCATGCGGGTGATGTTCGTCGACGAACCCCATGCCCATCATGCCCCCGCCCATCATCCCGCCCATGCCCGCCATGCCCCCCGACAGCGTCGGCGACGGCGTCAGCTCGTCCATCCCCATACTCCCCCCGCCCATCATCCCGCCCATCCCCACGCCCACGCCCATCCCGCCCGATATCGGCGTATTCGGAATCGACTGCGCCAGCCCCGCCGAGAGCGGGATCGGGATCGGGGACGCTGCTGTCCGCGAGGGCGTGGCAGAGGGCGTTATCGACGGGGTCTGCGATTGTGATTGTGATTGCGATTGTGCAGAGGACTGGGAATGTGTGGAGGATTGGGCATTGGGGTGCCACGCGGGCGGCTGGTACAGGATGCCGCTCGATCCCGGGCCTGCGCTGGACGAGGTGCTCGCGCCGCTCACGCCCGGGCCGGTAGGGTGCGGGGAGTGCGTCTGCGCGTGCGGATTATGTGAGTAGTGGGGGTGGTGGGGGTGGGGGTGCAGGGAGGCGCGGAGGTCCTGCTGCTCCTGCTTCACGATGTTCATGCCCTCCATCTCCATCTCCATGCCCATATCCATGTCCAGCGCCATATACTGATCGTGCTGATCGTGCTGGTGGTGCTGCGGTCCCTGGTGCTGGAGGTGGTGCTGTGCGTGCTGCGAGGGGTGTTGGTGATACGACGAGTACGCATCGAGGTCGTCGCTGTCACGGCGCTCTGACAGGGCGTTGGAGTGCGTGTTTGGGAGGGAGGGCGGGAGGAGAGAGGTCGGCGAAGAGTCCGAGTTCGTCGGGGATTGCGAGAGCGGGCCGACGCCGTTCATCATGCCCATGCCCAGCCCCCCCATGCCCATCCCACCGCCTATGCTCATCGGCGCCGCAGCTCCTCCCCCGCCTCCTCCACCGACCCCTGCTCCCAGTATGCCCGCACCCAGCCCGCCGCCGCCGCCCCGCGCCCCCCTGCGCCCCCCGCTCGCCTTGTTCGCGGCGGCCATCGTCGCGTGCAGGCTCGTCAGATCGCGCATCATGCGCTCGTTCTCCTCCTGCTTGTCCGCGTGCACGGTCTGCGCGTGCTGGCGCAGGTTGTCGAGCCTGGAGAACTGCTTGCCGCAGTGGCACGTGAAGGGGCGCTCGCCGGTGTGTTTTCTGGGATGAGAGGGGGTTAGTATGACGAAGCGAATGGATGAACGGCGACGGGGGGAGGGGGGGGTGTAAAGTGGAGAGGGGGCAGGGGGGGGGAGTAGGCAGGGGACAGGGAGAATTGATAGCCAAGGTTGCAAGGAGGAGAGGGAGACGCACCGTATATGCCTGGCCAGATGCTCCGAGCGGCTGAACACCATCCTGCAATCGCCATAGCCGCGGCACTGGAAGGTCTTCGCCGGGGCGGGGCGGTACCTCCTCGCGGCCGACGCCGACGCCGACGAGCTTGCCCCGGGGTGTTGCTGATTGAGGTGCTGTTGGTGGTGAGGGTGGAGCATCGTTGCGGTCATGCCCGCGTCTTCGTCCTTGGGTTTGGTGTCGGAGGAGGAGGGTGCTGATTTGGGTTTGGTGGAGCCTGATTTGGAGGAGGAAGGGGTGGAAGAGGAGGCGGAGGGATCGGAGGGGGGGACAGGATGATGTGATGGGGAAGAGGGGCCCGACTTTTTGAAGTCCATGCGCATTAAAACGCAACTCAGATATGTAGTCGGGGCGAAGGAAGGTGTGTTGAGATTTGATTCGTGAAAAGACACACGGGAAGTCGGGATCACGAAAAAGAAGCGCGAAGGGATGTCACAGCTGCGATGATGTCCCAGATGGCTTGAGCTGGCTTGCACTTGAAGACGGGCTACGATAATCTGTCACCAGTCAGATGTCTCGTCCACACAGCGAAGCAGAGGTGTATTCAGTAGATGTATACTCACATTATGCCGGCAGATATCTGCGTTCGTCTGTTGAACCCTCGGTCTCGCTGGGACCTCCTTGTAGCGTCGTTAACTCCTAACGCCCTTGGCCGTCGTCGAGTATTCTATGCCCCGTCGAACGCTCCGTCGTCGCGCAGAGGTTTTGCGTCGATGCGATTCGGGAGTAAGGAGCTAGGAACGAGAGATGGTGAGTAAGATTTGGGGGCGGTTGGTTCCTGAAAATTCTCTGTTGAGTAAGTGCCTTTTTACTAAAATACTAAAAATTCAACCCGCCTCCCACCCATTCCAAGCCGACCCGATTCACCAGCTCGCCAATTCGACTCGCTTAGGGCTTGGGAGAGTTCGAACCCCGCTCTGCGCTATGCAAAAACACGCAGCTCGCAGACAAGCGAAGCGAAGCAGAGCAAAGAGATGATCAGCCCGGTTCGCAGGGCGGTTTAGCCTTTCTGCCCCTTGCAGGCCCACTTGGCCATACGGGCATACGGGCTTTATGCCGGCCAGGCACCACGCGATCCCGCGATCTGGCTTCCTCCCTCTTTCGAACTTTCCTATTCCACGAGCCCGTTCGGCGTATGGGTTTATCCGCTGCGTATCGCGACACGGGCGAGGCGAATCTCACTCACCCAAGTTCGAGTTCGAGTTCGAGTTCTCTGCACGCGGAAACATATCGAAGCATAACGACATTACCATCGTGCTCAGCGACTCGTCTACGCCCCTCTTCCCTTTCGCTACTCACCCCTTACCTCACTATACACATTCTCTCGCCGTCAAGGAAGAGGAAACAGAACACAGAACACAGAACTGAGAAGACCGAAAATTGTGTTTACGAAAACTAGATCACGAATTCGCTACAAATCGCAGACGGCAGACGGCAGACAAATCACGGAATCGAAATCACGTCCATCGAAACCAAAAATCAAAAGTCATCAACATCAATGATCAAAACCTTGACTGCTTGACCAAGACAAGACAAACGCAACCGCAACCGAAGACAAGACAAGCAACTCGCTCCCGAGCGCCTACAATTACGATCCTCTGCAATCAGTTATCATATCATGATGTCGCTCCTCCATTCCTCCATCCGCGCGTCAGCAAACGTTTGTTAATTCATTCCTTCGTATCCAGAATTTCAGATGATGCACGTCCGTACGGCCTCGATCCATATCCTTTGTAGACGGAGTCAGAGTTGTGAGGATGTGGGCCTGTGGCTGTGGATAGTCGATCGTCGAGCGCGGAGAAGCGGAGGACGGAGGATGAACGCGATCGCCGTTCTTGGACGTACGTTACTCTATCCTCTACATAATAATTTCGTCCTCCAACACCAACACCACTACCATCACCAACACCAACACCACGATCATCCGGCATCCCGAGCAGCGGTCTGACCATATACGCCTCGTAGCACGTATCCTGGGGACACAGATACGGGCAATGGAATACTCAGATGCTCAAAGATATTCAGAGTGGATTGCACCCGCGCACCCACGTATCGCCATGTCGAGACAGCTGTAAATCATGAAGAGAGCATGGGATCATGGGATCATAGGATCATAGGATCATAGGTTACATCAGCACATCAGCGCATCAGTCCATCAGCACATCAGCTCAGCTCAGCTCCCTGTTCGCCAGCCACTCGATGCATATACAGCGTTCGATATAGCGATCACTAGCGTTACCCCCACGAACCTCATCTATACACTCACATTCACATTCACCTTGCGGCTGAAGCTTGACGCGTGACGCCTCCGAAGCGGAATTTTGAATTTACGTTCACGTTCGAGATCCAACTCGAAGTCCATCCGACGCGCTCGTCATCTCATCTCGTTATCCCGGTACAGCACAGTACAGCACGACTTCTCGTCATTGCTATCGTATACATAGCACATAGCACATAGCACATAGCACATAGCACATCGTACATGTTGTATATCATATATCATATCGTATATCGTATATGTACAAAGCTGTCGCCGAACGTTGACCTCCGAACGCGAACGCGAACACGAACTCACCCCGATCGTGCGATGTCCGTATGTCCGTTCGCAGCTGCACTGGTACAGCAGGTACAGCAGAGGGCCAAGGAACCATAACGTTAACGTTACCACCGTCCGAACGGACCCACAATACAACCTTATATGCATATGCATAGTATTGTGGCTGAAGTCTGCTCGAATGATCTGAACGCTACTACATACGAGTTCTGGGCTCTTGGTCTACGGTGTACCGGTAGTACGGTACAGCACACCGGTGCAGCAGAATTCCACATTCGCATCCAGCCTTGATAAACCAATAAATCAGTAAATCAATCAACCGATCACTCGATCCCATTCTCGTGTTCTCGTTCTCGTTCTCGTTCTCGTATATTATTATCATCACCGTCGTGGCTGAGCTCCAGTTCCAGACTCTCTGGACCATTCGAATCTCACCTTCGATACGCAGACACCCCGAAACCCAAAGTCTCCCGGGTGCACACGTCTATCTTATTGGCCTGTATTTCGAGACGTCGCGTTCTTTCTCACAGACCGTGCAGGTAATTGTAATTGTTTCGCGGTGTTCACTGTTGGCGTGTTCTAGGTTCTAGGCGTGTGGCTGGCGCACGAGTCACGTAGTCTGCTCCTCAGCGAAGATCGTTCGAACACTAGCCAGGGGCAGATGGCGGTGTCCTTGCACCTATCATAGATTCTTATGGGTCTTTGTGGTGAGAGCGTGGACGGAGTTAAAACGCGTAGACGCGTTCTAGGGATGTCAGAAGGGACGATCTTACACATACATATATATATTCACATATCGCGTCGTGGCTGAGAGCTCTGGACCCGTCGACTTAAGGTCTCACTGAGATCCCGTTGGCACATATTTAGAGGTAACGTTAACGTTATGTTTCTTTGTCTCTTTTGTCTCTTTTGTCTCTTTGTCCTGTGGAGCGAGGGTGGGTGTGACTCTGTGAGTACGATCGAGGGTCGAGGGTGGGGAGCTGTAACGCGACGAGGCCGTGAACACGACGAACGCGGGGAATACGGAGGCGTTCAGGCCTCGGGTTCTAGACGGTGGCTGATACCGGCTACGAGCGTACGTGAAATAGAAGTGAAGGGACGGTACTTACATTGCATTGGAAGTCGAACGCTGCACGCGATTGGCGTAGAGACCCACGCGATCTGAGAATCTGGCTAGGGTCGACGCGGTTGCACAGTTGCGCCGCGCCGCGGCCGGTGCGTTGGTGTAGACGGTGTCTCATTGGGTAGATGCGATGTTTGGACGCGAATTCTCGCTGGATGCGCACGGTCTCCTGCCAAGTTGCGGGTTTCTCGTTATCGAACACGCCATAATCTAGCTAAACGATTGGTTACTGTATTGGATATTGTATCAGCAGTCTATGAAGCGACGCACGAGCGAACTCACCGTCGCTCTCACCGCCCACCATCCAACGACCACCCGTTCGTAGTTCCAAGACCCCGATCGCGTCGCACTCCCCATTGAATTGAGTTATCGATTCAACATAATGGAATGGATTCATCCCATACGTACTCTGCGCTCATATCCTACGATATCGAAATGTCGATCGCAGACATCGAGGTTGACGTTGATGGTGCGCGCCAACCGGGCACGGACACTAGCACGCGCCTACGTGCTAGTGCTTATTCGACCAAAACTGCTAGCTTCATAGGTAGTGAGTGACTACTCTGGGCAAATCGATGGAGAGGGATTTCGACTCGCAAGACCTTGCGGTACATACCTCCGTGCGATCGTTAGTGTTGATTCGTTGATCGGAGGATCGGAGGATTGGAGGATTGGAGGATTGGAGGATTGGAGGATTGGAGAATTGGAAGGTGGAAGGTTGGAGGCCACCACTCGCCGTTGAGTACGACGTCCAGGAGAACAAACGGTAATGATCGTGAAGGTTGGGCTTGATGCATTGATGAGCCGAGATCCAGGATTGTTGCAGTTGGATGCGGTTGGACGACCGTGGACGCGCGCGTTGAATCGGTAGGATCAGATTGAGTTGTTGAATAGGCGCCGCCACTGCCCTCCCATAGGTGGTATGATGCCGTTGATCGTGCGCACCAGCCGGCCACGGCGAAGACCTGCTTTCCTACTCGTTATACAGTAGCGATAACTCATCAGAGTAGTCTTGGAGACTCTTTGAGCAACGAGCCTGAGGTACTTACATACCCTCCTGATCGTTCGTTGGAATTGATTTATGCGACCACTCCCAGTGCCCTGCCTACGACTGGACGATCACGATGTAAGTACCAGACGATGATGGATGGTTGACCACGAAAGGTTGCGTTGAGATCAGATTGGCGCCGGAGGAACGGTTCAGCTCACTGCCCCACGGTCCCACCCACCCTGAGTCGCATTATTTACCACCCATCCCCCGCGCTGCGGTTCGCGTTCACTCGCTCGCTTGAAAATCGGGGGTTGGAGTGTAATTCGTAATTCGTAATTAGTAGGAGACTCATATCTTATTCGCGCCGCAGAGAGTCCAGACAAACGCCTCCATCCTCCGCTCCAAGCAGGCTCCGCCTCCGGTGTCCATCATATCCAGAGTCTAGACCCTCTGTGCATGAACTCAGCCAGCTCAGCTAAAGCGGCGGCGGCGTCTACATCAACTCAGCATCAACAACCTAGCTCGGTGCATCATGCATAGCCCCCCAAAATTGAAAAGCATCAAACTCTTCGCCCGACGGGTCGTATCAATCTCCATTCAAGCTTGAACGAGAGGGTCCGAGTCGGAGCAGATCAGGAGATCAATCACCCATCATCCCATCATCAGCACTTTGATAACATGATAGGTGATAAGTCCGGGTGGTGATTGAACGCTGGCGGAGAGGTTGTGTGTCGTGAAACGCTCGAGAGTCGATAGTCGGTGTCGGTGGGGACTTGTATTCGGATTTCAGATTTGATTCCGTTGTCATTTAGGCTGTTCCCGGTTTGCAAACGTTATGGGGACCGTTGGCGAACATGTATCCTAGTATACGAGTGTGAGGTTGACGTCGGCCTCCACCCTATTTGACAGTGCGCAGTCGCCACGGTGGCGAGGTAAGGTAAGAATAGAGAATAGAGAACTCGGAGGCTGGGCTCAGATAGGCGTACCCCGCTCGACACGGTGCTCGTAATGCTTCATAGAGACATGTTGAAATTCACTTATTTCAAGATCAAGGTTGGCTCACCAGTTACGGCTCATAAGTTTATAAGTTACGGCAGACGGCGAGCGACGAGCGGGATACCTATGGTTCAATTGCATTAGACCAAACGGGCAAATCTTCGAATTTCTCCCTGCAAGTGACGGCGGATTATGAACTGGGACCAAGGATATCATAACATCATTAGACCATACGGGCAAAGTAAATGCTGAACGGGCTCGAGAGACCTACCCAAGGCTGGGCACAAGCACAAGTGGCACAATTCAAGCTAGCAAACATTGGGATTCTGTGAAAATCCCGCACATGGAAGCAAACTAGACGTAGCAACGGATCCTCCGTCCCACACACAACATACACTCACCTCCACTTGCGCCTACATGCGCCCCAAACTGATCGCGACATTCCGAACCTCCGTTCCCGACATCTGTACCTGTAAATCCTCCTACTACCAAAGGAAGCAATTATCAAGGCACCTACACGAGGCTCTGTTCCTATGTACGCATCACCGCATTGGTACCAGGGGAGGGAAGGAAAGGGGAAAGGGGAATGGAAGCAAAGAGTCGTGTGTCTGTGGAGCAACCAGGATCTAAGGCACAGAGTTCGGTTATTGGCCAGCGCCCACCCACGAGAGACGCCGCAATTACATGTACGGATACGGACGTATGGGAAGACGAGTATCGTATATCGGTGTGCGTTGTATGAAAGGTCCCATAGAAGGTGCGCAGTGAAAAGAGGAAGGTATATAGGACCGGTCGAGCTGGGTCGTATACGTGTATGTGTATGGTATGTTTAGAATGGAAGAGAATCGTGCGTACATGTGTAAGATACAGGATGGAAGCTAGTTCGTTGGCTAGGCACCGATACATAATGAGTAGATACTATGCGTTCGAAAATGTCCAGAAATTATCCGATGTAGACGGAAGTATATCAATGCGTGAAAGGAAAAAAATAAAGTAAACGGAGGCTCCTACACACGGTGCCTACCACCACATTCACTGCTTTTCGCGATCATCGCAGTTAATGACCGCGATCGTACAGGTGGTGTGGCTTCCGAGCTTAACGATCCTTCATAACAAGGTACATCCGTAGTGGCGCGGTCGTGTGGTGGCTGTAAGTAGCTGCCAGAGCGGTAGCGCGCTGGTAAAAGCTGGTACCCCTGGCATGCTTCGGTACCGCAGAGATAATCAGGGCCTACACGCTGAACCGACTGCGTGATCCATGATCGCTACACAGCGGCTCCGCGCGTGCACTAGGCGATCGTGTGTGATCGTCCAGGAACGCGGAGGCGCAGTTAAGGTCTCTATGCGTGCGGGCGCGTGCTGGTAAGTTCATTCCGTAAACTTGAAGGACACTCGATATGGATATGCAGGAGTACGTGTTGCGAACAAGGGTGGCTGATCATCGATGAATGCGCAACACTCCCGTGAGCACTGGGCGGACTAATGTCTTACAGCTCCTCCATGTTCATTGTATTGGGGCACCATTTGGAAAGATTCTGAACGTAAACCGACGAATCAGTCATTGGGATCACGAGGTAAAGAGAACCCGTACAGGTAAGAAATCGAAATACCCACGTAGCTTGATTCCGTGATCGAGACGGAGACTCCGAGCCAGGCACATAACCCAACGATCCTACAAAAACGCACTAAAACATCCTGCACTGCATCCGCCGTATGGACCCATATGGTATCATTACGATAGCGTTTTCCAAAACGGCTGCCTGGCCTCCACCACCCGGACGTTTTGCAGAATTTTGATCATAAACTCAGATACTGGCGCCGGCGCAGGGGCCGCTGAGTCCTTGTAGTAATGTCGCCTGAGAACCGAACAAGCTCCGAGCCGCCGTTGGTGAGCGGAAAGAATTTGAAAGAGTCCCGTCGGTGCGGGCGAGGTTGGACACAATCTTGCGGGCCTCCCGTCGCCGCGCAGGAATTTGTCGTAGAGAGCGCCATGGACAAGACGCTAGTTACGAAACGTTGTATGTCATGGTGAATTGCTGGCGGTCGCCAACGTTCTTGCCGCACTCGTGGTGGCCCGTCTACGTGGTATAGAGCTGGAAAGTCGTTGAGATCCCTGGGGAAAGCGCCGACGCCGACCAAAGGCCGCAGGAGTGGGTAGCATCGTTACGTAAGCAGTCGGTCCGATGCACCACCAACTACGCGCTGGGACCGTTCGTTCACCATTGGGGAAGGGGAAAATCTGTCGGTGCGGCATTGGGGCTACTGGTCGCCATCTGGTGGACTGAATTAGAGCATGCGCTCACGGCTGAACAGCGTTGGAGACTCGTTGGAGGCGGCTGCCGTGGGGGAGCGCTGGATGGAGCGCTAGTGGAGACGTTCTCCGAGACCCCAGATGACGCTTGTCAGCGATGACGGTCATAGCGACTCAGCCACTGGAGGACGATGCTAACATGTACTCCAAGGATTGGCGTCCATTGACCGAAGGCGGAAGTACTCCAATTGGGGTGGGAGGCGGCACCGTCATGAGGAACGAAGTGGGCGACAAGGTGGAGGATCGACGAATGGAGGATCACATCAACCGCCATGATCGCCCAATGATCACCACGGCAGGACGAAGAGGAGCAGGGCCTCTGAGGTCGGGGTAATGAGAGGTGTGGGCCTAGAACCCCATTACCGGCTTGGTTCGAGCTCACACCGCCGTAAGGGCTGGCAGCGTCGTGACGAGTGCGCAACGATCGTTCTGTTGAGGAAGAGGCACGAATAAGGGGCTGATCATTGTCTATTCACAACTAGCGAGAGACACACCGTCATGGAACACGACCACCGCTACGTCCGTCGTCCATCGTCATTGAGGAACCGCTTGGATGTTGTCTAGCATCATGCCAGTGTCCAAGGCGGCGAAGAGGCAATGGGGCGCAAGGAGCGTTACTGCTCATGGGTTACTTCGTAGTGAGTGGACGCGCCCTCCCTCTCGCCGTGACAGGGCTTAGCTCCTCGTCCGGGTGCAGCTACAGAAGGGAGTACATTGAGACCAAAACCGCGATGTGGAGGGTGCAGTGTCTGCGGGAGACGCGCATTCCCCCGTGGATTCGCGGCCCTACTGTCGGGGACCGTGGATTGCGGAAATAGTTCGCTGTGGCTAATTTGCGAACAGACATGAGTACATACTTCGAGCATGATGTTGCGCTGAATAATGATACTTACCCAGCGGACCTCCAGAAGCCGGGCCCTGGTGTGCATCGTCCGTGAGCAGATCATGATGCAAACCAGGGACAAACACATACCGAACCAAGTTCGATATATTTTCTGTGAGAGAGATAGCCTCGTGGACACATGTGTAGAGAACAAGTAGCACGATCGACGCCGGCAGTAAATTCTTTCGGCAGCGTACCTGCCCAGGTATTTAGCAATGGACTGCAGAGAATAGCATGCACATACGAACTGGACTGAGGAAAGATGGAGGCCGGACGAGAGAAAGTAGCCTAGATTTCGCCCCTTCGAGTTAGCACAAAGCATTGAATGTGAAAGCTTGACATACACGAGGCTACGTGGTGCAGCGGGTGTGCAGCTTCTGTATTGTTTACTCCCGAGACGAAAATATCAAGGCAGAAAGTAGCACAAGACCCCCCTGACAGATCCAGAGAACAAACAAAAACACGAAAAGGATCAAAAGCGCAAAGGCCGATAAACAAGTCGAAGCGATGATAAGACGGGGAAGTAGATCCGAGTGGCATTAACAAGCCCAAGGGTGATGGCGGACTCGCATTTTGCCCATTCTCGGAGGCGGCCGTACCGCAGAGAAGACTGGGGCTGAAGGGCGATGCTCGGACATCTGCAATCAATCGTGGCCAACAGGCTGGTTTGCGCTTTGCGAACCATTCCACTGTCCGCACACGCAAACGTTGAAGGGAAAATGATGATTGGAAAAAAGTCATAACGGAAGGTGGGTGTTTCCGAGAATCATACCACCAATCATATCGTTAGAAGGTGGTCCCCCAACCGATGTATGGGTCAGATGGTGCAGTCTGGCTACTGCCATTCCGAGAACAAGAGTCGCGATCGAGTGAAACGATCAAGAGTAAGCAAAGAGTGCGTGTTCCAGGCCCAACTGCAAGTACGATGCAGGGAACGGCATGTCCTGCAAGCCAATAATGAATTAGGACGATGAATTGATAACGGCGTAACGTACTTGATTAATTGACCCCCAAGCCTTGATGTAGACCAGACCGTTGGGCTACCCGCGATTCGCACCGTGTCTACCCACTGACCATCCACGATGTATTCTGGATGTAAGTGTCACAGAATGCCTCCGTCTTCCGGTGCTGGGTCAGTCTGGACCTGGCAAGGGTTCGCCTGTCAAATTCAAACCCATTGTTTCGACATCCCATTGGGCCGTGGCCAGGCGTGGCACTGTTCAGAGAGCCTATTGATTGGCAGATTCTTCGATGGGGATATTTTGGGCGTAACGTTTACAGTCAAGAGAGACAGCACAACTTCGTCCGTCGGGGATCTAGTACCTGGGACCGTCCAGGCCCACCTGAAGCCAGGGAAGAAGGAAGAAGCTGAAATGAAAAGGTTGAGCAGGAGGAAGGCAGTGCTGAGTTCGAACGCCACGAATGGTTCGGCTGAGCCTGAAATTCCTTACTCTCCGACACCGCTCGGCGCTTGATGCGGACATCTCGAAGTTGAACCACGAGTTCATCAGCTTCGTTCGTGAATCCGAGTCCATCTGGTGAGTTTTCCCCACTCAGCCCATAATTAAATACTGAACCCGAGTCTGCTGCATTTTCTGGTACAGTGCTTCCAGAAAGTAGATCTATGAACGTCTCCGTATCGCACGGCTGGATGATTCACCCAAGACCATGCCATGCGCTTGAAAACTCTAATTCACAACATATCCGCTATCCGATGCCTTTCGCGGTGTACGAGTATAGACCTTTACCTCCAGCCACCAAGGCACACCTCGGAAAGCAGAAGTAACTTGGTCACCCATCACGCCCTACCGCGTACGGGGATTATATACGAAAACTGAAAAGGTTTTCGCAGCGGTAAAGAAAATTCACTGACGCCATTGAATAGCTCCGTAATCTCTTGGCCTGATCGCCAGTAACGGGTACGCGCTAGATTTCATGGAGACAAAGCGGAGACAGCCCACCCGCTCCCAATGATCGCCTAAATCTCGCGGGGCGCACCAACTCTTACTGTCACGGAGGCCCCCATTGCAATACTCTTGTGACATTATGGATCGTATGCCGCTAACGAACGCGATACCATTTGCCTCCATTCCAGTAGTAGCTTTCCGCGGAATCAAAGGAGGGGGATTCGCCCGCCGATTTCCCCATGATTGATACAACCTCCTCCCATTTCAGCCGTCAAAAGTCCTCTTTCCGTTGGAGATGCACCCATAGAACGGCTCCGTAGCCTCGTGGTCCGTTCGCCGACAGTGGGGCCGGCAGGTTGGATCTCACACGCATCTTTATTGATCGAAGAATGTCACTGCCAACTGCCCACCTCAAACGCTACCGAAGCCGCCACGGCGAGACCTCAACGTTCAACGACAGCTCGATGGTGCCAAAATACTCATCATCTCCAGCTGGCCCGACGCTCCAAACACCAAACATCCCCGACCCACCAAGGAATCAGGATGTGCCCCAGTCGACGGCGCCTCATCGTATTTGGCGTCGACCATCCTGGGATAGTTTGTCATCACCACCACGTCCCCATCCCCGGGAAAAAAATAGAAAGGCGTCCATCGAGTCTTCTTTTCCCCAGCCTCGTCTCCTTTCTGGGCTATTTCGCCCCATCTGCATTGGCTGGATACCCCCGTTTGTCGACGACTTCGCCGCTCTTGCACCATTGAGGTTCGAAGGCATTTCATTTACTGTATTTCGTGGACCGCCGACGCATCGCTGGCTCTTGACCTCCGTTTCTGCCGTGAGTATCGATGTATCCTCACTGGAACGAACGCTAAGCTTGAAAACTTCGCCCCTGGTCTACTTATAGCGCTGCCATACGGTGAGTTGCCCATCACATACACGCGATTAACGTTTCGCTGAAACCCTTCCGTGGGATCACCGCCATAATTACCCGTTCGTGTCAGATGACAAGTCATTCCAATGGATCAGTGGTTCGTTTGTGCTGGAAGATAGGCCATTGAATATCATCGCAGTTTAATGTGTACACCGATGCCACCGAGATCGAACTAAGCCAGCAGGAGGGTGGGATTCAGGATTGACGGCGCCAGATCGAACCTAAGTGGCCCCCCAAAGCTTCACGGCTGGTTCGCTTCACTAGTCGGCAAGCCGTGCATGGAAATGATAAGAATCGAACGGAACAAAGCCCCTAGCCAGCGAAATACGAACGGACCCGGTTCGAGCTTTCTTTCAATATTGCGCAATATATCGTGCGCGTCCGTTTTGCTAACTGACAAGTGAATACTGGACTTCTATGTAGACGAGCCTACCGCAAACGATTTAAAGGAGAACAAGGTCGTTAAATTCGCAGTGCGAGTGTCGTTGCACGCGTTGCGTGACGTGGGCTTGATGGATTGCCTTATATCGCGTGAAGATCAGGACCATTTGCCGACGTCTTGTGAGGCTGGGTTCCAAGGCAGTTGGATAGAATTACGGGAACCTGTCCGCGGCTCTTGAAAAATTGTATATTTCCTGCGCAACCCGCAAACGATGTATATCTATATATACCCATTCAGGGGACTTGTGATCCAACTTTTCCTGCCCAGGCATTAAATACACCCTCTCAACACGTCGGTACACCCTCCTTTCACTACAGTCCGACGAGGGATAGCGCAATACCCTGCAGACTGAGAACTGTAAGGAGAAAACCGACCAAACTGCAGTTCCAATGGGTTGGAATTGGCGTAATCGACGTTGAACTCGATGAATATCTTCAGGCTGTCGGCGAGTGCTATGCCTGTGTCGTTCGTGTGGGAGATTGCACAAAGGACATCATCAATTGTATGATTACATCGCTCATGAAGTGGATTTCATGGTCAGATAGGCCCTGAAGATCTATTATTTCGGCGTCGAGGAAATGCATGAAGCCGCCCGAAAGCATTGAACTCCAAGGGAAACTCTGCCCATGACAGAAGAGCAGCTGGTGACCTCCACCAAGCGATAGGCATTCTCCTTGGAGACGATAGGATGCCTGACTGAACCCTTCGCCGTAATTGACATTCAGTTCGAACGCCCAGAAGAGAGAGCGCGGAGTACACCATATCCTCCTCATTGGTGGTTTCTCGAACTTTCATGAGCCTGAAAACCCCGAATGTGTGCTTGGAATGCGGGACGAATTGGGCCTCATGCATATGCAGAACACGTAGCCGGTAGCCCATCGCAGTCGACACGAACGCTACTGAGGAACTATTATCATTATCGTTACTCTGGGTACGCTTCGATGGACGCGTCAATAGCGCAGTCGAATGGCGGAATGGCGGAATGCGAGCGAGTATGCGAACGTGGATGACCGTATCGGTGGTGTCGATGGTTTCGATGGTATAGCGACGAGCAAGTGGGCTCTGTTCACTGGGAGTTCGCCGTTGTCGGGGATGTCGGGGATGTGCTGGACAAGTCCCACTGCGGCGACGGACTCTTGGAGTCGTTCACGTCGTCGAGCGCGCCGTGCAGGGCAACTTGATAGGTACCGCACCCATGCTATTGCGAACTATCATCCCAACGAAACACGACTGAACTTGCCCGAAGAAATTAGGTATATCTAACTTCACCCCTTCCTGAATAGAATTGACAGGTCGTTCAGTGTGGATTCTATAATTCTATTCTATTGCTGTAGCAGACTCTAGATGCTCTGATACAATGAATTTGATTATTGGATTGGAGGGGTAGCGCACGCAACATTCGAATTACTCACAGCGTCGGCCGAGTGGTCGAAAAGCTACCGGACGTCATACCGTCTTCTGAAAATCCGAGGCTTGCGCGCATGCTCGCGAAGCAACTTGTAGATCTCCTGGAGGGGCGGCGGGGTGAGGGGCCCATACAGCTGCCCAACACTCATCGGCACCGCATCAAGCAGCACCGCACCGCCCTCGTGCCAGTCGTCCAGCCACGCATGCTGCCAGTCGTCCCACTGAACCAGGGCCGGGCTCGCGCGATCGCGGTACCACCGCAGACACGTGTGTTCGTTGTAGGCCGGGGCGAAGCGCTGCTCGACCCACTCGAGCGTCGGGATGCACGCGAAGAGGCGGGCGATGATGCCCCCCATGCAGGGGACGTACTCCGGCTCGGGGAGGTCGGTGCACCGGATACAGCGCAGCGGAATGCGCGTGTGCACGAGGCAGAGCAGGCTCTCGTCCGCTAACTGGGACTGGATGCGGGGAGATGAGATGAGCGAGGATATTGCGGGGCAGATATGCATGCATGCATCACTTGCCATGGTTTGTAGATACGCCACGTTGGGCAATTGGGGGAGGATATCAAGGGTGCCGCGCTTCCGCAGCCTGCCGATGCTCAGGACACGGACGGACGGTAGCGGCTCACGGAGAGCCACAACCCCAGAAGCATGAACCAGCTTGAAATACCGCACAGTTTTGCTCTGCGCGGAGAACGACGCGAGGGAGGACGACGCGACTTCGAGGACGCGTAGTTTCGTGAGCGATTCCGGTGGTAGAGCTGGGAGCGCATTGAGAGGCCAGAGGAGCGCCAAGTGCAAGAGATCGCGCTGGGTGGGCAGGAACTCGGTGATAAACCGCGCGTCGCTGATGGGGGCCGACCATGTGAACCGTTCGAGCGAGAACGGGGGGTTGCTGGCGCAGAGGACGGCAGGGAGGGGGCTCCGTACGTGGTCTTGGAGCTGGAAGGAGAGGGATTTGAGGTTGGGCGCGTGTCGGAGGATGGCGTCCACGTATTGCGTTGTGACGTGGCTGAATGGGAAGGTCCCGAGGAGGTTGAAGCTGACGATGTGCGTGCAGAGGCGGGGGCTTTCAGAGAGACCCTGGAGGGCATCCAGGAGGCGCGGAGGGAAGTCGCGGGTGATGGCATCGCGGGAAAAGGATACGGTGTTAAAGAGGATCGGGTTGGTGATGGCGTGGATCTTGCGGCAAGTCTGAGAAAGAGAGGACAGCGTGGAAGCTTCGGAAGCTTCGCTGAGTTTGCATATCATCCGTAGGAGCTCAGAAGGTAGGCAGTAGAAGCTGGACATCTGGAGACCAAATACCTGCGTGTGTATCGAAGTAGTTCCTCGCAATTGCAACCCGACTGTCGCCTACCCCGTCGACACGGCTCGAGTTCGTCGTTGGATGACAAAATGGCGCCCTCAAATCGATCCGCAGGAGGTCACTGTGCGCGCCGCTTTCGCAACTCAGTCGCGGTGGAAAAGACAAGGAGTGACTAAGTGACTAAGCGCCCTACCGTTCGACTGAACTTCGATCAACTTGCGGACGAAATATCAAGCCATGTCTCGCGTGCCACCCACATACCTTCACACTTCAAGAGCAAACCGAACTCAGTTACACAGCTCACTGCCTTCAAGCTGGCCATCAAAGCTATCTGAGGCCTGAGGCCGCCTGAGGCTACACCAACGCCGGACAGAACTCACGATAGGCGTATCAGTGAGCGTACTTTGCTGCAGTCAATACTGCCTCTAGCTCATTCAAGGTTGATTTCTCTGTGTACGTTGACTCGTTACGCTGGGGCTACTCTCCACGCTAACGCCTACCTATCTCCTCAATACGCATTGCCTTTGACACAAGGGCTCTCGTTGAGGGCGAGCCACCCATGTCATATCGGTTGGCAGAGTCTTCTGTCGCAATTTACTGGATGTTCTCGTTACTTACGTAGCTCGTCTCAGTTAGATACTCGCGACAAATACAGTGATGTATTGTCTTCCGTTTACGTGCCGGAAGAACACCGAACCGATACATTTTCACCCACGCACCTTTCACGGTTATCGTTAGTCTTTGGATGACAAATGGCGGGAGTGGAAGTGAAAATTGAATCTGGGAAGGCTGAGGCGAAACGGGCATGATTCGCAGAAAATATTATGGAAAGGAAGATTGCGATGAATGTCTGGGAGGTGACCAATGAACGTTTGAACATTTACAGCAGCGGAGGTCGACGAAGGCCGTGCAAGCGACGAGACACTGCGAAGGAGGGCGCGGGAAGGGAAGGGAGAGAGAGAGAGGAAGAAGGGATCACGCAGGGATCTGCGCCGCATTTTATACCAAGCTGGCAATAACGGCCCGTGCACGATCAGCACGCCAACGTGACATCTCGGTTTCGATGAAACGTGATTGCCACCCTCCTCTCTTCTGACAATGGCATGTCGGTTCGTTCTCGATGCTCTCGCTGCCGCCGTCTTCCCAACTGACGACCATACTTCACAGACGCGCAAACCCGACATCCGATCCCGGCAGCGCTCGACTTCAAACCTCGAAGCTTGCCGCTGAATCCCATCAGAATGGCCAGCCGTAAGGTTAGGACCGGATCGCAATGTAGTGTCGTTTCTCTCCATGAACGCAGTCGGGCGGAGCGTGGTCCACGCGACTGGCAGGGTCTTGGGGTTTGAACGTGCTCCGCTTGCCAGGGCGTGTTCAAGAACGTCAGTTCATGGTACTGCAAGCGATGCAACAAATGAAGTACAACCCGGCTTTTCGTCCCACCAATCGGCCAGGGAACTTCTCCGAGCTCCCACTTACGGACACCGTCCCTGGGACCTGAATACACAGACTCGTGAGTCTTTCCCATTCTTGACTGCCATCTTTGTTCTGAGGTTAAACAACAGGAACATAGCGGCATAAGCGTCTCGCAAGCTTAAGAACGCCGACAAATACTCTGCGGTGAAGTTGGGCGCAAGTTGAGCGGCCACCGCTCGTGGTCTCTTGCGGTGCCTCGAGGTATGGTTTCCGTCGAAAAGGGTGTCGTGCGCAAGGACGAGTGCACTATAAAGGTCAGCGTCTTCACAGGTAAATTCTCCAGTAAACACAATGTCTTTTACACGCACTGAATGTTGCTTTATCTCTTCCAGCGGGCCGGAACGCGCCGAAGCGAAGTCCAACGAACTTGCGTCCAAAATCTGGTTCAAGACGCCTGTGAGTGCACTGTGTCACGTCAAATGTACCATGCTGACCGTTTAAAATTATCAGCCTCTCGAGAAATCTTTCCTTGAAAGGGTCTCTCGTATTCAGCTGCAAACTACTGCTCACGATCAAGGCTACGCCTCGTTCCCTGACCAAGGCAGCTGGAGCTGGTTCGACGTAGCGATCCTCGAATCTCCCGAGTCCACGACTCCTCTCGTTCGAGATGGACTGACCTGCCTTTGGCGCAGTCACTGCAACGTCATCGGATTCGGACAGGATACAACGACTGCTGGAGAAATCTTCGATCAGGAAGACGACTTATTCAAAGTCCTCCAGGTAAGAATCACGACCGTTGAGGATAGTGTGTCCGCTGATTGATACTAGCCCGGGGATGTACTTGCCGTCATGGTCTGCGCGCGTTTCCTTGGATGGGAGAACAATGCCTCAAGTGGCTATCTCGAGTTCCGCCTTGAGAAAACTGGTGAGGTCGCTATCATCTCCACCGCTCTATAAGGCTCACAGTGACTGTCCAGGCCACGAACTTCCCTCCTTTGATGCGGCACAATTCGAAGAGAAGAGGAAGATGAACGAGCTGAAGAAACAGATCGAGCTTCTCCTGACTGGCTATCTGGACGATAGGACGGAGGAGGGGGAGAAGCCTGCGTACTCGCTCGTCCGGGAGATGATGCTCCCCGGTGAGGCGATTCGAGGAGATCTTGCTCGCCAGAGAGACGGAGCCCCGCTCCGCTTGTTATCCATCGGTAAGACTCTTTCGTATCCCTCCTACAGTCCCTAATGTTATTGTATAGACGGTGGCGGCGTACGGGGGATATCGTCGTTGGTCATCCTTGAGAACATCATGCTCAAGCTCACCCACAACCCCACACGAAGCCCTGCGACTACTTTGATATGATCTGCGGTACGAGCACCGGAGGGTAAGGAAAACAGACCGTAACACCTCTCGTTGTACTCACCCTCGGCGTTCAGATTGATCGCATTGATGCTTGGTCGTCTTCGCATGTCCATCCCCCAGTGTATTGCGGCCTACAACAAGTTCGCCTCCCAGATCTTCGAGTGGAATAGTGACAAGGCGACCGCCGCAAAACGAGTTGCAAGTGGTTACGCATACGGTGCTGACACGTTTGAATCTGCCATCAAGGCCATCATCAAACAGTACAGCCCCGGGGACGAGACAATGATTTCCAAATCCCCAGATCATTATTGCAAGGTGTACGTGGCATTACCCTAGGTTCCTAGAACTTTGTTGACATCTGAATACATTAGATTCGTCGTCGCCGGCGAGGCTAGTAACCTAAGCAAAACCCCGGAGCATCTTCGAACTTATAAATCGGCTAAATTCGCCAACGTCGACAAGTTTCTTGACATACCCATCTGGCAAGCTGCCCGCGCAACATCGGCAGCACCGACCTTCCTACCGAGCATCACCATCAACGGCACCGAACTGGTTGACGGGGGCCTTCTCTACAACAATCCGATTGCGCTGTGAGCTGCTCCCTTTCCTTCGTCCTTGCTAGCGACATGCTGATTGCGATTAGGCTGCTCGGCGAGGCTTACCACGAGTTCGGAGTAGAGCGTCTCATGAATACGCGCTGCCTTCTAACCCTTGGCACGGGCCATGGTCCCAATCTCCACCTGCCACCTCGACCTGGCTTCTTCGGCAGCGTTGCATATCTCAAGGGAGTCGTGGAGACGATGTCCAGCATTGCTACGGACTGCGAGAACACGCACGAGAAAGCGAGGAAGGTGTTCCCAGAGGACAATACGTACTGGCGCTTCAACTACGGGATCAAGAACGGAGGGGATTGGGAGAAGGTGCTGAAGTTGGACAATTGGCAGGGGATGGAATCGTTTGCGAAGGGCACCCGTGGCTACATATCCAGCCCTGAGCAAACTCCTCGCGCGCAGAGGTGCGCATCAAAGTTGGAGATTGTATCGTAGGCGCCGTTATTCTATTGCGTACACGTAATACATGTCTAGCAACAACATCAACGACTAGGCGACAGTTTGAATAAAAACAATCGCAACTGACTCCACCTTCCCGCAGAAGCTTTCTTGTCAAGCTTAATCGCCCGTTGATAAGACATGACATACTCTCTTCGTCTCACTATCCTTCGCGACGTCCAATAGTAGGACTTTGTGCGACAGGTATATCAGCACTAGCCCGAGGATGCCATACCGTAAACCACCATACCCGACGAGAAATCGTATCGCCCACCATTTTCCCTCATCAAGGCAGGAAACGAACGGTATGACCGAGCCTGCCACTTTTCGCCTTTTCTACCAGATTGCTGGTCACCGTTACTCGCCTACCAAGCCCCTACGGCCCCTAGTCTCGTCGCCGGGAGCCGGGGTCAGACTAGCCACGATGCCGGGCATGGCGTCCAAGGCGACGATGTCGGGATGCCTTGGCGCGGCATGCTGGCACGAGATGGGGACATATGCTAGCTGGAGTGTAGAGTGCGACACCGACGCCTGAAGGCAGCAGTCAAGTCCAGGATATCTGCTTTTCGGACTGCGGGGCGTTTGGGATGTACACGCCACTGCTGAATCTCGCATAATGCATGCGCCGGGTGGTTCGTGTCGTGATGAGCGGCCACGGCGCGCCTGCTTCCATTGTCGAGTGATACGGAGGAGAGTTTACCAGGATCTCGCGCAGAGATGTTGGATGAAGGTACCACCAGGATGCATGGCGCGAAATGAACTGTCTATCGTAGCCGACAAGACCCATCATAGATACGAAGAATGAACGAAAGACGCTCAGTCCTCTAGGTGCCTACCATTATCAACTAGAAGGACACATACGGGCTGTGAACTGGGCGAAACTGCAAGCGACATTGAAAGACATACTAGGGTTGGTACTGCATCGTCCGCCTATGGGTAGGAGTGAGATGATTGATGTTGTTAACGCGCTGCGATCGTCAGCGATGGCAGGGACCTGGCTTTGGTGAGACCTGGGGGCTGGAGGAAACACGCCTCAGGTATTTGATACATTACATAAAGGAGATCGCGGAACGTACAACGAGGGGATACATCGTCAATTGCAACTCCATAGTGCAGTCCCGAAGAAGGCAGAACCCCAATGCAGCTAAATACTCGGTGGTGGCCCATTGCTTGCGGGGCGACAGTCAGGCCGAGAACGAGATCACGTTGGAAATAGCATAGTACAAGGTGGGCAAATGCCTCCCAATGCTTATGCTTACGCATGCGCTGCACTTCTACCGCGACTACGCGCCGGTCTACACCTAGACGAGAAATTGATGAACTATTCAAGCCTCAAATATCGAATTACTTACCGTCCAATGACACACCATACCTATCAGCCCCCCCCCCCCCCCGACTCGCACCATACGCTGCCATACATGAGCAAACCGCCTCTATCGCCATAGTGCATCGCACGCCCTGATCTAAGGATCGCGCCTCCAAGCGTGAGTTCTTGTCAGCAACTTGAACTTCCAATCTATCGATGATGGTCTTCGCTTGACTTTCGGAGACTATCTTCTCCAAGTCACTTGTTCTTGCATGTGCCTCTTTCCAAAGCTTACTGTGGCAGCCATCGTGGTCAAAGTAGGGCGGAGAATATTGCAGAACACTGTAGATGACACGCCAAGTACAGAATTCAGCGCGGGACGTGTAGAAGACGAAAGGATGTGCCAGGCGCCAACGCGAAAGTGTTTTAGAACTTCCCACGGTTGACACCTGCATCTCATTAACTACTACGTCCCGACGCCAACCGCTAAACTCCTGGAAATTGTGTGCAAAAACAGCGAAGCTTGCTCGCTAAAGCGCTTTCTCAAGTTTTGACAGTAGGCATGGATGGTCATAGTATCAGCGCGGGTGCCCTATCCCCTTTTGAGCGGGGAAGACGCTAGCTTAGCTCCCAATGGCTGCAGTTTAGCGTGGCTATGGCAATCGCTCGAGTGTTTGCAGTCACGGCCTAGCGTTTAGCGCAAGCGCGATTGCGTGATGCGCATCGCGCGTACTCGCAGTAGCCTCCAGTCCGATTTGGCGTACATCGAGGACAGTTAAGCTAGAGCCATAAAGCTAGGTGTTCGAGGGGGAATAGGCTGGGACGGAGCGAGTTGTGCGTCTCCTCGAACGTCAATATGCATGATATTAGTACTTGCAATAGCTCATGCGCGACGATTGCACGGCGGATACTAGTCCCAAGCCCAGAGCAGTACTCACGCTTACCTGCGGAATTCAATCAATGGCAGTCTTGCCAAATGGGCTGACTCGTGGTCCACCTGTTCTTATAAAGGCCCTTGTGTTGGCCGCTAGATACCTAGCACAGCTCAGATTCTCGTTCCCGAAGAGCCATGATCATCGCAGGCAAGTCAATTCGTTTTACGACGTGCTCGCCTCCCTAACATTAACACTGTGCTGATCAGCCGTCGCCTTTACATTCTTTGCGGCACTAATCGTCGCAGCTGCTCCAGACAGGCAGCGTATGTATATCTCCGTCCAGTCGCTCTCATCTCCATTGATCGTCCGTCCTGCAGTGTGCGGTGACGCAGAGAACATTGCCGACAAGATCCCGTCGTGCAAGGTCACTGCACCCCCAGGTCCGTTCCAACCACCGTCTTTCAATGTGTCCAAGTGGATCTGGACGGGCGAGAATCCTGTCCCGGGTGGCGTCAACCCCGTGGGCGTGCGTGCATTCAGGAAGAACATCGTCACCCCCTGCGGAAAGTGCGCCGTCCACGCGACAATCATCGTAGCATCGTGAGTCCTTCTCTGCCCGCCCTCCCGTACGTGCTGCTCGATGCTAACTGTCGAGCAATCCACCAGCGACAATACCCATGTTTTCTACGTCAACGGTGTTGAGATCGGTGCAGGCGCGGGATGGACCAAGGGGCATGTGCTCTACGCCGCCCTGCGACCGTCCTCCAACCTCTTCGCCATCGCCGGCGGAAACATCCCCCCAGGCGGCCCCGCAGGCGTCATCGCATCGATCCTCATCCACTACGCCGACGGGAGCACCGAGACCTTCATCACCGACGAAACGTGGAGAACCGTCGCGAGCGCCGCGCCCCCGAAGGACTTCCAGCTCCCGGCCACGGACGACAGCAAGTGGGGCTTCGCCGCGCTGCAGGGGATCTACGCCAAGACGCGCTGGGGCGCGGTGGCGCTGCCCCCCGTCCTGGGCTTCAACGACTCGAAGTGGATCTGGTCGTCAGACCACAAGAACGGCGCCGCCCCCAAGGGCGTTCGCGCCTTCCGCAAGACGGTCAACGAGTGCGCGAAAGTGGCGGTGTCGGCTACGGTGCTGATCATCGTGTGAGTCCTACCATACATCTTTCCCAGCACCGTTTTCGCTGGATGCTGATCGAATATCGGATATCGGATGTCGTAGTGATGACTCCTACACTTTGTATGTCAACGGGGAGAAGGTCGGCGCGGGGAACAGCTACACCCGCAGCCAGGCGTGGACCATCCTCAATCTCCACCCCACCTTCAACACATTCGCCATCAGCGCCGGGAACATCGGGGGCCCTGCTGGTGTCCTCGCGACCATCCTCATCACATACAACGACGGCTCGAATCAGACGGTCGTTACTGATGGCAGCTGGAAGGCGATACAGACTGTGCCGAAGGGGTTCGAGCTGCCTTTCGTCAACGAGGCGGAGTGGGAAGACGCGAAGGTTGTGGGGCCGTTCGGCGTCGGGCCCTGGGGTAAAGGCGTAGTCATCCCTCTCGCATAGGTATAGGATGGCTTCGGGTTAGCCGTACAGGAGACAAAGTGACAGTCGTCCATCTGGATATCAGCTGTAATCATTTTACTAGACGTCTAATGCGGACCCCATCAAGAGGGAAACTCTGCTACATGTTGTTGCTACAGGTTACTTGAACACCTGAGCCACCAGGTACTTGTCTATCTGGCAGCCAGTCAGAGCAAGAGAAGGAAGATGTCAGCTATACATGTTACGTGTTGAAGCAAATTAGATACATGTTAGCGTAGGTAGCCCAGCTGACCTGAGGGCTGATTCGTATAGGCTTTTTATGCACACTCACTCAGAGTACGGGTGTCAACGTAGGCCGAATGTAGGTAATGTGCTCGAGCAGATAAATTTTCGGATGTACACTTGACAGTACTTTATGATATCTGGCTGGCATCGGCTAGAAGGCAAATCGAGGTTGTTACCAAAGGTTCACCATGTGCCGATTCGAGGGTCTGAAAAGCAAACACGACAGAGCATGCTCACTGCTGCCTACGCTTGGCCGAATAGTCACAGATGGGATTGACCGACATACCGAGGCATATACGTCCCTGATCTGCTATAGCTTGCCTGAAGCATCCATGAGTGGGAGCCGTTGTGGAGCCGTACATTTTCCAACGCAAGGATGGACCCCTCTTCTTGGCCCGCCGCTCGGCAGCTTCACACCTTGGCTATGGATCAGACATTAAACTTGTCTGTTGTCAAACAGCGCTGCCCGTGCTTTATGACACTAAACCCTCTTCCAAGTCTAGAAACCATGGAAGTGTCTCACTACAGGCGCCTCTGTCCGGGCGAAAATTGCAGCCCCCGACTAGGTATAAATACTCAGTCAAGCAGGGAGCAGAGCAGCATTGCCACTCACACACTTATCCTACTCACCACCCACCCCAGACACTTCGCAAGAAAATGCGCTTCTCATCAGCTTTCGTCCTTGTTGCTACGATGTTCACGCTGAAGAACATTGCCGCGGTCGACCCAGGTAACAATGCCTTGAACATGGACGTATCAGACGACTTCGAACACGCCATCCACAAGGAATGTACGTACCTTGCCACACTCTCCCCCCTCCCCCATCGAATACACATCACAAACTGAGCTGCAATACCTTTGTACAGACGGCCCCGTCGTCTTCGATGGCCTCGCAAAGAGTGGTTGCAGTGGCTGGAAGTGCCTCAAGACCGTTGGCAAGACATCTGCTTGCCTCATGAAATGTGTGATTACAGGGAACCCCTTGTGCGTCGTCGGCTGCATCCCGACGAGCGAGGTAAACAAAGGCGTAGCCTCCGAACTCCCGTAACTCGCCTGCCTGACACAAATCCCATAGCTGTGCCCGTGCATCAACTGCTTCCCAGACGTGATCACCAACTTCCTCCACAAGTACGACATCTGCACGAGCGAGCTGAGCGCGCAGCTCTTCAGCAGGGTGTTTTTGGTAAGCATAACTACTGAATCCGACTTTCCTCGGGCGTAACCTTGAATACGGCAGGGGCTCGCAAGTGACGATGAAGTTAAAAATGCCAACGAGGCTGGGTATTCTATTAGCGCTTTCGGTGCTTGAATGAGGTACGAGTAGCATCCGGCCGCCCAATGAATGATTGAGATGACCGTTGTTTGTAGCAAGAAATAGCTGACTGGGGCTCGGTAAGTGATCTACTCACAGTCTGTATAGAACGAGGGGCTTACAACGACCTCGCAAATGTAGGCCGGCTCGTAGTCTGCTAGAATCTTGTAGTACTTGTTTTCTGTGTCTGAATGAATATTGTCTTGCGCGCGCAAAAGGCCAGTGGGAGGAAGCACATCAACATCGAGCAAGATAGACTTCAGATGGTACCCATTGCAATCATGTCAACCGTTATTGCTTCCGCAACCTCATCCTGATCCTGACGCAGTGTCGCGCATCCTCCTACGATCGTGCGTGAAGCTGACCCATCAATGCATCAAGGTGGATGGATAGAGGCGGATCATCTACCATGGAAGGAGCGACGGATGAAGGAGTGATGTGCTCATGCGTCACTAGAAGCACCCAGCGTCGGGCATCCACTGCACATGAGGAGCATCGAAAGCCACATCGTAGTTTAGCAACAAGCCCACTGGGTAAGTTTTTGACTATGCGTGCAGCTGAAGGCGATTGGTACGCCCAATCGTCGGCCTGTCGTCAAGTGATAGACGCAACGCATACAGCTATTGGGGAGTAGAGGTAGAGACGTCAGTCCTGATGGACGTACGAGGAGTTGTGAACATAGAACGCACCTTGAGTGGTTGGCGGAATCACCGAGGGTTGCGCACGGACTGGGTTGTTTGGCGGATCAGATATTGCTGGGCAAATAATAAAAAGTCCCCTTAGGCTTCATTCTTCGCCTTTCGCTTTCTTCCTCCCCCGCCGTCTGTGAGGTCAACGTATGCACGCACCAGCCCGGCTGCTGGCCTGGTGGTTGAAGTCATCTTCATGAACGCTCAGCGTCCAGCGTTCAACGTCCAGCGCTCTCAGGCCTTACCACTTCGCAATTTCTCCCTCTCCGACCGACAACCATCCCGAGGTTCCAATGCATCAAAATCGACCGCGCTCCATGCCATTTCCAGGCCACGAAATGCCGTTTGTCTCAGTGGCGCGTAGCAGAAGACGTATGCGCTATTGCCGATCGGTGTTTCCTCTCGAGGGCTCGGATTGTATTCGGATTGTATTCGGATTGTATGGTTGGATCCTTCATGGGAACTCACGGAGAAGCATCCCCGTCACACCACACATGAAGCCGGGGTGTTTCTGTCCTAGGAGATCCGTATGATCACGTCTCTCGTGGATGCCGAGCAAGGGGCCCGAGATTTCGAAACATCCATGGCGAAGCGTCACTCATGACTTGTCAACAACATGGCGGTCAAGGAAATTCGGCTCCTACGTCGATTATTCTGTTGGTACATCCACGGTGCGGTAGCGGATGGGTACTTACCAACAAATCCATATTAATTATCCATTCCTCATCTTTTTTCTATAGAACCAGACTCATATGACTGGTCATACAGGAATGCGGTGGGTGGATCGTGAGGTGGCTGTTACGGGTGATATAAGTCAAAGTCATCGACAGGTGACTATACGGGAAAATACGTACGCTACGGCTGCACCGTCAGCGCTTCAGCGCGCAGTTTCGATTTCGGCGCCCCTTCTGCACTGCTGCGATCTCCGTTAGCAGTCTATCTCAACTTCGGCCGGGTCCATTGGGCAGTTGCTTCTAGTTCGATTGAGCGTGCATGCACGGAAGTGTACCGATGATCAGCGACATCGTGTAGCTGAACATCCCGTCGTCTACGGCGAAAGGTAACAAAGCCTGATCGTTGGTATTCATCGCAACTTAGAGAGGTCCGCGAGGGACTGAGAATTGACGGAGTCGCTGTGGTTTCTATCCAGGAACTACATGCTATGGAAATGACAGTGGTGAGGGAGGAATCGGGGAGACGTACCTCGACGTCACCAGCGCGTACAATTGGTCGTTGCTCCCAACGCGAACACCTCTCAGAGTCAGAACAAACCTTCGTACATAGCATCCCGGCTCCCGAGGTGTGTTCATAGGTGTTCAGATAATCAACTTTGTGCAATCCGTTGGCGAAAATCTGACCAGCATGTGGCGGAGCGGCGGCGAGGTGTAGGATAGAGTGTCATTGCGAGACTCTGAGAGACGATGCCAGTCAAATTACCAAGGATGATGATACGAACGCAGAAGAGACGCCCCTGTTGCTGGTTTATTTGGCTTAGAGATCTAGGCTAAACAACACTTGCCGACTCATGGATTTTGGGCTATTCCTCGTCGTTATCAGCGTATTCATCATGCATCAACGCCTGCTTCCGTGGTGGGGACCCATTTTTTCAGTTTCGCTTCAATCACTGACCTCCTTCCCTTTCTGCACAACGCTGAACGCGAAGAATCTCTGACGGAACGATTGCAGCGTTGAAACGATGTATGAGCATACGTAGATAGGATGGACACTGGCGGCGCCACTCAGTCCTGTCTGGCTTCAGGCGCTATCATACCATCCAAATCCTCCACTCGCGGATGTATCCCCCGTTATCACGTCTGTGGGCCGGAGAATGCGAGTATTTCGACAAGTCGATATAGTAACACTGGCGCCCCTCCTTCTCTATGCTCCCGTGTCCTCCGTTCATTCCATTCCTTGCATGCCCCTTCGCGGTTCAGATCTAGGACACATGACTACGACGAGCCCCGGATGAATGCTGAGCGCTGAGAGCTGATCAGTAGCAGCGTATGCGAGGACAACAATTCCTCAAATTCGAATTCCAAGGCATTGGGCGAATGCAATGCACAGTGACGTGATCGGTCGGTTGAGAGTACGATGCGCCGTCAGACTATCCCCCGTTACTCGCGATTCACGTCTATTTCCTGTCTGAACGCTGGAACTCCATTCAATAACGAACTTCGGAGTCGCAGCGCACTCACAATGGGCCCACCGCGATGGGATGTTCAAGTGCGGGCTACGGTTGCCTTGAATGCCGAATAGTTTGATTCTGCGAAGAGCAGGCTAGAGGATAACACGAGTCGCTCCGTTAAGAGGGTCGCTTATCTCATCTCGCCTTCCAAACCACCAACTTTCAACGTCTAATCATCCTGCGCTAACGTGCACTTGTGTGGACCATCTGCCTCGCCACTCCAATTACTTTTATCGACTTTCAGCACACCCAGCTTCGAGGTCTCTTGCCCTCGTTTCCTTCGCCTTCGATTCGATAGCACCCTCCCTACCATCCACAGTCCCTACGCCTCTAGTGGCACCCGCCGAATCATCTACTGCTCATTCATTCCACGATTACGATACGCCTTACTAGTTCTAGTACCATCATATCATACCTCCCGATCGTAAGAAATAGTGCACTACAGCACCCTCCCACTTTCCCCGACAGCTTTGCGGACGGAACACACGTATTCCGGCGAGGCCGGGGCGTCGTCCACACCCGAAGCTTCGAAGCTTCAAGCCATCGGGCAGTGAGGCTTCAACGACAAGGTCAGTATACAGCGAACCTACTCTTTCCTTGATTGTATGCTCCTTGGTCTGGCGGAATGTCCCTACGATGGCCGCCCCTCGGTATGTACACGTCCCTTTGGCCCTTTGGCGTACCGCGAGATGCTGAGCGGCGCTTCCTGTTTTCTAAACAACCTTCGCAATCCCTACTCTTCCTCTGGTCCCCCCGGCTCCCCATCGCGAGAAATAGCGCAGCACGGCACCTTCCCCGACAGCTTCGCGGACGGAACGCGCCTAGTCTGGCCACAAGACCAGGACGTCGTCCGCCCCCGAAGCTCCGAAGGTTCGAGCTGCTGTATCAAGCTATCAAGTGGTGTAGATATATATGCCGACCTTACCCTCGTTTCTCAAACGTTCTTCGCCGACAGTGCGTACGGCTCGATCTCAGAGATTTACCACTCACTCCGAACTCGCTGTAGGGCTAGCTAGGCGTAATCACCCGCTTCATCGTTCGGCGAAATGTCCTGCGGTAGAGAAGAGTGGCTGCTAATCGGCAGGCGCACGCCCCCGTATTGGCTATTGCGGGATGCTGCACGGCCCTTCCCTGCCCGCTCAGCCGCATAACCCCAGGGCGGATACGCCGCCACGGATCGTAGCGGACGTCCATTCAGACGCAGGGATATCTGGGTGGATAGGGTTCGAAAGTTGCTCCCCCCCCCCCTTCGGAACTTCCTCAAATCTCGAGAGCGCAACGCGGCCGGAGTGCATAGCTCGGCTATATTCCGACTTCGAAGCTGCGAGTACGTCAATCAGAATGAAGCGTCTTGTGCTGAAGTTTATGTTTCGAAGTCAGTTTTATCTTCGCCTTGAAGTGATCATCGGACCACCGTTATTTAAAGCTATGAGACCCGGGTGAGCGTTTGAATGGTGACTGCACTGCTCTGCAACGTCCTGTCGCTTTCACAGTATGCAGTGAGCAAGTACAGAGTCAGCCAGGAATCAACCGTTGAGAGCGGACTCGCTATGCCAATCGTGTGGTAGTAAGTATATGACACTCCTTCTACTGATACAGTCTAACACGTTATAAGCTCTTGAGAACCTTTTAATTCCGCCGGTCTGTCCCTCTTTACACCATCTAGGAATAGCTTTTCAGTGCGGCGATTCTTCTCCTACACAATTTGTCATCGCATCACCGTGTGTCATCACGCGTGTGGGTATAAAACCCATCATCGAGCTTCTGTCGCTTTCATTCCGTCCTGCGAGTTCCTCAGGTGACCAACGTTATGAAGGTCATTGTTCTAGGGTGAGTTTTCCGGCAACGTATGATACAGTGAACTCACTACGTCTCTATCAGATCAACTGGTTCCATCGGGTTTCCTGTATCCCAAGCTCTCGCGCGAGCAGGGCATACAGTGTACGGCATGACTCGCTCAGAAGCCAACGCTAAGAAATTAGCGGCCGAAGAAAGTGAGTCACTCTCTCCCATGTATCTTCGGACATCTTATATAGCGTGCTCAGTTATTCCGGTCATCGGTGACCCGACATCAACTTCGTGGCATCACTTGATCGCCAAACTCGACGTCGTTATCGAAAGCATCGGAGGGTTCGCAGAACTAGAGCAAGCGTCCAATGCCATATTCAACGACGTCAGCGAGTCTGCGGCGAAGACTAGATCCCCCGGCGCCCCCAAGCTCACATATATCTACACGTCTGGTATGTGGGTGAAAGGAGACAATCGCACGGACATCACGTCGGACACCACACCCCTCACTAAACCGGTCCCATTGACCACATGGCGCATACCCCTCGAACAAGCCGTTTTAACCAGCACATACCTCAATGGCATCGTGATCCGGCCAGCAATCGTGTATGGACGGGGTGGATCCGTCCTTTCGCCCCTGTTCAGGTCGGCATCGGAGGGCAAGGTCGTGTGGTATGGCACGCCGGGAGGAAGATTTAGCCTCGTACACGCGGACGACTTGGCCGACCTCTTCGTACGAGCGTCAGAAAAGGCGCAGATCGTCGGTGGTCGGGTATTCGACGCTGCCAACGCTTTCACCGAATCCGTGGACGACTTCCTCCGGCGCTTGGTGGAATTGGCGGGCGTGAAGACGCCTTATGTGTATATCAAACCGTCTAACCGTACGTCCGTTTGTGCTTGGTGTGGAGGAGGTAGGCTTACCTGTCGGTGAGTAAAGCACTCGAAGAGGCCATTGCTTCTACGGTGTTGCTTCGACCGTACTTGGCCCGGGCATTGCTGGGTTGGACGCCTAGAAAGCCAGGTTTGGTGGATGGCCTGGAGAATTATTTTGCAACTTGGAAGGCCTTGCAGGAAATTTGAAACCAAAGTACTAGCGATCGCCAACATCTAGTTAGACGGTCTCTAGCACAAATCGACGGAAGGCTTTGGACCATTTCGCGATTCCTCACGGCGGTGTGAGACAAAGATAGGTTCGAACAAGCGTTCGTCACACAAGACGCAGGACCGAGTTGCTACCCGACATGATCTGTGACCACATCCATTTGAGAGCTGAGCGCTGAGGCCTGAGGAATGGAGACGATCCTGGAAGTACGCCAACTCCCAGCGAAGAGTGCATTCAAAGAAGGCTGGGATCCAGCGAAGGCTGTGAGATCGTCAGAATCCAGGCTGCCTTCCCCAAGCCTCAAATGCGTGATTGGCGCGCGATGGGAGGTTACGCAGGACCTAAGCGTGAACGAGTCCATGCTCCACCGCTATTTGAATGCGACGTACGTTGGGGGAGGAAAAGTGGGATGAACTCAATACGTTCGCGGACATCATTGTCGTATGAATCACTTCAGTATTCGCCACTGAACAGGAACGAAAACGCCGTTGTGGGCTGGAGACCCGGCTTTTCCTCAGCGTCGGAGGCCAGAAGCCCTCGTTCATAGAGAGGATATCCCCATGGTAATATTGCCTAGACAGCTAGCGAAATACGAAATACGATGACTTTGCCCTTTAGCCGCCGTAAACACCTCCGAAACATCCAAGCTCGCCGAGCAGCGTAATGGAAATAGCATTAAATCCTTGACGGGCTATCCTGGAAATGAGTACATGGATGGAGAACAATGTTGATAAGTTTGATGACATCTGTCGTTAACGAGAATACCGTTCGATGAGAATCAGCCTCGCAGAATCCTCGTTCGCTTGGCAAAAGCCTGAGGGACAATGGGACGGATCGGGCATGACATGGAAGCAATATGGGAACGCTGCGCTGCGGAAGCAAGGACGTTCCTACAACAGAACCTGCTGTTATGTTGTATAATGCGTTTTCACCACTCAACACAGTCCACTGCTACATCTGTAGACGCTTCGGTACGACATTCCACGGATGGCTATATCTCTTCTCGATGTACAATACAATAGCATCTCCGAGCTACGGTAGGACAGACAGAAACCGCCTCGCGAATGTGACCCATCTTTCATAGAGCGTACTACACCTCTCAGACATTTCTAGGGGGATCGACAGGAGCATCGATACCGTTTGGCCGGAAGGGAAGGACTGATGCTCCTTTAGAATGGTTCTCCTTCGGCACTCACGCATAAACATAAACGAGATGGCACGCCGTCCACCACACCCTCGAGCGTAAGCTTAAGCACTCATCCTCCTCGCGCGAAACATCCCATTGAATACCGCACCCTCATTATGCCACCCGTCCGCACTCTCCGACGACAACAAGGCGGTTGTAATGGGATGTTCGGGAGGCGGGACCATCCACCCATACCCATACCCGGGCAATCGTCGCGCTGTGGTGCGTACCGTGCATCTCGTACTCTATATGAATATACGTCATAAAGCTGAACATCACCTCGCCCGCCGACGCAGGGTGTAGAGGATGAACAGGTTCGTCCGTTTTTCGTGTACCAGTCTTCGTATCGTTGATTCCTCTTGATCCAGACCCTTGGGCAGCGCATCGCATGGCGGCGGAAAAACCACCGAATGTGCAGAAAGGGATTTCTACCAAGATTGCACGCCGTCATCGCCACGAGAGTCGAGAGTCACCGACGCGAGTCGCCTCTAGACTTCTAGATCGCATGTTCTGTGACCGCTCATCGCTCATCGCTCGCCCCTCGCTTGTAGTAGCACATATACCTACTGCGCCAAGCTTGACACTCTGGAACTCTGGAGAGGCTTTCCACCTACCTATATGGAGCACCCACCCATTGAACCCCCCCTTGGTGCCAATGTATGTATGATCCTACAATCTCTATTGCAAGTCGGCGGTGGACATATGATACTCGTGGTTTAAAGTGTCCAGGATCCGCGGCGTGTAAGCAATGCCGATGCTGAACGTATCGTATGGAAAGATGCGGGGGTACGTTAGGGTTAACCGCTGTCCCATCGATATCGATACTTAACGTAAAGTGTGGTTCTCGGCGAAGCGCCAGTGCGCCAACAACCAGGGCAGACGAAAGGACTACATAAATGATAATATTATGTGCGATCCAGTGCTGCTGAACTTGGATTCGGGACTGTGTCAATGAGAATAAGAATGAGGGCAAGGGAAACCCCCACTTGCATTAACATTACATTAACATCAGTACCGACAAAAAATAAAAAGCAAAAAGCAAAAAGCAAAAAGCAAAAAGCAAAAAGCAAAAAGCGGGCATCAGCTCGACTAGATGCATAGGGTGGTAGGGCAGCATGCTGCATGCTGCATCGTAGATGTAGAAGGACGTCCTCGCGGGTTTGGTGATTGTGGGATTCAGCGAGGATCCTTTGCTTCGCGTCACTGCCAGAGCTGCCTTTATTCCAAGTATTCCAGGGATGGAGCAGCTGATGAGGAAGAGGACGTAATCCGTAATCCTCACGACGGCCACCTCTTACGAGGATGCGGCAGCTGTAGACGTGGGCCCGGCGCGTTGGGAAGTGAGACGAAAGCGAGCATAAAGCCAGACCGCGGCGTAAATCAAATCTCCAAGAAGCGCGGTATGTAGTTGTGTTCGAAAGGCGAAAGGCATGCTCACCTGGACCGTGTCACCGTATGGACTTTGAAATACGCAGGACGTTTCGAGATTCGAACGCCGTGGCTGGCTACATCGCTGGGACGCGCGGCGCGGTGGGGAGTAAGGCGATGCGTAGGTCTTGCGTCCTCGGCGTGTCAAAGATGTTGAAGACACCCACGACAACGTCTGCGATCAAGGAAGAGGAAGAGAGAACGTCAGTTCAGAGCCTCCGGGGCAGAGATACAGTAGTGAGCCTTCCATTCGGAATTCGGGTCGTCCATCTGTAATACTGCTGCAGCATAGGTTGAACAAACAAGAGAAGGCAGCACGGGCCCGAACGTGGTGGATTTGAATTTTGCAGCTTCGAATTCATCCTTCGAGGGTGAGAACGTTGAGACTCCGTGCCATTGCACATTCAGGCTCTCCCACTTCGATTTGATTTGATTCGATTCGATTCGAGAAAGTTGGTGGAGAAGGCTGGGATGGCAACAAGCAACATACATGGATGATGGGAACGCTGCGCAATCGGCGCTTAGCTCCATCCAGGGGCTCCTTCCGCCGTATCGCAGTCTCATAATTCATAATTCATAATCCACTAGCATTCGACATCACTCTCAGCAGAAGCGCAGACGAGACGGTGTCGTTGTCGCTCCTTGATATATATATATATAATATATATCTGCTTGAGCCTTGATGCTTGATGGTACGCCTGAAATTCACCAATTACGCCGCCGCTCAACGGGTCTCTAGATCGCGCATGCGGTGGTAATTTTGCCCACCGTTGAGAAGCTGGATTTTCGGTCCCAGGCCGCCAGTGTTCTATCGACATGGAACTCTTCTGAAGCAGAAGCACCTTCACGAGTCATAACTCATACGAGGGTACATTATCTATATATATATATATCCATATACGCCCTCAAACTCTGCGATGAAGCTAATCGACCGCTAAATCAACGCTAAATCCCATCTTTTCTGGATCCACCATCCTTCGTCCTCCACACAGTGACAGGCACAGCCCATCATGCATCAATTACCGCGTCCAATCCACATATCCCTATGTACATCTGCCCAGACCAAACAGAACATAGAAGACACCCTCTAATCCGTGCTTCCATAACGCAACTTTTGCCCTTGCACCTCCCTTTACAGGAAAGCCCAGGACATCGGTATACCAGCAAGGCGATGCTATTTCGCATGGCGCAAGGTCGGCGCGTCTTCTTCTACGTTCATGGTTATTGGCGATACGGCATCCTAGTAGCTTATTTCCGTGATTCCATGATAGGCCACATCCATCACACCACGCATGCCCTCATAAACACTTCCCTCTCGAAAATACGGCTCCAAGACACGCACACACCACTCGCCGCTAGTCTACGATGCCCCCCATTCGCACTCCTCGACGCCAGCGGGGGAGTAGCAGTGAGAGCAGGAGGACTCGGAGGCGCTACCACCCGTATCCGCGCCCCGATGCCGCGCGTGGTCCTTCGGTGAGTATCACATTATCGCACGCACGTCTACGCTGCTCCTAGACCCGGCGGCCTGACTATCTCTTCGCTTCCCTTCTGATATAGGAGGGCAATGTTGCTGAGGCGGTGGGTCCCGCCGCCCGCCAGTCCCTGAGTCTTCTCATCCGTGTTTCTGTGCTCTAGGAGTGCGTCGTTCGTCCGGGCTTGGAGGAGCCAAACATGGGCGGCGTTCAGAACGTTGATCAGCGGCCTTTCCTGCGATGGGATGCTCATGCGTGCTGGGTCGCCGCCTCCATCGTCATCATCATCATCATCATCAGTGTAAGTCTCTACAAGCTCGCACGTCTTGCAGCCGCTGATCGTTCACTTGATCGCTCGTAGTATGTGCTACGCGGGGCCTGACACCCTCGGCGAGATCGCCATGATCAACTTGCCACCTTCTTGAATAACGGTACACCCGGATACTGAATGCTACAGCTACTCTACCTGTTGCCGAACACTTGTAATAAGTAATTATAATCAGAAATGCTGACGCCGCCGCGATTCGCGAGGATACATGCTACCCGCTGATGTGCCTGAGGCTGCCTCTGGGATCTGATATCTCATTGACATAGAAATCTAGCAGTGAGGTAGACACGATAGTGATAGCACATTGTGACATTATGGATACACTTGTCATCGTAACTATGAGTATGGGCACGACTAATATACAATATGCGCAGTACGAGTACAAGTGGTAATGTGAGAGGACGGGTTGAGCACTACATCGACACCATTAGAACGACTCTGCCATGCACCGAGCACGAATATCACTAACCTTCCGGGACGATCAAGGCTCATGCAAGACTCACTGGATACAGCAGCGTTTAAGCAGCAGCCTCATCGACAGGGGCCGGGTCCGCAGCGGGCACGTCAGCAACGGGAGTCTTGGTTTTCTTGGCCTTCTTCTTGTCGGCGCTGGGGCTGGCAACGACGAACACGGCGGCGAAGGCGAGGAGGATAAGAGCGGCGCGCATTGTGAGTGATTAGCGAGTATAAAGCCTGTCACATCGATGAATTGACAAGAGACAAGAGGAGGGAGGAGAGAAAAATGTCGTCAGTGCTGTGCAACGGGAGATGGATGAGGAGGTACTTACTACTGGTGAGTGGCTAGAGGTTGCTGAGGAAATGGGGAGACTTGGGGCGGTTTAAATACTTTGGTCAAGGTGGAGGTGGACGAAAATAACTTACGATCGAGTATGCTTTCATTCGTACGACGGCCCTACACGGCGTCGTGCGCACCAACACGCACCATTCCTGCTGTCTGGTGGTGCGTGGTGCAATTCGACCGCTGTCGGACTAATACGTTCAGTCCAACGCTCCAATGGTATCTGTTTAGATCATTAGTTCACTGATCATCAATCATTGAAGACGCCTCGGGAGCGGGCGTAATGCGGTACTCGCCTAGGTCGTGCGACGTGTACTATAGTAGCGCGCACCAAATGCGAGAATAGGGTGCTGCGGAGCGAAGTCGAGCTAAGTGAAAGGGAGTGCGGCGCGTGCGTCTGGCGACTTTGAGCGCAACGAGTGGGTAATTGGCGGAGTAGAAGCTATTGGAAGTTGGAAGACTTGTTAGTGGTCAGCCGTGATGTCAACGTATGCGGTGGCCGACTTGCCAGCTCCAAGACGGCGTTCAGACCCTCAAACGTTCATGTTGTAATATTCCCGACGGTATATGGTCTCCAGCCTCCAACACTCTATCTGCATCCGGATCCTAGCGTGATGTGGGTCGTAGTCTGCAGGACTCGGACGTGTCAGTGATCTGAGTGATGGATGACTAGCATGCTCGAAGTCACCGTTGGACTTGAGTCATGTTCTCGGAGTATTTCCATTCCTTCATCGGATGTTGGTTTGCCACAGTGCTAGCTATTATCAGACCAACACCGAGGGCATCACGAAGTGATCAATAAAGCTCTTGGTGACTGTGGGAGTCAAGTGAGAGTACAGAGCACTTCACCTCAGCACACGTTGTTGCCTTCTGCTCGACTCGAGGCGCGAACAATATGCAGAACGCTAAATAACAAGAACAAGGACCACCACCACAGCCCTCACGCCTCCTTCCCTCACCCCCACCCCTGCAGCCTGCAGCGGCCTCGCATTCACGCACCTTGCACTCCAGAACATGCAGAACGACCCGCACAACGAGCTCCACATTTGCTTCAAGAAGGCATACGATGTCGTTTTGAAGCACCATCACGCATTCTTCGTGCGGAGCGTCGTCGCGGCGAGTCCAGTTCCCTCGCTGCGTCCTTGTAGTACGACTTCGAGCACCCTCTATGTTACGGTTCATCTATTCCACTCCCTCCCTCGTGTCTCCCTCCCATCCGCACCGTTCCACCTTCCGCTACATGGCATACACTACCTCTACGAACGCTTCAATGTCTGAATGTTTGGGAGTTGCCCGCTTTGCTTCGTTAACGGACGCTGCGTGGCCAGACGGCTTATTGAGATCTTTGATTTTGGGTTGGCTGTAGAGTTGTGGTTTCGCGCGGGGACGCTTACTGACCGCATCCAGCTCACCAGCTATCGCTACGTACTACGACTCCTCGTGATGCACGATATACACATATTCACCAACAATACTACGCTTGCGAGTTCCTATCGCGTACGACATAACAGTATGTCAGCTTCGCCATGGGCCTCGATGGAGAGATACTGACGTACATAGCGTCCCATCCAGCGCTTTCTAACCGAGATCGGGATACCATGACGCACTCCCAAAATTGCAGTACTTACATAGCAGGGGGGGGAAGGAGGGACGTACAGAGGCGTGGATTGGTGGATTGGCAGGGTTGCGTTGCGTTGAAGGGGAGTGTTGAGAGAAAGGGCGGGCGTGCGTGTGGGGGGGACGCGAATGGGCGAGCCTGCGCGCGGGGAACCGCAGCCTCAGAGTGCGCTATGCTGCCTGGTGGGTCGGCGGCCAGCTATATTAGCGCGCGGGGAACATACCTGGCTCCCGCACAATAGTTCCTTGTCCCTTCTCCCTTCGCTGCTCTCCACTTCCGCAATCCTTTCCCGCCATCCCCGGACGTTCACAAGGGCGGCACTGTCACTGTCATGCACATCATCTCAGTCCAGAGGCAGAAGGCGTGAGGGCGGTGTGAGGGCGCAGCAACGGGCTCGAGAGGAGTGCGGATGGCGGGAGAAAACTGCGCTGGTGAAGACGCGAGCTGAAGGAGTGGTAGTTCCGAGGACTGCAGAGTAAGAGGCCTAGGGTGGACTGAGGTTCGCTCGTGGGGAAACCCCAAATTGGTATTTCACATGTAAAACGGAGATTGATACGTGCACACGGTACATTATAAATACGATGTTACGCTATAAAGATAAAGACAGCACAGACACAGTCTTCTCCCAAACCGCTGTGCGATCTCCCGTCACGCCGGTGAAAGCACACCCAGTGATATAGTTCTCCCATCCCTGACGCGTCTGCGCAGTCACCCCATCCACCAACGTCCGATTCGCCGTGCAGCCCACGCGTGCAGGCCCACTGGCCGTGTAGAACCACACCACATCGCACTCGCGAAGCCGAGCTCGTCGCCCAGCACCAGGTCGCGCACAGCGTTCATAGTGTCGTTCGTGATGCTAGGGTCGGTGGCGTTGGTCCCTGCGAGGGCAAGGGCGCGGGAGTGCGTAGAAGGGGTGTCGAGAGCGTATTGGTGGACGAACGGGAAGGTCATGAGGTTCCGCGTTCCTTGACCAGGGCGTCCTGGCGCAGGGAAGCTACGACACCCATAATGGGCAACGGGATTGCATTACGGAAGGAAGCACGCTACGCACTGGTTCCTATCGAACTTGAACTCCCCAGTTTCGAAAAGCATCAAGCTCAGGATGGCCGCTTTCTCGCCGACGGAGGCAATCGCGTAGTCGGTGAAGGCCTTGTTGATGAACGGCGCGGCTTGTTCGGCCGTCCGGCACTCGTCAGTGAATGGGGCGGAGATGTTGCACGCGCGCGTCGAAGGCGCGATAAGGGTGAGTTGAAAGGGCGTGATATCCGAGGAGTTCTTCGGGGGGCGGCAAGGAATGACCATAGAGAAGACCACGTTTAAAGAGAGAGTGAAAATGCAGAAGGAGAGGAGCATCATTGCGAGACGGTGAGCGCAGCTCTACTGTGGCGATGGGTAAGAATGTAGCGATGAGTGGTGAGGCGATCTAGCAGGTTCCTTATAAGCGGAGGACTAATGCAGTGGCCATTTTGTTCATGGTTCATTGTCTCATTGTCGATGTCAAAGGGAAATTTCGGCGTGGGTGGCCAAGGAGCACGCCAAAACAATGGGTCGGCGCCTCGCACCTCAGAGTAGGTCGACAGATAGCAGTTCCGCGCCCAACTAGAATACGTGTGCAAGAGAAACAGCCTGATGTGGGAACAAATTGTTAACGGCAGGCCCACGGCGAAGAACACTTCGAACACTCACGTTTGCACAAGGGAAAGGCCCACACGCCGCCAGAACCACGTCGTATGTCTATCATTCCAATCGTCAATGAAGTCTACGAGCGAAGGAGAATACGGCTGCGAGCAGACGCAAAGTTTGCGCGCGCCGCAGAGGGCATGGTCCATAAGTATGGATGGAACTAAATGTGTTGCGAATAAATTATATGGGTTCGAAGGAACGAAGGGAGCCTCGAATTACAAGACGAAAAGACATGTTAAAGAGCACTGGATACAGCCAGCATGAAAACATCCCCCGCCATAAGCTCAAAAGATTGACATCCTACCTAATCTTCGTCCATCCTATCCAACACACCGTCGGCGTCACCCGGATTCCGAGATGGAGACGAAGCCGGCGACGAGGCCATAGACGAGGGTGCGCTTGCCACTGCATTCCGTACTGGCGAAGGCGTCGTCGGGGAAGGGGGAGATCCGTTTGGAGGAAGAGGACCCGGCGAAATCGACCGCCTGGCCTCGCGTTTAGACCGCACAGAGGCGTTCAGATGGTCGCACTTTATGCAACGAAATTCTGGATCATAGTCGTTAGCTTGGTACGGAGAGAGGGAAGTACAGATAACGAAGACACTCACGAGCGTCTTGCCACATCGCCTCCGGCAGAAGCCCATTATGCTTGAAGCATCTCTCGCAAATCAAGGCGTAGCGGGAGGAAGGCGGGGCCTGGTCATCTTCACCGAGCAGGGCGTCCGCGAGTTTGTCGTACCACTGCTTGCGAGCGGGAGTGGCGAGGAATGGTGAAGCTGGATCTACGAAGTCAGCTGGGCGACGCAAACATCCGTCATATTTGGACGCACGGGAGAAGGCCGTTAAGGCGGGATTGGGCATTGAAGGAGGACCGAGAGGGCCCGAAGGAGGAGCAGAAGGCCCTCCGGATCTGGGGGCATTAGGTGTTTGGGGAGCCTGCGCGAGCGCGGGGTTGAATCGCTGGCGGAGGCCCTGAGGTTGGGGTGTATTCATCGGCGTTGACTCGTCGTACTTGGATAGGAGATCGCGCGTGGAGTAGTAGTTCGTCTTCTTCTTGATCTCCTCCACCTTTGTCCTCTGCTGCTTCAGGAGCTGTTGCAGCGTCTTCTCTATACCACGGTGGTTTATTAACGGAAGGGTTATTAGGAATATCAGATACGTACCTTCATGGGCCTCCTTTCTCGAATACCAAAGCTGGACTATCCGCCGTATAAATAGCACTCTGTAACGGTCAGCGCGTGCGCAGGTTCCGACGAAAGAACGCACATTAATGGCCCAAGAATAACAGGTGCTAGCGCTACTCCGCGCGGTAAAGAAAAGGCTCGGAAATACCACGAGCAGACGTACACGAGGTACGCTGCGGCCGTATAAAGAGTCGACCAGAGCGTCGAGCGCCGTTCGCGTAAACGTATATCCGCAAGCTTTTGCTGCCGTGATTGAATATCGCGTGAAAGAGTGGAAAGGATAGTTTCGTAGTCTTCCTCTTTAGACTAGGCTGTTCTTCAGTAACACAAATGCACGGTGCTACGCAGCTCGTACCTGTTTGAATAGGCGCAGCAAGAACGACATGATTGGGCAGAAGTTGGGATCCTGGTGAAAGAAGCTGATGACTGGATATTCTGAAGAGAATCGTGCGAGTGGTGGGGGGACAGATACAATAGGACCAGGAGCTAGAAGCCATCAAGACCTTGCCACGGACACGTACGATCCCACGGTCAGTAATTTACTCTCACGATCAGCCACACCAGATACATAAGATTGGTTCCCTAGGCACGCACATGACATGACATACCTTGTCTTGGCTTTCCCATGCCTCCCTAGCGAGTCACGGCGTCTTTCACCGGTCCAAATTGACACGTTTTAGACGTGTGTGCTTTTACGGTTGTCTATATGAGAAAAGCGTCATGATGTCAGTGTAAATTTACGCCGAGGCTCTCGCTCACATACCATATTTAGGACGAAGGATGTGGCATACCAAACAAGGAAACCTGCTGATTTAAATCGGAAGCAAGGCAAATATGGCGGCAAGTCACGGGGGCGCCTTCTCCACCTACAACGACGGCGTCGCGCAGTACTTTGACCGCTGTACATGACATCATCCTATCTTGGACCCTCGCTATCCAAATTTCCCTCAAAGACTTGCGACGCCACAGATGGACACACGCTGGAGTGATTAGTGGCCTGTAACGATGACTGAACCGCGCGAACGGCTTCAACCTACGAAGAGGCCTAACAACTCCCTCACCTTCCCTACGATATTCACGCCTTCTCTAGCACCTCTTCGCATCCTCTGTGATCCTCTCCTCCACTCTCCGCTTCCCCAATTGTGCAACACGCCGTTTCACACCAACTAACAACTCCCCCCTCCACTTAATACTCAATTCTCACCCACTGACAACAACGCCTCCCACTCGCCCAGAAATCGTTTGCTCAAACTTCGACCTTTCCCCATCCCCATCCCCATGCATCGACCGCTATCGAGCGCTGCTCTCCCTCGCCACTCCACCGTCATCCAGTCCCCGATCTCAGATCTCAACGTCAACCCTCGCATACAGCCCCCCGACGCTGTCGTCCCCATCGTCTCTGGAGCGCAGGGTAGCACAGCAGCGCGTTGACTCACCTCCGCAGATTGCGGCTGAGGCTGGGCGTCCGTGGTACAACGTCTACATCTACATCTATATCTTCCTTCGACGCACGCTGGGCGACGCCCATGTCCTCCATCCTTCGATTGCGCTGTGACACTCGGGAGTGAGTGTCCTCCATCTAGCATCTACGCATCACCACGTGTCGTGCCCTCAGCGGCTCTCAACACCTCAACACCTCAACACACAATCGAGCATCGAGCATCGAGCATGGCATCGACATGCTCGGCTCCCCGCAACCGCACCACCTGTCCTCAGTTCCTCTTCAACGTACCATACCCCACAGCCTGAGGCCTGATGACTCAAAAAATCGAAACCATCGCACGCCTCTTCGAGCAAAGCGGCGCGCTGCGGGTGCCCATTCTCACCCCATTCTCACCCCATTCTCACGCGTACTGCTCACTAACCCGTACTGCACCCTCGCTGGCGGCCAACCCCCCAGTTCCAGTCTCCCTCCAGTTCCAGTTACGCGCGTGTCCGGTCACACCAAACTCCCAAACGACCAACAGACAACAGACAGAGGGTCGTCTTTGTCTAAGCAGCGCTGGGCCTTTGGTGCGCGTGCGTGCAGCTGACTGACTGCCTTGGAGACCGCAGACGGAAGACGGGAGACGGACGAGGAGGAGGAGGAGGAGGGAGGAATGCTACTGCGCAAAATCAGCCGCTGACCAGCATATCGGCGTACCGGCATACCGCGCGGCGCGCGGCGAGGGGGTACAAACTACAAAGGTTACGCTGCGGGCATCGAAGGCGTGGGCGCCATCGAGCGTCGCGCGTCGCGCGACAAGAGACGAGACGGCGGGTTCGTTACGTTCGAAATTGAAATAGCAAGGCAGGACAGACGAGTATAGCAAAAGCGGAGACGATTCAGGGCGCAGAGAGGCAGGCGAGGGACGAGAGCCAAGTACTAAGTACTAAGTACCTAAGCAGGCAACACATCGACATCGACATTATTGTCTATTGTCTTTCCTCCCAATCCCAATTTGACCTCCCTTTCCCTTTCCCTTTCCCTTTCCCTTTCCCTTTTCATACCTCCCGACCCCGCCTCCCGAGTCCCAATGCACTGCGAGGCTACCCTATCCCTGTCCCTATCCCTATCCCTGCTGCGGTCGCACGCGCATCACCTCGACTCGACTCGACTTGGATACGCGACCAGTATTACTCGCGTATAGCCTCGCAATGGCAAGAGTCAAGACGGCAACCAATAAGCCAGAGGTGTTAGGTTTAGGTGTTCTTGTGCGCCGGTAACAGCTTCGCCGTGCGGGAAAGGGGGAGCGGGTGCGCAGAAGGGAGGGAGAGGGAGGGGGGAACAGGAGACGCCACCCCATCAATGCGAGGACAGCGCATGCGTCGTCCAGCGCGGCTACTCACTCACCCACCCACTCACCCGCGCTCTGCGTCACCAGAACGCCCCCCCCCCCCCAAAAAAAAATGCATCGCTTCGCTTCTCTTCTCCGTCCCCGTCCCCGTACCCATTCCCCATTCTGCATGTACCCATTCCACAATCTGCAGACCGCACCATCACATCCCCATACACTACACATGTAACATGTAACATGTAACATCGTGTATTAGCATATCACAACCACATTCACAAGAACCTGCTGTCCGGGAAAATACGGATGCGAAGCGTCGTCGAGAACAGTCACAGTAAGGACGACGCGGAGAACACGCGTGCTGATGTTTGACGTCCGTTTGGGTGGACAGTGAGCAAGTGGGTGCTGTTTCGGTTTCGGCGGGGTATCTCGCTGAGTGGTATCGACACATACGGGGCGGGGGCTCGCATTGGGTGGTGGTGCGATAGGGAGCTCGGTACCGTTGTTGCGTGAAGATTCGGCAGCCGAGCGAGGCAAGATCTCGTCCGGTTTGGGCCAAGAGGCACTGGTCGATGCGTACGTCGGTATTACCGGGGCAACGAAGGTAGCAGCATTCACGCAATCATCGTCGTCGGCACTCTTCCAGCGGAACTTCATCGTGACGGCGCTCTGGCCGCACCCACAATCACAAACCATCAAACTCGACCTACACGACCCAAGGAAGGAATATCAGCACGCCGTCTTCCCTCTACCACAGAGCAGAGTCGAAATCAAATTTACCCGTGATCCCCATCCCCATCCCCATCCCCATCCCCATTTCCTCCCCCGTGCCCCCCCTTCGCAGCAGCGATCGCATGGGTTGTATGGTCTTCGAACTTGATCCCGACGGTACTCTCCACCATCTCCTTCACGCCCCAGATCCGCGCGCAGACGCCCGCGGTCGTGAGCCCGTGCTTGGCATTGGCGTCGCAGAATGGCGCGACGATGGAAAAGGCGCCGTCGAAGGTGAAGGCAGACGCGAGCGTGTATGTGTGCGGCGGGTTGGGGCATTGGACGGCGGGCGATAGCGTGCCCGTGAGTACGGTGGGGCGTGCAGGGCCTGGCGGCACTAGCAGCGGACTCAGCGATGGAGACAACGGCTTTCGCATGGACGGCGGGATATCTTCACAGGGACCGTCCACAGCGTTGAGACGGGGAGGGTCGTTTGGAGGGGAGGGTAGCCGCAGCAGCGGCTTATCGAGATGATTCAGCTCTCCGTCCTTTTGCATGTCCTCACATATGCGGGTTGCGGGGGGTTCCACGTCCATCGTTCGAATAGAAGCATAACATCGGCTAGCGTCCAAGTCGTCGTCGGCATTTCCGCCATTGTCAGCGCCGGGCGTCTCTACCTCGTTCGCATCCGTTACAAGTTCAGCTACTCCGTTGTTGATCTCTTGAGTCCTAACCCCAGACCCCTCCTTACTCGTCGGGGATTCCCTCTGCTCCTCCACGGTTACGCCAGAACCTGCACCGGCGCTCGCCCACCTCCCTTCTTTCATCCCCATCCGCCACTCGACCCACATATTCCTCGCACAGAGGAACGCCTTCATCTGCTCGTCCAGCCTCTCCAGCAGCTTCTCCACAGTCTGAAACCGCGTCATCGCGCGCGAAGGCTCGAGGTGGGGGGTGAACTGACGGTTCGCGTTCGAATACGACTCAGTTGCTGCCGTTTCGCCATCCCGCTCAGCCCTGGGTTCAATAACAAACACCTCGTCGTCGTCCGCGAACCGGACGCTCTTCTTCTCCACACCCGCACCCACACTCCCATCGCCGCCGCCGTTCTCCTTCTCCTCCTGGACCGCTCCACCCATCTCGCCACTCGCCCTCGCATCTTCGCTCCCGCTCCTCGAGCACCGCCCCTGCCCACCATCGCCGTATTTTCTTACATGCTGGTAGCGCCGCGCCTGGGCCCTACACGGCTCGCACATCTTCCACCCGTAGCCCAGTTCCGTCGCGAGTAGATTCATGCAGCGCGGCCCGGCGCAGGCAGCAGGCAGCCGCTTGGTGGTGATCGGGGTTCGGGGCGCGTAAGAAGGGATCGGTGAGGGCGGAGGGGCAGGCGTCGATGTCGGCGTAGGCAAATGTATATGTATTGGTAATGGGGTAGAAGAGGACGGGGAGCCAGCTGCTACTTCGGTTTCAGATGACTCGGATGGGGGGAGAGCCGTCGACGTGATCGCTGGCACAAGTACAGGAGAGGAAGGAACGGGCGTGGAAGCCGTAGAAGGCGAAGGAGAGTCAACGTCTGGTCGAGGGGAAGGCAGAGGTGAGAGCAACGCTTTGAGTGAGAGGCTAAGGGGAATCTTGATTCGGATTTTGAGAGGCTCGGAGTCGGAGGGTTTCTTCCGGTCATCAGATGGAGGAGCTTCCACGCTGGCCACGCCCTCCCCCGCTGCCTCCTTCCCCTCCCAATCGCGCCCGCTTCGTCCCACCTCCTCTGCCTCCTTCGAATTTCCAATCCCGCCGGCACCACTAGTACTCGCGGGACTAACGGGGCCAGCACGTACGGTGCTACCGTGGCTGCTACCGCATCGCCTCCGGGAGCTTGTCACGCTCGAGAGCACCGACCGGCACCACTCCTCGTATGTCATGCTCTCTGTCGCAGACACCGGTGCCGGCGGCGCTCGAGACCTCTGCCCGCGCTGTCCCGCGCCGCGTTTGCGCTTGATCCACCCGTTGCGTTTGCGCTTCCGCTTCGCGGGGCCGGGGGTGGAAGCGGATGGCGAGGGAGGCGGTCCTGAAGGGGAGTTCCGCTGGAGAAGGACGAGGTTGGTGTGAGCATGCACGAAGCGTAAAAGGAGGAGGCATGGATAACGGAAGGAGGGAGGGAAGGAAACGCACCAGATTCGTGGTGTCCGCGCTAGCACTAGGTGAGCCTTCATCGGGGTATGCAAGATACATCAACAAATCGTCCTCGCCCTCGCCCTCGCCCTCGCCCTCGCCCTCGCCCTCGCCCCAGTCCTCGCCGTTCTCTGCCTCTTCTCCAGGATCTTCGAACGCCATCAGTATTTCCGTATTGCAGGACAAAGCCGCGCCAGTACTGATGGTCGAGTCAATACCAATCGTAGCTGGAGGAAGGGGGAGCAGTGGTGGCGGTGCCTCTTCCTCGGGATAAGCGAGGTTGAGCGCGTCTAGGTCGCAATCAACGTCGTCGTCCCCGTCTTCGCCGTAGATATCGGTAGCTTCAAGGCCGCCGATGGCTTCGAAACTGAGGTCGGCGTCCAGCAGCGGGTTCAGCATATGCATGTCAGCAGGGCTCTCAGTGGGCGTCCGAGTCGCCGGTGAGGAGGATCGTAACTGGGATTCGGCGTCGTTGGCGTTGTGCCGGACATGATCCGTATCCGCGTCGCACTCCATCGAAAGGCACGGGCCTCCAGAGCGCTCTTCTCCTTCCGGAGCGTGCAGTCGCGAGGCCTGCGCAGGCGTAGTTCGAGGCGGTGGAACCGGAGGAGAGGTAGCTTCGACTTCGACGGGATTAGACGCCGAGTCCGCTTCTGCCTGCGCCCCCGCCCCTGCGGGCGGATTGACTACGCCCACGCTGGTCGATCTCGGAAGAGGTTTCCCTTTCCCCTCATCGCGCCGAATGCCACGCGGAGGTCCGATCTTCAGCGTCGGCGGTAGCTGGGCCTCTTCTTCTCCCTGCTCTTCGTCGTCGTCGTCCTCTTGCGAAGATATCGAGTCATCTACACCGTTTGCCGGCGAATCCTCGCGCCTAGACGTCGAGCGCGAAGACTCATACGGACGCCCATCCGAGTTCGCGTTGAAGTTCGAGACACGCGGAAGGGGTTTACGAGCCGGACTACGCGCGACCATCACATCCGTCCCCCCCAGAACCGCGTCTCCTAGTACCACAGCCCGACGTGGGAGGGGCATGCGCGGCCGCTCCGCCTTCGTTGGTTCCGCTACTCGTTCTGGTATCGGCAGTGACTCTCGTCTAGGTAATGGTTTGGGCTGTGATGCTGGCTGCGGAGGCGGTGGCGGCTCGGCATCCAGCAGCTGGAATGGAAGAAATACGCATATGCGTGGATACACGCCCATGTGTAAGACCGTTTATCACTGTAATGGGTTCAGGGACTCACCTGAATGTCTTCCATGTCCCTGCACCCATTCCCATCCCCGTAACCGTCCTCCGCGTGAACGTCGTCAGCGTCATGCCTCTTCGCAGCGAGATTCCGCTGCCTTGCGAGCCTCGCGGCTGCCGTCCTCTGCTTCGCCGTCTTCCGTCTGGGCGACGGCATCGTCGGCGGTGCTGACGCCTGAACCTCGTCATCTCCGCCTCCGCCTCCTTCTCCATCTCCGTGTCCTTCGCCTTCTCGAACAGCACTTCCTCCTTCCCCAGTACCGCTACGACTCCTTCCTGGTGCTGCTCCCCGCCCGCGACCCCGCCCGCGTCCTCTTCCATCTCCACGACCCGACCGCCTCCCAGATCCACGGCTCTTCAAGCGTTCCCAAGCAGCCATCTGCGCGCGCAGGTCGATCCCGCTGAGGAAGCCCTCCGCATCGAATCCGTCGTCCGCATTCCCCACCGTGTCGGCCCGCCGTGGGCTCTCTACCCCCGCTGGTTTCTCCACAGACTTGGTGTCCGCGTGCTGGTGCTTCTTTCGCAGAGGCCTCGGTGTCTCTGAGGGACTTTCCTCAGACTCGGAGTCAGCGTCGGACGCCCTTCCGCGGCGTTCGCGCCGGGCATGCGTGGGGGTTTGAGGTGGGTGGGAGAATAGCGACAGCCTTGGAAGCGGGAAACGCGACGAGTGTGGTTGGTGGTGGGCACCATTGCTGGCCAGGCTGAACCCTGCGCTGGCCATGGCCACGGATGGTGAGCTGGACGATCCGAGGCTAGAATTCGACGACATGCTCGATGCTCCCGGCACAAAGTATATGATTGCGTCGTCCTGCGTCAACGGCCGTTCACATAGACAGATCGACGTTCGCGTGGAGACTCACCGTATACCGCAGTTATTTCAGGAGTGATAACGCACTCCCAGCCACATGCGCGAGGTCTTCGCTCCCTTCCTTTCGTCCGCTCGACTTCCTTCACTTCGAAACCCCGCAAACGAACTGATATCGCAGATGGTTGGAATCTAGATATTGATATTGAGACCTTCGATACTGTCGTATGAAACGTTCAAGTTGGCGCCGTCGCGCCGAATAGATAAGATAAGTACCTCCGCCAGTTGTCGTGGGCGAAGGGCGAGTAGAGTGTACGCGTCAAACTCAAGAAAATGGGAGACGGGGATGGGGTATGTTTCCAGTTAGGGCGAGAAAAAATTCGATTGGAAAATTCGTCATAGCTGTAAGCAAATAAGGTTACCGGCGCCTATCGTCTGCGTAGGTCGCCGCCGTGGTTTTCTGCATATTCAACGAGCAAGAACAGCATCAACAGCAACACCAGCAACAAGCCTTGCAAGCCCGCCAATAACGGCAGCGGACCACCACGGCAAACCTCGTCGGGCATGCAGCCGGGAATCACTGGACAGATAGACGAGACGACTGTCTGCAAGAGGATGCAAGTGGTGGGATGATTGGCGCTGGAGAATGGACGCCAGTTCTTCCTCCGCCATATTCATTTGACACCAGCATGCTACCCATCCCCAAAGGCTTCTGGAATCAAATACTTTGCTGTCGGGCCTAATACCTACGGATCGCATGCATCTGTCGGCCGGATAACACGAGTATTTGTACGGACAAAGAAGATTATGGACATCCCCTCCTTCACCGTGTATCCCTGCGAGTAGCTGCACGTCTTGAACACAGTATTATCTACGCCTCAGCTCCCGAACCTGCGGGTCCAGTGTCCAGTCGATCGAAGTTAGGATTGCGTGCGCCTCAAGCTCTTCGCCACTGGTCGAGTTGTACTGGCTCTCACATCCCCCGGATCTGGTTCCACAGTCCCCCATCTATGTTTCCACTTTTTGACTACGTCATTTGACGGATTACCCACACCAATTTTGCATTCTCAAACATGCGTAGCGCGCAAGCAATCAAATGTTTCACCCTAACCCGTGCCTTGAGCCGTTCTATTGCGCCTGTGTTCTTATCGATCTCTTCTCTTCCTTGGTCTCTTGATATCCACCCTCGAAATACTGTCGAAGTGGGAAGAATGCGGAGCGGTATGCCTTCTATGCTGTGATGCTAGTACGCCAACGGCAGTGTTATTCTCATGGCACCTGCCGGTCCCCGGTATTGGACAAGGCCTCGATAGAACTTCCCATCCAACCATGAAGTCGTATGGGTGGACGTGGCTTCTGCGGCGACCAAGCTCCACTACAGTACCGTTCTTCTCAATAGTCACGGCCGACACGGGTCTCCGACGACGTTCCCACCAATTCAATCTACACTTAGTTGGCCTAGTTCTCATGAATGCGCCCGCTTTCAATCCGCTTTACTAACTACATAAGCATTATACCTGGAGGTACCCCTGTCTCCATACCCCAAGAGCTCTCGAGTTTGGGTCCGAGATGTCGTCTGAGTTTTTCTTGATTGTACCCGCCCTTCTCTTTTCTCTCATCAGCCTCTATCGCTGGCGCAAAGTCAGACTTCCTTTACCTCCCGGTCCAAAGGGTTATCCCATCATCGGCAACCTGTTCGAGCGTCCCACCGAAAACCAGTGGGTGAAGTATTTCAAGTGGTCCAAAGAATACGGTATCCCCTCGTCCTTTCCGTGTCGCGCCAATTAGCTGAAGCGCTTCAAAACTAGATTCAGACGTAATCTGCCTTCGCGTTTTCGGCAAACCCACAATTATCCTCAACTCGCGCAAAGCAGTCAACGATCTTCTCTCCGTCCGCTCTTCGCTCTATTCGGATAGGCAAGTTCAGCACCCTTCATCGTGCCGTTCGTTGGTTCACCCACACGTTCATTCGACAGGCCTAAGAGTACCATGATAAACGAGCTGTAAGACCGCAGCGGCGTGTTTTCGGCCCAGGATAGCTGATGGTTCTATGAAAGCCTCGGTTGGGAGTCATTATACAGCCTCGCCCCGTATTGTGAAGCATGGCGAGCTCGTCGCCGAGCCTCCTGGAAGGAACTCACCTCGGGTCGATTCACTTATCATAGGCCGAAGCAACTACTATACACTCATGATCTTCTGCGTCGCCTACTACAGGACCCCAGCAACTTCTTCCACCATATCAGCTAGTATGTGGATCAATACCCGATCTCATGCCTACCTCACCGTCCAATTTACCTACCATACTAAGCACGCTGTCCGCAAGTGCGATATCCATCGCGTACGGCTTGGATGTTCAGCCAGCACATGACCCCAATATCGAGCGCTGTGAAGCAGCGATTGGCCAATTGAACGATGCTGCGCTGGATGGCAATTATCTTGTCGACACTTTGCCGATGCTGAAGTACATTCCCAGCTGGATGCCCGGCGCCGGTTTCAAGGCCTACGCGGAGAAGGCTCGACCGAAAACTTTGGACATGTTCAACACCCCTTTCATCGAAGCTTGCGACAAAATAGTGAGTAGGGGCACTTGATTCTACAGCGCTATTGAAGTATCCTTGACTTTGGCAGCGCGAGGGTGGGGCTGAACAAAGTATGGTTTCTTCTGGTCTTGCGAGGGGCGGCTACTCCATCGACGACCACCCCGATCAAGAGATCATCAGAGACGTCGCTTCCATGGCTTATGCAGGTAAGCGATGCCAAATATTCAGCGTTCGATTATGGATATGCTGATAAGATGTGCAGGTGGCGCAGAGACCTCGCACCTGGCATTGAAAACCTTTGTTGCCGCAATGCTTCTTTATCCCTCCGTGCATGACAGGGCTCAGCAGGAGCTTGATGCCTACATTGGCTCTCAACTCCCGACCTTCGACGATTTACCCCACATGCCATATGTACATGCGGTTATGCTGGAAGTATTGCGGTCAGTCTCAGTCGGCGTCTTGTGCGACGCACTCACTTCTTCGTCCGTAGGTGGCAGGCAGTACTCCCACTAGGTCAGCGAATGTGCACCTCCCATTCTCATTATATCACCGTTGACATCGCCGAGCAGCGCTCGCACACCGGCTTACAGAAGCAGACACCTACAATGGCTATTACCTCCCAAAAGGCGCTACCGTGTTCGCCAATACCTGGTGTGTTTGTCTGCGGGTTACTCCTTCCGCAGCGGTCTCATGTATAATCATAATCTTCTTAGGGCACTGCTGCGCGACGAGGAGCATTATCCCGATCCCGATAGGTTCAACCCAGATAGATTCCTCAAAAACGGAAAAATCGACCGCAAACTCTGCGAAGCGATGCCTAACTTTGGCTATGGGCGAAGGTGCAGATCGATTCTCCCAACAGACTATTAAGGCCCTCTCATGCACGTCCATGCCAGAATATGCCCCGGCCGCAACTTTGCTATGGACTCCCTCCACATCTCGATCGCATCCATTCTGACGGTCTTCGATATCAGAAAAGCAACGGACGAGCATGGCCAAGTTATTGAACCCGAAATCGACTACACTCCTGGGTATACAAGGTATTTGCGTACGTTTCGTAGCTATTTCTGTGGTCATTTACGCCATTCTGCAGGCATATACGTCCGTTCAAATGCGCCATTACATCTCGTTCTCCAGAAGTGGAGAAACTCGTTTATGGTACTGACCTCTCGTAGCATGTGTCTGTCTCTCTTGGGTGAGACGAGGTTCTCTCTGCGTTTTCCAAGGACGCAATTCAAATATCCATAACAAGCCCCACCGTTAATTTGTCCAATTCGTTGCGATACAAGGAGTGCTCAGCTACGGGGAACCCAAGGCTTCATGAGATATCCGCAGCCCTTCCTCAATGCGTTGTCAGACAACGAGGAGTCCAAGTTAAGAGTAGTTGAAGATTATACAATCGGAATCGAATTCATCAGTTACCATGCTTTGATGTGGTCGTTGGGTGTTGCCTACTCCTTGGGCTCCAAAGAATTCGAAATCAGAGACTAACATCAACATCCCGAGAAATGGTTGCGCTACGCTTTCAAAAGTCCAATACATCCCAAAAATACATATTGATCCCCAGCTCGTTGGACTCTGCCAGCATCACTGTCGCACTGATGCGTGCTGCTCCAATTTGTGATCCAAAGAGCCCCCAGTCCTTTCGGACTCTAGCCCCACTGTTGCATCAAGTATCGACTGATTCGTCAATTACAATGTTCAACTATCAATGCTATATATATATCATACTCCACGCCCCATATTGCACGCTTTCGCGCCTGACATATCTGTTTGAATACTTTGTATATTCATATACACTTTGAGTATTTCATATAAAACCGACTTGCACATTCTACCTGTCCCTCCAGGCCCTCATTCACATCTGTTCGCCTCCGTGTCACTGTTCTATTGACATCCTTCTCCTTTCCAAGTATGGTTTACATCCCCAAATTCAATGCCCTCCTTGCCATGTCCACGCTGGCCCCTGGGACCAACTGGAAGGCGTCCAGAGACGCAAACACTCGAGGAAAGTAACGAGATCAAACGATATGACTGGGAGTGTAAAATGGGAGTACAAAAGAGAGGGAAAAAGGTGAGTAAAGTACGACGTATATATAAGAATGCAAATATCCTCTTTTCATTCTTCTGTCCTTCGTTTCGTCAGAGCCAGCAAGAGTCGAGCGCTTTTAGATCTTCAACGTCCGCTCGACATAGCCACCTATCTTCTTCGGCTCCATATCCAGCATAACGAACCAAGTATTCCGTCCCAGAGTGGCCTTTTCTCTCGTCGATAATCCGCTCCACTAACCATTCTTCTTCGTCGTCAACCAGCACCGCTTGAGGTCGTTCCAGTTCTCGCGAGGGCGAGTATTTATACGGACAAAGAAGATTATACACATCCCCTCCTTCACCGTGTCCCACGCCCTCTTCCGTTTCCCCTCCTCTTTCCTTCGTAATCTCCTTTCGGGTTCGAGTGGGCACCGGATGACGAGAGGTTCGGGATGGATGTGAATCGATAGCGGCGCGATGGCGCTAGCGCCAGCATGAGGCCGGGGAGCACCGAACCACCACCTGCCTCTGCATACAGAACCCGTCACGTAAGACTTCGGTATACTACTGCGAACTGCAAGGCTTCCCGTCTGTTAGCCATCTATCCTCGTGCGAACGTCACGGCCTAACTCCGTGTCATATACGCCATCAGAGCAGCCAGCCCGTTCTCCAAGTTGTCTCCGCTTTCCCTACGTTGCTCCAGGCCCGGAATTGGAAAACAAAAACACTGTAAGGGGGAAGTCAACCTTCAGCAGCCCGGATGTCAGTACGTCAGTGTCGATCCACTCGCAGAGTATATGTAGTCTTCGACGTGCCCACCTTGGAACCTGCTGATGACGCGTGATGAGACGCTGGCGGGATGTGTGAGAAAAGTGATTATATGTTTTAGTTCGCAATGCTCACGTTGCGTCTTCCCCTCATAGGCGTCTTCATTCCCCTGCGCTGTGCATCCACCTACCGCGTTCGTTCGAAGAGAGGCAGGTCGGGTGTATCAGGTACATCGCTTTTGAAGCCCGCGTTCATTGTCTGTATTTAATCCCCAGCCGCTAGAGCACATAGTGTGCATACACATGTCTGGACCCTCCGTCGACACCTCACATTCTCGGCCTAAACTGGTCCCATTCCGACGAAACCCGCGACGAATATGCTGACGGGCGGGGCAAGGAGAATGAGTCTGTCCAGTAAGCGGCATATCATCTCGCTCTTCAAGCGCCTCATAACGTCGGTCTCCTCGTCCTAGCTGTGAGAGTGTGGGCGCGTAGAGTCTCTTTTCCCGCAGCAGTGGGCAGACACAAATGAAGAGGCAACATAGGAAGGAGAGCGAGGGTCAACCAAGAAGTTTGCGACTGTTACATGACATCGGCGTACAAATATCCGCATCTGATCTACACAGTAATCCAGGGATGTTCGAGTAGCTCCTTCGCAGGAAGGCGATCATCGGGATGAATTCGAAGCATATACATCAGGAAACTGTGGAGTTCGGGGGTGAAAAGGCCATAGGAACGTAGCACATCTTCCAGTGTTTCGCGCGTACTCGTAACTTTGATTCTGGGAGCTATACGTGAAAAGGGCGTAGTATCAGCTTCAACACCAGGGTGGTATTAGCGTCATGAGAGTCGAGACGCACGATCTAGACTGTAGAAATGGTCGAACCGATCGCCATCGGCATAGAAAAAGTTCATCAGGCGGCCATTGCTCTCGTCGTCGGTGCGTAAGTGTGAGTAGATGAACGCGAAGTGGTATTGGTCGGCGGTAATCGTTCCTGAGCCATCGGACCGTTCTTGGGGTTGAGGGCGGAAGAGTCGAGTGCCGCTCAAGAGCTCGAAGACCTACAATCACGCACGGGCTGTATGAGAACGAGACAAGGGCAAGAACGACGGAGGAAGATTGATGGGATAAGGGAGGGCGGCAGCAGGGGGGCGGTACGTACGATGCATCCTAAATTCCATATGTCTGCCTTCGCAGTCCATTCACAGCCGAGGAGAGCTTCTGGGCAACGCAGCGCGACTGGCTGGATTTCGCGCCGATGGTCTCCTCGTTCGGGCGTGGCTAAGCGTCCGGGGTGGTCAGAAGGAGAACCAGGCGGATGGATTGCACAAACCAGACGAACCTGTACCGTAGTCGCTCAATACCGCCTCCGCATCGAGATAATTGGGCGACTCGACGCCGTAGCTATCGAACATGATGTTGTCCTGTTTGATGTCTGCGATTGGATATAAGCGACGCGCGCGCATTTGACGTTCGACGTTTCGCAGGAGGAGTGGGCACGTACCGGTGTGCACGATGTTCGCGTCGTGTAGACAAGCAAGAGCGCGCAAGATATGGCGCGTAACATGACGGACCAGAGGCGCGGGTACGCGGCGTCCATCGAAAGTGCGCTGGACATCTAGGAGACTCGCTCCCAGAACCTTCGTGACAAGGCAGAGGTGCTCGCTGTCTCTTCCTTCGGCGCGGAAATGATAAAGCAATGTCGGGACATTGGCACACAGCCGACTCCGGCGTTTCGCGAGCTTCTGGAGTACGTCGAGCTCGTAAGTGTAGGTGCCTTGGTACTCGCTGGCTTCGCTTGTGAGGACTTTGATGGCCAGCCGTGTGCCCCTGGAGAGATCGTCGAACGCGTTCGCCGGCTACGTAAAGCTCCAAGATTGAGGTAACGCACATTTTGTTGTCCTTTGCCAACCACACCGTCGAGTATCGCCCTTGGCCTAGTCGCTCGACGATCTCATACCGAGAATGAAGTGTCTGATGGGGGCGCAAGTCGAGATGAATACCTGGAGGGATCATCTTTTTCTTGAAGAGTCCTGACGCTTTCTTCCAGGCGGACATAGTAAGAATGAAGAGGTGGGTGAGTACTATAAGCCAAGCGTGTCGATATCGTCCACCGAGGGTTGCGTAGATGCCATGATGAAGATGAAGGCGATGTAGAAGGACTTAAATACAAATTTCGATCTCAGCCACAAGTTTGGAAATGCACGCCCACAGAGAATAACCTGAGCAAATACGATCACTTTGTAAGTCTATTTGCAGCTATGAATTGAGTGCCAATAGCAAGGAGATAACCTAGGAATACCTTGCGAGCATGCTCAATTATGGGCGCTTCAAAAGACGCGTCGACGACGACTAGAACGAAGTCTTGGTTGTAAGCACGAACTTAGTGACGAAGGCGAGGAGCAGGACCCATAGCCCCGCGCCAGGTTTCGAGCTATCCAATCCGCAGTTTGGAGCTGTGTCCAAATTGGAGTCTTTATGTAAGGACGTAGCCGTGGTCCATGGCAGGAGTTCCTCAGAACAAAAGGCTCAAATGAATGAAACTGGAACGTGTCGAAGGATGAAACTAACGGTGCACGAGCTCCATGTACGAGAAGCGATGATGGAAACAGTGTCCAAAGAAATGCTAAATAGGAATACTTCGTGTTCCTACATCGTCCGCGGGATGATAAAAAGAAAGACGAACGGGGGAGGGACCAAGGAGGGGCGTGCAAGGAGAACGGGTAAACATGCTTGTAGGTATGGAAGGCCACGGTGGGATCGATCATAGACGCGATGGATAGAGACAAGGGTCTATACACAGCAAAAATAGTATTTCCTTTGGCTGAGAACGAGCAGGTATGAACGACGGGTGGCAGTGATAGAAATTCAACCCGACAGTGGACCTTGAAGAGGCCTGGGGCTTCCCGTTCATTAGCCTCGCGTCTACACTACTCGAACAACTACGAACACGACGGTAGAGTGGAAGGCGCGTTGGAGCGAACGTGGATGCACTTGTGGTATTGACTGACTGAAGGAGCTGCCAGCTCGAAGCCACATCACGAGGCCAATGGGTCACGATCGCGCCCACAGTTATGAGGAATTCAGGAGTGCGGAGGATTAATGTGGAACCAGAGAAGTAGTCGATATATGATGCCCAACTCCTGCGGCAACAGGTATTCTGGCCTGATAGACCGCGCCCGTCAGAGGCGAGAAGGAGAAATCGGGTATGGTGAAGTCTAGAAGGAGGTGTCAGCTTGAGGACGCCCGCAAAGTCTGTATTCCCTATGGTAGACAGAGCCCAACAGCAGCGCTGGATCGCCAGTCACTGTCTCCGTGCTCCCTGCTTCTTCTCTTGTTGCAGGACTTTCGGGTCATCATATAGAAGTGGGAACGGCGAGGTGCATGAGAGTGTGCGGGAGGTAATGAAACGCTCTGGGGTCTGGGACATCTGGGGCGCTGGGAGGTTTGAGGTAGCCCCGGGCTGGACATCGACACGAAGCGCCTCACTTGGCCGACTACCCCGAGGACACGACTCCGTGGAACGCAGTATGCCCCTGTGCGCAATGTCTCAGTACACGAGTGCGAAACGCAATCTGTAGCAAGTCCCGGAGGAGGATGACTCGAAAGAGCTCAGGAACGCGGCCCGCCCGAGGGATTGTGGGAGGAGGTTGCTGCGTGATGGCAAAAGGAGCTTGGGCTTGGGCGAGTGATGGAGGGCGTTGAGTAGGATATCCAAGGTTTCCAGGCGGTTGAGCGAGTCGACGAAGGGCGGGGATCAAGCGCAGATGTGAAGGATAGGGATCAAGACGCAGTGCACGTCTGGCGTACGGCGCGATTTTTTAATAGCTCGAGATACGCAGGTTCTCCCCCCTCCTTGACGGGGTACGAGTCGTCCTCTGAAGAGGCAAGGGTGTGCTGAAGCTTGGGTACGAGCCGCTTTCGCTCAGATATCGCTTTTCTATCCCCCCTCGATGTATCTTCCTTCATCTGTATAACCCCAGCTAATTGGCATCGTCGCCTCATTCCGCTTGCCCCGTTCCAAGTTTCCATCGTCGAGCTCTGTGATCATCGGAGTGTTGCTCGCGCCGTGCATAGTGACGGCGAAAATGGCGAAACGGTGAAGGAGATGAGCATCGTCCTCGTATGGGTTATCCAGCAGTAGGGTAGGCCGGGGTATACGTAGTCGAGAGCTCATCAATATAGGACGTGCTGTGTTCTATCGTCGAGTATCATCACACCTTCATGTCACTGGTGCAAGAGGGTGATCCATATCTGCGAGTATGCCATGTACTTGCATCGGTAAACGCCTCGGTGGACGAAGGGGAGTCCTTGACACAACACGACAGAGTTGTGCCATCGCATGAGGCAGAATGAGAGCGCTAGATTGACCAAGCTCTTTCATTTCGCTCGGTCTCGTGAATATCACAGGCGAGGGGATCAGAAGGAGAACCAGGTAGATTGTAGAAACTAGACGAACCTGTACCGTAGTCGCACAATACCACCTCTGCAACACTGGTAGTAGATTCCATTCCGGAACTACTTACGTACCTAGTGCGTAGCCGCCTACTTCAACACTTACCCTTTCATAATCTCACTTGCCGTCGCCGTCAAGGTTGGCGCGGCGATAATATCGACCTTCAATGCTCGAGCGAACATCCCACTCCTCCCCGGCCAATACGCATCAGCAATATAGATACTGTATCCTCGCGTCACCCTGATGTCTTCTTCAGGATCTAGAATTTGTGAGCGGTAGTAGTCTCGACCTGAATGTATTCAGGGAGCAGTACACGACAACGTCTACGGTGAACGTCAGAGAGCATACGGTACAACCCAAACCCACACGCAAAGACCGGATCATTGTCGCTATCAGGTCCCTTCTCTAATCCTGGCGTTGTCGGGGTTCCAGTCTAGCGCGCTCAGATAGTAAGATACACATTTGAAGCAAGCGTAGGACAAGAAAGCACCCACTTTTTCGCTCCGACTACCGTAGCAGGGATACTCTTCAGCGCACCCCCGCCGGAAGCATCACACTTCAGATCGTTGGCCTTGAATTTCTGTTCCAGATCACCGTTCCATGCCAACGAACTGGCTGGGTTCGCAACCTTTGCACCCGCTTCGAAGCAACTCTAGAAGCGCAAGAATAGACTTCTCAGTAAAGGATGGCAGAAAGAAGTTAGACGGGGCGAGGCGAGTTTCCCTACTCACCGACCAAATGGGCCAGATCGGACTCGTCCACAACGACCCACTCTCGTTGAGATCCAAAACTGCCCCCGCTTTCGCCTGGACGCCAAAATTAAGCTGCAATCCAGCCGACAATTCAACACAGCCGCTGAACGAGGCTGCGCCATCGTCTTGGATAGAGATCCCTCGGCGACGGGCGCTGTGAGCGTATGGTGGTACATATAGATGGCGTTTGCCCTTGCCCTTGGTGGTACCCTTGTGCCCTGCGTGGGGGGCGGCAACTTTGGGAGCGGCAGCAGCAGTTTTGGAGTGGGAGGTTTTGACGGGGACGGCAGCTTTGGCGGGCGAATCTCTAGCAGGGGCGACAGCATTACCATTAGCAGCCTTGGCAGGAGCAGCGCCACCCGCACTGACGGTACCGGATGCGTGGGCTTCAGCGGCGATACTGACACGAGCAAATGCATCCGCTTCGAGGTAAACATCCGTGTTGATGCTATCTTTAAGTGCGGAGATGCCTATTTTGAGCGATGGGACCAAGTGCCCTTCGATGTAACCTGCGGTTGATGTCAGAATAGTAACCGTCGTTGTCTGTAAGAGAATACGAACCTTTGGCATTTGCCTGCGCGTTTGCCTTGAGTTTGAGAGCTGAATAGAGGTTGTCGTGAGCATGTTTGTTGGCAAAAGACCTGGGAAACGTACGAGCGTCTGTGGTATGCATGCCTTTCCCGACTGTCTGCTTCTTTGCCTTAGGATACCATAGCTCCACTGTGCAAATTCAACAGTTACCATAGGCATCATTCACGAATTATGATTTTCCAGAAGGCGAGGTGTAGTATATAAGCAAAACATTCAAAATAGAAAGGATACTCACAATTTTCGACATTGTACTTCAGATGAACATCCGTATCAATCTCCATGGCCAATAAAGCTTTCACCTCGGCTTCAAGGTGGACCATAGGGCCTACGGTGAGAATTCTATGCGATGAGTGACGTCAATTGAAAGAAGATAGAGGAGAAAATCCAACCCACCCGGGGATGGTAAGAAACGGAAGACCAACAGGACTGATAAGTTTAATCCTTTTAGAATCGTAACCACCCTAAACCATCGTCAGCAGCCGCGTAGCACATATAAGTCAGTGGAAACCTACGAGAACCGCAGCTTTTAACACGATTGATGCATCCACATCGAATGTCAGCCCAGCAAAGGCAGCAAACTCTTTGACCTTGGCCGGTATAAGCGACCCATCCATGATGACCCCTGCTCTGACAGTTCCCTTGATCCCCCCCCTCAGATCCACCTGTAGCGTCCCAGAAACAAGAACACCGCTTTTCGGACACTTTGTGTCTTGGTAATTGATGATGGTCTTGTTGCCATTAAACTCGAATGTCTGGCTTGCTGCTGGTGATTCATATCGGAAGGTCGAAGCAGATTGCAACAACCCTGGTACACTTTCAACTGCTTTGAACGCAGTATCAGCAGCCCCTGCTACTGCTTTCCCAGCGGTTTCGGCAGCTTGCCCGATAGCTTGCCCTGCCTGCCCCACAGCCTTCCCAACATCTGTAGCAGCGTGCCCGACAGCCTGCCCTGCGGTCCCGACAGCATGCACGGTGTCTGTGGCAGCGGTCCCAACAGCCTGCCCCGCCAGCCCGACAGCTTTCCCGACGCCTGCAACAGCCTGTACCACGCCGTTGGCCGCGGTATGAAAGGCACCAGAGGTCCAGCCCCCGACGGATTTCAAGGTATCGTCGAACCAGCTGTCGACGAACTCGAAGTTGAGGTCGATGTCGGAAGGAAAGTCGCGTGAGGGTGATGGGGAGGTGAGTCCTACGAAGGCGAAGTTGATATCGCCGACTCTGAGTCAATTGTGATTTATGATCAGCGGCGGCGAGGAGGCGATAAGGACGCCGCAGATAGTACATACTTCGAAGAATCGACTTCGTCAAAGTTGGTGTCAACTTTGAAGGAGTGGATGACAGGCGGAATGCCATCTCTTCGTACAACCCTTCCCTCGACGTGCCCAGGCAATGTCTGGTCGTGCGCCACCCACGCCTGGGAAATCCTCGCGAAGGGGCCGGCACCACACTATGTACGTGTCCGTAAGTCAGGCTTCAGATATAGAGAAGTAGAACGAACGTACCCCGTCTGGAAGCCGCACAATCTTGTCCACCGCGCCCCAATGATCAAAGACGTGGCTACATGATTCGTCGCTCGCCTTGTCGTCGGATTGACATACCAGTCGTATTTCCTGGGACAAAGCATGCGGGTCACAATCTAGTATGATCCATCCCGCAGCAGGTGTAATATCCGTGATTGCTTTTGGCGAACCTTTCTGTTAATGCGCGGGGGGATCGCGTGTTTGGGTTGGAGTTCTGTTGAACTGAGAAGAAAAAGACGCACAATTTTGAATGCACCAAGGGCTGAGTCACCGTGCGATGGTAGATCATAGGCGCATTCGCCATCGAAGCACGGCCTTGACCAGTCATTCGTGGCAGAGACAACCTCTACAACAGCGGCTCCATATGCGATAGCCACCAAGACGAACAAGAAATTCAGTGGCATTTTCGGAGTTGGTGCAAGTTTCATGTAGTCGTCGTCGTCGTAAGGGGAACCAGAGGCGAACTCCAACTATGGAGTAGTCTACTGGAAAATAGTCACTAGCCAAGGGTAATCGAAGGCGAGGTGATGAGCATGGGAGACTTGGATTGGATGTTTATATCCATGCGACCCTGCCTGTTTTAATAGCACAATTCCGAGTGTTGAAGACTAGTGTAGTGGATGGCGCTGCGAGTTGGGGAACTACGTGTTGAAGTATTAAATACTGGCTGCTTACCACCATCAACTCCTGTCACTACTTGAAGTTATCGTCCATTAAGTATGAAGGAAGATGCTGTGCGGTGTCAAGACTTTCTGGGACCATATCCTCCCTTCCTGAGTGTCGCTTAGGTTGTGTGCCAACGTTCCAACGCTTGAACTAGGTCGACTCTAAGTGGATACAATGCGTTTTCCAACTAAGCTCTGTAATATACCGCCGTGCCAGCAGTGACATCACGTATTGACTCAAGCGGTCTATGACAGTCTAGTTGAGAGTATGACAGTAGATTGGTACCAGCGGAAGTAGACGAACAATTGGATGTCTGAATAAGCCTCGTTGTTTTTGTCTGAAGCTGGGTATAAGTGACCGGCGCATTCGGTGTTGCGGAAGAGTAGAGTGGTGTGTACGATGTTCGAGTTGTGTCGCCAGGCAAGAACTCGCAAGATATGGCGCGTAACGTGACGAACCAGAGGCGCAGGTATGCGGCGTCCATCGAAAGGGCTCTGGACATCTAAGAGCCTCGCCCCCAAAACCTTCGTGACAAGGCACAAGTTATCGCTTTCCCCTCCCCTGACGCGAAATGGTCGAGCAATTTCGGAACGTTGGGACACATCCGGCTTGAGCAAATTGCCAGCGTTTTGAGGACGTCGAGCTCGTAAGTGTGAGAGCCTTGGTACGCGCTGGCATCGCCCGTGAGGACTTTGATGGCACATCGCTGGCAGAATCATCAGACTCATAAGTTGAAGTTATTTATCGTTCGAGATCACGTACCTTTCATTGTCCTTTGCCAACCACACCGTCGAGTATCGCCCTTGACCTAGGCACTCGACGATTTCGTATCGAGAATGCAGTGTTTGCTGTGGGCGCACGTCGAGAGGAATACCCGAACGGATAATCGTCTTTGTGAATTGTCCTGACACTTTCTTTGAGACGGGCATAGAGGCAGAAATGAAAGGGTAGGTGGGAGCTATAATCTAAGGATGGAGCCGTCCACTAAGCGTTGCGTAGGTTGTGTAGGTGACATGAATGATGATGAGGGCTTCGAGTTCCGTCCACTGGGAATAACTTGGACAAATACGGACCTATCGTCCTCTTCGTAAGTAGGTCTATCTGTAGCGGGACGTACGGCTTGCCACTTCTCCGAAATCATTCTTTATTATGCGAACTTGATAGCTCCACGAACCCGAGCCCTCTAGCTGACATCACAAATAGTTCGCAGTACTGAGGAAAATGAGACCAGCCACACTTAGTTTGACGAGACTACATCTATCTCTCAATTAGTAAGTCATGGGGATTTTTCGATGGCTCATCGAGTCGCTGACCCGGAGTTTAGCTGTAACAGAAAGTACCGTGCTGCACGGACTACCCATTGAGCACTATTACCAGCGAGCCCCCTTGTCGGGTAATGATGCTGGAGAGCGCATATTGATGATCCTTAAGCATCGGACATCTTTCTACACAGTCTCCTCTCTATACGCATTTACAGATCATACGTTAAAACAACGTTAGGTACCGTATACTCTTCTGAGTGATCGTGACATCAACAGACACCCGGCCTTCCGACAACGGGCCAAACACTTCCTTGAGCTTCGCCACCTCCAACCCCGTCCTCTCCACAGAGTATGCCTCTGGTCGCCCGTCCATGTCTGAGTACAGTGGCAGCGCGAGACTGACGCGCCGCAGTGCACCATCCCGCAGCGGCCGTAAAATGCGATACAATCTGCGGTAGTCCTCGTAGGTCGGATAACAGGGTTCGTCCGTTGTATCTTCATTCAGCTCCGGTGTGATGAACATGCTGATGTGCAAGAGACGAAGGTTGTCCAGAAATGGCGGGCGGTCAAGGCAGTCCGTGAGCCATTCCATGAGCGGCGCGAATGATGGCTCGTTTTGGTACCTATAGGCTAGTCTGATCGTCAACACAGAGGGCCTGACATACTCGCTGAAGGTGGGGACAGCCGACGTCGCCTCGACCGGAACTTAAAAAGACATTGATACGCGGACATTAGGGAGGGAAAGCGCAGAAATCACATACTTTGCAGAGTAAGCTCCGAGATGGAGCCCGGAATCGTCGCCCATATGTGGTGGAAAGGGTCGCCATCTACGTAATCGCAAAACAGTGAACGGAGGTTTGGCATCTCGAGGCGATGCATTTGCGGGTGATGTTGCCATCCACTCGATTGTTCGAGCGAGCGCAGCGCAGTCAAGCGGACAACCGGGGGGAGTCCAAAGTTTACTGGCTCCGTCAACGCCCTGCAAAGGTAGGCGGAGCCGCGCTGGATGTGACATGTCTCGAATGTGAGCTCCTCCAGCGTGGACGAACAAGCTGAGAGGGCATGGAGTAGATCCTCGCCGCCTTCCAAAAAGCCCCAGAACGAGAAGGTGAGCTGACGAACAGGTGCTTTGGCGAGCAAGCGCATGATCGCGGGCACACGAGCCTCTGGCAGGACGTCCGTTCTCGCAGTGTGAAGTGTCAGTGAGGACACATTCGTGAATTGGCCGAGAGCGTCTGCCTGCCAAGAAGGTGCTGGCTTGTTGGGGTCTTCATCCCCACAGTCGACGTAGAGGCGCTGAGGATATTTGCAAAGATGCGGTGCGGTGAAATGAAGAAAGGAAAGTTTGTCGATGTCCCAGAGGCGCACGCGTATTGAACGGAACAATCGGGGGCGGCAAATGTGATTCCATTCCCAGCAGACACGGGAATATACCTTCAAATAATTACGCCAAGATTTGGCGGCTTCGGTAATGATACAATCGATAAGCTCGATGGGAAGTCGCTTTGGGCAGATTGAAGGATGGGAGTCTTGGACGGATTCATCGTTTTGTGGCGCAGTGATAGACATATTCCACTATCAGCACATTCAGAATTGTGAGTCCTTGAACTCTGAAGGAGAAAACCCTTACCAGTCAGAGGGGCACCCGAGCAAATGCAATAATCGGGCAATGTGGCACGACTGAACGCCGGCGCCAATTGAGCGCCGCTTGAAGAAGGCTCGTTACGCGTTACTACTAACTAGTCACGCACCAATAGATAGATAGTTAACGGGTCAGGTACCAGGCTTTCTTTCGAGTACGTTATTTCAATTGTTTTCCTCGAAACGACAAGACTGGCTTGCCAGGCTATGCGGATATATGAATCTTGCGTCGTGAAGATTTGTGCGCCGCATGATGATACCAATGTTGAAGGACGTAAGATCATCTTTTTAGTGCTTGCATTTGGAAGGAACATCATTTGTACATACGTGCGATGTCTAGTACTACTTTCTGGCTTGATATTTTGGCAGCTTGAAGTTACGGCCAAGTTACCCAATACCCGAACGTTACCCCTGTGGCACCATTTGGCAGAAGCGCTGTCATTATGTAAGTTTGTAGAACAATCGTCAAAGCTTCATTCAACTCTCGCCAGTAGCCAGTAACGCCGCCTCTTACAGTTCCCCAACTTCAGCCTTCCGACAATGGCGACGAACAAGCCTAACAAGCTGGCGTTCTTGTCAATGCCAGCCCCTGCGTCTTATGTTGCTGGCCTGGGTCGAGGGTACGTCTTTGAATGTCCATTTAGCCATTACTGAGCTTTTTCAGGCCAACAATTCTGACAATATCCTTATAGTGCATCGGGATTCACTACCCGTTCTGATATCGGACCTGCACGAGAGGGTCCGTCCGCTGAAGTTATTGCGGAGGCCCAGGCTCGACGGGGGGAGGAACAAGAAGTCGACCCGGAACAATTCCAAGACCCAGATAATGAATATGGCCTTTTTGCAGGCACGACGTACGAACAAGATGATGAGGAAGCGGACAAGATATACGATCAGGTGGACGCTGCTATGGATGCACGCCGCAAAGCTCGCAGGTACGTCGGGCTCGCATTGAATATAATCTTAGCAGTCTCACTATGAATAGGGAAGCACGAGAACAAGAGGAACTTGCGAAATACCGTGCAGAAAGACCAAAGATTCAACAGCAATTCTCCGACCTGAAGCGGGGTCTGTCGTCCGTCACAGATGAAGAGTGGGAGAATATACCAGAGGTGGGCAATCTCACCAGGCGCAAGCGTAGGCGAGATGAAAGAAGCTTCGTAGTTCCCGACAGTGTAGTAGTGGGTGATAGGGCAAAGGGAGAATATGAGAACTCGTTAGATCCAATGCAACAAGAAGTGAGTCGCCCCCATTCGCTGCGTGGGCATCCACTGACTTATCACGAACAGACTGGTGGTCTCGCCACTCCTGCGGACTCGGACTCTCTTACGAATTTCGTCGAAATCGGTCAAGCCCGAGACAAGATTCTTTCCTTGAAACTCGACCAGGTTTCCGGAACGTCCACGGCCTCCGGTCTTTCTACTTCAATTGACCCCCGGGGCTACCTCACCTCCCTCGACTCGGCATCCGCCATGCTCAAAACCTCTGCCGAAATCGGAGATATCAAACGAGCGCGCATGTTGTTTGATTCTCTCGTTAAATCCAACCCAAAACATGCCCCCGGTTGGATCGCCGCCGCCTGCTTGGAAGAACATGCCGGACGAATGGTGGCAGCACGGAAGACCATCATGCAAGGGTGTGAGATGTGTCCAAAGAGTGAGGATGTATGGCTGGAGGCCGCCAGATTGCATGTACGTCTTCATACTGTGCTGCTGATGTGCGTCTCTGATATCACTATGAAGAACAACAACGATGCTAAGGTAGTCCTCGCAAACGCAGTTCAACACGTCAGTCAAAGCGTCAAAATATGGCTAGCCGCTGCCGACTTGGAGAGTGACGCGAAGTCTAAAAAGCGAGTGCTACGAAAAGGTGACGCGCTTTACATACTTATCATCTCGTAGCATCACTTATTCACTCCTATAGCCCTCGAACACATACCAAACTCGGTCCTTCTGTGGAAACAAACTGTGAATTTGGAAACGTCTGCTGTTGATGCGCGCATCCTCCTGTCTCGCGCTGTCGAGGTAATCCCTCTCTCCGTCGACCTCTGGCTCGCTCTCGCGCGATTGGAGACACCTGAGAAGGCGAAGGCCGTCCTCAACAGAGCTCGTAAGAGCATCCCTACTAGTCATGAAATCTGGATAGCCGCTGCGCGCCTTCTCGAGCAAGAGGCCGATCGATTAGTGAATGGAGAACCCTTGTCCCCCGAGCAGCGCGCCAAGGAACTAGAGACGGTCGACAAAACCATCGAAGCAGGTGTCCGCGGTCTTCGGAAGCACCAAGTTTTGTTGACGAGGGAGCAATGGCTGAAGGAGGCAGAGAAATGCGAAAGCGATGGGTCGCCCCGGACGTGTGAGGCGATTGTCAAGGCCTGTATTGGTATGGGACTCGAGGATTCGGAAGGCGATAGAAGTGCAATGGGCGAAGACGAGAAGTTGGACGTTTGGTTAGGAGACGCTGAAGCCGCTGAGAGTCGCGGGAAGATGGGTACTGCAAGAGCGATCATCGCGTATGCGTTGAGGTGTTATCCTGGTCGCAAGACTCTTTGGATGCGCGCCGCAGAACTTGAAAAGGCTCACGGAACTAGGTACGTGTCTCGATCTTTGCAGATCGCCAATAGATCAACTCAAGAATCTGTTCAGAGAGTCACTTGACGCGATTTTGGAACGCGCCGTTCATCACTGCCCACAAGTTGAAGTATTATGGCTCATGGCGGCAAAGGAGAAATGGCTGTCCAACGACGTCAATGCGGCCCGTGAAGTGCTAGCTAGAGCGTTCGGCGCCAATCCAGAAAGCGAACAAATTTGGCTTGCTGCTGTCAAGCTGGAAGCAGAGAATGGCGAACCTGGTGCTGCGAGGGAGCTCTTGACCAGAGCCAGGAGTGTGGCGGACACCGAGCGCGTAAGTGCTGACTCCTTTGTCAACGGACCCTCTGTTGACTGCCTTCCGTTCTACAGATTTGGATGAAGTCCGCCGCATTTGAACGCCAACAAGGGCAGCTAGATCTCGCCCTTGAGACTCTGAAGACCGCTCTCGCAAAGTTCCCCAAGTTCGCCAAGTTCTACATGATTCAAGGGCAAATCCATGAATCCCGCGGTAACATCCCCCAAGCCAGAGCGTCGTACGCTGCTGGACTCAAAGCGTGTCCTAAGGTTATTCCGTTATGGATTCTCGCTAGTCGCCTGGAGGAGAAGGACGGGAAGAGCATCAAAGCTCGTTCCTTGTTGGAGAAAGCTCGACTCGTCAATCCGGCTAATGACGAACTGTGGGCGGAAGCTGTTCATGTTGAAGAGCGAGCAGCTACAACGAGCTCTACCTCCCAGGCTCAAGCCCAGGCCAAGGCCATGCTTGCGCGTGGTCTCCAGGAATGCCCTACCTCCGGCGTGCTGTGGAGTATGTCGATTTGGTCTGAGGCTAGACCCACGCGAAAAAGCAGGAGTGTTGATGCGCTGAAGAAGAGTGCGGATGATCCCATCATCGTTTGCACGGTTGCGAGACTGTTCTGGTCGGAGCGAAAGATCGAGAAAGCAAGGACGTGGTTTGGGAGGTCAGTTGGAATTAACGAAGACTGGGGTGAGTCGTGGGCATGGTGGCTGAAGTTTGAACGAATGCACGGCACCGAGGTTAGATTCACTATCGCTCAGTCGACAGTCAGGAACTAACGTTCGATTGATAACAGGAGCATCGCGAGGAAGTACGGAAGCGGTGTGTGGCGGCAGAGCCTCATCACTCACCGATGTGGCAGTCAATAGCGAAGGATCCTCAAAATACTGGGAAATCGATACGAGACTTGTTGGAGATGGTTGCAGACGCATTAAATTAAGTCGTCTTCATGTATGTTCCTGTCCATACTATTGTACTTCATCGCGCCTGCTATCCGAACTTTCTATTCCAGTCAGTGTCGTTGGTCGCGTCCGACTTCCGGTCGCTTGGTCAGTCAGAGAAAATGGGCCGCCTCGTGTCGGAACGTAGTTTAAATACATCTACCCCGGGTTGATGATTGAATATAAAGATATTTCGCTGTTACTTCAACCGTTCCCCACGCCTATCCGGAGGTCATGTCTCACGTCGTATTCGCTCCCTTCCCGCCTCCAAAGTCTGGCCTTGGTCGATACCGAGTACTTTCCTCTCGCGCTGGGGTGCATGTCTCCCCACTCCAACTGGGTGGAATGAACATTGGCGATAAATGGGCTTCGCTGGGTATGGGAGCCATGGACAAAGAGAGCAGTCTAAAGCTCCTAGACGCGTACTTCGATCTAGGGGGAAACTTCATAGATACCGCAAGCAATTAGTGAGTGCATCATTGCTTGTCCGTGTCAGGACGTACTAAGGGAGTGCGTCGTTGTTTCCTCCAGCCAGGACGAGTCTTCGGAAATAATCATAGGTGAATGGGCCGAGTCGCGTGGCGTACGCGATCAAGTAGTGATCGCCACCAAGGTAACATGAACATGTGGCCTATCCTTCAACACAGTTCTCATTCTTCTTACTTCGTGCCCCCGAAACTAGTACTCGACGCCGTACAAACGTTCTGATGACACCATCAAAATCAAAGTCAATCACGGCGGGAACTCAGTCAAGAACTTAAACATCTGCGTAGAGGCCAGTCTAAAGAAACTTCGCACAACGTATATCGATATCTTGTATGTTCACTTCTGGGATTACTCGACGTCGGTAGAAGAGGTCATGGATGGGCTGCACCATCTGGTAGCCCAAGGCAAAGTTCTGTATCTGGTGCGTATGTCCCAGCCTTCTGTGGGTGTATTCAACAACATCCACAGGGGATTTCTGACGCTCCCGCTTGGGTTGTCGCGAAAGCCAACTCATACGCGCGTTTTTCTCATAAAACGCCCTTCGTGATCTACCAAGGAGCATGGAATGTTATTAGTCGTGATTTCGAGCGCGACATCATCCCAATGGCACGCAGTGAAGGCAACCCTATTTCTCCTCGTTTATCCTTCAGATGCTTACTGGCATCCAAGGGATGGCTCTGGCCCCGTGGTTTGTACTCGCGGGCGGAAAATTGCGCTCCGACGAGGAAGAAAGACGCAGGAGAGAGACGGGAGAGAATGGTAGGACATACAGCAATCCGGACTGGGAACGATCCCCGGCGGAAGTTGCAGCTTCGCGAGCCCTTGAAGAGGTGGCTAAGGAAGTCGGAGCTAAATCTATTTCGGCTGGTATGTTTCGCACAATACTCAACGGCAAATGCTCTCGTTGATCAAATGTACACTTCCAGTTGCCATAGCGTATGTCATGCACAAGGCACCATACGTATTCCCTATCATCGGGGGCAGGAAAATCGAACACTTGCAAGCCAACGTGGAGGCATTGGAGATATCCCTCTCTAAAGAGCAGATCAAACGCCTGGAGAGTGTTGTCCCTTTCGATCCTGGATTTCCACATAACATCTTCGTAAGTTGGCATTGGTCTTCGTCGTCCAGAACACTCGGTGAATGTGCTAATTACTGCGTCATAGGGCGATGGCACCCAGTACAACAGGTTCATCCTTTCATCGGGTAACTTCGATCCGCGACCGATACTAGAGCCCATCACTCCGTCAAAGGCTTAAGGAAGTACCACGGAGCCTACGTTGGTAGCAATAAAATCAATTCGTTTGTGCTACATCCGGGTTCCGGGCATGTGCAAGATGGTCCTGCACACACGCTATTGGGAAGTCTGACTTGATGTCTTTCTCGCTGTCTTTCAAAGTGACGGATTCTTGTCGGCGTAACTTGGGAAGCGGCTCCCCGTCTGTGCCATCCATCCAGAATTCAGGAGGTCGCTGCTGGGTTTTGCCTCCATGATCAAGGTACTCGGCCATATTAAACTGTCCATTTACTTACTATGTTCCCTGAGGTAAGCACGATTCTGTGATCGAGCTTCGAGGTGAGGTTGTCCAAGAAATTCCGAACGGAGGTTCTCTAATTCCCAAGCGGCGAGTGATATGCGAACCAAGGTAGAGATTATCTCGTAGAACTGGCTTGCGCCGTCGATGAAAGTAGCCTGAAGGGCAAGGAACGCAAGAGCAAGGAGCGATCTCAACACAGGTAAAGCTGCAATTTGGCGCCGCGAGCGCTTGCTTTAGGTCAATTGCGAACCTAAAGCAGAGTCCTTATGTAATGATGACTAATTCAAGGGAATCACGAACGATAATGATTAGGACACCTTAGTTTTGCAAGATGCGCAAGAACATAGGTTTGGGCTTCGACTTGTTCTCTTCATAAAACTATCTAACCCAACACAGACTCGTGGTGCTCCATGACTTCCGAAGAGCAGTACGACGCGCGGTTACGCCACTTCCGAGAGGAGATTAGTCGATTGAGCACAAGGCGCAATGCAGATTCAATGGCTGAGCGTAACGAAGAAACTCCCCTCGGAAATTCTCTCCCTCATCTTTTTTCAATGCGCCATGATAGATGACACGGGCCCTAGCCCAAGCTGCGAACATGTCTCTCATGTTAGCAAACTATGGCGAACTGTCGCAATTGAACGAACCCCGGCTTTGGACAAACCTCGAAGGGCTATCTGAGCAGTGGATTCAAGAGTGCGTCAAGCGCTCAAAGGCATCACCATTAAGGATAGTGTATGTCGGCGACTCAGATGACTTAGATGATGACGCCTATGAAGACGACGACTCGGTGGAGGGGGAGACTCTGGGGGCTGAGACAGACTTCGCATCTTTCAACTCTTCGCTACCTCCTTGGGAACGACCGGAAGAAATGACATTCAAGGCAAGGGAGATGTTAGAGCCTTTGTTCGACTTGCCGGCTAAAATTGGGGAATTGCATGTCGAAACGTGTCGAAGAGACTTTCTATCGTGTCTGGATACACCCGCCCCAGTTTTGTCGGCTTTAACTTTGAAAAGAGTTCGTGTTCCGGATAACTTCGTGGGCGGCTACGCCCCTCGCCTACATCTGGTCGCCTTGCGATCAAGCCGTGTCCAGAGTGTTCGTCATCTAAGTCTTTGTCGTTGGGCAGGTGAAACGAGTGCAAGCACAATTCTGTCCGCCCTGGCCCACCTCGCTCGCTTGAAATTTCTGACGATGTCATTCCCCAGCGTGCTTCTCACCATGGACTCGAACTGCAACCAATCATCCTTCCGAATTTGAGCACTGCGCAGTTCTGCTTTTCTGCTTCACAAGTAGCGGTCGACGATGTCCTAAACTTCATTTCCTGCCCAAAGATCCGGCGATTCTCGATCAATTGGCCCCCGGGTTTCATGATGGATATAACTCTTGCCAGTCGAGCTACCCGATTTTTCTGCAGAAATTGCGACTTTGTGCCCGACACTCTCCAATGGGGAGATGATGATTCATGTGATCCGACAAGAGTACAGCTCGCTGTCCGGCAAGATAGCCCAGGACAAGGCGATTTGTCAAGATTAATGTTCCGTAACTGTTTTTGGTTACCGATTGGAGAATATCTCACAGAAGCCTTTCCCAACATTCAGCTTCGTTACCTCAAACTTCATTCGGGGAAACCGAAGCTAACGGACCACCCAATCGAGGAGTTGTCCATTGGTAGCGGCGCTGCGAATATCGGCGTGATGCTGGATCAATCGCCGGTATATCCTACTCTTCGCCACAGTGTGTTGACCCAAGTCAGCCTCCCCCCGAAGGCTAAAAAATTCCCAGCACTGAAAAGATGGCTCAAGGCGCAAAGGAAGATCGAGAAGCTGACCATCGTGGGGAGTTTCGCGTTCCCTCAGAAAGATATCCAGGCCCTAGCGAAGATTGTAAGACGGGTGGAGTTGGTGAATACTCGAGGATAAATATACCGGTGCGGCCTTATTGTTGTGAAGAGCAAGAGTAGCTACTTAATTTGTTCTTGCAGGCCAGGACCTTTGGCTACGATGTGATAATGTGGATCAATTGATCATGGTCGGGAGCTCGTCAGCCTAACGAAAATAAGGATAAGTGAAGGACCCGATGAAGATAGATCGCAACAGTTTTGAGGAACGTGTCATATGGCTGCTGGAACATGGTCAACCAGATGGGTTTCCGCAGCACTACTTACGAGCACGTCCACATTTCAAGTTTTCTTATCCAACTACTTACGTACTGCTTGTTTGTCCTGTTTAGAATCCACGGTCCCTGCCCATAGTGCGTCGATATCGACTATTGTTATCACGTACAGTGTTCCATCAAGGAGCGGATACAGTGATGAAACATTGTCTGAACCAATCGACCGTTGCATTAGGGTCAGCAATGCCCTTGATGTGTGATGCAGTCAGATTGCACGCACTTGGAAGATGCAATGTGGTGTAATCAAACTTTCTCTGACTCTGATGGCACGGAGGCTCATGAAGCCCCGCCCTCCTTTACGGAAGCAGACTGGGCTGCATCCGCCAGGGCGGGGTTGTAGCGGAGGCCCCCGCGGTGAGCGAGAGCTTCATATTAATACTGTATGGTGTTATCTTCGTGAAAACTTATCAATCATTCCTATTCAGCTAGAAGTCGTCCGTCCTCGCCGCCATTGCGCGCGACTCGCGACCCCGGTGCGTGATGCTTGCTGCGTGCCGCGATGCATGGGCGCAGTCAAGGCGTAGTTGTCGTCTAAGAATAGCGAGTGGTCCTGCGGCAGGCAAATCAGCCGATGACACTAGATATTTATATGTACCGCTGACAGGTAAATATAGCAGAGCAGCACTGCCGTCAGGTAATATACATATATACCGTAGGCGACCGCTGAACTCAGACAACGCCCTCAGAAATGTCAAGTTCTCCCCAGTTCAGCTACGCGGATGCATTTGGGATTGATTCCCTCGGAGCACCGATCCTCTTCGCCGTGCTGTACGCTCTATGTGTTGGGGCTTTTGCATTCAAAGCTCTTCGGAACCCCACATTTGTCTTATTCGTCCTGACACTTTTCTGCGCAAGTGAGTCTTATCATACCAATACTAGTCCCCTCCGGATTGACTTTCCCCAGTCCGAGTTGCCGCTTTCGCCATTCGAGCTGCCATGGCTGGATCAGCGTCGTCCGGACGTAGCCTAGGTTTATATATCACTGAACAGGTTTTGTTTGGCGCTGGCTTCGCCGGTTTGCTATATTCAGCTTATATTCTGGTCCTCGACCGGTGCGCGGAATATTTGCTTTCTTCAACGGTTGATTCTGACTCGACTTTCCCTTCTAGAGAACAGGCATCCATTGCAGATATACCCCAAGGCCCGATATCTCGTATCACGAGAAATAGACGGCTGTTTCATCTCGTACTTGCCGTCGGTGTGGCTTTGGGCATCGCTGGATCAACGCAGGGCACCTCGCCTGATAGCTCGCAGAGTCAGAGAGATTTAGGTCACACGCTGAGGATCGCCGGCGCGATAATACCAGCAGTGTTGACTTTGCTCCAAGCATATAGAACCCTCTTGTTCTCAATTGCGGAGCACGAAGGTAAGACCTACTCTCTGCCTCCCGGACATGGACTGTAATTCTAACTCGCATCGCCGTTGCAGCGCACGAGGATAGCGATACCAGGCTCAAAGCAACACACGGAAATTGGGTCCTATGCATTATATCTATCTTACTCCTCGTCAGGGAAGCGTATTCAGTAGCAGCAATCGCTCGCCAGTCACTCCAATACAAAGAAGCCCTGTGGTACCCACTACTTGCGCTCCCCGAAATCCTCGCTGTTTTTTTGTACGCCACACCGGGGTTAGTCCCTTCACGCGCACAGCTAAACCAAAGGTCAAGGGGAGGGGATATGGAGTTATTGAAGTCTGACCACACATACCACGGCTAGTTCCGAGGTCTTTCTATTTGTTACATCATAGTTGTTACATTTGATATCGTGCAATCCATTACAAACCGTTCCACTCGAATGGCTTCGTGATCTCAATGGTCCCATGGAGCACTATGTCGGTGCTGCTGCGTCCTACCTTTACGCTATATGGCCCTTTCTCTACGACCCACGCCTGGAATGTAGTATCCCAATATGAAAATGTGTACTTATCCAAGTTGATGACAACTTTCTCGCTTTGGCCAGGTACTAGATCGACGACCTTTGCAAATGCCTTGAGTTGGTGATCCAAGCGAGTGACAGCACTAATTGACTGCGGTTGACCGATATAGAGTTGGACAACTTCGGAGCCGACGAGGTTCCCAGTGTTAGTAATGGTAAGAATTGCTGTGACTGCGGGGCCGTCGCTCGTGTATTCAACCGCAGAAGTTTGGAGGTCCGAGTACGAAAAGGCGGTGTATGAAAGACCGTGTCTACGGAATTAAGTTGGTAACGGGGACCCGGAGGGAGGTGGTGTACGCACCCGAAGGGGAACAGTGGCGATATATTGCGATGATGGTAGTGCTTGTACCCCTATGAACGAATGTAAAATCAAAGGTGATCTACGTTTTGTGGTGACTTACGACGTGCAATTCTTCGCCATAGATTAACTGGAGCGGGCAAGTAAGTTCTAGGGGTAGAAGATAAGAGGCAAACATTCAAACACTGACTTTGCCATTTTCTGAATTGAAGTGCCCGTGCGCGGGTACGTCTTCTAAACGGCGAGGAAAGGTCATCGACAGCTTTCCAGACGGGTTCTTTGTTCCAAAGAGTACATCCGCAACGGCGTCCCCTGTGGCATTACCAAGATACCATGCATGAACAAGGGTGGAGACCGAATCTATCCAGGGCATCGTAATAGCGGAGCCCTGGGGCGGAGTCAGCGCAATGCAACATACAGATGGAAAGTGAAAACGAACGGATTGGGTGACGACAACCGTGTTTTTATTCGCCCTTACGACCTTCTCAATCAATTCGTCTGTCCGTCCAGGAAGTGCAAGAGTTGTTCTATCGTATCCCTCCGTCTCCCAATCCGAGTTCAGACCGACGACTGCAATGACAGCGTCCGCATCCTTCGCCAAATCAACGGCAGCCGCCATCATTACGTCGGCATCCTGGACTTCTGCACCACCAAGTCGTATGCCCGGGTTACTGTCCATGACAGCCTCGTCCTCGTCGCCATCGGCTGGTCCACGAACGTTGCAATATTCAACGACGATCTCATGTTTCGTGTTTGCCTTCAGCGGGAAGACACCGCGTTCTTCTTCTGAGCCCACGCCAAAGAAGGCCTCTCCACGTCGTTGACGAGTCCAGTTGTCGATTACAAGTTCGCCATCAACATATAACTGAGAAAAAGGCGCAAGTCAGTAATGAACAAATGTTTGCCTTAGACTTTGAGATTACCTTAGCCCTTCCAGCGGCAGTAAGACCGAACTCAAATTGGGTATCTTGGGTACGAGGGATTAGATAGCCTTTGAGCCTAAGCGACCAACGTCGCGTGATTCCATTGGGAGTTGAAGTGCTGATGAATATTCTCGTCTCGTCGATATATTGAGTTCTGATGGGCGTCTTAAGAGGGACCATGCTCTCGTCGTCTTCGTGGCTATACCACTCTCCAATCCAACCACGGTCGCCAGCCTCTGTGGAAAGATCGTAATCAAGGGTTGGCATGGTCATATAAGCTAAGGATATTGTGAGCAGGTTGAAGGGAATGTGTAAAGACGGAGCATACCTCTCGCCCCTTCGCTATAGGTTACCTCCACATCGCCAGCAGCCTTCAAGGCGTTTACGATGCCCTCATACGGCGAGACGAAGTAAGATGCCTTCAAAGCTGCAGAGCCGCCACCAGACAGTACCAAAGCTTTCGCGTTCCCACCTACGATGGCGACCTTCTTCAGACTTTTGGGCTGCAAGGGTAGCAGATTCGCATCGTTCTTCAAGAGCACAATGGATTCCGCAGCAACACGCCGCATGAGCGCCCTATCTTCATCCTTCTCCACGGTGCGTTCCAAGCCGTCCCCGTCGAGTATCTACAGCCCCGTTGAGTGGAGGTAAAGCCTGGAATTGTTGCACGTACTTCGGGCGCGCCGTTGGCGCACTTCTTGACGAGTTCGAGGACCTTCTTGGCCCTTTGCTTGATGGTACGGGAAGTCAGCTTTCGGGACTGGATTGAGCGGTTCATCAGGTCGAGTGTCCGCCACTTATTGGTGCCAGGCATCTCCAGATCGAGCCCCGCATTCACGCTAAGATCAATACTGTAAATCCCGAACCTATTGCTCAATGCTGTGGTTAGATCACGTTGAAATTGCCGCCAAAAATACGTACCAGTCACTCATTATCTATTTTGAGGAATACCCGTGGGCTTGGTCACCGAGGTTCTTAACAGGGAGGAGGCAAACACCTACCATTCCATCGTATTTCCATTCGTCACGAACCACCTTTTGGAGCAGCGTCGGGTTCTCGGAAGCGTGTGTGCCATTCACGCGATTATAGCTAGATTAGCGTCGGCAGGTTTGCTCATATTGTATTGCACTCTATACGTACGCAGTCATCATGGCCCAAGGCTGGGCAAACTTCTGTGCCAGCATGAACGGCATGAGGTACACCTCGCGGAGAGTTCGGTCTCCTACGATACTGTCGTACCCTAGTCGATCGTTTTCTTTGTCGTTACACCTGCGTACGGAGGCGTCAGCCACTTACACCATCTAGCGTCCAACGTTCGCCTACACGAAGTGTTTAATGGTAGTTCCGATTCCACCTTTCTGCACTCCATTGACGTAGGCTGCAGCGAGCAGCCCGGATAGAATCGGGTCTTCCGAGAAGCTTTCGAAGCTCTAGCAAGGCATCAATATTGGTCGTCTTTTCAGTTTCGAATCAATCACCCTTCCGCCTAGCGGATTCTATAGACCGAATAGGTCAACGCCTGCCAAGGAACGACGGCGGGTAGGACTGACCCGCTGAATGTTACAGGTTGGGGCTAAGATGACCGAAGCAGCTCGCAGCTTGGCTTCGGGCGCCAACAATTTCAAACCTACTTCCTCGATCAGCTTCGTGTCCCAGGTCGATCCAAGGGCCGTGGAGGACTGGTATCAAGGGGGAGATCATGAGCGCGATATCGCCGAAGGGCCAACATCAACACTGACGGGAAGACATTTCGCGGGCGTCCCCATAAAGAAATGATTTCCTCGGATTCCTGTCATAGGGTCCTTAATTTCCGCGTGTGGTCGTGCAACTGGGGTATGGATACGTACCATTTGGACCATCGCTAACCTGACAGAAAGATAGGCACATCCATTGAGGCGTGTCGACGATAGAAGAAACCCACCTTGATAGCTGGAACGCCCAACCTTGGTATCTCGTGCGTATGCCAGAATCCAACGCCGGCAGTCAACAGAATCGCCTCGTCCGTAGTCAAGCTCTCCACAATTTCAGGTATATCGGCATTCTTGAAGTCGGAGGGAGGCATTGCGTGGCTCCTTAGATGCTACTGGGGCAATGTGGGGAAGGAAGGAAGGCAGGGGGGCTCAGATAAGATGCGAGGCATCTTTATAGGTGTTCTCATCCGCCAAAAACATCCAAGCACCGGAGCAACATCACTGCAAACCGCGCACAAAAGCTACAGTATGTAGTAAGCCGAAACCGAAACCAGGCAACGATCCCTGAGTAAAATAGACTCGTTGAGGCTAAATATGTCCCGGCGAGGCGACCGATTTGTGTATCCGAGATTTCTCCGGGCTCAAGATTATGGGGTGAACCGAGGATATCCCGCAGCAGAGGAGAGCAGAGGTCACGGTGGGGTGGTATCTGGCGGAGACCGGCGGTCGGGACTAGTTTTCGGGTGGAGTGATGATGGGAACGGGATCAGTTGGGTCATGCGTAGGTACGTAGGAGCGGCGCTGAGAGAATCTTCAGTTCCAACATGGACTACAGGTGCCAGCGCATACGGGCACAATGGGGGAAACATGCACCGGGCGTTGCGGCATCCAATAGTAGATGCATGAGCTAGTTGGAACGTAGGGTCGCGCGTATACCCCAAAGAATTGCGCGAGTCGAAGGGGGTCGGAGGTTCGTGATCAGTGAGCGTGACGACTAACATGATTATTTGGGTACATACAGTATCCTTGGTATTCATTTTGAAAGGATGACGGCGAGTGAAAGGCGATCAAGTGATTAGCAACCGCGAAACGCAGGCCTTAAGGAGCGTTTGATTATTTTGAGCGAGTGACATTCGAAAACAAAGAACATGACAGGTAGGTACACTGAGGACCGTTCATCCGTGAGTCATCGACATGGATCCAATTGGGGTGGCAAACGACTCACGATGATGTAACAATAATAAAAGCGACCGTCTCAAGTAGTGGTAGAGTGCGACTCCACGCCGTAAATGGTAACACCTCGCTAATAGATGGATGTGAATAAACAGCTTGCTTTACATCCCACACACGCAGGAAGAACGCACCTTCCTCGGACACCTATCCGTCACCCGATTGCACCCCCAAACCTTCACCTCCCGCAGCTTCCCACAACACTTCAGTATATCCTTGATCAAAAAATCGTCTACCGATCTGCACCACCCCAGATCCAGAAACACCAGCTCCTTCCCGAAGGCATGTATCGCATCCGCGTTGAAATCACCCCACCCGTTGAGATTCAGCCGCTGTAGTGCGTCGCCGGAGTGCTCCAGGATGCCCGTCAGTGCATTACTGCCGAGACCGTAGTTCCTCGAGAGGTCGATGCGCGTTAGCGCGACATTCTCCCAGCCGTTGAAGAGCTTGGCGACGCCCGCGTCGGTCAGCTCAGGCAAGTTGTTCAGTGCGAGATCTTCGAGGTAGCGCAGGGGTTTCAGCCCTTTCTCAAGGAAAGCATCCCCCAAGAGAGAGTGGCCAGACAAGTCGAGTTTGGTCAAGTTCCCCCCGATGGCTTTCATCGCCTTGATCATAGCAGCCTCGGTACACGACTGTGACGGCTCAGAGAGGTCCAGGCTCGTCAGACGCCCTTTCTTGATCGTCCCCAGCGACGTCAAAAACTGATCGTTCAACAGCCCAAGTTCTTTGAGCCGGAGCGCGGAGAGGGCCTTGCAATTCGCGAGCAGGCTCTTCAGGCACGCGAGGTCGAAGCGGGGGCTCTGGGTGATGAGGAATGCCTCGAGCTTTGGGTGCGAGGAGAAGAACTTGAGCCAGCCGGGGGGACGGACGAGAAAGGGGCCGAGAAGCTCGACGTGGGTGAGTGCTGGGAGGGATGTAGACCATGCGTCCATGACCACATCGTTCATGCGCCCGCAGAAATCAAGCCGGAGGGAAGTGAGATTGGGGTTTAGCTGGGCCAGTGTGTCGAGCGCCGAAGGTATCAGCTCTAAAATGTGGGATAAGTAGCCTGCAATATCAGCGACGGTGGTACGCACTAGTTGCATCGTATAACGTCAATGTGGTATTGTGGGCGCCGTAGAATAACTGAGCTGTCTGTCCGGTACTGCGACCAAGTCAGTGCTCGAGGCAAAAGAAATCAAGCTAGCATGCTTACAGACTACGATTCTTCGAGATCGACTTGGATATCTCGTCCATGCTGATCGAACTCAGGTCCCCGAGCGCCTCCACATCGTCGATGTGTTCCGATATGAGCTTCGACGCGTCAATAGGGGTGAACAGACACAGACAGACATCTATACATACCTGAATGCACAACGATGACAGCGACGGGAATCTCTTCTCTTCAAAGTTCGTGACGGTGCGCTTGTCGGCCGGTGCTCTGCGCTTCTTCGGCACGGCGGGTTTCTTGAAAGGATCTGCCCCGCTCGACTTTGCACATGGGTGGCACAGGAACCCAGGCCCAGGGTTCGCGGCAATAGTATACTTTGTCTGCGGTAACAGATATTGATAGGCGCAGTTAACCAAATCGAATCGAACAAAAGCTTACGACGGTGAACTGCTTCTCGCACTTTGCGCAATTCTCAAAGCTCCCGACGGGAGGCTTAGCCGGCGAGTTCGAGAACCTAGATTTCGACAATGCTGTGTACATGTCGTCCTCGTCGCTGCCGTCCTCGTCGTCGACGTCCACATCCTTGCGGGCCTTCTTCTTGGCTTGAGCCTTCTTCTTGGCTTCTGCGGCCTTGCTCAGTTTCGGTTTCTTGGTGGGGCTTGCGGCGGCGGAGGTGGGCTCATCCAGTTCGTCTGAGACATATCCAGAAGCCTACATGGCGTTTGGTCTTTGTTCTACAGGGCTCGATGTGCAAACTCACCGTAGCTGCTCGGGTTGCGCGACGACGACGTGGCGCGGGCGGCGCAGTCACCTCATTCTCCTCCTCAGCCATTTCATGATCCTCATCCTCGTTTCCATCCTCATTTCCATTGGCCCCTTCGTCTTGGGCGACATTGCTGGGCCCTCCTTCAGGGGGATCTCTGCGAGTGGCCGCGCGTCTTCTGATGACTGCGGTAGTGATTCCTGACGCTTGCAAGAAGTCAGTTAATGCAGAAGTTGGTCCTCGAACGTTATTTCGACGGCTCATTGTGGAGACGGGCGCGAAGTTTCAATTTGAAACCTCGTTGCGACGCGATTCGTGTAAATTGCACCACGTGACCACTTCCAGAACATTGTTTTGGCTCTAGCGATTCAAAAATAATATAATTGCCTGTTTTTAGAGGGCAAGACATTCACGCAACGTCAGCGCGTCAGCTCTCAAGTTTGTGGGTACTCAAGAATAGTGGGTAGCAATCCCAAGTGTCCAAAGGAAGGAGGGAGGTGGGCGAAAAGAGGAATTTAAAGTTCTAATACCATTCGGTTTACAGCAACGACAATCAGCGTGTTTTCGACATCCTCGTCATCGACATCGGATACACAGACAGCGATCTCTGGCTCGTGGTCCAAGAAAGAACACAGGCCTTGCTGCAAAGGAAGAATACAATGAAGTATGCCCTTCTACGTTGATAAACATCGTTTCTTCGTCCTGGGATGCATTGCGTAGGGTTCATGTTGATATCTGGATACCTCCCATCCCCGCCAAGGCCGCCTCTCGTGCGTTCATATCCGCTGCCCACTTCCTCGCTTCTTCAGGAGAGAGGATGCGCACGGTGGATAGTTTGCGGGCATGCTCAGTTCCGGAATTGGACCCATAGATGATAGAACACGCACCTTTCCGCGTTCATTGCCACTGCCACGGATCCAGATACCATTGCGGGTCCTTGACGTCAAAAAACCTCTAGGCAATTTGCTCAACGGGACCTGGGTTAGGGCGGAGGATGCCGTGCCTGCTGTCGCCCACGCAGAGCGCTGCCTGTCTGGTGCCATCTGGTTGGAGGACCTCAGAGACCTGTACGCACTCGTTTAGTTCCTCGGGTATGTTGAGGTCGCGAATGAGGCCGTCGGGAATGTAGGCGATCGAGTCCCACTGAACCTCCCCCTTCTGGTCAGCTTCAATATACAAGGCCAGTTCAGGAAACTCCCTCTGGACAAGTTCAAGAAGCTTGTCGCGGCCGATGGGCCGCCCGAGATGAAACATGGGAGGCAAGAGTCGAGCGACTTGGGAGCCACCGAGCAGCCGGTAGTCGATCTCCCAGAGCGGGATGGGACTGGTTTGTAATGGGAGGTATTTGTCGCTGACAAGTCTTTCCACGATTCGCAATTGTGCCGGATAATTCTCTCGCACATCCTCTAGCGTTGTGGCGACCACGCATTTCGAGAGTGATATAAGATTGATAGTAGAAAGGAGACAAGCCTAAACTACACATCGCGTGAAGTGCCCCACGTGATGCTGCTTTACACCTACGGGAGAGAGGGGTTGTCAGGGGTTGTCGTTGTCGTTCCTCCACAGATCATTGGCAGGTGGCGTTCACCATCTGTGTGTTTCTTGTAGAGAATTTATATAGTTTTTCTAGACTGTTACTTGACCAGGGACCTTTCTCTCGCACAGAAGCGCTCAGGGTCCAGGGACTCGGCCGAAGAGGAAGTTCAGCTTTTGACGGAATCGAACATAAACTCTCACCGGCATCATTCAAATATTCTCTGGGTACGTGCCAGCAACGAAGCAAGGAACAATGCTCATCCTATCCCTTCCACCCGAAATCATCGATCACATTGCATTTCTCGTCGAGAAACCTCGCGACCTACTTGCTCTTGCTCTCACCTGCCGTGTGGTCTCGGAAGTTATTATCCCTTACCATATCGACTACCGATACATCCTGACTCCTCTTCACTCCAGTCTATGGGACCACCTTATCACTCGCAGGGATTTGGCTAATAGGATATCCCACCTCTTCATCCACGACGATGCGGAATCTTATGGCATATCGCCTTTCCCCAGGCTTGTCGAGTGGAGTGAGGACTGGGTGAACGAAACAATGGACGGCGTTCTTCTTCGGGTTTGCGATGCACTGTTGTCGATGAAGAACCTAGTCTCCCTCAAGTGGAAACCGCTTCTCTCAGAGTTAGATCCAGAAACGACGGTCTTGGAGGGCAGCTTATGGCCTACGATACGGAGCTTTGCTTTCTTGCGTCACCTCCATCTACCGTATCCTATGCCACGGGTTCAGAAGTACCATGTATTGAGCAACCCAGTAAGTAATCTGTCCACGACCTATAGCACAATTTTCAATTCCTCTAGCTCTGGTCGATATCAAATTTGACCTCCTTAACACTTGACAACATTCCGCCTCCTCTTTATCCTTTCCCCCCGGCACCTTGTATTACATCCCTCTTGCGGCACTCTCCTTGCCTCGAGGTAAGAGAATGACAGATGTCGTAACATATTACCCACTTTCGTCTACGTACAGAAACTCTGCCTGAACGCAACTCACCCTCCAATCAGCCTTTCCGATATACCGTTACCACGCCTCTGTCGTCTTATTTTTAGGACGCGCCCCAGGGATCAAGAGCCGTTCTCCCGCTCTCCTTGCCCTTCACTCAGTAGATTCCTGGAAACCCATCCGAGCATAGAATCTGTGGAATGGCTCGATTCTTTCCCGGGTCTGCTGGATGACTACACGTTACCCAATCTGCGCCACATTTACGGACGCGATACGCGAAATGGTGTGGAGAACATACTTAACACTCCGCACCACCAGAAACGTCCTATAGAATCTCTCGGTCAACTACGTCTCTCACCGATACTTTTCGGTGCTCTATCGAATATTCAGCCCCATAGCCTGCGTAAAGTCGACATCAGCCATTTCCCTACTATCGAAGACATCGGTCGACTAGCGGATATGTTTCCCGGCATCACATGGCTTCGGGTGCCCGCGATTGACTATCGTAATGACTTCTCGGCTGCTACGACGCGACCCATTCTAACTGTGAGTCGACTCACCATCTTATCTGTCTACAGAAAATTGAAATGCTACATGCAGGCCGAATGGCCAGACGCCCTTTCACGATTCCAAAACTTGGAGGTCTTCCATGGGGTATCATTCTTCCTCGAGCCTACACAATGCGAAGAGAATCTCCACCGTGCAGAGTATTTGCATTTGATATGTCCTCGTCTCAGGGAGGTTGACCATTGGGACAACGAGTCCTCTGCTATCCTCGAATTATTGCCGATCGACGTCGACGATCCTCCTGCGTTCGGAATAATGGCTTTGAGAGAAAGGGTGATCAAAGATCTCGATGACCGCTACGCGTGGCGCGAGCCCTTCGACTGACCAACCGGTGGCGCGCATCATTGAAACTCAAGTTGGGGCGAAAGCGTGGAATATGGTAGGTCTAGTCCGCCAAGTCATGTATGGTACAAGAGGGAAAGAAAGTTACGGATGTATAGCTAGCTATATATGGGTGTGTATTAAATTTCTGCTGCGGCCATCAGTCACTCCATAAGAACTCGTCGTCATCGTCGTCAGAAGGTAAACCTAGGTTGTTTGAAAACACCAGTTCACCGGAATCGTCCCCAGTTTTGACTCCATACGCCGTGTCCCGGGGCAGAATGTGATGGCTACGCAACGAGATAAGAATGGATAAGTAGCGCTAGCATTCAGCAATATACTCGACTCACTTCTCAAGGAGGTCTTCAACGAATTTACCCGTGATACCAGCAGCGCCGCCGCTACCGCTCGGATCTTTGGCCACCCAGTCCACGCGAACCCAGTTATGCACTAATTCACCGTCGCGGTAAACCAACATCGTTGGGAGCATGTCTAGGTCTACATCTTCTTCCTCGTCCTCGTCCTCGTATATATCACCGTCCTCATCGCCTGCATCATTATATGAACCGTGACGAATGTTGTTATCCTTCAGACGAGAGGATGTGGCATCATCATCGCCGTAAGGGTCCTCGTCATCCGAGTCTATTGTATTGAGGGTAGACGAAGTGCGAATTCGTTGCGACGATTTCCTTCGCGGATGGACAACAGTTGACTTCGACGATGAAGTAAATCCTAGCTTAGAAGCACGAGCACGGATGAATTTGGTCTCTGGATGCATCCTGGCCAGGTGCGAGAGGGCGCTGTCAAGGAGGTAACACCGTTCTAGAGACTACCATCATCAGTTAGTAGATGCAGTGATCCATCAGAGCTAAACTTACTGGATCATATAGATGCACGACAACCCAGATGCCGCGCCCCTCTTTCTCGACCGCATTCACAAATCCCTTTACTCCTACCTCTCGAAGGTGCCCGAATCTACCACGTTTCGCGCCGCCAAACAAGTCCAACCCAGACCTCCGCCCCCTTTCTTTTTCCTGTTCCTCCAAGACCAGCCGGTCAACCTTCTCTCCAAGATCATATAGTTCGTTTCTATAGGCCTTTTCACGCTCTTCTTCGAGGTAGGTTCTACCTCCCAGGTCACCACGCTCCCATTGCAATGCCTTCTCCCGCGCAGAGGCTTGCGATTGGTTTCTTTGGATGTCATTCTACCATCAGTAAATCTCTGAGCTATGATCGACAAACTTGCGCACTCACCGCCTCGTCGCGATCCTTAATGACGCCCTTGACACCAGTACGGCCAGGGCCCATACCGATAGATTCCTGAGGGACATCTGCAGTTTTCTCTCTTCCCGAATTTGAGTCCGAGTCAGATTCCAGCAGTTCATCATGCCACCCGCTGTCGGGAGAAGGCGAACGACGTGGGGACGATGATCTCGAGCTTGTTGGGTTGAACAGCTCGCCGGATAGAACCAGCGCTTCTATGTCTGCGTTCTACAATGAACAATTCACAATGGCAGGCAATTCGAGGACGTCAAACTCACCATCATCTTTGACACAACCGTAGTAAGTCTTCAAGAAACGAAGCACAATAGCAGCACAATAGCAAGTGCTGAGAAAGCAAGTGATATGTGAGCATCGGTGACTAATGCCAAACATCGGGCAACTGCTCCGCTCCGATCAGTGGCTGTGTAACTCGAGTTCTTTATAAGTCGATGAATATACTCCAGTCACGTCTCTGATTCGCATTTGGTCAGTGCTAAACCTTGTTCCATGGAACGCATATCTTACACTGAATCGGAATCTCTCAGCTGAACGATCCACTACATGTCTCTCGAAGAACAATACGACTCGCAAATACGCACCCATCGTGAATCAATACGGCGGGCGCAAGGCAGATTGTAGCGCAACTAAGAAATTGCCTTCTGAGATCTTGTCCATGATTTTCCAGCAACTTTGGCCTACGATCGGCAAGCGACACTAACCTAGATGTATTAACCGCGCACGTATGCCACCTCTTGGTGAACGACTCCACTAAACGAACCACGGCTTTGGACGGACCTGGCGGCCGCCACCCGCAAAGGGTCAGATGGCGAACATTCGTCAAGCACGACGCCGCCAATGAGACACAAGTCGTTTGAAATTGGCTGATTGAAGACATGGTGCGACTACCCCGAGGAATTTATCTAGGATGTCAACACGCGCCACAGTCAAGGTAGACAAATGTGGGATGGGTGCAGCGAGACGCGTTATCAAATCGTCTGTGCACGCTACAATCTGCAACCCACCAAGTTTCCAAGGTAATTCAAATAAAGGATTTCTTGCTTTCGGGGGTGTTTCGGCCCAATCTCTGAAGGGAGATCTTGATGAGTTAGGTAAAGCGAAATATGGTCCAGTATACAAGGTTTCGTCACCGTCACCCTCCAATGTCGCGTTGTTGGACATACATCGAATCTTCAATGGAACCTCTTTGGAACGCTTCACGCACTCCTGAAGCCACCTACTGCGGAACTGCGGCGGGAGACAATAACGCTAGAGTAATCCTTTCCACCCTCACCCAACTAGAGTTCCTGTCCATGTCATTCCCAGAACCTTCAGAGCCTCAAAACTGCTCAATTCTGCTTCTCCAGCAATCAGCAGGGCCTCGTAGGCATCTTCTATTAAAGTACCTGCCCAATCATTCGGGAACTCTCTATCAACTGGCCTCCCAATTTCAGCGATGCCGCTCTCGCAAAGCGAGTAGGACGATTTCTCTCAAAAAACTCCGATTTCACTCCCGAGATTCTTGAACGAAGTAGTACTTTCAGCTTTTCGGAAATGCGGCTTTTCGGTCGAGGACGGGATGATATACCGATGCTATACTTCTACAACTGTCTGCCCATTTCACTGCAGGATTTCCTCTTTCGGGCGTTTCCAGGAATTCATATTCGTTGTCTCCGAATCTTTGTAGGCGGGCCAGTACTCAAGAATTACCCCATTGAGGAACTGTTCATTTCGGACCCATCGTACAGATCGCTGTTAGATGAGGGACCAATATACCCGAGTCTCTGCCAGATGACGCTGGTCAATATCGGTCTCACCCGAAGGCTCAAACATTCTCGAAGCTCAAAAGCTGGAGAAGCTCACCATTATGGGAAGTGGGGCATTCACTGCGAAGGATATTCGGGTTTTGGAAAAGATTGTAGCAGTCGTAGAGCTGGTCCCTGTCGGCATTTAGGCCGTAAGGGCCAAGACCATTGAAATCAACCACCTTGCAACGGCATCTAAAACTACCACAAAAAAACAAAGAAAGCGAATCTATATACCAAGTAAATGCACGACGTATTGAAGATATACATCTAATGTTACAGAGTTACAAGAGTATGCTACTGCGCCTTCTTGCCACCAGAGGATTGCCTCTTCTTCGAGCTCGCCGGGCTCTCTTTGGCTGCCGAGGCTGAGGCTGAAGGTGGTACTGGGGCAGCGTTCAGCCGAGGAGGCCCATGATGATTATGATGGTGGGGATGTCCCACATAGTGTGGATGCTGGAAGGGGCCCCCTACACCATGTTGATGCGGCGGAACCCCGGAGCCCCCCAAATGCTGCACGTCGTCTACTGCCACGGCGGAATCCTCGTATTCTGTGTCATCGTCAACCTGGACAATTTCTCCCACAGGCTTCATCGCGTCCTCCTCGCTTTGCTGTATCGCTGATAAGCGTTTGACTCTACTCCGTCCAACACCGGCATTCAACGCCTCTTCAGCAGCCTCTCCGCGTTCCCTCTCGCGCAATGAATCCGACTCGCGGAGACTCTGCGCACTCTGCTCTGCTCTGGCCTTTCTCGTGGCTTCTTCCTCTTCCGCCCGTCGGATAACATCGATTTCCCCTTGAACGACAATAGCCTCTAGCCAGTTGTGATGTACAAGTTCATGCGCTTTCGCTCGCTTGTCGGGATGCAAACGAAGCATAGGAGTTAGAAAGGAGGCGATAGCGTCGGCCTCCATTCGCGGAAAGAGGTATTTGTCATGGAGAACTGAATCCAACGGCCAATACCGAAGCTTGTTGATGTGCCGAAGTTCACCTAACAACAACGATGCCATTGGGTTGAGAACGCCCAATGGCAAAACAGAGTCACCTCACCTTTCCTGTTGAAAAATTCGCTCGAGTATTTCCCGCTGAAGGCTATGCTCTTCGGTATTTCGCCCATCAACTCAATGATCTGCGCCATATGATCGTCGTCTTTGCTGTATCGCGATCCAGAAGCGGGATCGAAGAGATAGTCACCGCCTGTAATGAGTTCGAAGATCTGGGATGCAGAATCAACGATCGATCCCTCGCAGGTAGAAAGCAGCTACAGCCAAGAATCAGACTTACCACGCACGCGACACTCCATATGTCAGCACTCGGTCCCCATTTAGCACCTAGTATGACCTCCGGACACCGATACTGCCGTGTTTGTATGTCGTCCGTGAAGTGGTGTTCGACCCACGTAGCTACAGCCCTTGAATCAATTGACAGCCATGCGGTGCGCGAACAAGTACTAACCATTCCCCAGATCTGCGATCTTCACCGTTATTCTCTCGTTCCCTTCCAAAACGCTACTGTTTGAGGAAGTTTCTATGGTTGTCGCTGTACTTTGTCTATCGACTGACATTACAGAGCTTGGTATACCTAAAGGGCATCAGCGTACTGGTGCGACGAGTCATATGCATACTTACCAGACATACTTGTGTCATTAGTGGTCGTACTCGAACCTGTAAATGAGGCCAGTGAGCATAAGCAAGCGAGGCAGGAAGTACATCCTGATAGCGCACCTGCGGCGTGGTTGATGGCGACGGGACGCGTAGAAGAAGAAGTGACTGGTGACGTTGTATCAGAGCCGGTAGCCAATATGGAAGACGTCCCTGACGTTGTGGTGGTGGAAGTGGAAGATGGTATTGAAGAGTGTTGTGACGAGGAGGCGGTTACTCTCGTGCTCGGGGCCTGCTGTGAGAGTAAAGACGGGCCCCTACACATTTATATTAAAAATAGGATCTTGGCATTCCGCCACGAACCCGGAGGTGAGAAGGAAACTCACGTCGTCGCAGGGGCCTTAACGTTCACCCTCTCGCCGAACCTTGCTCCACCGTCTAAAGTTACGTTTGATACGTCCTGAACCAAATCTGTAGAATCTGCCCGCTTCTTCGAGGAGTCGGCGTTTGTTGGAGATGCCATTTCCACGAGGCTGCCCACACGACTGCCTTCACCGAAACTACCCGGTTTACTGTCCCCTCCCGCGCCTTCTATTTTGCTCATGCCAAACGCCCATTTGTCAAGCATTATTGGACTTGTTCCGAAGCTTGAGCTCGGGCTGGGAAGTGGCTGGGACCCTGTGATGAATACCGATTCCGAGCGAGGTGTCTGATTTCCGCCGCGGCCTTTCGATGGAGGAACGCCGACGAGGCGGGATGCATTCGGGGGGTTCGAATTATTGGATGTCGGTGGATTCGCTAGAAGTTCGGACTGGATAATTGATTCTACGTCGTCGATGCAAATGAGGACGTTTTCGGGCTTGAGGTCTGATCCGTTCCACAGTGCCAAGGAAATCAAGATGTAATTGAATCAGTCGCATTGGACGGCTGGATATTGACGTATGACCCACCTGTATGTATGACTCCGCAACACCGGTGCATGTAGTCGAGGCCCAGCAATACCTGCTTCGCAATCTGCTTGACAAGGTGCATTGGCACCCCTTTGTTTTGGTGACGCTTGATCAAGCCCAACAGGTTCTCACCGAGAACTTCGAAAACCATGCAGACGTGCACGCCGTTAGGCCCCTTGTGTCGGAAATGGTCGAGGAAACTGATAACATGCGATCGGCCAGGATGGGTGTGCGATGGTGAGGGCGGGGGATTCGGATTCGAAGACGATGGAGCAACAGGCGGTGTGGAGGAGGTAATAAGGCGTTGTAGAAGCTTTATTTCGTCCAAGGCTGTTTCTGTATACCTCGGGGCTGATTTGACGACCTTGAGAGCTACATGTCGGTTCATTCTAGCCATCGCGGGGTCAGATTCAGGGATCGCGGGCGATGGCGACATACTTTTGATCTTTGGCGAGCCATACGGTCGAGAAATGACCCCAGCCAAGCTTCCTGACCACGACGTATCTCCCCTCTGAGAAAACATCACCAATCTTGACGGGGTGGTAGCCGCCTTTGACGTAGTCTTCCCAGTCCTCCTCGTCTTCAGTCATGATGGATGCAGCGGAGGAAGAGTTGTAGGAAGCGTGGGACCCGGACATGGTGTTTACTTAATTGCACTAGACGCAAGCTCGTATTGGGGCCAGAGGAGTAGAGATAAGGATTTTGATGCTGACCCGACTGAACTTGTTGAGAATCAAAGATAAGAATTGCCCCTCGAGGCCGCACGTGGTCGGCTAAAACCGAAGGCCCGCAGGAACGCACGCGAGTAATGTAAAGTTGGGGTAGCGAGGAACGACCGTGAGCGCAACGCTGTTTCGAAAGAGGTAGCTGGTTACTGAGAGGTCGTGAAATACCTAGCCAGCGTTACAACGGCTGTAAACTGAGTTCCGTCCGGATAAACGGTGGGTTAGCCGTGTACATATTTTCTTGAAAAGTGTATAATGCGCAGCACCGGTATAGGAGTCGTGTGCCATTGGATTCTCACCGAAGTAGAGGTCAAATTCAAGATTTATGGGCGGGTAACAGGGAATAGTCTTGGCTTGATGGAAGCGATTCGCCACGAGGATTCCCAGAATCCGGGAAGAACTCTGCCGCTTCTCGCGAAAAAGACTCTACCTGGGATAGGAGAGTCCTACAGGGGACTCCTGATGCAGGACGCACCAATACTTACACGTATTCAAATTCATATGATGTGCTCGGATACGTGAGTTACTACGAAGAGGTGAGCTATATATTCACTGAGAGTAGACGTAGGGCCCTTTTACTTCATCCCACGCATGTATATACATGGAGATACGAGTAACGAAGGAAGGATATTCGTGGTGGACTTACAGTGGAGTCGAGGCCGTACTTGAATTAAGATCTCCACGATGAAAGTGGCGGGCCGGATCCGTGTTTGTGAACAACTGTGATCGACCGTCGCTTTTTTCCAGCAGAGCCGGTGAGTAGGGGAATCGCTAGCCCTTTGAGTGTAATTTGTCCCTCGAATGCCTGCGAGGAGTATTCACGCTTCGCAGTGCAGTGATGGCGGACCCTACACTACACTACGAGTCCGCCTCACTAAGACATTTACCCACCTCCACCACTTCCACAATCTCCCAAATTTTGCATATCCCTGGGAAGAGCCAGGAACACTGGTGATTCGTCTAGCAGTAGCCCAAATGTCGGATCCGTATCACAAAGAGGAAGCTCCTCGATGCCGGGCAGGTATTTCCCCCGGCGACTGATCGGTGGAAACGAATCTGGATGCCCGGGAACGCCTCGCGAAGAACGTCACCAACGATTCGAGGACGGTAGTCGCGAAAGAATAGTCGTGGTAAGTCCGAGTCCACGTACACCAGAACACTTTCAACTTCTTTGCTGGACAGTTCGACCATGTCGAACCAAGCACCGCGTTGATGCACCTCCGGCATAAGATCGCAGTTTCTGGGGAAGAAGAGGCCGAGACTGCTGGCAACAGGAGTATCGCTGAAACCAGACAGCCAATTCATCGAGGCATCGAATATTGGACAGGAGATGTGATGTTGTCGACGACGTTAAACAATGTCCAACCGCGAGGCTACGGCTCATTCGGATGCCAACGGATTGTAGACGGGGCGACACCTCCAAGACAGCCTTCAGGAATGTCAACCCTTCATATGTTCAAGGTCAATAGATATGGAGCATGGGTATCCAAGAGCGATAGGAAATCGTTTTACACGGGTTAACATCTGGGACCCCGTCCGCTGCGGTATACCATAGGCGTTTCGCAGACAATTAGCGGGGGGTGGCGGGGGTTTGGAGGGATGTTTCTTGTTTGCACTACAGTCCATGTTAACCCTCCCGCTCAGTCGACGGATTTCTTCGCAGTAGTTGGGTATTTGCGTGTCATATTGTTCTTCTAGAAAATTTGCTTGCCAGGAAGTAGAAACTTGAAAGGAGCGGTGAGCGCTTATTCCAGAGTCAACAGGGGCCAAGAGGTCATATAACACAAAGGTCCCCAGGAATTGGCTGGGGCGTGTTGTCCGCCTCGCACGATCGGAACAAGTAGAGCATACATAACCAGGAATAGCCGTTAGGGCAACACAAATACTGATGCAGACGATCGCATCTTACCTCGAAGTCTATTCTGTGGGAAACGAACCACAGAACAGCACAATGCCTGATCATCGCTCTAGTGCTTAGCCGTAGGACAACCGTCAAATTAGTTTCAGGCTTTCGAAATGTGAATCACCCGCTGTCGAACGCTATTACTTCCAATTTATATCCCATAAATACGTCAGATTACACACAAAAATACCCAACATTGAATATAGACGAGCAAATAGTATGAGCAGGAAATTGACCTAGACTCGACGTGACTTGGGGCCGTTTAGTCGACGTTCCTACCACATATAAGCAAGAACGCTGAGACGATAGCCACTTCTGTGAGGCCTGCATGTATGGCATAGGACGTTAGCTCAAGCGTTGCGCGATGTTGACCGTTAAACAGGCGACCCATACGTTCGGGTGGGTTGGTCGCGGGATTCAATAACTACGTAGTAGAATTTATCATTTGTCAAGACAGGTCCGGTTGGGTTGAAAACGTACAATTATGGAGCCATCTCCTGGAGTCCAAACATATCGTTTGCCGCGAACTTCCATATGTCTGGAACTATAACTGAATCAGTATCGTACCGATACATCACCGAGAATACCTACTTCCTCTGCGAAGAAAGCTCCAGCCATTGCGAGGCAAGTTGCTTGGGAATAATGTCCCGTACTTCAACGACAGGGTGGGCTTGCCATTCAATGACAACGATGGGCCTTCCCTGAGTGTTGTGGATAAAGGTGAAGCCTGGCGTAGGGTTATCCGTGGAGATTCTATAATACGGCTGGTCGTCGGGCCCGGTAACGATGGAATTCATGATGGTAGGATTGAATACGAAGGTAAAAGCGAGAACAGCCGGCTGAGTGGACGGCCCAGTGAAAGGAAGTGCGCCAAAGACGGACGGAAGAGAAGAACCTGGAAAGCCGCCACTGCTGGGCCACTGAGCGAACGGGTTGAGGTTGGACATTCTGAAGCTTCGGTATAGAGTCGAGTCGTCGGTGGTGAAGTATGTCAACATAACACCTTCGACCTTTATACCATTACGAAGACGACCAGACCTACAGGTAACGGGCGCGCAAGTCAGAGTGACAATTCATCGTCTAGGAATCCATCGGGTGCTGCAGCGTTTCGAGGTCTGCATAGGGGCAAGAACCGACGAAACACTCGACGGGGGACATCTCGGAGGCACGGTTTTGCTACATTGAGAAGTGATAGCGGTCGGACCAGGGGTGGTCTCCAGAGGTTTAATCCACGTTTGGCAAAGTCGAGATGGGAGGTCGCGCTTTCATTAACCGATCCGCGGATAACAGCGAGGCACGGAGGGTTTCCATTGCAGCGCCAGGGTAAGTCAGAGTTTGCAGAAGTTTCCGTAGGATCTTCAGCCACCGGTGAGTCAAGTAAGGATGAAGTCCTGTTCAAACAATGAGAGGATTTGCGCATCAGCCATGGCACGGGGAGTAGCTAACATGCAGGAATAAAACAATGCAACTCGCGCCAATGCAGAAACTTTAGACGCGCGTACAAGCTGTGGCGTTGGCGATGCGCTTTGACGACCGACACCGGAATCTGATGGAACAGAAGACTTCGGAGCCGTATGTTTGTGCCTAGCGTCTTAATCCCCAGAAGACTCCCGGCCAGTACAAGACTGTGTTTGGTCGTAGGCCACATCACTTGTAGCTTTTTGTGTTCGTGTTACTGTCTGAACTCTGGAGGACGGGGAAACGGAAAAGTTGCGGTACAGCACGAACAATATCGCAGACAGGCCTGGCATCCAACACGACGACGATCCTACGGCGCTGATGATCGACAGATTTTCCATGATGGATTCTGCCACACAGCAGTTCGATCTACATAGCAGTGAGCCAAGAAGTAAATGGGAATCTCGGATGCATCACTCACCTTTCAGGGACGAGTCCCAGTGCTCCGCGGTGGCGGTTCAGGTTGGATGTGCGCTGTGCTGCTACACTTGTGGTACGCGCCCACCAATGTACTTGTGCGTTACTTGTATTGAATCGCAAGTGGCACTCCTACGCCGACTCACCTCCGAGTTGCCTTTCTCCGAAGAATTATGTGATGGTTGTAAGTTGATTGCGTATTCCCCAATGGCCACAATTGTAAAGATATCCATCGCGAAGTTTGTATAGTGCCATGGAGTCAGTCGTAGTCGGCTTCGGTTTCGTCTTGTCATCAAACCCGCGGGCAACAGATCTTTGCAACTTGAATTTCTCGTTTGATTGAAGTGTTACGGTGCCAAGGCGCCAAAGGTTTTGATATTGACGTAACCTTTGCAATGTTCAGGCACTGGCTCGGAGCGCTCAAGTTCGGCTCAGGAGCTCAAGAAGTCGAAAGCAAAGCAAAACAACATGATCATTGCACGGTATATATCCGTGAATTCGTTACAAATGAATGGGTAGTAGAGGTTACGGAGGCTAAGAGCATGGGGTACGAGGTGCAACCTCAGCGCTGTTCAACATTGACCGGCGCACAGCGCCAAAGGGGACACAGCGCGAGACACGTTTGAGCGACTAGAGGCACTGAATGGGATGGCAGAGCGAGCGCGCAGCGCCGACCGTTCTCTGTGCCGTAGGATCAGCGAAGCTACAAGGGTTGACATGGGGGCAACATGGGTTTGTCCGGAGTGAGCGGTACCTGGATGAGAAACGGTCAGTTCTGGGTGCAACGGGCAACATTATACTCCGGCTCACTAGGTGAATGTAGATTGACAGTCAAGTCAATATCCATGTCGAACGATGTTGCCACGTCGCCCGGTCCACACCCTTGTGCAATAAGATACGAGCGAAGACGGGCAACCAGTGCCATATCCTGCACTTCAAACCCAGGCGTGACTTCAACCGCATCATCCCCCAAACCATGTCTCGCTAATCTCCACGCAACACTACGCTGCAGTAGCGTCAAGAACTGCAGATCCGCGTTGAGCCGCTTGGCGATATTTCGCGAACGCTTGCGTATCGACGATGGGGACGATTTGGATTTGGGGGATGGGGAAGATGATCGACTCCGTAATGTTTGAGTTAGGCAAGCATTCGACCGCCGGCGCCGCCATCCGACTTGGGGGGACTGCGCACAAGGCGTGACCGAATCAAAGTCGGAATAAGACATCTCAGCATCAGACTCGCCGAACGACTGAGAGCTTGGAAACGAGATAGCCGAAGATGGAAATGGGATCAAGTTGCTATCGAAAGTGTCGTCTGAAGAAACTGCGGACGAGCTGGAGCCCGAGGAGGCACTCGCAAAAGCCAGCGAGACCGTGCAAGTGGGGGCGGATTTCCTAGATGATGAGGCCAACGGAAATCCAGCCTGCTTTACTCTCGTCGACCCGCGATTCTTCGATTTAGTTGATGGTGAGTTAGTAGAATCGACAAGCGCAGCTCTTGATGTTGGTCGGGCCATGATAGTGAAGGACATTGAAAGACGGCACGATGGAAATAGCTGGGGAGAACGACCGGCGCAAATCACAGCTCTTTGATACTTTGCCGTCAACTTCAGCCTCGAGGAGGTGACGGAAAGGACAAGGCCGTTTGGGGAGCTCGGCATTTATATACGTTGACAAGTGTACCACACGTGATGGATCTGATTGTGCATAGCCACCGAAATAGTGGACTGTGTGCTAGAAACCATTGGGGTGATGCAGCGTGTTGATAAGGTCCGGACCGTGGTTGGGCACTGGAAGATAAATTGCTGGGGTGGATGGAACAAGGGTGAAATCTAGTGGAATTGAGGTTGTATCGCAAAGTATCGAGTCTTTGTGGCTTCTGAGCTCACCTAGTTCAGTCGTAGATACTTGTCTGATCATTTGGTATACATAGAATGGTGGTTGGTTGTGGTCAATGGTGGTTGTGTTGTGGTCAATGCTCAAGTGTAACCTCCGCGATGCCTCATGTATGCCTCACTGACTCCTTGAGGCAAATCGAGTTCAGAGTAACTGCCTAGGATTCGAGCATGCGTGATATGCGGCGCGCAGTTGGCGGTATCTTAATCTGGCTATCAGGGAATCGTCAGCCTTATCAGTAGGGAATTGATCCAATCCCCCCTTGGGTCGCAACTGGGGAAACACCCTGAACCATCGGAGAAGGGGAGTTCGATTGTATGGTTGTTAGAAACCCTCATTTAGCAAGTCACTCACTACATCTAGTTTCTCACAATTCTGCCGTCGACGATCTTCAAAGTCGAGGGCCCCTAGGTTCTTGAATGGGACCCCTGGCAATACCTCAGGAGCTTCTTATGGCGAGGCGAATACACGAACACAATCTAGAGATAACACGGGGGCACAAAGGTACAAAAGAGATATCCTGATACATAGATGAGATCAAAATGCGAGAATCTACTGAATGTCTCTGCACAGAGTCGTGAACGAATGGTACTTTTTCATATCCATTCAAGGTACCAAATCAGCGTTGATGCAAACGGCGAGAGGCATTGCTCTCCAAGTCCATTACACCGTCAGCGGATTCATACCCAGAAAGTCGCCTGGCGATTTTCCCTTTCGGACCTGGAGCAATGACGATTTCATCCTCATCCTCATCATCTTCCGAATCAAAAGGTGTTTCCGGTATCGAAGTCAACGTAGGGCTTTGTTGATTAGGTGAAGAGCCGGGAATCGGGCGTGGTTGATGCTCCAGCGCTTTTTCAGGAATCTACATCGGCGACGTGACCAAAGGATCCAGTAGGACAATACGATCCACGGTCAGAATAGTGAGTAGAAAAGCTGCAGAAGGCTTACAGGCAAGCGCACAAGATACGCAAAGAATGTCGCGACAGACGCAAAGATGAAGACTTGTTTCAAACTTATAGCATACGCATCTCGGGCGGTCCGTTGCATCTCTGGCGGCAAACTGCCCACGAGTTTTGCCGAGTGCCGGATCTTCGTGATCCACTGTCCCCCAAACAAAATATTAGGACGTGGCGACGTGGATGAATTCGATGACATGCCTCCTCTGCGTTCGGGCCGGTGATTCTGGCGCGAAGTTCGCTGTCCAGACGCTGCTGAAAAATGGCCGATGATATAGCGACCCCGCCAACTTGACCTAGAGTCGCGTTTAAGCAGCATGTCAAGGGAGAGGAGTTAAGGACATACCAATGCCTCGGAAAAGCTGACCAAAACCAGTACCGATGGCCATCTGGGATTCTGTGGACAGCGATCAGAGCATGCTTCCGAAATAAAACTAGAGGGAGCTACCGGGGAGATGAGCCAGCAGTGCAACTGTTAGTGACTCGGGGGTCAGTATCATTCTAAGACGGAAAAGGTGAAAACGCACTGAGCATCGTTTGAAGCACTACAGCATTGCCAAAGCCAAGGGGAATCTGTTGCATTCAATGTGTTATTCGGTTGGACAAAGTAATGCGGTGCATGTGAGACGAACAATGCTCAGCCATAATTGTAGAGGACCGGAAGATTCCCGCATTCTGGTAATGAGTACAGTTGCGATGAATGGACATGCGCCGAATGTGATATTGATAAACTTGTATCTGCCGGTACGATGCATCCACCATCCGGCGAACATCGATCCGATAGACATTGATATGCTGTTCGGAAACAGGTGAAGGCCTGCAATGGAGCACACGGCCACAAGTTAGCGGGCAGCATATCAAACAGCAAGAGCAGACTGACCTGCGGTCGATGCGCTCGTTAACATCACGGTTTGGAACCACATGGGGAAGAAATACATGACAGAGAAGTTACATGTGGCGACTAGGAAGTTGCTCATTCCGACAAGAACAGGTATCCTTTGCCGCAGTAACGACGGTGCCAATACAGGCTCTGGAGCGATAAAAAGCTCCACTACGAGGAAAAGTACAGCGAAGACACCAGCGACAACCACGGACGTCATGACACTGGGGTCCGACCACTGTAGAACATATCAGTCAGTACGTCGCCGCAATCATTTAGTTTAAAGCATACGGGTAGCCCTTCGTTATACTTTGTGGCCAAGAAGAACAGGAGGGAGCCAACCTAGTGTCATTTTAAGTAGAATTCGGCATGAAAGCACGAGGCCACATACCGTCACGAGAAGGGTCAGGCTACCTCCGTAGTCTATACGTCTAAGAACCTCTTTTGCGCTTCTGCTTTTACCCTGTTGGTCGAGGTCAGCTAGAGTCCGATCCTCGGAAAGGTACCTACAGGCGTAGTATAGTTGAGATTGAAAGACGTCAATGCGAAGGCCAGCATGAATATGGGGATCTGTATTAAGAAAGCTGCTCTCCACCCGAGCCTGTTGCAATGAATTAAAATCATCCATCAACTATATTGTAGAAGTTTAGAATCACCAATCGGTAATGATTCCACCGAATGGCCCGCCCAGCCCCATGCCTAGCTAGCGCTCGATTAAGGGAAGGTATCAAAGACACAGAAGAACGAGCTTACGCCATTGAACACGCTGGCAACACCTTGAGCCAGTCCCCGGGACTACTCGCAGATGAATAACTGCGTCTACAAACTCAAATGACGACAACTTACCCTCATGCTATACATGTCGCTAATCACAATTCTGAGCCAGAATAAGCTCGATCAATACCGATGCATGAGCAAACCTCACGTACGAAGAAGTGGTAAAAATACCACCACCACCTATTCCGGAGATCTACGCAACAATGATGAGAGTGGCGCCATCGTTGTAACTCCCAGGACGTACGAATCTAGCTGCAATGAGCATCTCCATATTGGTTGATAGCCCACATGCTAGAGTTCCCAGACAAGCAAACAAAACAGCCGTCTGGTTCGCGCCTTTACGGCCAAGCACGTTGCACAAACGACCATACAGAGGTGTGAATGTACAAGTAGCGAGAAGGTACCTAATTCCGTCGAGCAACGATCAACGGGAATACGGAAAATTTGAGCCGTGCTCACGAAGTGCCAAGCCAACTTGCTTGGTTTGACTTGTTAAAGTCCGATGATATTGACGGTAGCACTATACGGACACGGTGATAGCTTGGTGGCTACTCTCACAGGCTTCGGATCTGATGCTTACTTGTAGGAACAAGCGTTCCTGTTTCATCCCTACTATGCACCAGCAATCATAGAGAAGCAGTAGACCATGGGCTTACCATTCAACGACTACGACCCTTATTAGCCCCAATGTGACGGATGTCAGAGTCAAGAACATGCACGCACCGAGAGGAAAGTCGCTGTCCAGATCCCGGCCAAAATGGCATAGCGTGTGGATCTTGTAATCTCTAAGGGTCCCAAGCGCCGGGGGCCTTTGTACGCATCCCCGTCCTCGTTTTGAAGCAGCGGCTCGTGGACCGACGACGACATGGGAGACAAGTAGTGAAATGTTCAGGCTCCGAGTTACGGCCGAACGGTTGCGGCATTTCTCCAACTTCTTGCAGCAAACAACACCAAATCCTGCGCCACAATCTGCATTACATACTTCTCATCCTTGTGCGACATCCCACAGCAGGCCACTGCGGACGCCCCCTCCCGTATTAAACCAGGGTGGTATACAACTAAAAAGCATTGTACCCTCGAGACATCCGAATTGAGACCAGACCTCCGTATTGCTTCCAGTGACTGTCAGCGCCCCACCAATCAATTAGAGGTCTAGGTTGGGCCATTCGCCTATCTTGCTTCGCGAAAAGCGATTGAATTAACTCGACGTATGCACACCGTGAGCGATCACACGAATCTGCTGAGGAAATGCGAACTCGGCTTACAAAAATATACATTCTACACACGGCAAAGCATACTTTGAGGTATGTACATAATGGAATCATAGGATTAATCCTGATAATCTAACTAACGCATGCCTTCTTACTGATGATCGCCTTAAGTTGATGCTGTTCGATACGTCAACGGTGATCCTACCTGTCCCAGTGCCTGCATAGCTTCTTCGATTCGTCGTTATGGATGCACCGATGACTTCTGTCTCTTCTGTCTGATTTCCCTGCCAAGCAAAGCGTCAGCTCTGAGCGAAGAACATTGTAAAGAGGTAGTAGGTACCTGTCGCTGAACCCAAAATGCATGGTCCCCCGATGCTATGCAGGGACACGCATCACTTGAAGGGTCCATGAAACGCAGTCTCGTTCGCCGTCCTAGAAATTATATGTTGGAGCATGACAGCGAATCCTGGGGATGGTCTCTAGCAGTTATCTCTCGACTTCGACGGCTGACATCCAACCACCCTGAATAAGTCCTCGATTTTGGGTATCGAGTTTCAATTTTTACCGTTTAGACGATGCTCAATTACGGGCTTCCTAGGCAGGAAATGACTCGCGTCAAATAAGCTTGCGTACCACCGAAGTGAACATACATTACATGAGACTTGCGCTGCGCCTCGATGTTCCTTGCAACGGCGCACGCCAACCTGGCACATGTTCTGTAGGACGGGAAATTAAATGATCAGAATTCCCCTAAAGAATGGGAACGGGGACGACATCTCACCAGGAGTTGCTGTAGAACGGGTTGATGATTGCGATGTCGAGATCATGCGTTCGCGGCGGCGTTCCTGTAGCCCTGTCGTTGATCTACCCTAAGTATTCCAGTGCACACGCCCTTTACTGCCTATTCTATCCGCCAATTATTGATGTGAGCTTGAGACGACGATCAGCGGCGCTGCGGCAGTGGGGTATTCAGCACCGGCTGACCCCGAATTCATCCCAGCGGGCCTCACCTTCTAACTATATACCTTCGATTTCATTCCAGAACGTATCCTGCAGGTTGCGGCGCAAGCTTACGGTTAAGAAGTACATCTGATTCATTTCGGCATAGATAGACAGTTCTACAGAAGTTTACAACGGTTTCACTAATCTGCCAACACGCGCGTTTCCTCAGCCAAAGATTGATGGAGGGTTAGGGAAAGATCATCTGGGTGAATAGAAGTTACGAAGGAAATGAAACAAAAGATGAACTGGAGGCAGGTGGCGTGTTGGTCGTCTAGCGGCGCTTGGCACCACCAAGGCAGGCAGGGCACAGGCCGTCGATGTTAGGAGCTGGGATGAAGATTGAGCCAAATACGATTCATATATCATCTAAAGGTCTCACAGTATTGTTCGGGGTACCCACGGCTACGCGGAAGAGTGGTCAGTATGCTTTGATCGCGTCAAAGAAGCGAGCAGTGACATACTATTGGATACAGGTCTTGGTGCAGGCCGGGGGCTGGCAGGAGCTCGGATGATACGGGCTAAACTTGCACCGAGGGCTATCGCATTGGTTCTGGCGAGTAGTCAGCGTAAGAAGCGAACTCGCGGAAGCCACTGACGAGTTGATCAGGCTGACCATCGGATCAATTAGTACGGCGTAGTTAGAAGCTATACGAAGCTACCCACCAAAGTCTGGGAGTGGCCGCACTTGAGGTAGACGTTGCGAACCCTGGAGATAATCGGTACGATGAGTGCTGCCGAAGAATGCAGAGGGAGAAGAGCCATACTGGCGCCAGCGACACATCCTATATAATTGAGTGTTGGCTTGGAGAACCCGAGAAGGCTGAGTGTGTGAGGCGAATGGGTAGCCTATCAAAGCAGTTGGCTGGTGGCTACTCCATCCAAGACCCTTCGCCTTTTAAACCGAGACTGGGGTAGCGGCCGAAGAGACCTGTGGATGTCGTAGCGCATTCAGTACTGCTACCCTGGGACACTCATTTGGTATGCATTAGGTTTAGCTATGGTTTGGCTGTTCCTGGAGATATAGTATTAATGTATCATTCAGTTCATTGATCCATCCGGTACACTTACCATGCGTCGAGAAGAAACCGCCGGCAGTTGTTGTAGCTTGGAGATTAGATCAGTGGGTCGATCTTGATGCATGCTTTATTCGTTACGTCAAGGAGACCCTCCCTGCGGTGCTTCAGCTTCTGCATTATTTCCGACTACAGCAAGTCTGACGCGGGTGTATCGCATCCATCAGTGAATTCTGCCAAAGGTCAATAACAGGCATGCCAGTGCCTTTGAGCCGGTCGGCCGCGGGGAATGTTGCAATCGTAGTAAGTCCCAAGCGCATGCCAAATGCGACTGAGTTCACGAAGACGGTGAGCTGGTCTATCTCTCCTAAGAGCCCATAGTGTCCACGCAAGTCTTGCTCAAATCCCAGGCGCTTAGCCCTGCGGCCTGAGTCAGCAATTGCCCGTGAGTACTTGAGTTACTACCTTCCGTTCCGTCTCGGCGTTTAGTCTCACTGCACCGACCCACGGTCAACGTGCTCACTCAGCTGGATGCCTCAAGACGCAGGGCATGGGAAGCGTCGCAAGCATTTTGTAGAGGACAAAGCAAGTTTGTAACACGAAATCTCCATTAGTGGTTCTAATGTTCTCCTCTTCTCTTCCCTCATCGATCGTTTTAGTCGGAGGCATTGCGATTGGCAGAAGCGATTGGAGGAGCACAGGAGGAAAAGGCTCAAATCAAGGCCGAAAAGCGACATCAAGTACGTAACATTGATCCTGGTCTGTGCCATACACACCACCTCAACTTATTTTCTTGGGCACCACCCGCAATCTGCATGGCGACAGGAATCTCGCCCAAATCGTACTCGCCGTGTACAAGCATCTACAGCTAAAGTGAAGCTAGTATGTGACTCCATCACCTCGCAGCTATGATTGATGAATCAAGCTGACTGGATGACGTTGCTGCAGAAAGAAACCAAGGCACTAATAGCTGCAAGACAGGCTCAGATCAAGAAGCACAAAGCGAAACAACGCAAACAAGCTAAAGACGGGGCTCTGTCAGAGATTGCTCCACCAACAACGCCGTCCACAAAGAAAAAAGTATCATTTGCCTGACGAGTATGTATGTTGCGTCCTCGGATAAAAGTACAGATTTGATTAATTCCGTTATCTGATTGTTTGACAGTCCGTCCGTTGTTCCTATTTACTGTTATCTTGACCTATCAGTGTAATGAGCTATACACTGATCGGCGCTCTGAAGTTTGATATGTTTTTGCTCCACAACCCAAGACTCCCAGGATGGTCACATAGCTCTTACCGGATCAACCTAACATTCCTTGGATCCAGGACCGCGATACTAGGAAGTGCAAGCAATTGGGGATACTGACGATTATGCTTTTGTACGTTGCTTAACAGTTGACTACATTCACCAACGGGCGCATACGCGTCGTGAATACGCACATGCGCAATCAAGTAATTTCCGTGCGACAAATGACATCCTGTCAATGAACGGAAAAACTAACCAACAATCGTTTAATTACCAAAAAATGAACTCTTTCCATAGTTGTATGTAGAGCGTCAATCTTTGAAAAACACAACAATGGTACTAATGTCAGGCCTGCGGATGGGTTCAGGCGTGATGGTCGATACTGACAGACTGAACGGGAGAAAACATACCTCAACCGCGCAGCAAACGGTGGAAAAACACTCAACAACGCATCTGTAAGATCTCTATCTGCTCCACCCAGGGCATTTCGAGCTAAATGGGTGGCTGCATTGTCATCGACGGCGATAAATTTCTTTTCCGTTCGCCAACGCGAGTACATGGATGTGTCATCTTCGCGTAGCCTGATGGGGAGTTGATCTCGGCGGATGATACGAGCTTGTCCTTCATCATCATTTTGCCCATCACCAGGGGGTCGTAGGATATTGTCTTCGTCGAATGGGTTTGATTGACTTTCAAGCCATACCCCGACCAACCCCACGGCTTCCTCGTTGGTGAGTGACTTCCACAGACCGCTCGAGCCCATTATGAGAAAATCGCCCGGTTGTACTTCGAAGGTCGTGACTTCGGGTTCTGCGGTGATGTATGGTGGCGTCTTTGCACCGGGTAGCGGTCTATCGCCGAAATAGTCCTCGTGAAGGCGTTGCTGAACATCATTGCTCCATTTCAAGGCGGCATCACCGAACGAACGGAGAGTAGTCGCCCGGCCTAGCAAACGATTGTCGACCATCAAATTCTCGTTCGGGTGCAATCCACGGAGGCGAGATAGCTCAGCCTGATTGTTCGTGTCTTGCTCCGTAGTTAAGACATGAACATTGTATACAGCACGACCGCTGTGGCGACCAATGTTCCGACCAAGAACAGCTCGTGAGTCGCCAGTCAGACCGACCTTGAGGAGACGAGTATCGGAATCGTAAAGCATAACTAAAGCTGATGACGTAGATTGAGCAACCTCAAGCATACTCACGGCGTGACTGCGGGATGGGTTTGAAGGAAGGGCTTCCACAGGGGACTCGACGACGTTCCGGTCAACCTCAAGAAAGGCTTCTATGAATGATTTGTCCAGTGCGTTCGTGAGAGGTTCGTTCGGTGGCGCATCTATCGTAGAGTATTCTAATGGCATATGTTGATCAGGTTGAGCAGTGTATTTGGTATAGACTGACAAGAGGGAATCGAGAATGGTGGAAAGGAGCACTCGTCCAAGGTAATTGCTGGTATGGGGTCCATTGCGCCCGTCGTAGAGCCCGAATAATGTCCAAGAATTTCCTGTGCTGAGTTTTATCGAATTTATCGCGAGCTCGCTGCATTTGATTGACTCGCTGTGATTATTTGAATCAAGGTTTCATAGTAAAATAAGAATGAAACTCACCAGGGAACCGATATGTCATCAAATCGAGCGATACCAGTGTCCCCTTTAATAACGCCACTGCCCTCGTACTTTCTCAATACACTGTCGGCTTTCGAGGAGGGGGGTTCTTCTGAGGGTGTTCTGTACCGCGATGCCGCATCAGAGATCAGTCTTCGAAGCAGTGGCTCGGGGGCGTCGTCGCCGTGCTCTATTTCATCATCCGCGTATATGGTACGCACGCCAGATAGTATCACTCCCAGAAAGCCAACGGCAGAACCTAGTTGACGAGCATTTCTGCGAGCTGTGGCGGGTCCAAGGAGACGGCTGAGCATCGACTATTCTTCGTTTCAATTTCCAGAGATTTAGAAGCAGTTCAGCGGCCTCGCTGACTGAAGCAGCACTGAGGTCGTTTGGAGCGCTAATCAAGCGCTAATTGCTTCGGGAGAACAACCATGTTGTCCACGTGCAGGTGCGCCACTGAGTTGGCTTCCCTACGGTCGGCGGTCGTCCAAGTTCCACAAGACATTTCATTGCCAACGGAAGAAAATGAACACAAAGAGAATGTAGAGCCAGAATATGCGTCCACTCGGCACAATTGAAGGCTCGGGTCAACGACCGGCTCGAGCAAACGCGACACCGCACTTTTGGGGGGTTACCGTTGGCCAGTCACTAATGCTGCGTAGCATCTGATGGTTGTAGAGTTACTACTCAAGGATGGACAATACTTATCCGCTGTCTTCTTGGCTGGCTTGTGTCAGCGACGCCCTGGTGACGCACCCTTCCCGCGGCCAGGCATTTTTTTAACACGTCAGTGGGCGTCGTTTTTCATCTAGAATTGGTGGCTTGGGACGCTTCGTGCCAATCCAATTCCTTCGTGGTAGGTATGTTTTTTAGAGAAAAGATTAGATTGCGAACTGTACTGATTGGTGAAATGAACTCGAGGACTGATGTCACCTGGTCATCCCGCTGTAAATCCGTGGACCATATGGCTCGCAATCAAAGAATAAGCCTAACCGTCCTAACCGTCCTTGATAATCGTATCTCTACGACGTTTCCTCGCGCGCTTTCTCCAAGATGAGGAAACCCCACATGCAAAAGCGATATGTCTGTCAGGCACGGCTATTTTCGAGTGGTTTGCCCTCATCGTTGGATCACCGGCACCCAATATCTCTCTGAAGGCTTATGGCACGCCTGTCACTCTTCTCCTATATCTATGGGGAACGGTGCAGTATCGTAAATTCCAAGACATCCATCCCCTCGCACCCTTTTTCAGAATCATGGTAGGCGTTGACAATCTGCTTCAAGCTGTCTCTTTAGCCATCCTCTATGCACCGACCACCTCGGCATCCCCCTTTCCAGGAAGTGTCAAGTACACCACTCACCACGTTCGCGAAGTTGGCAAAGGTGTCCGAATCGAGACTTTTCATCCTCCATCAACATACGAAGTTCGTCTCACGAGGCTTCTTCACCTTTCTGAGGGCAATGCTCAACCCATATCTTAGACGTTCGGAACAGGTATTGACCACCCACTTGTCGAGCGTGACAATCCCGACCTGGAGGAGTCCGCCATTGCATTTGTGGGCTCTAGACTCGGTGTTTCCAAAAGCGCTATCACATTCAAGTCGGGCTTCACTGGGGAGACTACGAGACGTGCTTTCGTCAAACAAACTCACGTACGTTGACCCGTAATAATCAGCTGAGAACATCTACGACTGACATGCTCTTAAAGGATGGAGTTCCATTCGCGAACGCCGTTGCAAACATCGCGTTCAACCGCGAAAACAGGGTTGTTGCATTCGGGACCTCCTTCGTGAAACCCAGTAAGCAGTGCAAAGCTTCTGCGATGCTATCTTGTTGCTGATATGTTGCATCCTCATAGCTAGAGTCTCTTCGTCGCAGCCTAGTATCCCCATTGGCGATGCCATAGCCAAAGCGGAAGAACTCATCGATGGAAAATACAACGGTCATCCACCCTCCATTGAATTCCTCGCCCTTCCGGATGGTTCGGCAGTGCTCACGCACGTAATCCAGATACAGAACGATAAAACCGGCACATGGGTTGAGGCATTCATTGACGCCCATACGGGCCAACTCCGTTCGGTTACCGACTTCGTAAACAAATTCTCGGTCAGTCTATCCATACTCTCTGTGCTGCTTGTGTGTTAAGCATATCAGTAGTACCTGGTTTTGCCCATTGCTATTGAGGTACCTACAGAGGGCTTCCAGGTCCTCCTCGATCCGCAAGATACAGTAGCCTCGCCCCTTGGATGGCACAGTGTGTGATATCCTATAATTTCTCGTGTAATTTATTGACGTTTTGCAGGCGACGGTACCACCTCGACCACGGCAACGGCGTGAGGCTGCCTATCCCCCATCCCCATGTACCCCGTTAAACATATATTTCGATAGGGGTAACAATGTCATCGCGTCGAAAGGCGCACCCACCCCTCAGAGTGGACCTGGAGAGTTCATATACCCTTAGGATCCGACAGCCCCTCCTACTTCACCAGGCAACGTAAACGCTGCGGTAGTTAATGCTTTCTACGTGGTCAACACTGTCCACGATTTTTCATACCGATATGGCTTTACAGAGGTAAGAAAGGCATATTTACTCGAGAAAATCCGTTGACGTATCCATCATTCAATAGTCCGCCTTCAACTTCCAAACCAATAATTTCGGGAATGGAGGTCGAGAAAACGACCGTGTTGTTGTTTCTGTCCAGAGTGCCGCCGGGAACAATAACGCTGACTTCGCCACACCACCCGAGTGCGTACCAGCTTTCAAGGATACTAATTGGTGTTAAACTATCCAAATGATCCCCAGCGGTCAGTCAGGTTCCATGAGGTTAGACCTTTCCTTCATGTTGTCGTTGTTCTATTAGTGACTCATGATCACAGAGTGAGTTCTCAGTGTCAGTACACCAGCTAACTGCATCTCATGTATGTGATCATATCCTCTCGACTAAGTATAGAGTACACATTCCCGACCCACAAGCAACGTTGTACTAATACAAAGCAGTGTTCCTGTGGACGTTTACCAATCCATCGCGGGACAGCGCCTTGGAGAACGACATCCTAGTGCACGAAAACACCCACGGGATAACTAACCGGATGACTGGCGGAGGGACAGGCAGGTGTTTGCAGACCACCGAGGCTGGTGGTATGGGCGAAGGTTCGTGCTTATGATTGACCAGAACCTTTATTAAACCAGAGATTAATCAGGCTGGAGTGATGCCATGGCCGAGTATGCTCCATCCCGCGTTACGTAGAGACTAGCTCACAATGCGTTGTTAGATGGACGGAACACAAATCCGCCGACGTCCCCGACTATGTTATGGGCCAGTTCGTTACCAACACCACAGCTGGTATTCGTACTCACCCCTACTCAACTTCGCCGTACGTTCAACGCACTCGTTGTCTTCGCAGGCTAAAAATTGGGCTATGTACTGTACTGTATCAGAACTGTCAACCCCTTACGGTATTCATCCATCGCAACCCTTAGCGAAGTTCATGGTAGGTCTTACTCTCCCCATCCCCTGGCCAATCTTGACTGACTGGTATCACACAAGACATCGGCGAGGTATGGGCAAACATGCTCCATAACGTTTATTCTGCCCTTGTGGGGGCACATGGCTTCTCCACCACGGCACGTACAAATCCGGGTGGAACCGAGGGGAACATTGTATTCCTACATCTATTCATAGACGCTTTGGCCTTGCAGCCGTGCAATCCAACACGTGAGTGTTTTTGTGCGAAGAATTCAACATTAACAATATAGCACCACCACTCTAGTACCTGCTGCAAGAGATGCCTGGATCCAGGCTGATGCAAACAGATATGGGGGCGCTAACGTATGCATCCTGTGGCAAGCATTTGCTAGTCGTGGTCTGGGTGTTGGTGCGGCCGGCCACAGAGATTCAACCACTGTCCCCGATGGGTGCTAACTATCCTGTCTTCGCACCACGCAGTGCTCAAACAGCCCTCCGTATCCACTCGGCTTCACCGTATGCTTTGAGGTGTTTTTCTCTTGACAAATACACTTGAAAAAGGCCGTGGAATCTTGGGTTCGTATTCTCCGTTGATGATATCCCTGATCGTGTCCCATTCTGCAGCGCTGAGGAACTATCATGAGTTGGCAAACGGCACCGTTGCGGTGCTTCTTTCTAGGAACTACCCAACCTTGATCATTTGACCAAAAATAAATAATTGAAAGGTTGGTTCTCTGTTCACCGCGTGGTCAGTTCCCAGGGCACGCCGCTCTCTTTGTCTCATACTGACTTACTCTATCTCCGTAGTGTACGACGCGCCAAAGCGTATGAACCCAGTAGCAAGGTTGATTGAAGAACATCGTCCAAGCTGCGTACATGAGTGGTGGAGTAAACCGTCCATTCCCTCAGAGTTTCGAAGGAGATTCCCGTGCCGAAAGAAGCTCTGTGATCTTTTTATAGACGCGACTTTCTGATCCTCCTAGGCTACAGCTTCACTCCATTGTTGCCTACCCCTCGTCATGCGGCACGACTGGTAGGTAATGCCCAACGCCGGATTGGGCGTCCAGCCTCATGTCAAGCTACCATGAGTCTCCGTCTTCTTCCGCTGTGAAATCATCTACCACGTTGGGACTTTTATCCACAGAAGAAGATCCCTGATGCTGTTGAAACATGACTGCTGACGATGAGCCTCATCGAGAAGCACCGAGTGTGGTTTCCGTGTTCATTATTTAATCCCCCGCATCCAAACTCCATTTCTCGTCACACAACATCATGCGCACGATAACCGCGCTTGTCGTTCTGGGGTTCGCACTCGCTGCGAGCGCACAGCGCTTCGTGCGATTCATCTCCACTGACAACAAAGAATACTACGGCGATGCTATTCTTCCAGCTGGAACATTCGACGCGGCGAAGAGCACAAAGGCCAAAGTCATCACAGGAGACATCTTGGGCGACTTCCGCATTACGAACCAAGTCAAAGTAAGTGACCCGAGGTCCGCATCCCATGTCGAGAGTGACATCTGTTACCACATAGCCCATCAAAAAGCTGTTGGCACCTTTGCCGAGTGAACGCGTCCGTACTGTTCGCTGTGTTGGCCTAAACTACATCGCTCACATCGATGAAGTGAGCAGCACTTGCTTATGTGACCTGCCGCTTTTTTATGAAAAACAAAAACTTATTTATTTAGAGCAACATGACAATCCCCGGGTGGCCTATCCTGTTCTACAAACCATTCACGGCGCTCAACACGCCTAGTGATCCTATCCCCATCTCCGAGGGCTACCAAACTCAGGGCAACTTCACATCGTCGATGGATTGGGAAACGGAGTTGGTTATCATTATGAAGAAGAAGGCGTTCAATATATCCGACGACGAAGCTCTTGATCATGTTCTTGGGTATTCTGTTGGCCACGATGTCTCGCATCGAGGCTGGCAGATCGACCGTGGCGGGTTACCCCAACCCCAATTCTCCATGGGCAAAGGTCCAGACGGGTGGGCACCATGGGGTCCTGCCATTGTCTCCACCAACATCATCACCGATCCGCAGGCGTTGAATATCTGGACAAGAGTAAACGGCGTTCTGCAGCAAAATGCTACAACCGCGGATATGATTTTTGGCGTAAAGCACCTCGTTTCTTTCTTCTCGATGGGGACGACTTTGTTGCCAGGAGACGTCATTTTTACGGGGACGTAAGTCACTCAATTATTTCCGTAGTATTATCGATGGTGATATTTATCTATCTAGCCCAAGCGGAACAAACCTCGGTAAAGCGGTCCCTGAATTTCTCAAGAACGGAGATGTTGTCGAAGTAGGTTTGGAGAACGTAGGGACTTGTACAAACCAAATCAAATATGTGTAGCTATAGCGCGCACATCGCATGCCTATTTTTCTAGTTTCGCTCGAAGCTCACGAAGTGCTTCCATCTGAACCTCCTTTTCCACGTGATTCACGGGTGCCCATTCCTCCTCGCTAGGGTGTTGCCCCGAAGTTATGTACAGTTGGATCGCAGTCACCCCTGTTCCCGTTCGCCCATGCCCATATCCACAGTGAACGAGGGTTGCACCGTGCTCAAGGAAAAAGCGGTAAAGATGATCGAGTTGTTCAGTACTTGCAGCGGTGAAATCTTTCACGGGAAGGTGGAGGAAGGATATGCCTGCTTCTTTGAGCGACTTCTGCTCGGCATCCGTATAGCTACATTGGTTGAAGCTGATCAGGCCATCGATGCCTTGATTTTTGATAAATTGGATTGCGGCGGGGGTTAGGCTGAGGGATCCATCAAAACCCATATAGTTTGGGGATGATGCACGGAAGAGCTTGTGTTCGTTTGGTATGTATTGCTCGACTTGTTCGAATCTATACCAGCCAGCAGCACGAGCGGCATCTTGGATAGTCATACTTGAAGGAAAAATACTGCTTGGTATAAGAAACTGTGTGTCGTGGTGCGATAAAGAAACTGACTTCTGCTGCTGCGTCGGAAGCGCTAGTGATGGTTGATAATCTCGAAGCCCCTAGGGCCCTAGTGGTTTGCCCCTAGTCAATGTCACATGGGCGCCGAATTTGCACTCCGCGACAAGCCTTTTGAGATGGTACAGTTTTGACTTTCACAGGTCCTGCACTGTCGAGGTGGGCCAGTTTTATGCTGAAAAGCAGAAGAAAATTCAGACAATAGACACAGGGCACGCACCGCAGCAGGGCGTTCTTTTGACAGCTTCTGAACTTCTGGAACGTTATGTGGATCCATGCGCAGCGCCTCGATGTCTTTCAAATCCTGATATCTGTGCGCTTAGAGTCGCCGCGAGGCAGACGAGAATGGCGGGGCTTGTGGTAGCTGGACGTATATAAGGCTTTCTCGTGGGATCAGGGGTCTCATGTTCAATCGACTCACCCGCAATTCTCGCCGCAGCCAGAGTACTCGCTCTGGCTCGACTGACGATACTACAGGCGACATGAACAATCATCAAGAAGCAGAAACTACTTCCGCCAATAACATCAACAATACCGACTATGCCCGCCGTTGCAAGGAACTCATGCAACTTCGTAACGATTTAGATGCCATGGGGTACGTCAATACCCCAAGCTGGGATAAAAATATTCTCACTCGATCTTAGTGCCTCTGCGTTATTGGATTTACCACGCGTAGTCGTGATTGGTAGCCAATCAGGTACGAAGCCCGAGATTCAACCAAGCTTTACAAGCCATTAACCGACTTTAGCTGGTAAGAGTTCGTTGGTTGAAGGTGTTAGCGGGGTACGTGGAACAGCAACTATCTTTGCGTATCAAGCTAACGAGTGGTATAGATCTGTGTTCCTCGAGACGCTGGAACATGCACCCGGTGAGTCTAGTTTCCTCATACCCCTCAAATTGGTGTCTTATCGAGAATGTTGCCCTATAGATGCCCTATGGAATGTGTCATGCACAGCACGTCCGGTCCTTGGAGGTGTTCAATCTCTTTGCGGCAAGAAGGCGGAACAACCAGCACATTCAGCCCTGAAGTGACAGACCGGGCCTCCGTTGAGCTTTGGCTTCGTCGTGCGCAAGTGGCGAGCCTCTGTCCTCACAGATCGCCATCCGCGTTCACGGCAATGTCTCGAGATGAACTCAAAGCAACATACGATTCAGACGCCCGAATGCTGAAATTCACCAACAACGTAGTATGCCTTGACTTGCACGATCCCGACGCGACGGATCTATCGTTCGTCGATTTGCCTGGTACGCTTTGGCAATAGTGCGGGCGTGCGTACTCACGGTGATGGGTGACGTAGGACTTATTCAAAACGAATCCCAAGAGGCGATCGATTTGGTTAAGAATATGGTCGTTTCGTATATCGATCGCCCAAACACATTGATCCTAGTTGCCATGCCTATAACTGGTGAGCCCTTTTGTATTTCTAACGTACAGTGTGTTGAAGACTCTCTAGATGATGTCGAGAACCAGCAAGCCGCGCGGCTTGCCAGGGAAGCTGATCCAGAAGGACTTCGTACCATCGGTAAGCTGACCAGTGTTCCTGGGCCTTGTCCTCAAGTACAAGTCTGACCAACACCTTAATATTCATTAAGGCGTCGTTACCAAGCCTGATTGTCTTCCGTCTGGAGCGATTGACTCTCGCCGACGCTGGAAAGACATCTTCCTTGGCCGGGCTCATCACCTCAATCACGGCTACTACTGCGTGCGGCTGCCGGATGACTCAGAGAGGGCACGACAGGCTTCACGAGCAGATTCGGCTTCAATAGCTTCTCAGTTCTTCAGGACTACGGAACCTTGGAAAGATGGGGACATGAACCAAGGACGGTTCGGAATCCCAAACCTTGTGACCGATGTTGGTAGGCTTCTTGTTGAACTGATCGAGCGGTCGTAAGTCTCTTCCTCCCTAATGCCCATTCACGTTTATCGCTCTCTACTGCAGACTCCCGCTCCTGAAACAACAGGTGCAAGATCTCTTGGACAGGTGCTTAGAAGATATCAACGATCTCCCCTCCATCATCACGCGCGACCCTCAGTCTGAGGTCTTCATACGTGTAAACAACTTCTCCAGGGAATTCGCGGAGAGTATAGATGCACGGTCTCACAAAAATTACGTCCAGGGAAGTCGTGGGTTGTATGAGCAACTGAAATTGGATATTAGAGCTACTACTCCCGACTTCCGGCCTTTCCCCAACTATATTGCCCATCCCATCCCTTCCTACCAATGCGACGAAGACGAAGTTGAGGTGCTATCCCAGGCTGCATCTGATACTGAGTCAATAGAAGAGTTAGCTAGCAAAGCAAGGCCAATTGACTTGACTGAAGTTCGCGACGTTATCAAAAAGTGGGACTCCTTTTTCTCTCAACGGATTCCCAGTAATTGACAAAAAAGTCAGGTCTACGGGTTGGGAATTACCTGGCCACGTCCCATACGAAGCCACGAAACATCTCATCGAGAGGCACGTTAGGCTGTGGCATGGTCCGGCAATGCGCTGTTTCAGTAACGTCTTTCGGATGTTGAACATTTTCATGGACGGTTTGCAAGCTGAGCATTTCTCCCGATTCCGGATGCTTCACGAGCATGTCCGGTAAGTTTTCCTTGCCATAGACTTTGTGACGTCTACCGAATCACGAGGGTCCTAGTGGTGTTGCTACCAGAGAAATGGAGCTACAAAAGAAAAATACGTTGGCCATGCTGGAACAGTTGCTAGCTTGCGAGTCAGCTCCCATCTGGACGCAGAATATCCACTACTACAAAGCCACTTCTAAGAAATGGCATACCGCATACGTCCAGCAGTGGTATTTGGCCTATCCCCTGATGCGCCCCGACAATGATTCTTCCTCCTACACGACCGGCCGCCACCGGCCGCCACCGCCGCCGCCACCACCACCCGAGTCCTATGCGGATGAGCTTCAAGTAATGGCCAACGTCCGGGCGTATTTCCAGGTCGCTTACAAGGTTTTTGTCCAGCTACCTCCTATTAAATGTGTATTGACAAACTTTCGAAGCGCATCATTGATGCTGTTCCTCTTACAATTGAAAGAGACTTGAATCGAGCTCTTTCTGTTAGTCTGAGTGACGCGCTCGTCCAGAGCCTTTTTGAAGGCCCGGACATGGTCAATCGAATGAGGAATCTCGTCAGCGAGGACCCTGCTATTGAGCAGCGTCGGGCAGAATTGGCAAGGCGTAAAGGGCAACTAGATGAAATTCGTACAAGGCTGGAGGAATTTGGTCGTGACTGATTGCTTTCTTGTACATTCTTTACTGTGCTAGACTGTCTACGTACTATCACTTAGACAGATTTGCAAAATTTTGGACAATTCGACCTGGTGCTCCAGATTGGATGTCCCTACAACTCCCGGCATGCTACGAGGGGTTGTCGCTCATCTTGGCTAAATACCTATCAACTTTTTGAGTGAATCCCTTTCCGAGTAGTAGAGCAATGACGATGCCGGTACGACGAGTACCCAAAAACATAGATTTGCAAACTTTTCGTCACAGTGTGTCACGCGTCATTCAGACCCAGCAGCGCAGCCGTGTGCCGCCGTATGCATTCGGCCGCTCGCTCGGCAACACATGGATCTGGGGCAAATAGGAGCTTCTTTGTCACGCAAAATATTGCTGGTTTTCCTGTGCATGAACCAGTAGGTACGAGTGCAAGGGACTCTAGATTCAGACTCTAGCGCTACTATACTAGCTAAGAAAAAAATCAGAAGTCTGTAGGATTGTTATTACTTCCACAGCATTCAAGTCAAATTTGAAATGACTATTTGCACGTCACATTTTGCCCGCGGAAATGGACTTGCAACTTCTCAAATGCCTTGAGATTTTTACAGTAGCTCAATGAAGTCTATTTCTCAAACATACTTCATGTCCGAGCATAGGACATGGAATCTACAACAACTTAAAATTGGTTTTGCACATCTATGTGTGTTTGCACTACAGTACACGTGATAGTATACGCGTCGAAAATCTCAGCTAAATAATGTCTTACGTGGACTGATTCCAGAATCTGAATGACGCAAGACTGCGGCCGTTCTGCCACCTACATCGATGCCGTTAACCGGCCCTGGGACTCGCCTTTCTCTCTCTCTATATATATACGGCCAGACGGTGGTGCTTCGGCCATGAACAATGCCCAACTACCATGCACTCACTTCAGCTCTTGAGCTTGCAGGCACCAATGTCGTTGTGGTCGGCGGGACCCAGGGCATTGGGGCTGGTATAGCGCTGAGATTGGCCGAACTAGGGGCCTCCGTCCTCATCTGTGGGAGAAACGAGAAACTTGGAGATGAGATGGTCCGGAAGCTGAAAGAACGGGGCGCGAAGGATGCTAGGTTTGCCTTTGCGGGGAGGGACTTGGGGACTCTGAAAGCGATCAAGGCCCTTGTGGAGGATATCGCTGCTTGGGCTGGTGAGGAGGGCGTTCAATATCTATATCTCAGCCAAGGTACGCCCCTCGCTATACATTCTCTCTCTGGAATCTCTCTAGAATGCAACTCACCGTGCCCTTGTTATTTCAGGCGGACCAGTCTACTTTACGCCTGGCACCGTGGAGAACCTAACCGCTGGGTTCAACGTCCAAATCATAGCACATTTCCTCATTCCCTACCTACTCTTGACGCGTACGAATCCTGTCCTCCGCGAGGGTGCTCAAATTTGCCACATCGGGCGGCCTGGTGAAAAGAATCGAATTATAGACTTCGATGATTTTTCTGGTCTCAAGGCTGCAGCAACCGGCACTTTCAGCATGATGACACATCCATTTCGATGGCTATTCATGATGGACGTATTCACCAAGGTATGCCTAGTCGTTGCGCATGAATCCGTGACCAAATCATTGATGTCCAATCAGGAGTTTAACGTCAAATTCCCTGGAATACACACTACGCATCTGTATCCAGGTCCCGTGTATACGGAATTATTCAACGCGCCTAGTCTCCCATGGTACATGCATGTCTTCCAGAAGACTATATTCAGATGGACCTCCATTTCCACGGCGCAATATGCAGATATTGCCATATGGGAGACCGTGAGCGACGAAGGGAAGGCACTGAGACGGGCTTTCTGGGACCAATACGGGCGCGAAGTGACGGTGGATAAACGCGTGGACTCTGACCCAGAATTCAGGCAACGGGTCTGGGATAATCTTCTCCAACTCAGCGAAATCTAGTCAAGAATTGCCGCAGTCATGAGGAGCGTCGTTGTGGATGAAGGGAAACTTTTGGAACCGTCTAAATAATGTAGAAGCTGTATGTATCTCGCTGATAGTACATATTCGTGGTATAAACGACTGCCAATATTATACACCAATAACGCATTACTGACAAAGCGGTCATCAAGAGGGGATATAAAACATATGGTTGTAACATGAATATAGAATAAGTGCGTCGCAAGGGGAGGGTCGGTGGAACGGCGCTACATGGCCATGCTATGTCTCCTCTCCTCCCAATCGGTGAGGAACCCCCCCTCGTTCGGATTTCGTTTCGACTTGACCAAGCTCCCTTTACTACTGGAATGGCTTCTTCTTCGACTTTGATCTACATTCCCCCAGCCATCGGTGATCGTAGCGCTCGCACTATTCCTCCCCCGATGTGGTCTGCGCACGGCAAACTCCCCATCCGCTTCCTCCCCGCCGCTCCCCACTTTGAAATCGTCGTCGTCATCATCGTCTTCATTGTCATCCTCGCCAAATTTTCGCGTGCTTACGACGATCGTTGCTTGCACCCATGGCGTCGTATCCTCGTCCCCAAGCCGTTTACGCTTGCCGGAGCTACCGCCACTCTCCTGCCCCTCTTCTGGATTCACGGCTGGCGTTGACGTTCGCTTCTTGGCGGGTTTAGCAGGGGCTGTGCCAGGCGGCGGGTCCGGTTTACGCATTTTGCTACAAGTCGGGGCTGATTAGTTTGATTGAGTACCTGGAACGAGATCAACGACGTACGTGTTCAGTTTGGGTTCGGCGTAATTTACACTCTTCCGAGTCCGCCTTTCTCGGCCTCCTGCAGCACCTTCTGCTTCCTCGGGGTTCGCCCTGAGGGCTTCGTCAGGTAAGTCAGCATCATCGATTTCTTCAGGTGGGGCATCAGACGAGGCTCTTGGTGTTGGTAGATAGAACTGATGTGCGTCTTCTGGAGGCTCTATCGGAGGGAGATTAGTGGGTTTACTGGATGAAGTAGTGTGTGACGCTTGTGAAGAAGATGAAGAAGCTGATGCTGGTCGAGGAGCAAGAAATGTACGATGTTTGGCTGAATCTAACGCCAAGTTTCAATGAGAATGTAATGTACGAAAAAAGATAAGAATACGTACCGGCTGTTGAAGTAATCATATCTTCGCAATTAAGAGAAAGCCCCACAGAACCACGAGGTGAGTTCGTGACGTCCATAAGCCTGGCTTTACTCTTACTCTTGACTTTCTTCTCCTTTTCTCCTTGCACGACTGCGTCTTCATCGATCAGCAGCTCTTCAACCACATCCACTTCTGGTTCCCGTGGTTTCCGCTTGCGTTCTTTCCGGTCATTGAGATCCCTGTCATCTTTTGGTTTCCGCCTTGAAGGTCGGAAGTCCTCGTCCTCGTCAGCACGCGCTTCTTCCGACTTCTGCTTTCGTCGGGTGACGCCCCGCAGAGGTTTGGGCTCTTCGATACCAAGTAGATCATCTCTCACCTCCTCCGCCTCTTCCTCTAATTCCACGTTCTTCGGCACGGGCGAACCGACAGTCGGACTCCCGGGCCTACCACCCATTTCCATCAGCAACCCGCTTTCTCTCCTTTTCATACTTGAACTAGGCTTCTTGCGAGGCAGACCTGGCGTGATTGAGGGAAGGGGGATCTGAGCGGTAGACGATCGCACTTTGCCACTCGTTCGTATTCGTGGTAGCTCCACTGGAGCATGTTCGTGGTCATCTGTCGGTGGCTCGTCTTCCTCGTCAATCCCGGGCACATTGGGTAAACGGGCAACACGTAGAGCTTCATCTCTTGGTTCCGCATTGACAGGGCGTCGAGGTGGCGAGTGCGGTGGTGAAACCTCCTTCGGCGCGGGTAGGTGTATAGCGTGAATGTTGAGTGTTTGGCGAAGGTAGCTTAAGTGTTTCGCGAGATTCTGGGTAGCAGCCTCAGCATCTGCCATGACCTTTGTCGATTTCTCCTTCTCCCGCTTAAGTTGGGCCGCAAGAGCAATCTCCGATGCCCGTAATCGGAGGTTCTCAACGTAGAGGGTGGATATTTGGGCATTAAGTTCTTCAATCCGGACACTGAGCGTTGAGTTGAGCCTAGAGTATTTAATGGGTTAAATTCATTCATTTCAGAGGAGATGCAAGGACAACGCACTTCGTGATGTGCTTGTTGGCGAGTAGGAACTTTTTCTTGACTGTGGCATGAAGTTAGTGTTGTTGGAGCGGAATAAGGCACCGCAATTTACTTACACGATTCGAATTCAACCAAGGCATCGTTCTGGCGTGCCCCGACAGACACACGCGAGTCCCTGCGGGTACCCATGCGGGGGAGATCAATGTTGGTACGACGGGGAGTTGTGTTTGGCACACAATAGCCACGCGAAGATCACGTGACCGGCGGATGCATTGACCCTGTGCCAATCTCCTAGCCCCTGTCATCCTTGTCTGGATGGCCCAAAGTCAGTGTCGGGGATATGGGGATGGGCGCGTTCAAGAAATGGCATCCAGTTTCAAAATTTCATGTCTAGCACTTGTGCAAAGAGCCCATTGAGATCCGCTACGCTGTCTTGACGGCTCTTTACCCGTCCCCTACTCGGTGCTCTTGGTTAAGTATTGGCTGATTCGGCAGTTTCTCCTCCTGCTACTCCACTATGTCCACTACCACCTCCGCTGACCCGGCTATCTCCCGCTTCCTAGGGTTCAAATTCAAAGAGGGCACTACAGATGAGCAGAAAGCAAATGCCGTCAAAGGTCTCTTTAAACTATATGAGGACCTGGCGCGATACGTAAATCAGGGACCAGTTGGTGCGTTGCTGAGATATTACGCAGATTCCGTGGCCTTCATTACTAGTGCAGGTGGCAAAAGCCTCGCTCAAGGTCCAAGCAGAAGATTCGATTACATGTTTACCGTGGAGTTCAAGGTGGGCCTAATGACCTCTGGGATGTTTTGTCTTTAACAATCATAACAGAATGCAGCGGCGAGAGACGCATTCTCCGCAAGTCCTGAACATGAAGGTGGCAAGGTGGGTGTTCAAAGATACTTTAAATAAGTCTACCTCTCATGCCTAGCAAAAAAAGACGCGTCTTGCCCCCATAGTTGAAGATGTCCTTGCCTATGATTATGTCAAGGAAGAGTATGGCTTTTGAATACAGCTGAAATATCCCCTGTCTCCTGAATTGTGATTGTGAGATAAATATCCTGACTGTGGGAATAGTTGTGAAGCCAATCACATCATCATAGATGATCACCTAGTACGCGTTTGTCTTCTCCATTTTCGCAGTCAATTGAACCAGATTGCACCGTCGAGCCAAGAATCGACTGACAGCGTACCAAGTCATTTTATTCTTGATTCTGCAGTTGCTGCTCTCGGTGAGAATCTAGTTCTGTTCTTGTGATGGTCTCTGATCCATCTGGCGCGAAGCTGGTAGTGAATCAAGAGATTCGAGCCGAATTGTTAGCAAATCGATAACGAACGCTTGGGATTTCTCAGGGCAGTTTGCTTCCAGCTATTCGCGGAGACATCCCGGAGCAAAGCCTTCGGGACTTCGGCTGAGCTTGATAACACCTTGAAACCTCCCACACGTACCTTTCAGCCGGCTTCGTTGTGCAAAACGATGGCCGCCAGCGATTCGCCTCCCCTCCCTCCCCTCGACCACCCTTTTCTTTCGTATCTAATCGCCTTGCTCTCTGTCTATGAGCTGGGACCGAATTCTGCACCTCCACCGCGCTATGATGGACCATCAGATTGGCAAACCGATAGCATTATTCGCAGTTTGACTGCTGTGGCGAAGCGAATGTACGAAGCAGAAACGGAGGCGCATCATCTGACAACGGGGAAGGAGCGAAATAAGACCCAAGAAGTAAGCCTTCTCGACGGCTTTGTTGTTTTGCGCTAATTAACTGTTACTGGCAGGATCATTCTCACTCGCCTTCATTACCAAGCCCTGAAAGTGATCACCAAAGCACAGTAAACACCAGCGCCGTCTCCAGAACACGAAGCAATGGCATGCGTTCACCCACTCCGTCTAACTCTACCCCAATGACAATCTCTCTCGAAGGTCTCAAAGATAACCTAGACATCATGAGCATGTCCAATACACCCCAGAAGACTCGCTCCCCCACTGAACCGATCGCTGTTAACAAAGTTGCCAACCTAGACTGCCAGTCATCATCCGATACCACGACTCCGACCGCACCCGCCGAGCCTCTGCCCAACTCAGTTTCTACTACCAGCCTATCTAGCTCTGTTTCCGCCCCCCCAACCAGCACTATCATCTACGATCATGTAGCATGCCCAACCTGTGGCAAGACTATCACAGACCCCCTCACCATGTCGCGACTATCTTCTCTTTCCAACCTTTCCGCCCCTTCCAGTGGCTCACCGCTCGTCGTACCGATGGGTCCTCTTGCTGCGGCCGCCTTTGAAAGCGGATTGAGCGCTGTCGAAGAGCTCAAGCTCCTCAAGGCACAGGTCATGGACGTTGCACGCGTTTGCAATGCAGTAGCCACCGGTGACCTTAGTCAAAAGATTACCGTCCCCGTTCAGGGTGTTGTCATGGTTCAGCTCAAAGACGTCATCAACAAGATGGTGGATAAATTAGGTCAATTCGCGAAGGAAGTCACAAGGGTTAGTCTAGAAGTCGGCACGGAAGGGTGAGTCGTTTCGTACGTAATGGGAGCGGGATTCGTACTCAAACGACACGTAGGAAACTCGGAGCGCAAGCTCTCGTTCTTGATGTTGAAGGGACATGGGGAGAACTCACAGGTGTAGTCAACAAGCTTGCCGCCAATTTGACATCCCAGGTCCGGTCTATCGCTATGGTATGTGTCATAATTTCCTTTGACTTTGAGATACAATGAAATCGACAACTCAACATGTTCGTATCCCAGGTTACAAAAGCCGTCGCTCTCGGGGATCTTTCTAAGCGAGTCGAGGTCGACGCCAAAGGTGAAATATTGGACTTGAAGAATACGGTTAATGGTATGGTCGTTAGGTTTGTGGATTTCGTCTTGTCCGGTCCATGTCCCGTTTTCTGTTTGTCCTTTGGGCCTTCGGGCCCGTCCCTTTATCTATTGGAAAAAGCTTATAACCTTAACTCTAAACCTGATCGTGATTATGTTGCTAATATTTGTCCTATGTTCCTTTTCACGGTGTGCAAATCAACCTCCCACGTATCTCCAACACTACCCTGCGAACGATGGATCCCGTTGTAACAGACTACGCGCACTCGCTGCCGAAGTCACCAGGGTTACTCTCGAAGTTGGTAGTCAAGGCAAGTTGGGCGGTCAGGCCTATGTTCCCGACGTCGAAGGAGTATGGTATGAATTGGTCAGGAATGTAAGCTCTACCCGGATATACTCCATCGGACGCGATCTCTGTTTTCCCTATCTGACACTCATTTAGGTCAATCGGATGTGTTCTTCGTTAACGGATCAAGTGCGATCTATCGCCAAAGTGACGACCGCCGTAGCCAAGGGCGACTTGACCCGAAAGGTTGAAATCCAAGTCGAAGGCGAGATGTCGACGTTGAAGGGTTAGCATCAACTTAGTGCCTTTATATCTGATCTCATCGATCTACGTCCATTAGGTACCGTGAACTCTATGGTGGATCAGTTGAACGCCTTTGCCAGTGAGGTCACGCGAGTGGCATTGGAGGTTGGGACGCAAGGTATCTTGGGTGGTCAGGCGAGAGTCGACGGTGTACAAGGCACCTGGGCAGACTTGACTCGAAACGTCAACGTAAGTTCAGTGCTGACTATCATGAAGTATCCTACTGACATGAGGTTGCCAGAAAATGGCTTCAAACCTTACCGATCAAGTGCGATCTATATCTGAGGTCACCAAAGCCGTAGCTTCCGGTGATCTTACCAAACTAGTCGATGTTGATGTCCAAGGCGAAATGCTGGATTTGAAGGAGACGGTACAGCACCCCTTATTCCACACTCCTCGCGAAGTGTTAATTTGTTGCCTTTCAGGTCAACTCTATGGTCTCGCAGCTCAGTACTTTGGCAAGGGAAGTCAGCAGAGTGAGTTTGGAGGTCGGAACGGAAGGTATCCTAGGAGGACAGGCCGTTGTTCCAGATGTGCAAGGCATGTGGAAGGTCAGCTCCTGAATGCTTCTTTGTTATCGGTCTCATGCTTACGGCCTAATAGGTTCTCAGTGACAACGTCAATCTCATGGCCATGAACTTGACCAATCAAGTACGATCCATCGCAGAGGTGACTAAGGCTGTGGCTGGCGGCGACATGACGAAGAAGATTGAAGTCGATGTCCGTGGTGAGATGTTGGAGCTCAAGGAGACCGTCAACGGCATGACAGAGAGTTTGAGTGTCTTCGCCGACGAGGTGACAAGGTACGCCTGCTCTGCCTCTCACTTTCAAACCATGGATTTGATTGATTGTGCGATGTAGAGTGGCCAGAGAAGTCGGCACTGAAGGTCGTTTAGGTGGTCAAGCCAGAGTGACAAACGTCGGAGGAACATGGAAGGCTCTTACAGATAACGTCAACGTCATGGCCGCCAATGTAAGTGTAGATGCCATCTCCTTACGCCCACATACTCACGCGCGGTACTTACCATCTCCAGTTGACCCTCCAAGTCCGAACAATCGCAGTCGCAACGGTCAGCCTCTTTCATGCTTACACTGCTATTCACATACTGACAGTGCTATTTCCAGACCGCTGTCGCCCGTGGTGATCTTACGCAGAAGATTACTGGCGTTTCCGTTTCTGGTGAAATGTTGAACCTCGTCAACACTATCAATGACATGATTGCCCAATTGGCCATTTTCGCAAAGGAAGTCAAGAAGGTAGCAAGAGAGGTCGGAACCGAGGGCAAATTGGGTGTGCAAGCCGAGGTTGGCAACGTACAGGGCATCTGGCAAGAGATCACGTAGGTTACGCTTTCATGACAATTGCTCCTTTCACTAACTCGGATCTATAGACTCTCTGTGAACACGATGGCGAGCAACTTGACTACACAAGTTCGAGGCTTTGCTCAGATCAGTGCGGCGGCTATGGATGGCGATTTCTCCAGGTTCATCACAGTTGAAGCTAGCGGTGAAATGGACTCCTTGAAGACGCAGATCAACCAGATGGTGTTTAACTTGAGGGACAGTATCCAGAAGAATACTGCCGCCAGAGAAGCCGCCGAATTGGCTAATCGCAGTAAGAGTGAGTTCCTGGCCAACATGAGTCACGAAATCAGGTATGTCTAATTCTGCGTTGCTCTTCAACTCTGCTGACACTCAAATTCCGTTAGGACTCCGATGAACGGTATCATCGGTATGACGGAGTTGACGCTGGACAGCGACCTCAATCGCTCCCAGCGCGAGAGTCTGCTTTTGGTAAACAGCTTGGCCCGATCACTGCTTCTTATTATCGACGATATCTTGGATATCTCTAAGAGTGCGTATTTCGCGCCATGGACTGTGATTATCTATACCGATAAATGCTTCCTTTATAGTCGAAGCTGGGCGTATGACCATGGAAGCTGTACCCTACTCCCTCCGTCAAACTGTATTTGGCATTCTCAAGACTCTCGTCGTTCGCGCTTCTCAAAACAAACTTGACCTAACCTACGACGTCGAACCTGACATCCCCGATCAGCTCGTTGGTGACCCGCTCCGTCTACGACAAGTCATCACCAACTTGGTTGGAAATGCCATCAAGTTCACTCCTAGCAAGGTTTCACGGAAGGGTCATGTGTCCCTGTCGACAAGGTTACTAGCCATGGATGACTTGAACGTGACTATTGAGTTCTGCGTCATGGACACAGGTATCGGTATCGCCGAGGACAAACTTACCATGATCTTCGACACTTTCTGTCAGGCTGATGGCTCAACTACCAGGGTTCGTCGATGCTCCCGGTTCCTTCAGGCAGGGTTGGTTGACCATGATTTAACAGGAATACGGTGGCACTGGTCTTGGTCTATCCATCTCCAAGCGTCTCGTATCGCTCATGCAAGGTAACATGTGGGTAGAGAGTGAGCTATCGAAGGGCAGTAAATTCTACTTCACCATCACGTCCCAAATCAGTCGAAGCTCCAAAAACAATATCCTCTCCAAGATGATGCCGTTCTCCGGGCGTACGATACTCTTCATCGACACGTTGCGCGACACGAGTGGGGTCGTAGAAAGCATCAAAGAGCTTGGACTGAGACCCTACGTCGTCCATGATGTTTCAGAAGTCTCGGACAAGGATAAATGTCCTCATATCGACACCATTGTGGTAGATTCACTCAGCATGGTGAGTCTTTTTCGTTTTTACCAGGGAAACTTCAATAACGTTTATCAACCCTAGACCGAAACTATCCGAGAGTTTGAGCATCTTCGTTATATTCCCATCGCTCTTCTTGCACCGTCAATCCCTCGTCTCAACCGTAAGCCTTGCTTAACCCAGTTTGCTCCCTATCTCCTAAACCCTCGTGACAGTGAAATGGTGTCTCGACAGCAGCATAAGTTGGCACGTTACGACGCCTGTTTCATTGCAGGACCTTGCTGGCACACTCACATCAGCGCTGGAATCGAACGCAGTCAGTCCAGTGTCGGCGGTGAACGACGTGGTCTTCGATATTTTGCTAGCCGAGGACAACCTTGTCAACCAGAAACTCGCCGTCAAGATACTAGAGAAGTATGGCCATACGGTAGAAATCGCCGAGAATGGTAGTCTGGCTGTCGATGCTTTCAAGGGTCGTGTTGCACAGAATCGACCTTTCGATATCATCCTAGTACGGTCGCTTTGCTCATCACCATCGTCCATGTTCTAACATTGATTGCTTTTAAGATGGATGTATCGATGCCGTTTATGGGTGGTATGGAAGCCACTGAACTGATACGGACGTATGAACGAGAGAACGGTTTATACGCTACACCGATCATTGCACTGACCGCTCATGCTAGTAAGTGGAATACTTATTAGAGGCCGTTCGTCGTCTCATAGGGTGTAGTGATCGGCGATCGGGAACGTTGTCTGCAGGCAGGCATGGTGAGCTTCCTATATTTCGGTGTTTTCTCGCTCTTTCTGACGAGCTCCTCAGGATGACCATATTACGAGTAAGCTAGGTGCTGTCACAACTTAGTGGATGACAACTAACTCCCGCCCCAAGAACCCCTCCGGCGCGCAGATCTCCTTAACGGCATCAATAGGTTGGCGAGCGAGCGAAGGAGCAAACACCCATTGCTCTATAGGCCTACCGTGTCGAGTGGTCTGGTGTAGATTCTCCGAGCGCCCTCCCCCATTTTTGTATGATCCTTCTCGTCATTCCTTGATGTAATCATATACTGCCAGATCTTCATAAAGACTACTAACTGATTCCCGCATTGTATAATAATACCCAACGCAGCTGGATAGCGATACTGTAATATATTACCTATGAATCCTACCTTTATACACGCATGTATGACTCAAGCTTCTCGCCAATAGTGTAAGTATCTGCATATTAAATTGTTTGCCTGCCCCGAGTGTGAGAGGTCCGTAGAATTCTAATGGATACAGTGGTATGATGAACGTATGGCGAATCACTAGATAATATCTACAATAATCGTCCGTTTGTATGCAAGTATAAAATCAAAGCAGTCTTGAAGTCCGTGATATCATTCTAGTCGCTTATTCCTTCATGCATTGCCGTATCTTCTCGACTGGCAACTGGCTGTCTATCATTAACTCATCAATTTCCTTCAACTGGTAGTCGATTTGAGCAATCTGGGCCTGGCTGAGGTCAACGTAAGGCTCGAAACCGTTGCGAGCCGCCGAGGGCATTGCTGGTTCTGGTCGGTGAATAGCTGAATGAGGAGAATATGAGACGGACAACACATTACGACTAGCCATGGATCAACGTACGAATATATTCCCGGTCAGCAACTTTCTTCCAATTACTGTAGGAAATGGAAGTCAGGTGGGCGTGAAAAGGGAAAAGCGCGGTGTACGTACAGTCCGGCAAAGAACGCATCACCTTTGATTTGGGAGAGCTCAGGCCGATGCCTTGGGCCAGAGTTCAGGATCTAGGGAGGCGCGGTTATAATGATAACCTCTGAATGACGGAGAATCAAATACTCACGGAGGACAGGAGCGCAGCAGCAGCACTGTTTGCAATGAGTCGACGGAAAACAACGAATCTTGGCCGGGCGTCAGGATCAGAACTGAAGAAAGGCTGCGAATCTATATGTAAGCTTCTGGAACGTCTCTTTAAACAAGGGAGCACTTGCCTCGGGAGTACCGAGCATCATTTGCAAAAGTATTGCGCCGTAGCTCCAAATGTCTGCATAAGCCGGCTGGAAACTTGACCAGACTTCCCGGGCTGAATAGTGAGGGGTGCCGAAGGGTCCCTTGCATAGTTGAGATCTCTGCTGGTGGACGGCCAGACCAAAATCGGCGATGACGAGATTTCCGGAGGACGCAATTAGGATATTCTCGGGCTTGAGATCGCAGTGATAGATGTTGCGCTCGTGAAGTGCCTCAAGGCCAAGTAGCTATATTGGGTTTAGGTCAATTAGATTAGCGTTTTGAAAATGGGGGAGCACGAACGATTTGCGCCGCGTCCAATATTATCTCCTCCATCCGCATCGGCAAGCGCAATTGTTCGAGTTTGCGTAACCGATCTTCCAGATTAGAAGGGTAAAGCGGCTGCAAACCAGATAGATCAGAGATGAAATATAAATCTCCGAGCGTAGTACGCACCAATACGAAGTAGATGTTCTTTGTGTCTTGAAAGGAGGCGAGCAGAGGCGCCAAAAACTTAGAATCGGACTCTGAGGCTAAACGCATGATTTCAAATTCCTTCTTGATGTCCTCGGGATGAAGGCCACTGTTGCCGCTGCCGGTACAACGCTGGAGCGTCAATTCTATTTTATTGAGCACTTTGATGGCCACCACGCCCCGCGCTTTTCCAGTTACCTTGGTGTAAACGACACGACCGAATGAGCCACGTCCGATTTCATAGAAGAGCGAGTAGTAAATATCTCTGTGGAGGAATATGTCGGATGGCTCTACCAAGGCGGGTGCGACGAGTGGGCCTGCATCCCTTTGAGCAGCTGCACGAGTCTGACATGACGGAGCCTCAGGCGGGGTAGGGAGATTAACCCAGAGTTGACTGGCTGGCGTCTGCAATGTCGATTGTTGAATAGGAGTTAGTGCTTGATGGTCAAGGGCAGGAGTAGTCTGAGGTGTTATGTACTGAGATCGACCTGTGGGGGTAATGGGAGGTGGGTACGCCCCAAAGCCTTTTTGACCCGTAGGAGTGACTGGGGAGGGGGGCGCGAGGTTGTGTCTATACGGCGTCGGTATTACAGGGTGTTGGTCCCATCGTGCGTTGTCACAGCAGGGAGAATCCTGGATAGGTAATGGCCTGGGTATGATGGGGTCGTTGGGACTAGGCGCGTTAGGGTCGAGGGAAACAATCACTGGCGAAGGAGCAACGTTGTAGCCTCGATATGATGCCGAGATGCCAGATTGTTGCTCAAAATGTACGCGTCCTCCATGGCGAGTGTAGGGGGAGCCCTGCAAGGGGTGCAAAGGGGGTTGATTCCAAATAATGGGATCAGAGTCAGCCGAGGTAACTGCGAGAGACGGAGAAACATTATGGGGAACGTAAATCGAAGGAATGACAGGACGCGGCTCAAGGGTTGTGCCTGGGTTGCCGTAAGGGGAGCCATGGAGAGTTAGTTCCCTTGGGATGATGGGATCCTTCGGACTGGGTGCGTTAGGATCGAACGGAGTTGGGGGTCTGAGTCTCCCCTCCCAAAGGGCATTATCCGCCTGGAGTGACGCGAAAGTAGGAAAGAAGAGACCGGGCGGCAGGAGGGGGACGTCAGGGCCTCCGTTAGAGCCAGGGGAGTCGATGACTGTTTCCACCCGTAAGTCAGGTAATGAAGAAAGGGAAGCCTCCAATTCATCTGTGTCGCCGCATTCAGGAGTGTCTTGATTTTCGATGAGTTCATTGCAATGGTGGGTAGTCCAGGTGGCCGAAAGTTCAGAAGTCGATAGGCTGGATTCCGTGGAATAGCTGTCGTAGCTGTCGTGATGATTTGATGATCCAGAAGAAGTCGAGTCGCTGTCGTTATGATCGTTGTCAGATCTGGGTGGCTCCGCAACATCTGAAGCAATATCGCAAAGCTGGTCATTAGGTTGGAAGGGTGGTATTGCTACGTCTGAAACCTCGTCGATAGGGATGCTGTTATCTTCGTTGTGAGATACCTTATGTCTGTCGTCCTCTTGTACATGAAGTTCCTCGCTTCGTCCAACCTCCTTCGTGACTTGCACTGCGATGGGGAGGTCGGGAAGCACTGGATCGTCGACTGGATGTATTTGATCTGGTATGGGTGGCTCCTTGATACAAGAACGCGTCCCCTTCAGAGCCACTAGAAATCGGCGAAACTTGGGAAGGAATCCATGAGACCGTTCGCTCTCGCGCAAGTCCGACGGCTCAGAAGTGGTTCGAACTACAGATTGATCCTTGGTCGAGTTGTTTCTAGAGGAGAAGGGAAATAGTCTGGAAGGGCGCATCGAGTATGATACTGCGTTCGCTTGCAAGCATCTTGCTTTTATTCCTTTCAGCAGACCATCGACAATCCATTTCTAGATAATAGACAAGGCAGTGGCGTTGGTCAATGCTTTGTTTGTTTTACGGCGCTTACTACCGAGGGCCCCACAATCACGACCGATCACGTCGATCTTGTTGTGCTTGGCATGTGCGTGACGCACAGAAACGATTGAAACAGATAATTAAGACAACACGCTCGACGAGAGGCGTTGCCATGAGTATGAATACTTCAAGATAATAAAAATACAGTCTAAAGTATAGCGACATTAAATATTGAGGACGAAAAGGGATGCTGCAGATGGAGGAAAGCAATCGTACCAAATCCATATCAAAGGGTCTATATCAGCGTGACGAATTGCCAGGTGAGTCGCCGGCACGAGCCGTTTGGACAACATCGTTTAGTTGTCTATTTCTCTTCTGCGCCAGTTCAAGCTGTTCACGGATATTCCTGTTGGCACAGTTAGTGAGGCGTAAGCTGTTGGCAACGGCTATGCGAACTCACTTCATGTTATTCTCTAGCTCGTTCACTCTCTCTTTCGCTCCTTGCCGTTCACGTTTGTACTTCTCTTCTGCTGCCTTCAGTCTTGCCTCGTACTCCTTGACCCTGGCTTCCCACTTCGAGTCCGCAGACGCGTTCCGCTGATTCATCTCAGCAACCTTCTCTTCCGATGCCGCAAGCAAGTTCTGGGCATTGATGAGCCGTCGCTCAGCATTCGTGGCGCGAGCAGAGAGTGCTCGAACTTCCATTGCGTCTGACTGCCCAGGTTTCTTCATCGCGGCAAGCTGCGTCGTCAGGTCGGCGTTGGTTGCCTATACGAAAAAGGTTTTACGTGAGGCCGGAAATCATAGAACTCAGCTACTCACCTTGATCGCCTCCAGCTCGCCCTCTTTGGAGCTGTATTTACGCCTCCAAGCAGCTTTGGCATCAGCATACCCCTTAACGGCCTCTTCGAACTTGTCGATCTGTTTCCACCGATGATCTAGCTGCTTCCTCATATCCGTGAGCTTCTTCGTGAACTTCGATTCCACCTCTTTACACCGCTTATCAAAGTCGAGTTGGATCTGGGAGAGGGCTTTCAGTCTCGTGATGAGATTGTCGTGGAAAACGCTAAAGTTGGTGAATGGCTTCGTTTCCGCTTGTCCACCTTTCTTCTGTTTGAAACTTAGTCAGAGGACTGATGTTGGGATCGCAACAGTATGTCATACCGGGGTCTTATCCACTCCAAGGATCTTATCCATATATTGATATATGGTCAGCAAGAGCGTGTTTCGCTCCGTAAGTTGGTCCCTATACTGGTTCTCAGCCGCGAGCAACGAGCGCTGGTCTTTGGATAGCCTCTCTTCTAAATCTGCGATTCTCGATCTGAAGGTTGCTACTTGGACTTCGGCAGCCTTGAGACTGGCTTGGGTGGTATCCAGCTTCTCCGTAACATTGAGTCGTGCTTGGGTTTGGGCCGCCAATTGAGTCGCCAGGTCACGGTTTTCTGCGTGAAGCCTATCAAGCACGCCGTCTCTATCTCGCCCTTTGCTGTCTTTGTCCTCCAAATCCTTCCTTGCCCGTGCAAGCTCGTCTTCCAATCTCTCCAGATCGCGTTTCAAGCGATCGACCTCAAGCTGTAACGAGAACCGAGCGGTGGTATGTGTCTCCCCCGCGCGCTTCGACTCAGCCTCAATGGTTTGCAGCGCCGTTTGCACTGCTTGCAAGTCGAATTCCCGCTGATCGAGCAACGATTGCGTCCGTGCCAAATCATTGAGGGCGCTCTGCAAAGCCGATTCCTTCGCTTCAAATGCCCGACGCTCGCGACGCATTTCCTCCTCGTGTTCACGATCAGCCGCGTCCAGATCGGCAACAGCGCGCTCACGGAGCCGCCTCTCCTCGCGTAGCTGGGCGTCGAGATCTTCGCTGTGGTGTGCGAGTTGCTCCTGGCGCTGGCGATGTGCCAAAGCTTCAGCATGAAGCGCCTCGTACGCCGCCGAAGTTTCCTCGAGTTCAGCTTTCAACGTGGCGATTTTCTGCGGACACATATTCAATGAGTGTACAGCTATCTACAAATAAAATGACAAACCTCCTTTAGCGCCGCAGAGACTTGCTTCTCGACGTCTTCGTCTTCTTGCATACGCTCTATGGCCTCCTTCAAGTGGTCGGCCTCATCTTCAGTTTGGTACAACTGATCATGGAGGCTATCTATCGTCTTGTTGAGGTTAAGGATCTCGTTGTCTTTGTCTACTATCTGGTCTTCAAGCTGTTTCAGTGCTTCGTCGATGTTATCTTGTTCGGCTTGGAACCCTGCTATAGTGACTCGGAGAGTCTCAATCGCAGCCTCTCGTTCTGCAAGAACCTACGGGGATCGTATAGATGAGTGCATGAAAGGCATGAAGTAAGTGTCGTACGTCAGCTAGGTTGTCTTTCTGATTCCGCATTTCCACAATCTCGCTTCGCCATGCATGGTCATTGTCCTCGAGGTCCCGAGTATGGTCCTCGGCCATTTCTTCGAGTTCGCGGTTCCGTAGCTCGAGGTCGTCTTCCCTTTGCGTGAGCTCGATGGTCACCGCGGCTAATCTATCCTTGAGTGCATTGAGGTTTTCTTGCATGACCTCCCGGTCCTCTATCTCATCGAGGATCTGAGCGCGACTCTGACTCCGTTCCATGGATTCCGCCTGTCTCCTCCGCCTCTCGGTCTCCAGCTCCAGCATGAGTACCTCCACGCGATCCAAAGCATCATCGCGTTCGTTTTCAACACGGGTGAGGAGGTCCACATGCTCCTCAAGCCTCTCACGAATGTTCTCGTTCTCCGCCTCCAAGTCCTCCACGCGTCTTTTCATACGCTCTCTCCTACCCTGCCCACCCTCACTCATCGTCGATTCATCTGCCTTGCGTTCCAACAGCTCCTGCAACCGTTCGATCTCCTCCGTGTTCTCTTCCAGCAACCCCTTAAGACTATCCAACTGCTCTTCTAGCTCAGCATTCCTCGCTTCGGCCTCACGCAGCGCGAAATCGTCCAAGCTATGTCCCGAACGCCGTCGTCGCAGCTCTTGAAGCTCCATATCCCTCTCTTCCAGCTTTTCCTCAAGTTCACGTTCGCGAGCAGCCCCGCGTGACAGCTTGTCAACCTCCCGTTGTAGACTTGTCTGCACCTTCTTCAACTTCTTGATCTCCATTCCCCGTGATTGAACCTCCGTCTTTAGAGTAATATTCTGCTTGATCACGGTCTCCATCTGCTCCGGAGCCATCTGGTGCAGCCGATCTTCGAAAAAATGCAGCCGAAGCTTCAAGTCAAAGTTCTCCTTCTTGAGGTGGTCGATTTGCTAGCAACGAGGCTGCCAATGTAAAGAGGTGGCACATTATGGATGTGGGGTAAGATCGCGAACCTTCTCTTGGTCGCGCAACGTGAGTGGCGCGCCTTTTGTGGCACCTGCGCTTGCCCGCGTGCGTTTGGCGCGTGTAGATGCAGCAGGCGTCGTGTTGAAGTCCATCCCCCGTTTGCGCTCCCCTCCAGGAGTTTCCATGAAGTCCCCCTCGTTGTCTTCTTCATCCCCTACTTTGCTACCCAACCGACTGGCAGAGCCCACATCGACGCTCGGTTTCCGTAACGATGAAAAGCCGGATGGTGGTGAGGGGGTGGAAATCGGCGCCGATGACGGGTTGGTTGAACTTGATGGCACTCGAAACCCACGGCCTGGTGGCGTGAAACCGAAGGGTAAGGATCCAAGGGAGAGTTCTGCGGACATGTCAGGCCTTGGATTCGACGCGTCGGCCATTGGCCGAATTGAGGGACCACGAAAGAGGTGGACGTTGAGATCTGAGACACTCACTGGTGCACCGTGTGCGAGGGAAGGAGAACACGTGCTTCCATGACAGCTGTCACGTGTAGCTCCTATAGTTTTTCTCCAATTTCTCTAGACGGCTCCCTAGGGACACAGACTGAGACTATGCATCTATCTTTTAGCTCTGGATGAACCAAAAGTCTAGGATAACACTCTGTCGCGCAAAAGGTACATCATCCTCCAGCATTTTGCATTCATGTCGATAAGCGGTGAGCTCGCCAGGCTTTTCCCAGGGTCTGCCTATACTAGATCACTCCTAATAAGTAAGTTACTGGGTATATGACAGTTATTATTAATCGATAATCGGTAAGAAAGTGTGCCGATAAGACTATAGGGCTTTCATTGGAAATAGGGGGTGCCCTCATAGCTCAGCACGCCACCCCGCGGCGAATCTTATCTATACACCATGTTGGAAGCCTAATTCCAAGATACTACTTCGCTCCGACTCCGAGAGGGGGATTTCCAATTCATGAGAAAGCAAACCAATTAACCACACGCTCTACTGCACCTGAATCCTAGTTTCCGGTTTCCCCTCCGCTCCACACCTCTTCGTTTTGTATTCCAACCACCAAGTTCCTACCAACGGGCTAAGTCCACATGGAACCCACAACAGAAGTGAGCGAGCGGACCCCATTGATACGTGCAGTGCCGACCGAAAGCGTATCAGCAGCGCTCGCCGACGATGAAGTGTTAGCGACACCCTTTGAAGAGCCACTCAAGCACGATGCCATCTACAACCGCTTTTCGCCTGCGAGGAAAAAAGTCATCATTACACTCATCGCATGGTCCGGGCTCATCCCTTGTATGTTTAATCCGTTATCTTCGTAGATAGCATCCTTACAAACGGTCTTCGTGCTGTAGTCTTCGTATCAGGAACATTCATTCCATCCATCCCACAAATAGCCCTCGACCTACACTCGACGGGGGAAATCATCAGGTATGCCGTAAATGAGCTCCCATGGTGTTGCTCGTGTGACTGGCTTCTTTAGTTACGCGGTCAGCATATCAATATTCGCAATAGGCGTTGGGAGTTTGTTCTGGGCGACGCATTCCAGCTACTGTGCGTATATATCGGTCGACCTACATAGTCGCTGGCAGTGATATCATGACTACACCTCTTAGATGGTCGCCGACCCATCTATTTGATTGGGTTGCCTCTCCTTGTGGTTGGATCGACGGCTGTCGGTCTGTCAAATGATATCCCACACCTCATGGCCTGGCGATTTTTACAGGCCTTTGCTTGTTCAGGCGGCGTGTCCGTCGGCGCGGCGGTTATTGGCGACATATACAAGCTGGAGGAGCGCGGTGGCGCCATGGGGATATTCTTCGCCGTGCGTATCAAATTCAACGGTCCTTCGCACTGAATACATTTGACATCCAGGCGATGCTACTTGGGCCAGCTCTGGCTCCTCTTGCTGGCGGTATGCTACTCTCGATATCTCCGTCCCAACGTCTCCAAGTCTAATAACTTCACGTTCAGGGGTTGCTGCACATTATGCGTCCTGGCGTGTTATGCAGTACATTCTAGCACTCGCGGCGGCTATCGATTTCGTGATGATGTACTTTTTGTTCCCAGAAACCAGCCACCCGGGGACTCGGGGCATAGACAAACGAGAATTTGCGGAAGAGAGTGCCAAAGGGATGAAATATAAAATTCTCAACCCCTTCGCAAGCTTACGGCTGCTGAGAAGCCCAAATTTGTTGGCTATAGTGAGTTGAACCCCACCTTTTGTCTTACTTAGTCGGGTAACGAAGCTCTTGCAGACTATGTCAGGGTTTGCTGTCCTGTACTCTGACTTTGGTTGGTGCACGATTAATCAATGAGTTACATGGCCCTAAGGTGACATTTTTAGCACTCCTCACACCACTCGCCTATACAATCGTAAGTACGCGTACACCGATCGGCATCAGATGACTTGACCATACCAACAGGGTGCCCGATACGGGATCACCAATGAAGCTCTTATCGGCCTTTGTTTCGTGCCCTGCGGTGTGGGCAACTGCAGTATGTTTCTGCAGAATATCTCTCGCCGCAATTACTGATCATGCCCGGTAGTCGGCGCTCCTCTTGGTGGTCGAATATCAGATTATGTTGTTGCTAAACGGCGCAAGGCGCGTGGTGGCATATGGTGTCCCGAGGATCGGCTTCGCGTGACTCTGGTCGCTGCTGGACTGCTGGCCCCTCTCTCCGTCCTCGCTGCTGGTTTCATAACGGAGTATGTCTCTGGAACGGTGGGCTTAGTCCTCAATTTAATCTGCCTGTTCATCAACGGCCTTGGGGTAAGCTGACTCACCGCGTTCTGAATTATTGCTCACGCGGACATTGCGCGCCCACAGGTAGACATGGTGCTGAGTCCATCAGCATCATATATCGTCGACATCATGCATGACAAGAGCGCCGAAAGCATGGCTGTGAACAAGTGGGCTCCTTGACCGCCCAAACATATTGATTGTTAATTTCGTTCGCAGTGGGTTCCGTTCCCTTATCATGGCCGTCGCGATCGCAGGTGTCTTTCCAATGATCGGTGCGTTCGGGGTTGCAAAGACCTATACCGCCGTTGCACTACTTGCTTGGGTTGGATTCGGGTATGTATTATCCTCGCTTTATCTTTGCCTCCATCTAATCCTAAATGCTGACGTTAGCATTCTGTGGGCGACGGTGCGATACGGTGATCGAATGAGGGCGTGGGTTGATATGGGGTATTCAACGGCTAGCTCCAACTAGAACACGTAAACTAGATGCATCCATTCTGATATGGACAACTCTGATACGCATGCCCGTTCGAATCAATCGGCGGTTGGTACTTGCGAAAGAGGCTGTGTCCCATGATGGGACACACCGCTAAGGTAAGATAGGGGATAGGAGGCGGCACGTGCACTACTGTTCTCTCTGTCCTGAGTCCCTTTCGCTTATCGTGTTTGGGGGAACACTTGGAAAAATCGAAGTAGATCCCCGCGACACTGTTTCTATTATTTTGATGGTACATAATTACGAAATGGAACGATCCAGCATGTTTTCCTGCACTTCGCCTCGAGGTGATGCTGAGTCAGCATCAACATCGTGCCCACCGCCCGCCAACTCTTCGCAAGTGGGTTTGTTCTCAATCTCCACCACAATATCTTCCTGGTTTCCATCCTTTTCCCTTTTACTTTGTATAATGGACATCACCGAGACGATCTGAGCCTTCAGTACGAATTTGTGAGTGACATCTCAAATTTATCTTGCTGGGGCGATGGTCGTGGTGACGGCGCCTTGTTCCTTTTCGTTATGTTTTTGTGCTCACAGAGAGCGTTGTCAGGCTTTTTTGCTGCTATGACCTTGGCCCGACCCCCCTCTATCATGACCCCTTCCCCCGAACCTGCGTTTGTTCTACCAAATCCCGAGCGCTCCTTGCCAGGTCATCGTTCGCAATCATTTTCTTCGACTCCCCCCGGATTATTGTGTAGTATAGACTTTGAGGCGTCCTCATTCCATCTAGACTCGAACCCCTCGATTTTTGGACCGTTTACCGAGAAACGGGACCCTCGCAGTTGTGATCAGGGCGACATCGATTCAACCACCGTGGCCTACCCATCCCCCCCTCCCACCAACTCCAATCCGAAGCGTAGTGTGCCTCTACCAGCCATCACATTCCACAGCGGATGCGGCTCAAAGTGCTTTGTCTTTGGATCAGTGAATACCAAGGCTGTCATGGGCCCAGGTGGAATCCCCAGTCCGCCGGATATCCAACAAATACCACTTTCCCCTCCTCCTACGATACATACGACGATACACGCTCTACCCACGCTGCACGATGCGACCACACCCCTGATCCTCCCCCCGACGCCAGAAGAGGAAGAGGCCCAGATCATAGACGACTCCGACGACTCAATATTGACGTTTCCCCCCATTCCAGAAGAGGACGAATACCAGTCAGACGAGGCCGTTGACTCACCAGCAGCAGCGCCCACGCTCTCCGAGCTCTCGATGCGCAGCTCCTCTCGCCGTTATCCCCAGAATGGACACCAACAGGTATCGCTGATTTTCTACTCCCTCAGGACGACGACGATTATTCGCTACTGTCGAACGATGGCGGACCCTTCTCTCTACGTCGCTCTCTCCACTCCCATGGTCCGTTTTCACCGCCTTTCCTCGCTCCCCTCAATATTCCGACGGGCGAAGCAGGACCATCGCATGATCATGGTATGGAAGACGACGTTGATTCTAGCCCTGAAGACCCTGAAAGCTTGTTCACTCCGAGGACGCCAGAATCGATAGAAGTGCCGCTTTTGGGTAACGACGTTGGCTTCCTGTCGAAGCTGGACTTTGATTGCATGGACGAAGAAGACCACATTCAAATTTCGCACCCAAGCTCACCGTCAATATCTACTCATAACTTACCCGAGCTAGACTTTGACGACGACGATGTGCAGCCTTCTCCCCCACTCTCACTAATATCCCTTCCTGGCGCGGAAACGGACGACGACCTTCTGCCTGCAGATCTCGCACTCAATAGTTATCATCCTGATTCCCCCGCCAGCACGAGTAGTCTGCTACTCACTGATTCCTCGCCAGGCGGCCCGACTCTCTCTACGGAAACTTCTGATCCTGACGCAAATCTTGGATCGCATCTCGCAGTTGCTCTCGCTAACTCTAACGATCCTCTCCTCGAACGTCTTTACGCAGTCAGGATGCGCGCCATTTCAGCTGAACGTGTAGCCCGACAGAAGGAAGCCGCCGCGTTAGAACAGGGTTCTATATTTGTCCGCGCAGAGGCGAAGAGGGAGAAGAAGAAAGAGAAGGAAAGGGCACGAGAAGTCGCGGCGTTGTTGCGACTCAAACTCGGACTGGTGGATCAAGAGCGCAGCGGAACCGTCGACTTGCCTCCTGTAGGCGATTTAGACGTTGATATGGAGGAGCGGGCTGGGATTGACGGTGTCGTGAAGAAGAAGAAAAAGAAGTCGAAGGGTATGGCGGGAAACATCGATGGGCTGGTTGCACGGATGATGTTTCGGCGACGGAACGAATCCTTCAAGCCTCTAGGTGGCAGACAGCCCGAGACTGGTCGGGAGCTGCCCCGCGCCCGTTCCTCCCTATCGCGTACCTCGAGCTGGAAAGACGACGACGACGACGCTGACGTTGCTATGGGAGCCACCGAAGACGGAGAGATCATTCCTTCGCGGGAGAAGCTGGACGATTTTGCGGACCAGTCACCAAATACAAGTATGGACCGAGCGACTGGGAAGATATGATATTCGTATTGCTGTTTTTCTTTTGAAAAGGTCGGGCTCGAATCCAACGGCTATGGACCGCACCTTACTCACCTAGTTCCTCTTCGGTAGGATGCTTTGTTAACCCATTTACACCAATTTTCTTCCTCGTTTCTCATTACAAGCAACACCAACCATCATGTTTCCGCCAACATCCATTGCTTCATTTCCCCCCGCATCTTTGCATCTTTGAAGAATTTGAAGAAAATCTCTCTACATATTCGCATAGTAATTATTTACCGAGATCATGTATGTTCGTGGTCTTCTCTCGTTTGCGTTTATGCTCGTTGGTCCTCTTCTGCTTACCATGTAACATTGTATCATCTAGTGTTGTCAATAAGTCGGCGGCATATTGTTTCGTCGTATTTCTCTTTCGATTGGGCCACGTATCGAACCGTAGCTCAGTCCCTGCCTCTGTCAGATGTCACGGTCGTAGGTCGTGAGTACTGGTCGAGTGAGAAGATACCCATCGGATCTAGATTTCTTCTGCACGTGTATTGGCTTCTTTTCATAGATTGTGTACATACGATACCTCTGCTACATAATATACTCGTCCTGGGTTACAATGATACAAGCTAAGGTCTACAGGAGTAACACATAAGAGAGTATCCGAGTCTGGCCATCACTTAGCGCCACTCCCAAAGACACTGGCTTGGGCACTCAAGGTGACCTCGCCGTCGCCAGCGTGTGGTTCTAGTTCTTCCTGCCTCACTCCTCTATGCTCCAAAGCATACGCTCGACAAGCCTCCCTGCTCTGCTTTAAGTCCGGGTCCGCTTGGTTGTAGGCAATGACATTGAGGCCGTACTCTTTGAAGTTGTACTCAAGCAAAGCTTTGAGGTCAGGAAGTATCATAGGATCGGGGGCGTACGTCCCGCTATTGTTGTCCACAACCAGTTCCCATTGCACGTTCTCGTCCGGAGTATCGTCCGAGAACGCCTCCCACCCACATTCGGGCCGTAGATGGAATTCGCCGCTATACCTCACTGCCTCGGCGCAGTTGGCGTGCAATGCGTGCTTCGAAGCGAAGTCAACGAAGAAAGCAGCGCCCGTCTCCGAGAATCGGAAAGAATCATCCTCCTTTGAAAGGATATAGGTGTACACAGCTGGCTTGATTCGCTGTGTCGACTCATCTGTCTCGCCGGGGCGATTCCCTTTGAATATCTTGAATAGTTCTTCATGCGAGCCAACGATGCCGAACCCGTTTCTTGTACTCCGAGCGTAAAGCATGCGGTGTCCGGCTTGTATTCCTGAACGCACGGCGATGGAAGTGGGGCCTTGGAATATGTTCTGCGCCGCCTTGTAGTTTCGGTTCCAGTGCTGAAGTTCGTGAGCATCAAGGAAGATTTGCACATCGCGAATATACATTTTCCAGGTGGAATACAATCGGGCGTCGTTCAAGTTCGTCAAGAGACCGACTGTAGGAGAAGAGTGTCTGGAATAGCGTATGGGACCGTCGAATACATAGGGGTGGATGTGAGGTTGAGGATGGGTTGAAGGCGTACTGTCAATCTGTTGATGGGTTAGTACTGGTTCCTCTCGACGAACTAAGCAGACACCGAACCGACCTTCAGCCAGAACGTCCCCCTAGACCTCCTACTCAGCACTGGACCTTCAATATCGACTTCCTTCGCCCCGGGACGGATTGTCGTCTTAAATTTGCCAATGTAGTCATCGTGAGGGGCGCCGTCATCTTTGTCTAGTAGCTCTACCTCCAGGTCTGCTAAGAACGGTACGTTCTTGACGCGCCACACTTCATTCCACACAGGGGTCAGTGTGTTGATCTGCACTGTCGAACTGTGAAATCGATGATCAGTGGCTTGCCAAGAGCTTAGTGGGGCTAACGTGCACAAATGATATCTTATCGTCGATCTTGGCGATGAAATATGGATCCGCTGAGCCAACGACATCCATCTTGGGTATGCCGGAAGCACCGATAAACTACAATGTGGGTGAGGCACTCGAGCATGGAACCAGACGATAGCCGTAGCTCACCTGAATTTCGAGGTCGACGAAACGGATGTTGTGCTCAGCGAAGCCCTTGGTGAGGCTCGTTACATCGTGAGCGTTGGCCTTCGCTTTTTCTACAGCTCCATGGATTTGGTCTACGATGCTGCTGAAACTGACGGGGTTTCTGCGTCCACCAGGCATATCCTTTGGCAGTGGGAGGTAACGACAATGAGCGTACCATTTTAATAGGGGGTGCAATCCGTGCCGAGCGGGGCTCGCGGCGGAGCAGGTACGGAACCTGTGCAGGTGTGGACTTCAGAGCACAGACGCCAAGAGACGGAACACAGCAAGAGCAACGGCAACTACTCTAAAGTCTATATTTATCTTTCGTTGTGCCGCTGCGCATCAGCTTCTGAGCTGCGCCCAACGGGTGAAGCACCGCGTTTCGTTCAGCCTATCACCAGCGCTGATATATCAACAATTGAACGTACAGAGAAGCAGGATATTATACAGGTTTCATACTATTGTGGGTAAGGATAGCCATCTATCGCTACAACAGAATTCGAAGTGGTATAGCTTGTAGTTCGACCATCAGGGTCGTAAACGCGGTGTGGAGGCACTACTGGAAAGTTGGTGGGATAAAAACTGGGACTCCGAGGAAGATAAAACGACTGGGCGGAAGTTTGCTGAGAAACGACAAAAGACGGAGGAGGCACGTCGTCGTCAATTGTCCAATCAGTCAGCCTGGGTTGGGTTCGACGCCGTCGTTTTCGCCACCAGAAAATAAATAATATGCTAGACAAGGTAAAAAAGAAACCAGCGACACTGCACGCTATTGCCGCAATGATCGTGCTTGGTAAATTAGGCCTGGTTTGGTGAGCACCCTCGGTAGGTAGCGGGGAAGAAGGGTGGGTACTCGTGGGCGCGGAGGAAGAAGAAAGGACAAAGGAACTTGGGGTCGGTCCCGGATCAGAGCTCGCAAAAGCAGTTCCACTTGATGCGCCGTCGTCGACAGTATACCTGCCGTGATGTAAATCTGAGGCGTCTATCAGATGGTTGAGATAACACTCACACGAAACCGTCGACAATGGCATACTGAGGGTCAAGCGGGCCAGCGTGCGGAGACCGACCAACTGATACCACCAGGGTATGCTGAATATTCGCTAAGCCAGTAGCAGCCCACACTGCCGCTGATCGAATGGTTTCTGGCCCGCCGCTTGTGCGCTCTCTCGACAAGTCCATGAGGTCAATCGTGATCCTCGGACCGCCGTCCAGAGAGATGGAAGATGCGACGGGGTAGGGCCACATGGAGGACATGAAATAAACGGCGACTCCTATGGAACACTGGAACTTCAAGAAGACCACATGGATGAAAGAACACGAACACGTACCAGTGAATCTGAAGGTTGCTTGGGCGGCTGGGTCAGTACTTAGCATATGGCTTCCTCCCATGTTCAGCGGTGAGACGGCTGACAGCCACTTGACACTGGCCGAATATTCGATCGTGGGCTGATCGTCCACCGTTACATTGTGAAGCAGCCCCACGACGGTTCCGACTCCCAAACCAAGGACGTGGAAGCAGGCCAGAAACCTTCGCATGGGGTGGTGTAAAGTGCGTCGCAACAAACGCCGACCTTTCGTCTCTTCTTTTGCATTTATATTGAAGAAGCTTGACGTACGGCCAAACGTCCCTGAACGACGCGACGATTACAACATATTCGGCGTCTACAGTACCATACGCGTATGCATGGTATTGTATGCATTGTATGCGTCGCGATGGTGAGCTAGACAGATAAACCCAATCATCCATCAGTACACAGCCTGTCATGTACCCATATACGTACTTTCTAGCTGTTGTTCTTCTCGCCATGGCACTAAGTCCCTTGGGTTGTCGAACAATCAATGGGGTGGCAACGTGACGATGAAACAATCGAGGTTTCCGAAGGAGCCGCCACTCCCGAGTGCCGTTGTTTTGCCCTGGAATCGAACAAGCTATAGATTCGCTTCCTTCGAGTAGGGTCAATCGTGTTTCCCCCGAAGCGACGACACGGGTCAGTCCTCCAGGCTAATAGTAAGCTGTCTACCAGCCAGGCTAATTTGTCCAAGGTACCAGGGGGTTCGTATGCTTCGGGCTGACCATATCCCATGTGCATGGTCACGATATAATCCAGTAATCCAGGAGTAACCTCTGATGTTGCAGAATATGTCGGGAGCGATGGTCTTACTTGCATTGTCAATGGTGTCCCGAGCCGCGGACTCAAGACTCGCTAAGCGCCGCGAGAATCGGCACGTGATCCAGAAATTGTGCTTGTAAAAATAGAATCGACCCATTCTTTGCAGCTCAGCGGTTTCTTCACTCCCTCCACCATCGACTGTAGGATGTCGTTCAACGCGACCGTCGGGGCTTCTGCTCCTCTGTACGAGACACTATATGGCAGCACAGATATGGCATCCTTAAGCTGGGCAGAAAAGCAATGGGTTGCATGGTACATTTGGGTAGGGAACCCAGTTATCGCTACAGGGCTCATGAGCTTCTTACTTCACGAGGTACGCCTCCCTTCATTTCTGAAGGAGACTGACCTGACCCTCTATTCCATAGGTCGTGTATTTCGGTCGATGCATACCATGGATTATCGTAGACTCTATTCCATACTTTCGCAAGTGGAAACTCCAGCCCGCAAAGATACCCACCCCCGGGGAACAATGGGAATGCACGAAGCAGGTCTTACTCTCGCACTTCACCATTGAGCTTCCAACTGTATGTTTTACTAGTTGGTCATATGGATTTCAAGCTTATATTCTTCTGCCAGATCTGGCTCTTTCACCCACTCGCCGAGTCCCTTGGAATGTCTACTCATCACGTCCCCTTCCCATCGTGGAAAGTAATGGCCCCTCAAGTATTCTTCTTTTTCTTCTTCGAAGATTTCTTCCATTTCCTGGGTATGTCGTATTGGATCTCCAATGCTGCCATATCTAATCGTTCGTCCTTTCTTAGCCCACCAAGCTCTCCACACCGGTCTCCTGTACAAGCACATCCACAAGATCCACCACAAGTACTCTGCTCCGTTTGGCCTTGCTGCAGAGTACGCCCATCCCGCTGAAGTTGCTATCCTTGGAACTGGCACGATCGCGGGACCTCTTCTTTACTGCTACTTTACTCAAAACCTCCACATCTTGACCGTCTACATCTGGATCACGTTGAGACTTTTCCAGGCCATTGATGCCCACAGCGGTTACGGTACGAACTTCTCATCATAGTGCATCTGACTTTCAACTGATAATTTGCCAAGACTTCCCTTGGTCCCTTCAGCACATTCTACCTTTCTGGTCTGGCGCTGACCACCACGACTTCCACCATATGGCGTTCACCAACAACTTTTCTACCTCTTTCCGCTGGTGGGACAGGATCTTCGGGACTGACGAGAAGTACCGTCAATATCGCGAACGCGTCAAGGCTATGAAGAAGAAGAATGTGGACAAGGAGGAGTTCGCGAAGTTAGAGCAGAAGCTTTTGGAGCAGGTTGAACGAGAGGGCATCGTCGCCGAGCGTGAGGCTGAGACTGGTGTCAAGGCGAAGTCACAGTAATCTCGCCGTACACGAAGTAATAGTACGCTCATATATTATATCATAGACTACTTTATGCGTTTACTGCATTATACATATGGATTCTCTACCCGTGGACTACTCTAGTCCTCGCTCGATTCAATAGGTTTATGTTACAGGACTGGGTAACACTGTTTTTAGAGAGAAACCAGGACGGCGACGCCCGAAGGAATACCTGACCTGATATTCACGATCTCGAACTTAGATGGACGGATTTACGTAGCCACTGAGAACGTCACTAGTCAAGGTGGAAGAAAGATCGCGGAGGTTATGCGTCAAAACGTGCTGAACATGAAGTTGGCTACATTCGTCTCGCGCAGCAAGCGGATTGGACAGATTTTCTCATGGCTTCATTCCAGTCTCCCACACACTTCTCTATGTGCTAAACGATGGCTTCCGACAACGCGGCTCTTGACCACCCTTTTCTTTCGTATCTAGCTGCACTGCTCTCCGTCTACGAACTGGGGCCTGATGCTAGGGCACCACCGCCCTACGATGGTCCGTCAGATCTACAAACCGACGCCATCGTTGGTAGTCTAACTTCCATCGTGAAGCGAATGTATCAAGCAGAAGCGAGTGAGAGAAATGAGGTCCAAGAAGTAAGTCTCTTTATGGTCTTTGCTGTTTGGCCCCGATTCACCATGGTCACCAGGCTCCTTCTCATCCACCCTCGTCAACAAGCCCCGGAAGTGTTCGTCACATTAACATCAGTACTGCCTTAGACGTCATGAGTACGCCCGAGGGGGCTCTCGCTACTGACAAGGTCCCCGATATACGCAGCGATGCATCTGCTGGTATAACCCCAATTGCCGAAAGAGAAGTTGCGGTCAATTACGCTTCTAGTACCTCCGTTTCGGCACTCGCAGCCGCCAGTATCAGATATGATCTTGTGGCGTGCCCGACTTGCGGCAAGGCCATCACAGACCCCCTTCCTGCGTCAGGACAGCCTTCCTTGTGCAACCTTTCCGCTCTCCCCAGTAACTCCCCCCTCGTCTCCGAGGCCGAGCTTGAAAGCGGCTTGAGCGCAGCAGAAGAACTCGAGCTTCTCAAGGTACAAGTCGTGGAAGTGGCGCGCGTTTGCAACGCAGTATCCTCCGGCGACCTTAGTCAAAGGATTGCGTTCCCCGTTCACAGTATTGTTATAGTTGAGGTCAAAGACGCCATCAACAAGATGATGGACAAATTGGATCAATTCTCTAAGGAAGTCACTCGCGTTACTCTCGACGTCGGTAGTCAAGGCGAGTTGTGGAGTCAAATTCATGTCCCCGATGTCGAAGGAGTGTGGTACGAATTGGCCAGAAATGTAGGCCAACTATAGTTCAAAAGACGCAAAATTAAATTTCTTCCGTCGCTTTTCCGTAGCTCAACCAAATGTGTTACTCTATGACGAACCAAGTACGATCCATCGCCGAAGCAATAAAGGCTATAGCCAAGGGAGATCTGACTCACAGAATTCAAATCGATGCCCGTGGTGAGATGCTGGAGCTCAAGGCGACTGTCAATGGAATGACGGAAATCTTAAGTGGGTTTGCTGGCGAAGTGGCAAGGTATGCCCGCCGATATTCTTCGCTAATGTGTTGATCGACTCTCAAATACAGAGTGACAAGATCAATTGGCACTGAAGGTCGTCTGGGCGTACAAGCCAGGACCAATAATCTTGGAGGTACATGGAGATATCTCACAGATAGTGTCAACATCATGGCGGCAAATGTAAGTGCAATTAACTCGGTTTTATATTTCTATGCCCACGTTCTTCGTTGTCTTCAGTTAACTCTACAGGTGCGAACGATCGCATCTGCAATGGTTCGTCTCCTTCACGCATCCGCCCCGACCCTCATACTGATAGAGCTTCGCCAGACGGCGGTCACTCGCGGTGATCTTACGCAGAAGATCACTGGCCTTGCTGTGTCCGGTGAGATGTTGGAGCTTGTCAATACCATTAACGACATGCTTGTTCAATTGGTCGTTTTCGCACGCGAAATCAAGAAGGTGACCAGAGAGTTTGGTATTGAGGGTATGAGGCTATGTGTGCAAGCTGAGGTTGGTAATGCACAAGGAATTTGGCAGGAGATTATGTTAGTCATTACGTTTAGCGATTGTAACCCATGCTCAACTCAACTCGCATTTATAGACAATCTCTCAACATGATGGCGAGCAACTTGACCACGCAACTCCGAGACTTCACGCAAGTCAGTGTCATGGGCGGTGATTCCTCTATGTTCGTCACAGTTGAAGCCGGAGGCGAATCGGATTCCTTGAAGACTCAGATCGACCAGATGATCGTGCTTCGCACGAATAGTCAGGAGAACAGTAGTGCTCCTACTGCTTTGTAGCAGTAGTAGTTGATTTGTTAGTGTGAGCTGAGGAAGAAGTTCAGAAGACAGCCCTTCAATGTGTGTTAGTAGATCCAATCGATTTCAGTCAGATTTCATAGAAGAGCTAGACCGTACCTCCGTCACGATAGTGAAGCAATTCCGGACCAAACTGCTGGGTAAGACTTTGGCCAGGCTCAGTCAGACTTTTGCTGACATTGACATCGAGCCCGGGTTTCGGCTGACTTTCTTAGTCCCCCTCAACAAGCTTCATTTAACACGGAGAGACGCGAGGTGCTAGAGCGACAAGATAAGAACAAGTAGTATGACACTGGACAACGTATGATCATGTGTCTGCTTACACGAGGGGAATGTAGCAGTGAACCACCCTCTAGTAGCTGCGCCACGCTTATTGAACTTTTTCGGCTGCATCCACTCGGGGCTTTCATGGTTGACCTCAGAGGGAAATGCGCATACCAGTAAATAGCTCCTAGCCCCTGATTGACCCCTCACGAAAAGGCGCCGGGGGAGCTACTTTTCACGCACAATCATTCTAGTTTCGTGAAACACACTTCAAGGTCGCAAAATCTCTACAAGTCGTAGACGCGTTCTTTCCTCGCTATATAAGGCCTCAACTGGCGCGTCCTTACGATGGCTGCGCACCTTTCTGATCGCCAACAGCACGACCTGTACGCGATTCATGGCGTATCGAATTCTATCATCTCATTTCCCTTGTTAGGCATAAAGCAATGCTGGATTACCTGTATAATGCAGGATATAAGAAGACCTTTGAGCAGCTACGTGAAGAAGTGCCTGACTTGGTGCGTTGTCGTGCTATCTTGTCGCATCCAACTGGAACGTATATCCAAGGCCGATTTCACTCCTGATCCAACCGCGACATCGAGCGGGCTGCTGGTCAAGAAGTGGACCAGCGTGATACGGATGCAGAAGAAGGTATGTAACTGTCTGCCTTCCACTCTTGGTTCCCCTTACACCGCGAAACTGTAGATCGTGGAACTGGAATCGCGCTTGTCGCAAACTATTGAAGAGATGTCGAATATGGGCCCGATGACGAGCGGAAAACGAGCGAATAGGGATTGGTTACCGAGCGCGCCTGCGAAACACACTCTAGTTGGTCACCGAGACAAGATCAACAGCGTTAGCTTTCATCCACTCTATCCTGTAGTAGCTTCTGCGTCAGTCGACGCGACTGTCAAGATATGGGATTGGGAATCTGGAGAGCTGGAACGGACGTTGAAGAGCCACACGAAATCTGTCACCGATTGTGATTACGATTCCACGGGCAAGATACTCGGTGCGTCTATAGATATAGATCTACTCCTTGCCGTCGCGCTGACCGTCATGTAGTCACATGCTCCGATGATTTATTCATCAAGCTCTGGAACGTCGCAGAGGAATACAAGAACTTTTCGACATTGCGCGGCCACGAACACTCAATATCATCGGTGCGATTTCTGCCTGGAGACGCTCGTGTGGTGTCGTCAAGCCGCGATCATACGGTTCGGGTTTGGGACGTTCAGACTACGTGAGTCGCGTACCGCACTAAGAGTAACTACAATCTAAGCCCTCCTCCAGGCATTGCATCAAGACGTTGAGGCCTCATGATGAATGGATACGCTCCGCCTTGCCAAGCCCCGACGGTCGCCTGCTGCTAACCTGCGCCGACGACCATGTACGTCGTAAAGCTCTGCGTAGCGTTCTCCTCGTGTTTACTTTCTTATTCTTAGACTGCTCGAATAACGGATTTAGAGTCAGGCGCACTCAAATCTGAAATGCGTGGCCATGACAACCGTATAGAAAGCGCCAACTTTGTGCCAACGATATCGATCCCAGCTGTTCGAGAGCTCATTGCGCAGGTACGTTCTTCTGTACCGATATATACAGACTTGTCCGTACCTTTTGTTTGCAGCCTGCTACAGCCCAATCCGCCAAAGTAGATTCTTTAGCGATTTCCTTCGTATTAACGGCAGGCCGAGACAAGACGATAAAGCTTTGGGATGCCCTTCGAGGGAGCTGTTTATGGACATTTGTGCGTGTATGATGTCCTTCTGGATTATGTATATATCTGAACTTGACGACCGTGTACAGGTGGGCCACGACGGCTGGGTACAAGCCCTCGCTTTCCATCCATCTGGGAAATATCTTTTATCAGTGGCCGATGACCATACGCTTCGCGTGTGGGATCTTAGAACGGGTAGATGTCTTAGAAAGAGTCAGCCTTGTCTTATCACTTGGCCATGCTTCCATTTCTGACCCCGAACGACAGTCGAGGCTCACAGCCCATTTGCTCAATGTCTGGCATGGGGTAGAGCTGCCCCTTCCGCAGATGGCAAAGAGGACTTGGATAAGACACTCAATGTTATTGCGACCGGAGGCACCGACAAGGTATGACAGCACACCCCGCTGTATCGTGCTAGTTGACTCAACCTCTTTCATAGGTCGTTAAGATCTGGTGTCCCTAGCCATTGCATGTCGTCTCGCATTTTATATAGTAAGTGTCGACCCGCTCTCATTATGTTAACCTCATCCTCGCGTTTCGTCCGCTAGTATATCGACGTACCTACAGTAATATTATTGTTCATGCATTTCGTAATCATGATAATTCCCAGAATTCATGTTATCGGTTCGCGGGAGGTGATGGGCAAAAAGGAAAAAATACACCGAGCGGGAGTCGAACCCACGCCGCTTGCTCACTCCAGAGGTTATCTCTGTGGAAGGCAAGCATGATACCGTTTCACCATCGGTGTCTTGTGCCTTTAGCTATATACATAGATAGAAACCTACTCGCTAGCATGAGCCACGTAATCAGCACCCACGGTCTGTTTGTTGCGAATTCGTACTTACGTTTTGCGGGGTGACCCAACCTTTTGACTTGGACCATCCTCAGAACCCGTGCGGTGTCCCGTAAACCCAATATCATATAGCTGAAAGATGACTAACATGTCCTCAGGATCAAAGCGCTCCTGGGATGGCCAATATTCCGACGCCAAACGACCAAGAGAGGATGATCATGGCGCCAGAGACTGGAGAGAAGTACACCTCAAGCGGCCAGGCCCTTCCAGAGATAGGAATGCCGAAAGGGAACGTGGTAGACGAGATGGGGGATATAGGAAGACTGGCTCTGGGGACCATCGAGATCGGCGACGAGACGATAAGGATCGGCAACATACTCGACGCCGAGAACGGTCAGGTAGTCGCAGCCGCTCTCGCAGTGCTTCCAATGGCATGAAGCAAGACTCTGAAAAGGAGGAAGGCGAGTGAGTCGTACGCTGGTTCGGGGTAGGGATTAGTGACTAACTAACGCACCGCAGAATCTCACCTAGGACAAGTCGTGCATCAACTCCGCCCAACGGAAAAGACGTCCAAGTCAATCGCAGCGAATCGGCGGCACCCACGGCACCAGCAACAGCACCAGCAATGGACATGGAGCTTGACCTTCCGCCTTCACCTCCCCCCGTCGAAGCTACTCTTGCCGCTCGCCGCGCAAAGAGGTTGGCGATATTAGCCAAGTATCAGGGCGGTGATGCAGATAGCACACCAAGCCCAGGAGCCAGCAGTGCGGTCCAGCCGCCACAATCTGTTGTCCGTTTATCTGACGCATCTCAGACCAACAGTGTTTCCGTTACGCCTGCAATGGCCACACCTATCAGTGAAAGTATGTATCGTTTACAGGATAAGAGGCAAACTGTTAACGTAGCTTCCAGGCAAGCGGCAATCTATGTCAGTTTCCCCTACTCCTGCAGATTTCTCCCTCGGCAAAATCGAGCAGGACGAAGCTCAAGCTCAGAATTTCGCAGAAGGGCAAGGGGGGGACCAGATATCTGCTGCTGATTATGATCCTAGTTTGGATCGTCGAGAGGATGAGCAGAGACGAGTGCATGCCCCGGTAGTTGTATCGGATGAGGAGGAGGAGTACGAGGAGGAGGAGGATATCGACGACATGTTTGCTGTGGCTACGAGCGAACGCAAGAAGGTTAGAAAGGTTAAGAAGGTGGCGGTGAGTAATGTCCAACGCGATCTCGTTTCAGGTTTTGAACTGTTGGTTAGAAACCTTCCGCTCCGGCTCTTATTGCCACCAATCTTGATTCGGCAGCAGATTCCGAGGGTTATTACTCGATAATACTTGGTGAGCAACTAGACGGCGGTCGCTACCAAGTATTTTCTTCTCTCGGCAAGGGCATGTTCGCCAACGTTGTCCGTGCCCGAGTTTTGCAGGGAGAGCCTAGCGAAACTGGAAAAGAAGTGGCTATCAAAATAGTTAGATGCCAAGAGTCTATGTTCGTCCTCTCGATCCCTAGCTGACAACCAAAAGAACCTAATACGTTTCCTTCAGGTATAAGGCTGGTTTGAAAGAAGCCCAGATTTTGATGAAGCTCAAACAGGGTGACCCCGAGGATAAGAAACACATCGTACGGCTCGATCGCACGTTTGAGCACAGAGGGCATCTATGCTTGGTCTTCGAGAATCTGAGGTATGTTCTTCAATCTCTTTTTCAGCTTCCATCTGACATGCACGTAGCATGAACCTTCGTGACGTTGTGAAACGGTTCGGAAAGGACGTAGGGTTGAACATACGTGCGGTTCGAGCGTATGCCCATCAGTTGTTTCTGGCTTTAAGCCTGCTCCGCAAGCTCAACATCATGCACGCGGATATCAAGCCCGACAATATCCTCGTAGGTAGCACTTTCAAATAGCTTACAGTGGCTTATCGTCCTTCAGGTCAACGAACAGAAGACGCTGCTGAAACTTTGCGATCTGGGCTCAGCGTCAGATGCTTCTGAGAATGATATTACGCCTTATCTTGTCAGCCGGTTCTACCGTGCGCCAGAAATCAGTTGAGTAGTTTGTTATCACCAGCAACCTGTGGCTAACGCGCTCTTAGTCCTCGGCGTCCCCTACGACCCCTCGCTGGATATCTGGTCCATTGGCTGTACCCTGTACGAGTTGTACACGGGCAAGATACTATTCCCTGGTCGCTCCAACAACCAGATGTTATTGTTGATGATGGAGTTAAAGGGTCGCTTCAACAGCAAGATGATAAAGAAGGCTAAATTCGGTGATGTGTACTTTGACGAAATGGGAGCGTTCCAGAGCGTAGATATAGATAAAGTTACTGGTGCCGTGCGTGTCAATCTTCGCCACTAAGATTCCGCTTGTGCTGATTCTTCACCGTAGGATGTGATGAAGAAAGTTCATATATCGAAACCATCGCGCGACCTTCGAACTCGAATTATGCCTTCGGCTTCAGTGAAGCTAAAGGACGAGGAGAACAAGATGCTTCTGTCGTTTATCGACCTTCTGGACAAGTGTCTTGCCTTAGATCCCGCACGAAGGATAACCCCCAGAGAGGCGTTGGTGCATCCATTCATTCGGGGTTAGATTTGACACTTGAAGACGATTATTATTGCAAGCGTATATCAGTAATGCCTACTTTACTCCGTGCCTATTCCTTGACGCCTATTCCGAATAGGATTAGATGTGCTTCCTACTACTTCTTTCCATCATACTGCTCTTCAAGCTTCTAATTCATGAGACGCACTAGTGCTGTTCATCACGCTAAACAATACGCGGAAAGCAGCCACTGTACGCATCTAGTGAACAGCTTTTTTTCACTCACGGATTCATTTATAGCACGATGTGCATAGAAAAGTTCCCATCGAGAAGCAGCGCGCGGGATTGATAAACTGAACCCTCGAAGTTCAGCACGTTGAACATGAAGGAAAAGTGAGGAAACAAGGTATTGCCATTGGCTAGACCTTTGGGCGTATACAGTTAAGGTTAAGTGTAATTCGTGTACGCTTCGGAAGAGATCTCTCGTAAGTAACAGTTGGTGGTGGCTATTTCAGTAACGGAGCCCGTGGACGCTAAGAATTGTCATATGATGAATTCTCCTGATGGAGCCTCTGAAAACGCCCCCCATGACAAGGCTCATTCTACCGGTTATGTAGTTCTTGCGTTGCCGTGTTTCCCCCCCTAAATGCTCTTAAAGGACAGGTGGACACGCACTTGCATTTTCCCTCAAGACAGACATGGCAGCCAACAGGTTGAAAGGTGTACTCGCGCACCTTGGCGCGTCGCCCAAGCCTCTTCCTACCTTTGATGAGCTACCCAATTTCAAGGAGTTTCCGGGATGCGCGTGGGCGGTCTGGGGAGGTAGTGACCAACTTGGGACAATCAATCTCCTGACGGACGAGGTGGTGAAAAGGGCAGCCCAAGAAGAAATTAGGTGTGTGTTGCATCTGCATCGTGCTCTCGACATACCTTTATCTGATAACGCGACATCTAGGTCAGGGAAGTCGGTGTGTTTGAATTGGTACGTAGAGGTAAATCATGATATGGACTGATATTCACTCGGATCGTGGATCAGGCCACTGAACTTTCCAGAGAAGGTATGCCGTGACCCCCATTGAATCGATGAACCAAAGTAGATGATCCATGCTAGCCTATGTTCAACCGCAAATCGCCTGATATCCTCAGCAAAGTCCGGAGCCCACCAGGAATAACGAGAGACGACGAGATCCATATCGTATGGACCATTGTATCATTCCTTATCATGAAATCACGCTAACCTTGCTCAGAATACACAATCTGGGACCCAATGGGACGGCTTAAAGCATTTTGGCTTGATCGAACATGGCGTATTTTATAACAAGTAAGTAGACCCTCCAGAGCCTCGTCCCCCTCGGGATAATTGATCTCGACACAGTACGCCGGCCACTGAACTTCCCATTGGAAAGTTCACATACCCAGACCCGCTGAAAGTTGATCCGGAAATGATCAAACTGGGCATACAAAGTTCGATTCCGTTCGCGTTCCTTTCCTCTTCTGACCGTAGCCGCTTGGATCTATCTTAGACTGGGCGCAGCACGGAATTTGCGGCCGTGGTGTTTTCCTCGACCTCGTCAAGTTCTTCACTGACTCGGAGAAGGCACTTCCGTACGACCCCTGGGCCACACACGGCATCAGCGTGAAAGACCTCGAGGCTTGCGCCAAGTACCAAGGAACTCAGTTCAGACAAGGCGATATCCTCCTTCTCCGTGTAGGCTTCATGCAGAAGTACAATCGGAGCACTCAAGCCGAAAAAGATGCCCTCGCCAACAAGCCTGAGACTTTGTAGGTGCTGTTAATAACTACTACGGGCGCAAACAACTTACAGTCCCGACAGTGCTGGAATCGAACAATCGACTGAGATGAAGCGTTTCTTGTGGTCTGTATAATCGCCCTCGCTCGACTCGAGATGGACAACTAAATTCTTGTAGGGATAACCATTTTGCTGCCATAGCTTCTGACCAGCCAGCTTTGGAGGTGCGTCGACGCCTTGTAGGTCAAGTCGATTTGTATTAATCATTGCATTACAGCGTTGGCCAGTACCAGCGGGTGTTCCCCATATGCATCAGGCTAGTCTCCCTTCACCTCGCTGCTTAATCTTCTCCGCTAACTATATGTTCAGACTCTACTAGGGTACGTGCCAAAGCTTCAGCACCCAAATACAATTCGATGACTATTTTTTTCCAACGTTTTAGTCTCTGGGGCATGCCAATTGGTGAGGGCATCCCTTCTTGCTACTCCGACGTTCTCTCTGAATATATGTTAGGTGAATTCTTCGATCTCGAAAAGCTGTCGCAGGTGTGCGCTGAGACGCGGCGCTACACGTTCTTCTTCTCCTCTTGGCCGCTTAACATGTGCGTATCTGTTCTATTGCTCTACATGCATTACTGACGCTCGCCGATACAGTCTCGGTGGTTGTGCAAGCCCACCTAACGCAGCAGTAAGTATTCATATCATATCATCGTCCAAATAACTTACGCTGGCAATCAAGGCGCTTTTTTGAAGGCTCTTGCTTTCGCCTCTAATGTACTTTTAGTCAAATGTGTGCCTACTTAATCCTTGTGGAACTATGTAAGAGAAGCCCGCAGGATTGCGGCGGCATGTACGTTTATCATCAGGGGATGTTTAGAAGAGGGCTACGTGGACGCCACGGGCGTAGGAGCGCAGAATGATTCGATAGGCGGTGTGCTCGAGTTGTGCTGACGCCTTCGGCGCTCTAAAACAATGAATATAAGTCCGCCAATCAACCTGGCGCTTGCAATGGCACCAGGAAGGCCAGAAACGAGTGGCCTTGATGGTGAACTAGAAGGTATATTATTGGGAGGGGAACTGGTTGTAACGGAGGTCTCAGAGATAATATACTCGACGGTGTAACTATGGCATGCTCTCGTCAAGTTTTTCCGGCTTGGGAACTCACCTGAACGATACTACTGCCTGGGTGAGTGTAAGTAGCGATTGCATGGCGCTGGTCGACGGTGGCGTGAGAACCATCCAACCTTTGTGATCATCGTGACATTTCCAAGTTTAAGTTCACCGCCGTCTCTGACGACGCGCTCACTCCATGAACGGCGCGCGCATTCCCCCCCACAAGTTCATGTTTCTTTGCAGACACTCGGTGGCGCCGCTGTCGCGCCAGGCCAACACAAGATCCATGTCTTCCTTCCTCCGTAATCCGTCTCGGCGTGCTTCACGAGCGTCTGTCATGTCAACGGCTAGTCTCGCAATTGGTCTCGCTGGGGTCGGTTTCCTCTGGCACACCAACACGGTGCATGCGGACTCAATACGATACCCGTCGAAATCACCGGCCGCCGGTGCCGATGCGTCGAAATTCGAATATTTACGACAAGCAGCTGCATCACATTTTGTATACGACGATCCTGGTGTCCAACGGTTTGATTCTATAGTCGTACCCAGGTCCGTACCGAACGATGTGCCTCTTGCATCTCAAATTAAACCTCCACAGTAACTTTCCAGCCGAGGACTTTATCTCCTCAGCGTTTGTCCATCTCGATACTCACACCTGGTCGTTATTTTCTATATTCGACGGACACAACGGACCTCTCACTAGTTCATGGCTATCTGACAACCTCATCCCTGCCATCGTCGGTGGGTTGGCTGATCTGTTCTCCAAGCAACCTCCTCTGTTTGACGAAGCTGAACACACGTCGCTTGATAGTGAAACAAGCCTTCGATTGGCACCTCCCCCGCATAAAGATATCGATCGCGCTCTTAAAGATGCTTTCCTCCGTGTGGACAACGACATTGTCGAATGGGCGGTGGAGCGGGCCTTCGCATCCCCTTCAAAAGCAGACGCGGTCAATCTCCTCCTCCCCGCCCAGTCAGGATCCTGCGCAATCGTCAGCTTCTTCGACTCCGAGAGCAAGAAGCTTCGCGTGGCGGTCACCGGCGACTCCCGTGCCATTCTTGGTCGCCGTGTCGACGGCAATATCTATGAAGTCCATGTGCTCTCTCTCGATCAGAACGCCCATAATCCGGCTGAGGACGAGCGAATGAGCAAGGAACACCCTGGCGAGACGATCATGGAAAACGGGCGTGTGCTCGGCTGGGGTATGTCGCGTGCCTTTGGAGACGCGACATACAAATGGAGCCTTGAAATACAGAAGCGACTGCATGAAGAATACCTTGGCGACAGAATACCCAGTAAAGTCAAAACACCGCCATACTTTACCGCGGAGCCAGAAATTACGACGACAGATGTTCGGCCTGGCGATTTCCTCGTTATGGGTTCTGATGGACTGTGGGATTGCTTGACTAATGAGGAGGTCGTTGGGCTAGTTGGGCTGTGGAGAGACACACACGACATGATGCCTAAGGAAACTATCAGCAGCCCTTCGGAAGGAACTAGTTCACATCACCATATGATCACTTCCGACTTTACTGTCGACGCACCGTACGACAAAGATAAATTGGTGGACCGCGAATCTCTTCCGGTTGTGCTAAAGGAGGACAAGACAGTGATGTATCCTTGGTGGCGCGCAACGAAAAAGTTCGTGAATGTGGATGCCAACGTCGCTGCGCACCTGGCTAGGAATGCACTGGGAGGTGCTGATCATGATCTTACCTTGGGGCTGTTAACCATGACGCCGCCTAGATCTAGGCGGTATAGGTGAGAGCATACATTCTCTGACAAGATTATTCGTTCACGCGGAACATTAAGGGACGACTTGAGCGCAGTTGTAGTTTTCTTCAAGGACGATTTAGACCGCTCAAGGCCTGAGGAATGATTGACACTGCCTCGTCACTTAATTACCTAAGTGTTGGAAATATATCTGTTTCATTGCTCATTCCATGTAGCACGAAATACCGACAAGTCTCACCGCCTCCTTATTTTGGAAGAAAGTCGCGTCGTAAATTCATGTGCATGATCGAGTCTGAACTGATTGGCACATCGGCGAGCTTTTCAGGAATCACATACCTTCGACGCGTGAACGTACGCACTAGGTACGCGACGACGCCCGAACGAAGGGCATAACATCGAGGCTATCTGTCTATGGAGCTCTCTTTATGGCTTCTCAAGCCTCCGACCGTGGTCGTTCTTCGCGATCCCTGTTGAAATCTCACCAGAGTTGACTGGGAGCCTACGACACGCCCATTCAACAACCAATTGGAAAGATCTTGGTTTCGACTTACCTTCCGGTGCACATCATAACCCGGTTTCTCCTAGTGTCGGCCTATCCCAGGCTCCAATCTTCGAACAGCCGCGATGACGCGCGCGCGGAAGGCGCTGTCGACGTTAGAGCATCGGAAGGCCTCATCGAAAGGTATAGCGCAACAAAAGCATATTTAGGTTCAACGGCCATTGAATACTTGAGTTCTCATCCGATTTGAGAAATGGTCGTGATAATCAACGTCGTCCGTGGTACGGGGCTGCTCCAAGGTTGGTCCAGCAGAATCCAAGCAGTTACGATCGTGTCTGGCTCATGCAATCGCTGCTCTTGACTCCTGAGTGGTAGCAGAACTCTATCTGAAACCCTACTTAGTTTTGTCGCTAAGCATGCGATAGCTCGTACTCAGTACTCATTCTCCATACTCTGCCACAATGATGGCAAGTCCACACAGCCCGAGGATTGGGTCCGGGGTCGCAAGAGTATCTACGCTGCTCGTTGTATCTCGAAAGTGAGAATGACAAGCGCCCGTCGGTTTTGTGTTCGTATATTTTGTCATGACTCATCCACGACGTTGCCACTTCAAAGCTTCAAAGCTTCAAGCTTCAGCTTCAACGTTCAACGTCAACGGCGGTCGACCTCTCGGACCTCTTGCGTCTCAAATCTCGGTACTCACAGCCCCAGCTTCTTCGAAGTATCAATAACTACAGCTTCGCAAATATACGTCTTGCAAAGTGTGCGTTGGCGTGGTGTACTGGACAATAGAGATGGCTAGACGCAGCATTCCCATGTAGCGAGAAGCTGGAAAGGGCGCTTTGCTCTCGATCTCAGTAGGTGAGCACATCATGTTATTTTCCAGCGATCATACACTTGCAACTGTTTACTATAGCAGGCAATCGTGCAATCCAAGTGCGCCGGACAGTGTTGCCGCTGCCTTATTTCGAAGTCGGCGGAGACAGGGCTCGGAGCAAAAAGTGCTACCTCGCTCCTTGAGTGGATGGATGGAGAGTGTCTGCCGGACTTGACTACGTGCGTATTTTCCTCTATCTTCGGCTACGACCTCATCAACGCGGCAACGTGCAGAAACCACCCATCTGATCACCAACGCTCGCTGTCGCAAAGTTATACGTACAACTATGGCCGCGGGCTACCAGACGCATCACCTTGGCCGTGCTAGTAGTCTCCCTCGGGCCAAGATCATCGCCCACCATACTCCCCCTGTGTTGCTTTCGACGCGGCTACTACATTGATGCCTCATCTTCCGCGATTGCGGCACTCATTCCATGACAACGCGCGGGATAATCACTCCGACTTACACCGATCACCCGTCTATCAAAAGGCCTCCCAGCGGGGCGCATCGTATCTGCGGCCGTCACCAATCCCGCTCGAATTGCACTCTATATACCGCTTCGAGGAATCGACGAGGGTATGGCAGATACCAGCCCCACGAATGAAGACAATACATTGGATGGCCAGGAATACGTAGGCCTGACCTCAGGGCGAACCGGCTTTTGCACAAACTACACGCGCTGCATCCCTCGCCGCTAACACCAACGGGGATGTCACCACTCAGCGCTCCCCCATGCCCACTCGCGAGGGTCTTTGGCCTCGTCTCGTGCTTATGATATGGAGACCTCTACCCGCGCACCGTAGGCATAATGTGATATGCAGATTCGTTTCGTATCCCATAATCGCGGTACTCGTTCCATGGGAACGCCCGGGAATGCTCATCCAGCCCTCCGTAGACTCGGTTTACTCAATGACCTCCCACTTCCATCGCGGTACATCGTATCTCTTGCCAAACTACTAGGATCGCGCTCAATACACCGCTCTAGCCAAACCAACAAGAGTAGGCTGGGTACTAGCCTCGCATGTCGACGAGATGATACATTGGACAATAGGACAGGCGCTCATCCAAGCAAGAATTTGGAATGGCTGAGGCGTGGCTGAGGCGAACGGGAAGGAGCAGATAAGATCGAAGGACAGATCGTGCCGTACAAACACCCGCAGAAGATGAACTAGCCGTCACGCTACCTAGACGTGTCGCCTACCTCAAATGCTGATCAGTCAGTCTGGAACATCCCATATCAATCGACGTCGTGTCCACTTCGCGTCTGTTTGCCGTCACGTTGATGTCGAGAGCCCCGCAACCTCGCTTCGTAGGCGTACCATGATACATCGCAAGTATCAGCAGCCTACGACAACGCTATCATCTACGCAAACGACGCATGGCTTCGTCCAGGTCTCGCAGTGGAGCGGCGGCTGAAGCAGGCAACACGCGTCGAGAGGGAGCCCCCTTGTTCCCCCTTGTCCCTTCGATGAGGGCTTCTTCAGTATGGCTTCGGATGGGAATCTAGGCGCAAGGAGATCGCACTGTAATTACTCCTTTCGCTGCGTTGATACGACGCGAATACGACAACGAGGCGATCCCGTCGAAACGCGGAGTACCCTAGCGTTTTTTTAACTTCCATGGGCGCCTGAGGTGAATTGGCTATACATAGAGAGGGCTCGTGTTGTCCACGCGCCGTCCATTGCCGTAGTGTCAACCCTGGTGATTGGACGTCTACCGTTGGTTGGCTCTACGGGCAAATAGGTGCCTATTCTTTAGTAGACACCCACTGCTGTGGCACACTCCCCACGCGTAGATTTCAGCTTCGTGAATCTCGGTACCATCGAAGAAAATAGCTCGCCGTCGAAAATTCCCCGAATTTGTTCCCGAACAGAAGTCTTCCATTGCTCTGTGAACGTCAGTTATCAGAACGTGTTTCACGCCATGTACATATCCCATTCACAACCACGCTGGCCGAGGTCACCATGCCCCAACGCCACAAAACAAGACTTCTGTCTGTTATGCCGTTATGTCATATCCCCAGGCGAAGCAGCATTCCTTACGACCCAATCACTTCGTCTAGATCACCAATGTGGGTGGCGGACCCCAACGGTCCAACTGTAGTGCTTCGCTGAAGGCAGAGGAGTCCTTGAATTCTTAGCCCTATACCGCGTTCAGCGAATAATTTCGCATGTGGCCTTTTCATATCCAAAGCCACATTGTGTTTATTCATCACAGTCGTGCTGCAATGTATCCCTTTTCAGTTGGTTCATCGCCGAATCTACCATTTTCTTCGGATAGTGTGCCCTCCTGTTGGGTAGTCGCTTGATGAAGGGATGTTCAGGAACGGTATAGACGCTCTCCCCGAAAATTTCTGGTGTAGTGAATGGGATCTATGGTGCAACTCTCCCTTCGACATTGTTGTGTCCATTAACTTGCGCAGAGATCGCCCGGGCCAGCAGATGTCTAGATATTCCCCACCACATCAATCGTTGGATACCCTACGCGATTTGCTGATTATTGCGACGAACATAGAGCTAAAGTTTGAAAATGGCACTCTCCGAATGGAATCCAGCCGCTGTCAAGAACGAGCGCTGGCTTTCTAGCTTCTCGATGACGAAAAAGTTGTTCAATTTGAACATACGAAGGAAGGTGAGAGAAACTGCGCTACTTGGATCGCAAGTACTTAACATGGTTATATTAATCAGGACCCGTAGGGTGCAGTAGAATGCAGTTAAGAGTTGCAAACGGCCTTTGGGACCCAACTATCATACTCACGGATCCCCCATTATATCTAGCGGTACATCTGGTCGCGCCATCTTCCGTAGCACGACCTCGCCGCAGACGTACAAGGCGGCTCCCAATTACCAGATTCCTTATCTCGTAACGAGGCGACTCCAGTAGACCCATTAACCCCTACATCAGCTGTAGACCGATCCCAGGAAGACGACGCTCCATACATGCAAGGAGCTTCCAAGGGCATGGATCCTCCGTCCCAGGCTCCCACCGTGGTGGTATCTTCTGCCGATCCCCCCTCCCCTACGACACCGGTTTTACCTCAGAACCTCGTCGGCGCTGATCAAGACTTGCCAACCGCCTTGAATTTAACTGACCCCTCACGCCTTGCACCTGAAACCCAAGGCGATGCTTCCTCTCCAGTTTCGCCTACTTCTCCTACGTCCCAACGGGTGGCAGGCGTCAAGGCGGGGGTTACCTCTACCAAAGAAATTAAAGAGTGTTGCCCATCAAATGGAAGAAATTTAAGCGTGAGCTTCGATGGGACTTTGGGCGAATTTGGAGTTATGGTATGTCGGTCACATTACAATCTACATCTTCGATTGATCAGCATGCAATATAGAATAGCAATGTCATAGAATTCAACAGTCGTATCATCAAAGATAAAAAACAGTTGTCGAACTATATCAGCGGCATTGGAACACGCGGGTCCTCGATCATTAGTCGAAAAATTGACTCTGCAATCGCAACGTATGCTCACATCTCAGGACGAGCAGGCCAACCATTCATCATTTGTTTTAGGACGTTCCAAAGCAGTGTCCTCATGGGGTACGAATGGCTTTGTAATCAGTACAAACCAGGGGACAGAATATTTCTTTTTGGTATGAGAGTTGCGAGTTGCTTACTACTCAACATCACTAACTTCTGATTCCTTGCAAGGCTTCTCTCGTGGTGCATACCAAGCCCGTGTAGTCGCAGGGATGATTGAGCGCGTACGTCGCGGGTGACATTGCATGCTGTTTAGCCAGCTGATTGATTTCATCCCAGGTTGGCCTACTTTATCGGGGGAACAATAGTCAACTTCCATCGTGAGTACCGCTCTGTTATTGAATATTCTACGATCTCATCCATCAATTGAGTGTGTTCAAGTTGTATATGGCAATGGAAGAGTCTTCGACTTCATCCGCCACTACAGCCGTCGCGGAGCCAAATCCAACGTTTGGACCCAAATTAGAGACCGACATGAACCTCCGTTCAAAAGCAGAAGAAAGGGTTTTAGTGGCAAAGGAAAAATGCAGTATATTTAAAAAAGCATTCTCGCGACCGAGTGTGAAGGTCCACTTTGTTGGTGCATGGTGAGCCCTCATTTATGTTATGATACTCCGTGTTGATAATTTTCCTTGGGATAGGGATACCGTATCGTCCATCGGGATCGCTTTGAAGCCATGTTTCCCAGAGACTGTTGACGGGATGTCGCATGTCTGCCATTTTCGTCATGCGCTTGCTCTAGATGAGCGACGAGTCAAATTCTGGCCAGAGTACGCAAACACTGACGCACCTTCATCTGGAGCTCAACGCGGTGATATAAAGGAGGTGTGGTTTGCTGGATCCCATTCTGATATGTTAGTGCTTCTCCTTTATAATTTGAGTGGTCTAACCAATCAGTTGTAGTGGAGGAGGGGGGATAGCGAATCCGAAGCTAGCGAACTTCGGGCCAGCATTAAGATGGATGACATATGAAGCAATGTTCCATGGCCTCCGTATGGAACAGTACTTGGGGATATGGAAGGACATTGAGCCGAGTACATCGTTGAAGGGACTGTGGTGGAATCTCCTTGAGATACTTCCGCTACGGCGCCCATCAGGCGTGGATGGAGGACGAACGACGCGAGTGTGAGTAATCCACTCCATCTATCAATAATTAAACACCAATGGACCATAGACCTCACCTCGGTGCTCCTCGACGGATACACAAAGGACAATTCATTCATGAATCAGTATTTAAGCAAATGGGGTTCGACTTGCAATCTACTCCTGGCGATAAAGACCATGCTCAAGGTACTGGTGGCAACAGCGACATTGCAACGAAAGAGCTTCCAAGCCCACTTTCGGTCATCGTCTCTCAAGGCACCGCTGGAAAGCACGGGTCATACAAACCACCAGCCATCTTCTACGACACTGCGGTAACATGGGAGAACATTGACCTTTTACGAGAGATGATCGAAGCAGATTACTTTTCATCCGCCGCCTCTGCGGTCCACCGACTAAAAAGTGCATACACGAACAAGGATGACAAAGAGCTACTTCTTTCAGCTATACAGGCTCTCCACTCTCACGTCCTTTCTGGTAGGTTATCTCACCTCATCATCATCGCCTCGGGAGTTGACATTATTTGAATACAAAGCTCCACGGCTTAAGTCCCTGGCCGAGGTTCCTGGCGTGCTGGGTCTACTTTTAGAGGTACTTAAAGTACTATCCTCGTTAACTCCCGATAAAACTAGGGCGGTTGACTCCTCCTTTGCTACTCGGGTTATCTTCTCTGCGCTTGCATACGTGCCTTCACAGCCTTCACACAAATTTGCAGTCAAAGATTTCCGTACCCTTGCTTCGCAACCATTCAAGATTATTCCCGAACATATATATCGTGATGTTATCATCCGTCATGGAGATGGTGCGCTACATGTTCTCTTAACGATGTCACAGAAGACTGACACATTTTTACAAGGAAAACTCGAAGAGATTTCCACAGGCGTCAAAGGGACGTTGGAGTACATTTCCTTCTCAAGGGATCAAGACTTAATATTCTGCGGTTCTTACGAAGAGGTCGCAATTTGGAACCTTGAGACAAAGACGACGACTCAATCTGTACCACTCGGGCGCATCGAAACCGTAGAGATTTCCGCCGATGGCTCACAGTTTGTGATCGGATTAGGAGACCACGTGCAATTGTGGGACGTGCACACAGGAGCCAGGGTGCAGGACTTCGTCGGGCATTCCTCCACGGTACTCATTGTGACACTCTCAAGTGATGGTAAGATGGCATCTGGGTCGATGGCTGGATCAATCCGAATGTGGGATTTGAAGAGCGGTGAAGACTTGCATGGCGATATGGACCGTCACTGGGGTCCGATCTGGGAGCTAGCTTTCTCTGCGGATAACACTCGATTAGTGTCGGGAGGTCATGACACGACAGTGCGGCTATGGGACACAAACACTGGAGACCATCTAATGGTGCTACGAGGGCATACAGACGAAGTGTGGTCCGTTGCATATTCCCGCGACGGTGCATACATTATCTCTGGGTCAACCGATACGACAGTCCGTGTATGGGACGCAAAATCTGGGGATGTGAGGACATTGGAAGGACACATGGATGTGGTTACATGTCTGGCCTTTTCAAAGGATGGGACGCTGATTGCTTCTGGAGGGCAGGATAGAACGTTGCGTGTGTGGGATGCATCTACGGGTGAGGCACTCGTCATATATGATGTTGGGATTCGGCTACGGTCATTGGCTTTCTCTCCAGATGATAAGCAGCTTATCGTAGGTTGTGCTTACGGCAAGATTTTCATCTGGGACGCCGAAGTACTGCTTTAGACACTGTACTGCATACTCACAATGCAAGCCCGTTCCTGTAGCATATATGTTTGTAAAGTGCCACTTGGGGCTGTAGCCACTGCAATGCATGGCCTGTACGGGTCCTATTGATCTATAATAGTACTTGGTAAAATAGATAGTCATTGAATCATTGAAGTTAGGATAGGAGATGGAGATGAGATCCACATTGTAAAAGAAGATAACAGATGGAAACTGTGGAGTAGACAGTAGCAGAATGAATAGTGGTGAGCATCAACAAATAACAAACTTCTGACCTGTGACTTTGTCTTACATGGACTCATTCAATGATAGATATAGTACAGAAGAACCAGATTGTGAGAGGCCTATTTTGAGTATTATTGCTGTTTACAAAACAGTTGGCACTGGCACCCTTTTGTAGAAAAATGCACACTTGGGTGTGCACATCTTTGGTGAATGATAACTTTGAAACACGGGCTTAGCAGCCTTACATCTACATATATATACTGTTGCTGGAGTCCCCCAACAGTTTCCAGGCAGACTTTTATGATCTGATTTTTGGGTGATTTTTTCTATATTCTTACTACCACTGAACTACAATGGCGACACATACTCTGAATGGGTTTGAACAAAACTGCAGCAAAGCATCAACCCAGCAGCACGAGAAACTCTGGAGTACACATTGAACAATCTGTAGCTTGCAACCAGTGTAGCGGACAATTGAGTTGATGTCTAGAGGCATTCCCATGCTGAGAATGGCCCAACATAGGTCAGTTGACATTCAGGAACTGCAGGCCATGGAGTACATAGGTATAGAGAGAGAAAGAGCCTTAGCTCAAGGCTTGCACATTACTTGATTCCTACATGTTCTCTGATGTTCATAAAAACTCTGGGGGGCTCTAGTGACTGTTATGGGCACGATCAGGAAGCTCCTCAGGGGCTACTAGGGGCATGATCACATGATACAAGATTGGAACTTTTGGTCTGTGTGTATGTGCGAATACTCAGACTTTTGTACTAGTTACACACTAATACATATACTTATACTGTCACCAGACTCATGTAGGTTTCATGGGCACACAGATACCACGTGCCCTTCAGTATTTAGTTTGTACGAGTAGCTAGTTTCTACTCATAGCTACTTGTACCTCAGTCTGAATATTAGTTTGTTCTTACCCTCTTTGCATCCCTCAACTACTTTGTTGTAGTCTCTCTCTTCTATCCTCACCTATTGAAATACAGGGCATGCAAGAGTGTGGGAGGTGCAGTAGTAGCTGAAGCCAAACCTGTATGTACTAGGTCCTTATTTGCTCTTCCTCACAGGCCACGTACCTGCGGCGAACATGAGGCCCTTGTACTCGCAAGGACAGTCCTTAACAGTGACAAGATATACAAGCAATATATATAAGTTCATGTGGTTGATGTTTACCCATTCTGTTTGCTCAGTAACACTTTCCCCTATTCCCTTGTTTTCTGACTATCTTAAAGATGTTCTGCTATGTATACAGCTTATTTATCATGAGTCGTGACACTGAAGGAAGTGAGTTAATCTGTAAATGTCTATGCCATACTTCCTTGTGTATCACTACAATGATTTAATGGATGTCACATCTGGACTTGGCTATCTGAAGTCTGCTACTTGAGTGTTCTAATGAAGCAATAGTGTCTTTATTGCACCCTAACCATGACTTGTGTGTTAGGGCAACACTAATCCGAAGGACTAACATGGCTCCTACAAGAATACTAAAGAAAAAAAATACAGAAGATAGCTTAGTTGACTTTAGATATCAGACTAGAATTAGCAGAATCCCGAGAGAATGAGCTGGCATTCCCTGGAATTTTATTAGTCTTTAAATACTGTAATACATGTGGTACCCTATGTACTGCAGACATGTGTTACTGGTGAGGTTATTACTAAGGATATCAGAATAATGATTATTAAGAGGACATGATATCCACATTTAGATATGATAGTGAGAAGAGATGATCTTTGGAATAAACTGGACCATAACATTGAGGGCATTTAGAGTCTGATGGTGTAAGGGGACACTCCTATTTCCTCTCCTTTTCTTCATCCCATGGACTCTTACCTACATTTCCTTTGTTCCCCTTTGTTTCCTTTTCGCTTCCTTTCCTTTCCACTTCCTTTCCGCCCACTCCTTTCGCATCCGAGCCACGTCCGGTGACTCCGGAGTCTTCCCGCACTTCGGACTCGCTCGGACTCGCTTCGGACACCTCGGACTCGCTCGGACTCGTCTATACTCTTCGGGGCTCGTCCAGGTTACCTCTATCCTCTTTCCCCACTTCGTTACCCTTCGCCCTTACTTCCCCAAGTCGCTAGCATGACTCCTGTGCATTTACCCTCCACTTCATTATCACATGTTTCCTTGTACCTTGTGATATTCGCTCGGACTTGTGGCTGGTGTACTGTACAGTTATCCTGCATTCCTCTCACGCTACTACAGTATATACTTCGCCTCCTAGCATGGAGAATCCTTATCCTGTTCTCTTTGGATTCTCCCTCTGCTAGGTGAGCAGCCCTCTCATGTATTGTAGTTAGTCTTATCCATTATCTTTGGATTCTCCCTCTGCTAGGCTCGCGCTGTGCGGCCATCTTGAGGTTGCCCTTACAGATGGCCCCTTTGTTCCCTATTCCATAATTATCCCTTTGCCCCCCTACTAATTCCAATTAAGTCATTGTCCTGATCTCCATGACATCCATCTATCTGAAAGATCCATACTTAATTAATTAGCAGACATGTAAAAGTATACCACACCCATTTACTTATAGCCCTGTAGCTCACTTTGCTACTGTGATATCTTTTCTTGTCCTTACAGACATGAGATCATTCTGTTACTCTTATAATAGTAGCAGCTAAGATGTGTCAACTCAATACTAAATGTATAATCCTACAGTTTACATGCTACATTTGTTGATATTTTACTTCAGTGTTTTGATGATTTGCTTGATTTGAGTACTTGAAGCCTATTTGTTGAAGTATATTATGCAGAATGAGGAAAGACATGATACCTTTATGGCCACCCTTGACATAATCTGGCAGCATTGATAGTCCAGAGTTCAGTCTGGTAGTCCCTATTCTCTATTACCTATCCATCCCCTGTTCCCCTGGGTGACCCTGAAGTGAGTGCTCATTTCTGATTATGTAACATTAATCTTGATACCATAACAATTTGGGCCATTCTATTCTAATAATATAGATTTAATAGATTTAAAGATATAGACAAATAAAATGACAAGATGAAGTAAAAAGGGAGAAGAGAAGTGCAATAAACATGGAAGACAATGAATTGGTGCCAATGTCAATTCAATCCCCCAGCGCTAATTTAATTCCAACTTAAAGTTTGATGAGATCCAAATTTTCCGATTACTGGCATCCGGCTATCACAATAGCCACCCTCTTTCCGTAGCGCCCAAGTGTCCCAACTAAAGGTAAGAACGGATCCTTTCATTTCATTCCAGGACCCGTAATAGGCCGTGTCCGACTGGCAAGCGCTCAGCAGCAAGCGTGTACAAAGAGGTGTCCATGTAGATCCATTATAATTCACGAAGCATTCTCCTGCATCCTGCATTATATTGTACCTGCTAATTAACCCCCCCAGCCACCATTATAATGTGAGGGCCACCCATTAGATCATAAAGTCAGGCAGCATTATAATGTCTGTGCGTGAACTCCCCTGCGTGTGTTGCCATTATAATTCAGATTATGGCAGGTAGCATTATAATGGCCTGCCTGGTTCCCATCATAATTTTGACCAAGTGAGGCAGCATTATAATGTCCGCCTGTGAAACCCTCCCCCCTTGCGGTCCTATTATAATCCTGACTACATCAGGCTGTATTATAATGTGTGCCCATGAATCCCTCCCGTGCTCCCATTATTGCGAGCGTAGCAAGCAATCTTACTCTAAAGGGGTTCAAAGATCGTGCAAACAAGGGCAAACAAATTTCTTGCTCTTTGGAGGCCGGGTCGATTATTTTTCTACATGAACTGGCCTCTTTCTCGTCCTTCTGGAATGTAGAATGTGTGGACCTTGCTTGCCATTGTTGGTTTGTGCAAAAAAACCAACACGTTTGATGGACTTTTGACATTGTACGGGCATTTCTTTGACTGGACAATGATTTTGCGCTTGTTGACACGTTGTAACTACACCTCGGTCCTCAGTTGTATGCTACCTACTGTGCATGTATTAGGCTGTCCTTGAATGCATCTTTCTTCCTCCCCTCATGCCACCCCACGCTCGACACCTTCCAGGACTCTCTGGCATTTGCAATGCTTGCACTGGAGTGTTCCCCCATAGGCATAACTGTTGGGATTCTACTCATGATATGTGTATGCCGTGTTTGAAGGCAAGGTCTGCACTCAAAGCGTGCCGGCGTGAACACCACCACTTGACTATTCATGTGCCCCCTTTCCTGAAGACCTGTGAACTGTGTTCAGATCGCTTTCCGAGGACTGAGTTCTTGAATGGGTCGGGGGACACATTGTATGCGCATTGCCGTTGTTGCCGTAAGAGAGAACATTGCATTTGTTGTCACAGGATCAAGAAGAGGTGCCATTTTGCAAAACCTCGCTCTGATGACTCCTTCTTCAAGACGTGCAATACTTGTTGCAAGGCGGACACAGCGTGAACTCTCCATCAGTGGATGGATGCTGAGGCACTTGGTGTGTTTCTTCTTCACTTGCGTTTGGACGTTGCTTATACAATAACACTAGGAAAACATTGGTGTGTTATAGGACAACATCAGGTGACACTTGATGAGTGTCGGAGCGTCGAAGGGATTCTTCGTGCAAATTGCCAATGTTGTTTGGCACAATGTTATAGGCACATCCAGGAGGCCCCTTAGGGGCTACTGGCGGGTGTTTCCGGCTACAGACTTGGGCCGCACATATATGCGGCTACACGGACTTGTCACGGGTTTTGGACTTGTACATATTCGAGCATGCTGTACTTATTCCTACCGGACTCATTGCTGTTTCGTGAACACGTGGACACCGCGTGT